AATTTTACCCTTTTATACTATTACTAACCATTTCATTTTATAAGCATATAATCTTCTTTACACAGGTTAAAGTTGACTATTATACACTACCACAGGGTAATACCAGGACTACACACACAGAGTATAATTTATGAATGGATTATCTTTTTCTTGTGGATTTGTGAAGCAGACCCACTGTCAATGATAATTTATGAATGGATTATCTTTTTCTTGTGGATTTGTGAAGCAGACCCACTGTCAATGATAGTAAACCAGACTTTAACTTAAGATTAAGATTAAAGAGTCTAAAGTATATAAATACTCATCACCTGTAGACAGTAAAATACATGGTTTCAGATGATCCACTTAACAGTGGTATAAAGTTGTCGTCAGTTCCAAAAGCATCGCACAATAAAGCAGTTGGTAGTCATTCTGACCCTGCCTTTTATACTGTAACATGCCAATCTTATAGAATTGAAAATAATTGAGTAAGCCTACTGCTCATGCTGTCAATCACCATTTCTGTCAATTGCGACAAAAATATAACTGTGGCAATAAAATTTCAATTTAAATCTGTCCATTGTAGGAGCATTTAACTTTTACCTTTGTGGCGATTTTTTTGTTACCGTAGGGTTATTTTTCTTAAAAAAAAAAGATTTCAAAGCATTCCTTATCCATACCGTTCTGTCGTTGCATATTTTTTCTCTTTCAGAAATGAAATATTTACAATACATTGAAATCTGATTACAAGTAACAACCAATTTGGTTTCTAGTTCTGCCCATTCTAACATTTAGCATACAAAATGTTTAATATCTTCCTAAGTGTGCCGCAAAATTTTGAACGGCACACTAAGAAAATGCGAAAAACCACATGATCCCAATTGAGTATTCACTGGTGTCTACTGATAAGTTCATAGTTGAGTTTTTCTTTATTTAGTTTGAGTCATTTTATATGTCTATGACTAGTCTCTGTCTACGGTTGTATGCTGTCTAACTTAACATGTTTTTATTTTGCAAGATTCAAATATTTTTCATGTATATTTAGCCAGGTTTGCCGCTATTTTTTCATGTGTTCCAAAGCGTGACGTTGGCAAAAAAAGGTAGAGAACCACGGGTTTAGAGCGTCCACCAGATATTCAAAGTGATCAAGGGCCATAACTCTGGCAGTAATTATTGGAAATTGTTGAAAATCAATAGACTTCTTTATCTCATGACCTTAAACACGGTGCCGTGTATGAATTTCAAGTCAATTGGATTTCAGCCATTGACAGTGTTCAGCTTATCTGAAAGGAAAACCTGGATGTCAACCAAATTTGATAAGTATATTCTATGCCTTCAAGAAATCTCTATCGTGTTCAAAAGATTTTCCAAACACACATAATGTTCAAAATTTACAAGGTTCATCCTTTTCGAGGAAGTAACTAAAGGAATCTCTGGAAATATAAATATTTAATCACATTACATGGCAATAAAAAGATTCAGCAGCAGAATGCTGGTCATGAAAACATAAGGGGACAGTGCATTGAAAATCAAATTTGTAAAAAAAATTTTTTAAAACTGTAGCTGCTATCACGTTAACAAGGTTTCATTTTTCAGAGATTTTCTTACTTCAAAATTAATTGATTAACAACTGTCAATGGTTCTTGTGTGCTTCCCAGATAAACATCGGTCCTGCAAATGACACTTCTGAAATTTCTTCGAAACCCACACTGGGAAGTGGGAACACAATCAGCATGAGTTAAGTGCACTTACCACTTAGCCACCAAGGCTCACTGAATTTCTTTATTGGTACTATACTTAGCAGTTAAATGGTACAGTGGACTCTGTCACATCCTTTTTGAGGAAGTAACTTTATTGTATTTTATTTTAAATTTATTAATTACAAACACTATGCTAACTAAAGAAATCTAGCTAGCTACGAAAACGTAGCTAAAAATGTTGAGATATACCGATGTTCTTGTTTTTAGCAACGATTGGATGCCTTGAGCTTCACCTGGCAAACTTTAAATGGAGAGAAAAGTCAACTATTATCGCTTCGATTTAAAAGAAGTGGTTTGTAGGCTATCCTTGTCAGGTATAATTTTGTTTTATACTATAGTCTATAGTTCAATTTTCTGGTTGTAAGGGATTAGCCAATGAACTGGCCTGTTGTGGTGAGTTCTTGGCGTACAGTGCACGGAACTGTAGGTATCCCACTAGAAACATCAGCGCTGATTGGTTAATCTAATGTCTGACGTCATACGCTAAAGGGTGCTTGTATGACCGCCCCCCACGCGACCTCGCACTACGGCCAGTTAGATCTTAATGTAGTGAAGGCCATTAAAAGTATAAAGAAACGAAACAAACGAAATATAGATCTGTATTTTAATTAGATTAGTAATAATAATAACCTTTTGAGGATGATTCTATCCTCTTTATCAACCAAATTCCGGCATCATACGGGGGTTGGATGGCCGGATGGTTATCACACGCGTGCTGTATCATAAGGCCTGTCATTGAGTCAACTGGCGTGGTTTCGAATCCCCGGTTGTACGTGACAAGGAGTAGGGTCGCCTGTCCAACCTTGTGGGTTTTCTCCGGTCCTCCTACTGCTAAAGACCCCTACGCGCAAGCGAATTATTGAAATAAAATTAAAACCATATGTTAGTCCCGAAATGACGTTAAACCCCATTTCTCATTCTCCGGCATCTTACTTAAAGATACATTATAGCAGATTAGGTAAAGAGCTGGCAGTTCTCACTATAATAGTTAAAAACTAGATAATGTAAAGGGAATTTGCTAAAATTGATCCACTCCGAACCGAGAATTTAGCGATTGAATTTTAGGCCTTGCCTCGATCATCATTACTGATTTAATCATCTTGATTAGCTTTGAGCAGCAGATCGGCTTCAAATCCAGTAAATATCGCAGGCTAGCGATGACATCGAGAGTGGATTATAGTCTGGATAAGTTACTTTATTCTGTAACCACATGCAAATACAAGCAAATATCATTGAATACAGCCATTGAATAACCTATGGGTGTATTCAATGGCTTGGACCTGTGCTACTTTTGTCCAGAATGACGTCACTTTCAGAATTACGTCAAACTGTAATGACATCACCGCTAGTCAATCACAATTTTTGTAAAAATAACTAAAACATTGAATAACCCAAGCGGTATTCAATGGTCATTGAGTTCTATCTAGGCAGGTTTAGCTCTTGAATAATGTATGTTTAATTGTCATTATTATGTGACTGACAGCATGGCAACATTTTTAGATCTAGTACTAGGCCTAGTACTAACCAAATGTCATTTCTTTAATAATGACATCCTATTATATAGGCCTATATGGTCGATACCGAGTTGTCAAAATAATTAATTATAAACAAACTGACAACTGGAAAGTATATCTCGAGGACCGAGAAAAGTCAACTATTATCGCTTCGATTTAAAAGAAGTGGTTTGTAGGCTATCCTTGTCAGGTATAATTTTGTTCTATACTATAGTCTATAGTTCAATTTTCTGGTTGTAAGGGATTAGCCAATGAACTGGCCTGTTGTGGTGAGTTCTTGGCGTACAGTGCACGGAACTGTAGGTATCCCACTAGAAACATCAGCGCTGATTAGTTAATCTAATGTCTGACGTCATACGCTAAAGGGTGCTTGTATGACCGCCCCCCACGCGACCTCGCACTACGGCCAGTTAGATCTTAATGTAGTGAAGGCCATTAAAAGTATAAAGAAACGAAACAAATGAAATATAGATCTGTATTTTAATTAGATTAGTAATAATAATAACCTTTTGAGGATGATTCTATCCTCTTTATCAACCAAATTCCGGCATCATACGGGGGTTGGATGGCCGGATGGTTATCACACGCGCGCTGTATCATAAGGCCTGTCATTGAGTCAACTGGCGTGGTTTCGAATCCCCGGTTGTACGTGACAAGGAGTAGGGTCGCCTGTCCAACCTCGTGGGTTTTCTCCGGTCCTCCTACTGCTAAAGACCCCTACGCGCAAGCGAATTATTGAAATAAAATTAAAACCATATGTTAGTCCCGAAATGACGTTAAACCCCATTTCTCATTCTCTCCGGCATCTTACTTAAAGATACATTATAGCAGATTAGGTAAAGAGCTGGCAGTTCTCACTATAATAGTTAAAAACTAGATAATGTAAAGGGAATTTGCTAAAATTGATCCACTCCGAACCGAGAATTTAGCGATTGAATTTTAGGCCTTGCCTCGATCATCATTACTGATTTAATCATCTTGATTAGCTTTGAGCAGCAGATCGGCTTCAAATCCAGTAAATATCGCAGGCTAGCGATGACATCGAGAGTGGATTATGGTCTGGATAAGTTACTTTATTCTGTAACCACATGCAAATACAAGCAAATATCATTGAATACAGCCATTGAATAACCTATGGGTGTATTCAATGGCTTGGACCTGTGCTACTTTTGTCCAGAATGACGTCACTTTCAGAATTACGTCAAACTGTAATGACATCACCGCTAGTCAATCACAATTTTTGTAAAAATAACTAAAACATTGAATAACCCAAGCGGTATTCAATGGTCATTGAGTTCTATCTAGGCAGATTTAGCTCTTGAATAATGTATGTTTAATTGTCATTATTATGTGACTGACAGCATGGCAACATTTTTAGATCTAGTACTAGGGCTAGTACTAACCAAATGTCATTTCTTTAATAATGACATCCTATTATATAGGCCTATATGGTCGATACCGAGTTGTCAAAATAATTAATTATAAACAAACTGACAACTGGAAAGTATATCTCGAGGACCGAGGGCCGTAATTATTTTGACTCAATGAACTAAAAACACACCTTTTTTTTATAAAGCAAGAAAATTAAAAGACCTGACAGTGACACTGAACTGATTATTGTTGACGTCTAAAAAAAGATCATCATCCCCATCCTTTTTTATTTTTTTTGTCTAACTCTAACTTCACTAGCCCTCTGTGATACATAGTCACGCCAATCAATTAAGCCTTGAGATTAAATATAACATACCCAGTTTTGAAGTCTACAAAACATCAATCATATTCATAATATTAATATCATTCTTAAATCCATCTCTCCCAGTCCCAGATGATTATTAGCATTGCATATCAACACATGCCTTACGTCACTATGGGCAACATCAAGTGGTCGGAACACTTCGGTTTTAACGCCTCTGAGTAACGCATGTGTACAATACAACTTTCCGCTACGTGGCGTTTTAGCTTCTAGCCTAGACGGCATTGTCACTGAACTACAAATTATAAACAAAATTACAATTTATTTTAATCTAACAATTGGAAGAAAAATGAATTTGGAAGAGATGTGGGTGGGAGAGTTACTTTCGGAACGGTCTCTAAACGGTGGAAGTCCTCTGACCGTTCCTGTCTCTTTTCCTGTGTCAGTGCGTTCAGTACAGATGTCTGTCTGCAAAGGACAACGTAAACATTTTCGGATGGGACGAAAAAACGAGGTTCCGTGTTCACAATGACATTGGCGTGCACGTAAAAGGACCTCAGTCGGAGCAGACGTTAAACCCCATTTAAGTTCATTTTATTTCCGTTCCTGTCCGCCCTTATTAAACAGCAATTTTAATCTAGCTAGCTAAATGACAAAAAAAATTACAAATTATTTAGGATTTGACAATAAGAAATAAAATGAATTTGGGTGAGGTAGTTCCTTTCGAAACGGTCTCTGACGAAGACCTCTGACCGTTCCTGTCCGTCCTTAATAAGTTACAATATGAACTTAATGAAAATACCGCTCTACTCCACCTCTATATTTATAAAGTCCTTAACTTCTAGTTTTGTATACCATAATTCTTTTTTGTTCTCCGAAAGGAATAATTTCTAGCCTCATCTGACACAAAATTATAATAATCCAACACTATTTTCAAGTTGAATAATAATAATTACGGTAACAAAAGAGAATGTCCCGAAAGATCGTGGAAGCCTCTCGCACTGAATTGACCAAATTGAATTGGGACAGCCGGGTTTTTTTCATGGTTTTACACCATTTATGTCCAATGTTCATATTCCTATACACAAAATTCTTAGTGCCGTGAGGGGAAAAAACTATAGATTCCGGGTGAACAATGAAGTTTTTCTGCTTTAAAAACACTGTCGGTATGTTTTATAATCTGACAGGTCACAGAATGGGGTAGGCATGCTTTGGATTATTGAATGTCCACTGTTGCTTCCAGATCTGACAAAAATAGGAGATGGGGACGGGGGGGGGGGGGGGGGATAACTTACATTAATTTTGTTAAATGTTAAAAAAAATCTAAATTTTAGGGCAGCATTACATCTGTTTGAAAGATTTATGGAAAACAATCACAGGTTTATATAGACGATATTTCGACATGTATTATCTTATCGTTTTCAAGCACAAAAGTTTATACCGTCATGTACTGAAAAATAAATCATAATCCCAATAAGATCTAAATCTACTTACATAAAGGTTTTTGTTATCAAATTACTTCCATTGGGATCTGTAAAACAGTCCAAAATAGATTCTTATCATCTATGATAACGTCGTTTAAAATGGTAAATGGCCGCTATTGACATTTTCTTGGCATTATGGAAAATATCCCTATAATGTTGTTAGCCACGGGCATCGGCTTCCCTATTTATGAACGATAGTAGCTTTCATGTTAAACTAAAGAAGCAATATTTACACCCAAAAAGATCGAATAAATTGTTTATGTGTGACAATGACAATATGAAAGAGTTTCACCTCTACCACAGGGGGGTTCGGCACCTACAGCTATACGCGTTGTCCAAACAGACATAACCCACGTATAGAAGTTTAGGTTTGTTTTTTTCTTATACAATCCATTTTGAAATACATGTAGTGTAGCCTATTTTTTATAATTATTTTAACAAAATCTATCAAACTTCCCACCCCCACCCCACCTACCACCTACCCCACCCCCAAAAAGAAAACAACCCCAAACAGCAAAACAAGCAACTCCAACTAAGTCCACCTTAAAAATGTGAGAAAAAAATCTTTATTAAAAATAAGGCCTTTGAAAAATATGTTTGTGTATAGACTAAAAAAGATAAGGCGGGAACATTCCGAGGAGTTGGACCCCGAACGTAAGTATGTATGAACCTGTCAGGATAAGTTTAAATTTTTCTATTATAATGAACTGATAATATTCCGGAAAAAGGCTTGTTTATCGATTTCAAAAGCTTGTGCCCCCCCCCCCCCCAGCACCGCGCTCTTTTTGGACGTATGTGTTGGGGGGAGGGGTGCTGGTGTAATATTCGAAATTAAAAACACGAATTAAAAATTCAGTATTGGTAAGTGTCAATCCATATTGATGTTGTTATCTTGCCGTGAAAATATTGGATCCTAATATCCAATATTTAAGATAAATTAACTACTACACAATCATATTTTCGGGCAATGAAAAATTCGACGACCTTTTTTTTCTATTAACGTTTAGAGAAAAAATATAACTAACTTATTTCTATGACATCCACACTGCCCGAAAAGTATTTTCTCGTCTTTTTCTTGTCCACTGCATATGCCCGAAAATATGCCCGAAGCTCTCTTATGATAGGTATGCCCAAAAAACGGTATTGCCCGAAAATAGGTATTGCCCGAAAAACGGGCATCGGGCCGGAAAGCGGCAGAGGAAACTAGCAATAAAACGCGTTTGCGACCGTCAAATATTCCAAAATTTTCTTGGCGGGTCATTCGCCTCTCAAAGAAAACCGGCGCCGCTGTCTATAAATCCGAAATTTTTCGGGCATTTCTAGTTTTGCTTCCCTAACTGTCATCGAGCCCTAATAAAACACTAATTTTACTTTTCTTGTAATTGAATATCACGAATTTGTACTGAATTGACTATGGATTAAAACATTTTGTCTGGAGCCAATCTACTTTGTGCGACATTTTTCAGGCATCGATTATTATTTGTGAATGCAGATGCAGCAGTCTGATTGGATGGTTAGAATTCAGAGTGGGATTTCAGTTACAAAACCATTGGATACTTTTGGAGTTGCTTACACGGGCTAGAATAGCAGAAAACGCATTTACGGTGATTAAATTTTCAAATTTTTCTCCGGGAGGGTGAGGCCTCCATATACCGCGCGACGATTGATTGGTTGTTTGGAATTCGGGTCAGCCAGGTAGGCTATATTGGACCAAATTGAAGTTGCTGTATTCACAGACTGGAATAACAGGAAAACGCGTTTGCGGCAGTTACTTTTTCAAAATTTTCTCCCAACGGTCCCGTCTTCGTTGACTGTAAACGATTGATTGGAATTCGAGTCAGCCACCTTAAAGATGGGTTCCCGCGTATAAACTGGGTGATTTAATGGTATATATGGACCAAAAACATATTCAAACTAATTAGTTTGTCATAATTATGCTTCAAATCCTTCTCAAACATTGTAATTGCGAAGGAATGCCCTGCTATTAAAATTCGATCAAACCAGGTCATGTTTACGTCAGGTCTTGGGAGTCAGAGGAGAAATCATTGCATACACAAGATGATGTTGTCTTTAATCGCTTACTATTTATTACAAATATCGAATCCTTATCAAATTCTCGGATTATCCACTACCCGCGTCTTTTTCCGTCATTTTTATCTCAGAAAGTATTGTACGTCTAACTCTTCATAAAGTTTATCAACTTGTACATCAAGCGCTCAATGTTCGCTTGTGACCTTTGACATCGTGCGTGCAGAAGGTCATAATCGTCGGGCTGTTGATTAGGGGAACCCTTACATTTTTGTCCTGTATACGCACCATGAGTGTTTTTTGGGGAATCCAGTATTTTTCTAGTAAGATTGGATATCTCTACTTTCCATACCAAAATTGCCATACTTTTATTGCAAATAACCACCCGATAAATACTTTTCTGGGAACTCATCTTTAATAAGGCTATAATATATATTCGACCACTTTGAAGTTGCTTTGTTCACCGGCTGAAATAGCAGGAAAACGCGTTTGCGACAGTTAAATTTTCAAAATTTTCTCCTAACGGTCCCGTCTTCGAGGACTGTAAACGATTGATTGGAATTTGAGTCAGCCACCTTAATTAGGCTATATTAGACCGCTTGAAGTTGCTTTGTTCACTGGCTGAAATATCGGGAAAACGCGTTTGCGGCAGTTAAATTTTCAAAATTTACTCCTAACGGTCCCGTCTTCGAGGACTGTAAACGATTGATTGGAATTCCGAGTCAGCCACCTTAATTAGGCTATATTAGACCACTTTGAAGTTGCTTTGTTCAACGGCTGCAATAGCAGGAAAACGTGTTTGCAGCCGTCAAATATTCCAAAATTGTCTTTGGGGGAGGGGGGTATACAAGGTCGCTGCTGTCTGTAAACCCGAAATTTTTTCGGGCATTTCGGGTTCTGCCCCCCTAACTGTCATCGAGCCCCTACGCCTATGTACACAATGAACATTTATTAAATCAGTACGCGAGTCGTGTATTCTATTGTTTCGGGTGCCATTTTGTAATGAACAAATAAAAACATATCCTACAACACAATTAAGTAGGCTAATTAGTAAAGGCTAATTCACAAACCACAAAATTACAATGAAAAAACAATTCGTGTAGAACGGGCTAAATGTCTATACATATATATGTCCATCATTGTTTATTGTAAACATAAGATTTAACTATTTTATATGTTTAGAGACAACTTATAGGCCTTAGCCTGTTGTTCAATTCAGTTTAGGGCCTATTGAATAAATATTGTTCAAACTAAACTAAGAAACGACTGCCGTTCAGTTTGAAATGTTCACGTATTTCACCAAACATAATTTATTAGAAATTACAATATTTGTTTTCAAAATCTGAATATATATCACTTTACATACATTCATATGTTTTTTTTTAGAACCATTTTCGTCTATTTCAAGGTTCCAAAAATGAAGCCACACGCCCTTTAACATTGGCGCACTGGATAACCGGGTTCATTATTCCACTCGGTCTGCCGAGGTGGATTTATACAGAATTATTAAGGGGCGATAACTCATTAATTAGTATTCAGAGAAATGTAATCTTTCTTGACACAAAAGATAAGAAACTGTTCTCAAAGACTGCTGGTCAGTCAACCACAGGTACCGTGATTAACACAAAGGTATTAGAATGTATGATATGTAGAAAATGGATATTTGACCGAACTACTGATAATAACCGAGGTTATATTTTCCATGTCAGCCGTGTGTGCGTTTTCAGCAGTGTAGATGTATCTTCCTCCTCAGCTCAGTAGTTTTTCAAAACCAGATTCCCTATTCTTCACACACGCTGTCTGCTTTGCTTCATTTATATATATTTTTTTATGGTGAGTATAATCTGTCGATTATATCATATTCAGTCAAAACAGGACATTATTTTGGTGCTAAATTATCTTGATTATATTGTTATTCCAGCAAATGAATTGAATGGATATCATTCCGTTTGTACAGAGAATCACTCATGAAATTAAGTGTGCCTGTATGACCTTGGAATGGCTAGAGGCTATTCATATTATATTTTATTTTATTATTTTTAAACTGAAATTGAGAAAACCATTTTATACATCAACATAATTGTATATTATGAAATTTGTACAAAAGAATTTAATATAAATATCAATCAGGTAATTTTGTTCTTGATTGATATTTATCGTTGAATCTATGTTATGGCGATATAATTATGATCCGGTTGGTCAAAGAAAACACAATTGATGCAAAAACTTTTCTTGACCAATTAAATTTATTAGTCTTTTTTGATTAATTCACGATGTCAATGGGATGTTGACTACGATGAATAATTCTCTTAAGTCTTAAGACAAATGTTGCAAAAGATGTAAAAATTAAAAGATGAATTCATAGATGATTATTATATAATGAATAGAAGTCTTATTAATATAGATACACTGTCTCAGTAAAAATCTTGGTACCAGTAAACAAGTTTAAGAGATAAGCTTATAGAGTAGTCAGGTGGTTTTTGAACAAAATTATATTAATTGGATTGATGCCAATTTTAATACACCTTGTCTTTTATAATCGATCTGCTAGAAACAAAAAGAAGAATAAAAACATTCTTGGTCCTTGTTCCCTTATCTGCAATTCATATCAATTTATTTTATGGATAAAGACTGGTATTTTAAGCTTAGTTTGTCTGTTTATTGTTTATTGTAGTTCTGTATACAAAACATATACTATTACATGTATAAATCTCTTTCTTTCCATGGCAATTTTGTTGATTTCTTTATCTAGAATCAAAGTACAGTGTTGCATTTGGGGTATATTTTTTACCAGACTCCCATGTTTAGTTTTTGAGGCAGAAGAATCTGCAGGTGAAATTGGAAATCACCAACGAAAAAAATGTCACAACCATACCATACCAAGATGGTCAAAACATTGATATCAAAAAAAATGCCATGGGGAGATAATTACCAGTTTAAAGGCTCAATACCACTCTTGTTGTAACTGAATAATATGTCCCAATCTTTATTCTGGTCAACAAATTGTACTATTTTAGAATATTTCAATTAATTGATGATACAAATTTCATCTTAACACACCTTATTTAAAAATTTTGAAAAATTCAACATAATGGTTTGAAACGTCTAATGTAAACCTTTTCAAATGAAACTTCGATTTAAAAATATTTTCGAACCCTCTGGACAAGTAAAATAGGATGTAATGGATAATTTACACAACAGGTAGGACACTTAAACATCTAGTACTTAGAATAAGGCTATTTTTTATTTTCTGGAGCTTTCAAGCCAGCAAGAGTGTTATTGTCCCTTTAAGTAGAATTACCAGTGTGAATCCTATTAATTTATGAAATTTACCCCTCGAAAGATTAGAAAATAATCTGTTGTCGGATTAATTACATTCTGGTAAAAAAAATTCCCTAATTCTAATTAAACTTAGTAAGAAATCGTCCAATTCAGGTTTGAAACCTACGGTCCAGTAGGCCACTTTTAAAGTATTAAATGGATTATTTCTTAATTTGTGTTAAAAACAATTTTTTCATATTTTAGAATTTTTGTTATATTGAACCAGAGTATACTTGTATGCTTAAGACTATGTACATTTTTGTATTATTCATAAATCTATCCAGCTTCCATAATTTGCTGTCCAATAACACAGCAATTCCTTAATCTATGTTAAGTGATACGCTGCTTCTCAAGTGATATATCACTGACAATGTATTCTCAATTGGTGAAATTGTAGTACATGTACAACAAAACGGGCTTCTCCCTTTCATCAGTGTGAATGCACACGTCCATCAAAACCTTTTTTGGGGGGGTAATTTGGGTAAAATCAATATGTATTTAAAGGAGCTAAACCTCTAACTCAATATTTTCCATAATGTTTGAAATTAAAAACACGAAATAGAATTTAATATATTGGTCCATTTCATTCAATATTGATGTTGTTTTCTTATCGTGAAAATATCGGATTCTAATATCCACTATTTTAAAACACAATGAACATTTAATAATGAGTACACAAGTCGTGTATTTTATAAATTTGGGTGCCATTTGTAATGCACAAATAAAAACATATCCTACAAGACAATGTTGAAGAAATTAGCAATGGGATGGCTGATTCACAAACGACAAAAGAATGGACAAAGCAGGTGCAAACGACTGTGGCTCAATATAATTGTTAAAAATGCAAAATGTAATACTGAGCATCACTTCAGGTTGGCTTTTCCCAACAATAAGTTAGATGAGATTATCTCAAATTTAATTATTTTTATATATTTCAGAGGATACATTAAATATTAGAAACTGAAGATGCAGCAAGGTAAAGAATCAAGTGCACCTTTGATGAGAGAAAGGGAAAATGAAGAAGTAAGTACAATGCACTTTTAATTCATTAGGATTTTTTTTTTCATGTTTACGATTATTTATTTTAAAGGGAGTAGGGATGTAGTCCTTTCAGTTTAAAATGAACACTCTGTAACTCAAAATAAATGTGTACGTTTGTATTTTCTTATTATAGGTGTTATCACAACTCCCATTAGTGCTGCCATCAACTAAAATTTCAGGAGTCAATGCATCGGAGGTAAACATCGACATTTGCATCATCTATGCATCGGGAAATCAGAAATTTAGCAAAACATATGCCTTTTTATACGCCCAAATTTTCATGTGGACGTATATTGTCATCGCCCCTGTCCGTCCGGACGTCCATCCACAATTTGTTTGTGGACCTTCTAGTGGTCACAATTTTCATCCGATTTTAATGAAACTTTAAGTTTATGTTTATACTATAGCACAAGGATCTTGGCTCGTTCGATAATTGTGCATATCCGAACGTAACTTTATGGATTATGGCCCCTGATTGTACGAAAAAACACATTTTTAGTTTGTGGACACTCTATAACTATAGGTTACAATTTTCATCTGATTTTGATGAAACTTGACATGCATGTTTATAACCCAAAGATCTTGGTTCCTTTTGCTATTTGCGTATATCGGATCGTAACTTCCTGAATTACAGCCCCTGATTGTACGAAAAATTGCATTTTTAGTTTGTTGTCTCTCTAAAGGTCACAATTATTATCTGATTTAAAAACCCGTTTGAATATATCACCGTTACACTGTAATGCCGCTTGAGTTCGTAACTGCCGGGCCGCCCCTCGTACGCAAACAGTATAAAAATATGGTATATCAAGGTTGTGGACCCTCTAGAGGTCATAATTTTGATCTGATTTTTATGAATCTTGACATATATGTTTATAACCCAAAGATCTGAGTTCCTTTCAAAATTTGTGCATATCGGATCATAAATGGCCACCCCTCGTACGCAAATAGTGTAAACATCTGGTATATCAAGGTTGTGAACTTTCTAGAGTTCAAAGTGTTGATCCGATTTTGATAAAACTTGACATACATATTTATAACGCAGAGGTCTTGGTTCCTTTCGATATTCGCACATATTGGATCATAACGTCCTGAATTATGGCCCTTGATTGTACGAAAAATCGTGTTTTTAGCTTGTGGTCCCTCTAGAGGTCACAATTTTATCCGATTTAAAACAAAGTTTGAATACATCACCGTTACACTCTAATTTCGTTTCGGGAAATAGATGAAAACTGCCGGACGAAATGGGCGCCTCTCGTACGCAAATAGTGTAAATATATGGTATATCAAAGTTGTGGACCCTCTAAAAGTCACAATTTTGATTCGATTTTGATGAAACTTGAAATATATCTCTATAACCCAAAAGATCTTGGTTCCTGTCGATATTGGCGCATATCGGACTGTAACTTCCTGAATTATGGCCTTTGATTGCACGAAATATCGCTTTTTGTTTTAGCTTGTTCTCTATCCATCTCTTGCAAAATGTGGGCGTATCCTGCCTGGCAGCCTCTGGTTTTAGTTACCAAGCACATCTACCTACCCACATTTTGTCCTTTAAATATTTACTATCCTATTAATATTTCATGTTTGAGACTGGGAAATTCATGCATGTTTGTCATTTTATCTAACATCGCTAATCTGTCTCAACAAATTTAGTTTGATTTGGCACCAGTTGCTAACTGACATAACTGTCATCACAAGAAAGCTTTAACATAAGACCTTAGACTACAGGCTTGATTTTACATAAAAAAAATCTTTTTATACAAATTGATAAATCTGATGCATTGATGTATGAAAGTAGAAAGTGGGTGATTGATATAATCATCCGCTCTTGGATTGGTTTGATAACAACACTAATGTCCACTGCTAAATATAAGGTGTTTCATGCATGTGGCTGTTAAGTTAAATTTATTGAACACATTTTTTTTAAAGGACTTATGCATTTTAGTGGGTGATTATTTAATACATTTTAGTGGTTGATAATATTTTACATTTTAATCATTGAATGATTAGATAATCTATTTTAGTGGTTGATTATTAATACAGTAGTTAATTATTTAATTCATTTTAGTGGTTGATTATGACGAATGATTAGTGGTTGATTATGATGAATGATTAGTTGTTAATTAAATTAATTTTAGTTGATTATCTATTTTAATATGTTCTAGTGGCTGTATGGTTTTATACATTTCATTTTTATGACACATCTATTTTGTGGTTTACAGCATAAGGAGAAAAAGCTTCTAACATTAATTATTATTATTATGCCTTATTTGTTATCCTCCACATATGGTATACTGATCACTGATATTATTAATTAAGTCGACTAGAACTAGTGTAAAAATTACAGTATTAAAAGAAATAATTAGATACTTTCATTTGCTGTCCAGAAAAAGTAGCCTACAAGTTTCATCAAACTTTAACCTAGAATAAGAAGTGTTGTACTACCTACCTGTAGCCAGAACAATGTTCTGAAGAAATGTCTAGAACTCATTGCTGAATTTCTATCTGTTAACAAACTGGATTTGTCCCATCTTATCCTTAATGACTTTGTAAAAGATTCTTGACCATCAAAACAATGATAATTTACCTAATTATTGATGAATCTGAAATTTCTTTTTTCTAGGCCATCCATGTCCAGGAAAATAAACGCAGAAAAAGGCGGATAATGAAAGTAGCTGTGTATTTGATGTTTGGATTAATTGTTGTTGGAGTATTTTCTGTGTGGTTGTTTCATAAAGACAGTAATGAATCTGTAAGTATGGGTTCCAGGTTTAAGTTCACTGTAAAAGCAAGAACTTTAGAAATTCAAAATGCTGCAGGCGATGGAGTTCTATATGCAGATCTTGGAATGCATTTAAAGGCCACACCATACGAACAGTGTTGGAATGATGAAATTAATGAATACGAAATTAACTGTATAGACTGGCGTAAAATGGCTGAGGTTCATTTTCATAAAAATGAAGTTGTGACAAACTCGTGTTATTCTATTGATTGGACAGCTTTGTCAGAAGAATTTGAAGCAGAAGATTGTTTTTACATACAGACCTATAACTGGTTTGGGTTTCTATCAGATGGTCATAGTACATGGCCAATGAAAGATATCCAGTTGCGTAACATGTCGTTCTATCCTAAGTATCCTAATAAACTGGATCGTAATTTGGTACCTTATTGGTTATCATCTGCTGGGGTCAGTATTGTCATTAATAACAACACCCCATTTTCTGTCAGTTGGAATATATCAGCACAAAGACAACTTTGTGTTGCTGCTACCAAAAGTTACAAGGCCATAAGTGCTAAACCTGTTCTCAGATACACCATTTGTCAAGGAGAAGATATGCAGCAGGCCTATTATAGAACGAAAGAGTTTTTGGAAGAGTTTCTTGCCAAAACCCCACTTAACACTAAGATGAATGACATCATACCACACCCCATTTACTATGTCACAGATGAATCTGGCTTGGATACCATTAAAGAAAAGATTGCTTCAAACTCTAAGTGTTCATATTTAGAATTATTCAGTGATTGGGAAAGTCAGTATGGTGACCTTGTTTTCAAACCAGAAGTTTTTACCAAACTAAAAAATCTACAAACATCACTCAGTGTTGATCATTGCAAATATATGGTACCCATCAGTGCCTTTTTTGCATTTAAGTCGAAGAACTTTGAAATTGGTATTGCTAATAAGTATTTTGTTCGTGATGAAATGAATCTAGCGACAGAGTTAATGAATTGGGATGGACATGAGGGGGCTGTTCTGGATATTACTAATCAAAACGCAACATCCTGGTACATCAAACAGTTATCAAACCTTTTAAACCAACTGGATATAGGAGCATTTAAGTTACTTCATGTGGATATTCCCAGTCTAATATCCTTTCAAAACACTAATGCATCTGTTCTTGATTATCCAAAGTTTTTTGCCAAGATGGTGGCCAAGCTGAATGTTACCATGGTTATAGAGAATGTGGCTGGCTTTATGTTAAATGAAGCTCATGTTGTAGTTCATACAAACATGAATTTTACTCAAGAATCGCGATGCTTTGATAAAGTTGTTCCCGAAACACTCATGCTGGGTTTAGAAAGTTATTCCCTGATCATAGCAGACATTGGTAAATTAATAGACTTTGATATCACAGAGGAACTGTTGACACGCTGGCTTCAAATAGTTATTTTTTATCCAGGTTACCGACTTCCATTTTTCCCTGTTATGTCTGATCAAGTTATGAACAGACGTGTGGAGACCTTGATGAGACTCAGAAATCAAGTAGTGATTCCCTATTTACAGGAATTACGTGAAAATCAGGAAAGTGATCCACTCATCAGACCACTGTGGTGGCCAGAGCCTGAAGACGATGTAGCTCAGGTTATTAACGATCAGTTTTTAGTGGGGGATAAGATTCTTGTAACACCAATATTGTGTGAGGGTGTGAATTATCGTAATGTTTATCTTCCACGTGGTAATTGGCAAGCTGGTCATTCTGGTATAGTAAGTGAAGGTAAGTCATGGATACAAGTTCACTATGATAATTTAGATCAAGTTCCTTATTTTACGCTTGTAGAAGATTGATTCAGTTTCGGTAATTTGCCAAGCATTATGCATGAGACAATTTGAAATACAAATGCCTTTGTTCAATTAACAATGAAGTAGAATAATTTCTGAAAGAACTGTCAATAAATTGACTTCTAACTATATGTATCTGTTACATATACATGTACATGTAGATCTGAATTGCAAACTGACAAAAGAAAACTTGGGTTAGGCTGAAATTGAAAATAACAGTAAATTTAAGCATGTTTGCCAAGTGTGTCATGCTGTCATTTATAAATACATTTTTCACCACCGGTAATTAAATCATACATCATGAAAATTATACCAAGGTGCATGTTCTTCAATCTCACTTTAACATTTTGACTTTTTTCAAGTTTAACACCTGACGAAAATTATTAAATGTAATTATCAGTAATATAAGGCATTCAAAATTTCAGGTCAAATCTCAGTTTGAGCACGACATTTCTTGTTAGTCCACATTAAGGCATATTGTTTCCCCAATATAATTCCTATTTCATCAACAGACTAATCCATTTTGCTTGCTACCTGAATTCTAATCCTGTCATTGCAAATGTTGATGGAAGCATATTATTTGGTAGGATAAAATCATGTTAACACACCAAACATATATTTTTATTTCTTTCATTCAATACATTTGTGAGGAGGTTGGGTGGCAAGGTCTGCCATTGAGTCAAGTGGCCTTGTTACAATTCCCTGTATGTATGTGACATGGAGTAGGACCACATGTCCAACCTCATGGATTTCTCCAGGTCCTTCGGTTTCCTCCCACAGGTAAACACCCCTATGCACAAGCAATTATTGAAATAGAATTAAACCGTGTGTTAGTTCCGAAATGACCTAGTTTGTGTGGAATGGACTTAACTCTCTCTCTCTCTCTCTCTCTCTCTCTCAATACATTTGTATATTAAAATGGAGGAAATATATTGTTGAATATTTACTATAGTGCTGTTGATAGTGCTACATGCATAATGAAGTTCTACAGGTGTGGCAGTGTAGAAAGAAATTATATTGAAATAGGGCAGCAGTCTAGTATGCATAATTCAGTACAGGTTTCTTTATGTTGCCATCAGTTGCTTCATACAACAAACATTCATGTACATGTCTTACTTTTTAGTGCATTATCTAAATGATTATTATCCAGCTGCACTTTGTAAATAGATGCACCTTTCTTATTAATCTATATGATTTCATTATATGTAAGTAAACCGTCAGTGTGGAAAATCTGTGTACATTAAGAAAGAGATATTTGAAGCATGAAACTATGAATGTATGTTAAAGAGCAATGTTTAAGGTGTGTTTTTATTTATTAACTGAGATTATGTTAAGCATGTTCTAGAATCTTATACAAGGGTGTCTCTTGCTAGAATTATGTATCATGCATTTATTTACATATTTCTGTTTAAACATCTTTATTATGATATGAAATATTTAGTATGATATTGATAAATTAAATTACAGTGCAGTCCAGTACAGTGGATATCATAATTTGTCCTTAAATGGCATTATGTGTATTTGTTTGATATAAAAAAGTGATCATATTTATATTTTCTACTAATATTAATTCTGTACTACATAATATGGCAATTTTTTTTTTAGTATATTTTTGTGATTTATTAAAATGAATGACAGACCTCTTTAATTGGGTCAAAAATAAAAAGTGTCCGTTTAGTCAAGTTTGAGATGTTGATTTACTTTGTAGAGTGGGTATCTGTCTATCATGCATTTAAAAAATATTAGGTTCTGCAAAATATTTCAGAACAAAATACACTCCAGATCAACCCAATTCAACTCTTTATTTTGACCTAAATCAAAACCATTTACATGTAGCTCCTCTAAATAAAGAGGCATTATTCAAGAGCTAAAGGTCCTTCAATGTTATATAAATTATTAATAAGACATTTATTAACATGACAAGACCATAACCAAATCTTTAGGCCTTCAGATGGCTCCGATTTTAAGTAGATTAGAACAGTTTGGCCATTTAATAATTTAATTTAAAAATGGAGAAGCAAGGGTAAGTCTGGAACAACCAATACGGTGGTTACGATAATAAACCATCAATGTCAAAACTACAAACATTGATAACTTTTCTCAGAATAAAGTAATTTGAAAGATATTTTCAATATACCCGTATTCATTTTGCATGATCAATTTTTTATACGCCCACATTGAAATGTGGTCGTATATTGTCGTCGCCCCCGTCCGTCCGTCCGGCGATCCGTCGGCTAAAGTTAATAACTGATTGACATTAAATTTATACACAGTGTTAAGGTCTTGAGACGAAGAAGCCTATTGATTTTCAGCGATTTCCGATAATTACTGCCAGAGTTATGGCCCTTGATCACTTTGAAAAATCTTGTGGACGCTCTAGAGGCCAAAGTTAATATCAAATTGACCTTAAATTTATACACAGTGTTTGAGGTCATGAGACGAAGAAGCCTATTGATTTTCAGCAATTTCCGATACTTACTGCCAGAGTTATGGCGAAAGTTAATATTCGATTGACTTTAAATTTATACACAGTGTTTAAGGTCATTAGACGAAGAAGCCTATTGATTTTCAGCGATTTCCAATATTTGCTGCCAGAGTTATGGCCCTTGATCACTTTGAAAAATCTTGTGGATGCTCTAGAGGCCAAAGTTAATATCCGATTGACTTTCAATTTATACACAGTGTTTAAGGTCATGAGACGAAGAAGCCTATTGATTTTCAGCAATTTCCGATACTTACTGCCAGAGTTATGGCCCTTGATCACTTCAAAGAATCTTGTGGATGCTCTAGAGGCTAAAGTTATACACAGTGTTTGAGGTCATGAGACGAAGATTCCTATTGATTTTCAATGTTTTCGATAATTACTGCCAAAGTTATGGCCCTTGATCACTTTGCAAAATCTTGTGATGCTCTAAAGGCTAAAGTTATAATCCGATTGACTTCAGATTGATACACAGAGTTTAAGATCTTGAGACGAACAAGTATATTGATTTTCAATGAATTTTTATGACTTAAACAGTTAAATCCATGATATTAAAAGCTTTGCATACAAAACGTTAGCATGGGGCCGAACTTTATAAAAACCAAACAAATTCTAATAGTTTTCTGATAATTACTTCGTGAGTTGTTGCTCTTAATCAGATTTTAGTGTATTATAAATGTTTCATTACCGAAAAAAGTAAAAATATGCGACAACCCTTGTTGACTGCCCGGACGATTTAGTTGCTGTGGGCGTATGTTTCGTTGCCTGGCAACCTATCTTTAACTATTATAGCAAGAATGCCCAGCTCGTTATCTCAATCTTACGTAATGTATCTTTAATGAGGAGAGGGGTTATATAATGAAGCATAATGACAAAATGTTAGCATTTGAGGAATTCTAAATAAATTGTTTAATCTTACCATTGCATAACTGCAAGAAACTGCAAATTGTAATAAAGAGGGGGTGTTAATAATTTTTATCAGTATAGGCCTACTGGATCTTTATTAATAACTGACAGTAATAAGCGTAATATGTGTTCATGAAAATACAAGCAAAAATATATATTTATTTACTTTATATTTGATTTTTTAAAAATTTGTTTGTCATTGATTGTTATTTTTATATTTACATTCTTACATTTTATTTGAACCTCAATATTTGTTTTTGTTTTAGAATTAATGGATATGTGTACATATTTACATGTACAATTTTCGTTATGTTATTGTCTTTTAATTACCGTATATACCTGCAGTGTGTCGTAAGCAATATTACTTTTTAGGAGCCTTCATCATTCCAATTTCTTGAAAGATTAATATTTGAGCTAGACCGGTATTTATCAGAATTTGTGGAGTATTTTGTTTGTCCATATAAGCTTAATAGAGGTTTGAGCTCGTAGTTTTTTCATTCCTGGGCAATATCATAATTTGCTTTAATATTAGCTTTTAGTTTTAGGTGGCAATATTAATTGGCTTGAAAGGAGCATATGACTTTTCTCCTGCACATGAAATGGGTTGAAATGATTAACTTATCGAATTATTTTGTACTATTTATTTACTTTGGTATGATGACTTTATCTTGAAAGCTAATGGATGTTTCTTAAAAATTACATATATACTGGTAGCTTCTTTTTATTAGATGGTTTATTTGTGTCTCATATTGCCAACTCCAAGTAAAGAAATTGGAGTATTTTATATACATGTATTATGTTTTGCTTCAAATCTACAAGTAAAGAAATTGGGGTATTTTATAATTATATTATGTTTTGCTTCAAATCTACATATTATTTATAATGTGTTACAACAATATGTTATCCATGTATAACTACCTACATCTAAGTTTTGAACATCATTCAGAAGAAGTTCATACCATAAAACACATTTTATACTAGTTAAAATACTTTGTGTCTATATACATATAGCCAACCCTGTTAAAGAATTTGTTGCATTCATTTTATTTGTATTTGTGCACCAGATTTCAATGATAAATTCAATATTAATTGTGATATGGATGTTTTTATTAATAATTTGTGTGTGTATATATATATATATAGGAGATAAATGTAGTTGTACATAATACAATGTAGTTAATGTCTAGGTTAAATTAGATCTTCATTGATTCTGTACACTAGGTAATTGCTATATAAATATCTTTAACTTTTAATATAATAATAGGATATGTCATCATTACAATATAATATTTTCATCTATTTACCAAAGCAGTTCCACCTTAATGTGATATATTTATAGTGTTTATAGTGTTTATCTTGAAAAACTTTGGTTCAAATTTATTCAAGTCATTCTCTTAGAATTAGAAATGCAGTACTAGTACCTGAAAAAAGATTTGAAGTTTTCAAACTCTTAATATATAAAACTAATATGGGCTAATATTCAAGCTGCATGAAATAGGTGTCAATTTGAATATTATATTATTATTATGTAATGAAATACAAATTATTTCATTCCCAATGCAATAGATGTAATTTTAATTGCCCCCAAAATAATTCATATTATTGAGGATATGAGACACTTTTTGTTCATTTTTTAATTATTCCATGTTGTTTTGTTGGGTTTTTTAAAACTTTGCTACCACTACCAGCTTAATACCATAATAACCATTGTTACACCTATCTATGTTAGATTATTATAGATTTGTCATTGATTTTTATTATTCAGTGTATGTACAATTTTTATAAACGTGTTGAAATCTGGTCGTATATTGCCATCATTCATGTCCGTAATCCAAAATTCTAGTTTAACACTCTAAAATTCTCAAATAATTTATATGCTGTCTGAGAGTAAAGCAACAGTAAAGATCTGATCTACGGAAACTTCCGATCCACCCCTACATGTATGCCGCTTGTTATGGTAATATTTATTTGTGTAGTTTTGCACACCCACACACACACCATAAATATTTGAATAAACTGTTGTGGCCATCTTTCACTATCGAAGCTGCTGGTGTGCATATGTTTCGTTGCCTGGCAACCAATCTTTATATAATTGTAAAAATTTATAATTATAATAAACTGAGAGAAAAATCTTGTTGTTATATTTGATGTGTTTTGTACCTGTTTTTGTAGGCTAAAGTAGAATATAATATTGATTTTACCCTTTTCTTGTGAAAAGATGACATTTCTCATCTGATCTTTTTAAAACTGTTTACATTAAGAGATGAAGAAGCCTCTTCAATTTCAGCTTTTTTTGATCCGTAATTGACACTCCCCATTTTCATGTGGACGTATATTGTTGTCGCCCCTGTCCGTCCATCCGTTCACAATTGTTTGGGAACACTCTACAGGTCACAATTTTTATTTGATTTCAATGAAACTTGAAATATAGGTTTATCTAAGATCTCGGTTCCTTTCAATATTGGCATGTATCGGACTGTAACTTCATGGATTATGGCCCCTGATTGCATGAAAAGTCACGTTTTTAGCTTGTGAACACTGTAGAGGTCACAATTTTGATCCGATTTCGATGACACATGAAATACATGTACATGTTTATAACCCAAAGATATTGGTTCCTTTCGATATTCGCGCATATAGGATCGTAACTTCCTGAATTATGGCCTTGATTGAACAATTTTTATCCAATTTAAAAAAACGTGTGAATATATCACCATTACACACTAAGATCTTGGTTCCGAACTTAACTTCCTGGATTATGGCCTCTGATTGTTCGAAAAATCGCATTTTTAGCTTGCAGATTTTCTAGAGGTCACAATTTTTTTCTGATTTTAAAAACCGTTGAAATACATCACCATTCCACCATAATGAATGTTGATTTTGAATTTTGGGAAAACTGAAATGAAACTGCTTGACAAAATGGCCGCTCTTTGTACGAAAATTGTGTAGAAGTGTGTAATACGAAGGTTGTGGACCCTCTAGAGGTCACAATTTTTATCCGATTTTGGTGAAACTTAAAACATATTTTTAAGCTCGTACCCCTCCCTGCTAAAGACTCTTACGCACAAGGGAATTATTGAAATAATATTCAGTATACTGTAGTGGTGTGTATATTTGTAATTTATCTTGATGTTTTAAAATGGTAGACATGAATTGCCTTTTCATATAATCAATAAAAGTCTGTTGTGAAATTTAAAACAGATCTTGGATAACGTTAATTGTAATTAGTGGAAATGCCAGGTATAGAATTGCAATACAGTCGTGCTCAATGTAGCCTTTCGAATATTTAGTCCGACCACCATTAGGAAATAGCTGGTTTGGAGCATAAGTTTTTTTCTTGACAGTTTCTTATGGAACAGTGCATTTTGAGAAAATGTCCAAATTAACTAATTAGTCCAACACAAAAATAATAATTACTCGAATTACAAGAGCCATAACTCTAGACGTAATAAACGGAAATTGCTGAAATTCAATAGGATTCTTCGTCTCACTAATTTAAATAATGCATATAATTTTCAGAAAGATCGAATGATAACTTTTGACGTCACAAGGATCAATAAAGTGAAACAAGGGCCATAACTCTAGACGTAATAAACAGAAATTGTTGAAATTCAATAGGCTTCTTCGTTTCACCAACTTAAATATTGCATATGGCATTAGAGCGTTCACAAGGTTCAACAAAGTGAAACAAGGGCCATAACTCTAGACTTAATAAACGGAAATTATTGAAATTAAATAGGCTTCTTCATTTCACTAATGTAAACAACATATATCAATTTTAAAACAATTGGATGATAACTTTTGGCGTTAGAGCGTTCACAAGAAATTGTGGATGACGGACGGACCGACCGAGAGACGGACGGACGGGGGCGACAGCAATATACGTCCATATTTCAATGTGGGAGTATAAAAAGGTTGAAGGGAAAAATACACTTTGGCGCCCAGACTAATTTTTGTAGAATTCGTAAAAAATGTCACAATAAGAGTTGGGGAATTGCCAACCACCCCTTTATCCCCAAACGCATCAAGGTCATCCGTGTTACTTGTAAAATGCTAAATGTAGAATACACAAAAGGGAATATGTACAGCCAACTGAATCTACTTGAGTCAAACAAGTACTTTTTCTACATACATGTAAGCATCATAATGCCCTATTTTACATGTATGTATCAATTTATTTGGGGACTTATCTATAACTTTTGTAATGGTCAAAACTGAATACTTCGAGTAATTCGAGTAATTAGTATTTCGCTCAGAATTAATTAGCTAATTAGAGCATTTTCTCCAAACCCACAATGCTGACGACGGTCCAGTGGCCAGAAACGGAATCAGGGACTCTTGTTCAAAAAGAAACCATCGAGAAAAAAACTTACGCTCCCAAACAAGGTCGAAGGGAAAAATACACTTAGAAGACCGGATTAATTTGGTAGGATTTGTACAAAATGCCACAATAGGAGATGGGGAATTGCCAACCACCCCTTTATCCCCAAGCGCAGCAACGTCATCCGTGTTAATTGTAAAATGCTGAATGTAGCCTTTCGAATATTTGGTAGAATTCGTACAAAATGTCAAATTAATAAGAGATGGAGAATTGCCAACCACCCCTTTATCTCCAAAGGCAGCAACATCACCGTTCCATCCGGAAACAATATATCAAGACTTTTTCTTTTTAAAAACATTTACCGCTGCTTTGAAACTCTCAACGTCAATCAGAATATTTTTAAAAATCCACACACCCAGACAGTTTTTATACGGCCACATGGAAATGTGGTCGTATAATGTCATCGCCCCCGTTCGTACATCTGTCTGTCGTCCACAATTTCTTGTGAACACTCTACAGACTACATTTATCATCTGATTGTTTTGAAATTGATATATGTTGTTTACATTTGTGAGATGAAGAATCCTATTTAATTTCAATGATTTTCGTTAATTTCTCCTGGTGTTATGGTCCTTGTTTCACTTTGTTGAACCTTGTGAACGCTCTAACAACAAAAGTTATCACCTGATCTGTATGGAATTTATATGCATCATTTAAATTAGTGACACGAGAAGCTTATTGAATTTCAGCAATTTCCGTTAATTACATCTAGAGTTATGACCCTTGTTTCACTTTGTTGAACCATGTGAACGCTCAAACGACAAAAGTGATCATCCGATCTGTATGGAATTTATATGCATCATTTAAACTAGTGAAACGAAAAAGCCTATTGAATTTCAGCAATTTTCTTTAATTACGTCTAGAGTTATAGCCCGTGTTTCATTTTGTTGAACCTTGTGAAAGCTATAACAACAAAAGTTATCATCCGATCTGTATGGAATTTATATGCATCATTTAAATTAGTGAAAACAAAGAAGCCGATTGAATTTCAGCAATTTCCGTTAATTAAGTCTAGAGTTATGGCCCTTGTTTCACTTTGTTATTGTCCTTGTTTCATTTTGTTGAACCTTGTGGATGCTATAACTATAACAACAAAAGTTATCATCCGATCTGTATGGAATTTATATGCATCATTTGAATTAGTGAAACGAAGAAGCTTATTGAATTTCAAAAATTTCCGTTAATTAAGTCTAGCGTTATGGCCCTTGTTTCACTTTGTTATTGTCCTTTTTTACTTTATTGAACCTTACTTTATGCATCATTTAGATTAGTAAAACAAAGAATCACAATAAATTTCAGCAAGTTCTGTTAATTTCTTCTGAAGTTATGGCCCTTGTTTCACTTTGTTGCGCCTTGTAAATGCTCTTGTTTCACTTTGTTGCGCCTTGTAAATGCTCATCTGATCTGTATGAAATTTACACAGTTCCTTTAAATTAGTGACACGAAGACTCCTATTGAATTTCAGCAATTTCCAATAATTACGTCTAGAGTTATAGCCCTTGCTTAACTTTGTTGAACCTTGTGAACATTCGAAGGACGAAAGTTATCATCTGATCAGTACGAAATTTATATGCATCATTTAAATTAGTGAAACAAAGAATCATATTGAATTTCAGCAGTTTCAAATAATTTCTTGTAGAGTTATGGCCCTTGTTGAACCTTGTGACTGCTCAAATGATGAAAGTTACCATCCGATTTGTATGAAATTTATATGCATTATTTCAATTAGTGAAATCAAGAATCCTATTGAATTTCAGCAATTTCTGTCAATTACTTCTAAATTCATGGCCCTTATTTTACTTTGTTGAACTTGTGAACGTTCAAATGGCAAAAGTTATAATCCAATCTGTATGAAATTTATATACATTATTTGAATTAGTAAAATGAAAAAGCCAGTCAAATTTCAACAATTTCTGTAAATTACTTCCAGAGTTAAGGCCCTTATTTCAGTTTGTAGAACCCTGTGAACCCTCAAACGACGAAAATTATTATCTGATCTGTATGAAATTGTCTTGTAAATAAATGCCCCCAATGATCTACAAAAGAATAAATGTGCGACAACCCTTGTCGACTGCTCGGACGATTTAGCTACTGTGTGCGTATGTTTCGTTGCCTTGCAACCTATCTTTTATGCTCATTTTCAGAAGATATTAAACTTGGGACAAACTAATCAGAACAGGGCAGTTGGTGGAGCGTATATTTCAATTGTTTTGAAGACAATGCCAGGCTGTATACATACCTTTATCAGGCCTTGGACCGAAGTTATATTCGACTTTATTCGACTTAGTTTGTCCATGACCAGTAAGCTGGTGACTTTAACACCCCCCCCCCCCACACACACACACACACACACACACTCAAACGAAAAAATCAATATTGTCTCGAAATGTTCCATACGTATATACAAACTTACTGAAAGTAAAGACTTTATAAAAATAGAAAAGCTTTGAACCATGCTAAAGTAAAGACACATTAAATAAATTAAAGTGGTAGTCTAGGTCATAGGCAATATTATACAGAATAAATATCTGTAAACGATCTGTGTGCTTTCTGGCGATATTTGTGTCCATAGTTCAGATGTTGAATTTAATAGCAGTGGTGTGATTTATGCGTTTTCTATTCTTATTAGAACATCCACCATTCCGTGTTACCAAAAAGTCGATGGGACAGTGAAGTTTTAAAGGAGCTAAATCGCTAATATTTAGGACCTAGAAATTAACACATATCGGTCGTAACGCATATAATAATGTAATATGAAAGTATATAAACTGATTTACATTTAATCGTTTCCGTTTTTACTCTAATTTCAAATCTGTTATGTTCGGCGAAATACGCCAGAAGTCTCAATCGATTGGCAATCTCTAGCATCTGGTTATTCCAGTCTACACCGATAGTATTTATTGTGCATGCTCTCCAGATAAGAATATGGCGTCGCCGTTTGACATGACTTGTGGAATATGTCTAGCCTAGTTCTTCGAGTCCCTTGTTACAAATGGCACTGAAACAATGTTTATTTTGTCTTAAATATTGGATATCAGAAGCCCATCTTTTGCCGTTAAGACCACAACATCAATGTTGATTTAAATTGACAAATAATTCATGTTTACAATGTCGAAGACTTTGGATGATATTAAGTTAAAGACTTAAGTACTTAAAATGGGTTGCCATGCAAGATGCGCCCACCTTTTGCAAGAGATGGACAGAAAACAAGCTAAAGAATAAAACGCGATTTTTCGTACAGAGGCCATAATCCAGGAAGTGACGGTTTGATATGCGCGAATATCGAAAGGAACCACGATCTTTAAAATATAAACATGTGTTTTAAATTTCATCAAAATTGGACAAAATTTGTGACCTCTAGAGGCTCCACAACCTTGGCATTACATATTTTTACACTGTTTGCGTTCAGGGAGCTGCAATTTTGTCGGGCAATTTCGATTTTCAACCATCATTATGGTGTAACGGTGATATATTCGAACGGTTTTTTAAATCGAATAAATATTGTGATCTCTAGAGGGACCACAACCTGAAAACGGGACTTTTCGTACAATCAGGGGTCATAATCCAGGAAGAAGTTACGGTCCGATATGCCCGAATATCGATAGGAACCGTGATCCTTGGGTTATAAACATACATTTCAAGTTTCATCAAAATCGGATAAAAATTGTGACCTCCACAGTGTCCACAAGCTAAAGACGTGATTTTTCATACAATCAGGAGGGGCCATAATCCGTATAGTTCAATACATGAAAATATTGAATGTGACCTGTAGAGTGTCCACAAACAAATAGTAGACGAACGTCGGCATATAAAAAGTTGATCTTTTCATTTAACCTCATTTGCACAAACCAAAGAATTTACTAAGATTCAGTTTATTTCTAAGATAAATGTTCTATTTTAAGTTACATTAAATCTTTATTTTATTCATCCATGAAATTTTCCCATAAATCTAACCTGGAACGTGGGAGAAGTCAACATTCCAAGAACGTCGAGCTAAATAAGGTAATTAATGGACAAAATCTCTGCTGCAGCTATTGATAGGGTTGAGAATGGGAAAGGACCACTTTTTATGAGCTTTCATTGTCTTATCGGTACGAGAAACGCAACACCTATACACCCTTCTCGGTATTAATAATACCTTTTAAAAATACCCTTAATAATGTGCATTCTACGTGATAAAAAAACCCACTTAATTGTTATTAAACAGATACTATAATTCTTTATAGCAATAATAAAACATAGCTGGAATCCACATTAAAGTCGTCTTTAAGGAAATAACAGGACGAACAACTAGCTCCAATAACAGATGACAATAATTTGTGCTGAAAAATGTATCCGATAATAATTCCTTAAAGACGTCTCTAAAATTGAAAAACGTTGCAAAATGGCTTAAAGTGAAAGGAAATGTTATATTACAGAAAGATTTACAATACTGTAGACTCATTATTCTCTCAACTGTGTTAATAGTTCACGCAATTAGGGGTTGGTTCCACAACTGGGATGGAAAACGGTTACAGGAGAAGCAAGTAGCCAAAGAAAAGGTTTGCCAATCAACCAAATACTATTCGAAGCTTCGTGGGGAAAATAGCCAAATATATGAAATCCCAATTCCTCCGAGAATAAAAAGAAAGCAGATGAACAAGGAAATGAAATGAAATGGCGGTCATACGTCATGCAGTGTGCTATGAGGGAAAATTTTACACGGACAGTGGGGCTACAACCTATATTCTTACATAGAAATCCAACTGTCAAGGGCTCTTTTAGGTACACGTCAATGTGTACACGGGACCTCGTGTTACGTCCATCCAAACGACTTTACATTTTCCCTTTCCAGGCCCTCTGACAAAGGGGTTCTATGCCTGGAAATCAGATGAACTTTTTTGGCTAACATGGGGATCGAACACAGGACTTTCAGGTTACTGAGCCAACGTCTTACTTTTACTCTCTGAGCCACCATGGCTCCCAGATAAGAAACATACATGTCCCGTTCCAGACCGCCAAAACACCCAATAGATGTTTTAATTATGTTGTTAAGCATAGCTATAATTAATCCGTCTTCTTCTGTCGATATCGGTCACTTATTTTGCTACGGGATTCCGAGTGTATGGCAAGTTTCTGTTGTCAAATAGTCCATGTAATATGATACAGATTTATTTACCACTGTTGAGTAGTATGGATATTGTATGGTTTATTGTAACCCTATTAATCGGGTATTGTTATCGTACGTTCCTTATTAATTGCACTACAATAGTAAATTGAAATGAAATGAAAAGAGATTTAATGTCCTACTGTTCTGCTCCGACTGGGCTAATGAAGACGGGCACACGCCATTACACAGAGTGCTTGGGGGGGGGGGGGGGGGCGCTACGGTCTACTTCAACGGCCAAGGGTTCTTTTACGTGTACGCAAATGTGTACACGGAACCTCATTTTTCGTCCTATCCGAAAGACTATGCGTTGTGATGTTATTATGCCTTCGATCCTACAATAGCACCAAGACGTCTAGGAAATACACGTACAATGTACATTAAATTGAAAATATATAGCTACTTATATATATAGCTACTCATTATTTCACCATCGTGTCAGTGTAGTAGAGAAACCTCCCAGTCTTATCTCGCCTCATATATTTTACCTAGAATCAAGTTACAGTATAATTATTTCGAGTTTTTCTCTTCATAAAAAAGAGGGTGCCGTTTCTGACCTTACTCTAAATGCACACAAACTGTTATCTGAGTGTCGTGTTACTATGGAAACGCAGTATTACTTTTATAAGATTTAGGTTAACCGTCTCCTGCGACGGTTCTCCACAATATCAGTCTTGTTTATATTAGTTGCCACTTATCATTAGATACAGCTGCCCGCTATACGACTCCAACCAAGCGAGCACAGAGGGATTTTTCCTCACCGGTACTTCAATATTGAATCGTTTATACGGTTCCAAATTTGCATATAGCTCCTGTCGTTTGGCGGGGTCACCAAAATATAAAATGATTGGCCAGCCAATTTAAGTAATCTTAGTTATAGTACGAAGACAAACTGTATATTGTTCCAATTTGACATGGTTATGTTGCGTGGTGGTTGAGGTGTTCATTACGACACATGTGACATTTTAGACTTTAACATTAAATGCAAAAGATACCACAACGTGTGCTATTATTAGTTTCTGATTAACCCGTGAGAACTTAAGGTGGTATATTTTTGGCAGGAGTATTTAGTACTTTGAAATATGTTTTGATGTTTGATAGCGGGCGCTAATTTGAGTAAATTACATTAGATCTCATGGATCAAGGCTATATTACTCCTATGGATGTGATGAACCAGAAGTACGAGCGACGAATCAGACGACCTATGAACGCTTTCATGGTTTGGGCCAGAAATGAAAGGAAGAAATTAGCCGGAGAAAATCCAGATATTCATAACGCAGATCTGAGCAAAATTCTTGGTAAGTCAATTGCGGAAAAAATGTAACATGTTTTACGTGTATACCTTGAGGGTTTAATACGAGTAGATCGTATAGACAAACTCAATTACAAGAAAATGACTTTTCCTCGACAGATCTCCCTCGGGAAGCAAGAACGCTAAAGATATTTAATATGTTGGAAATGTGTTGAACATGTCTTAGCAGGTGTCAGGCAGTACATTTAATTACTTCATCAAATGTCTGATCATTCAAATTCCTTTGCTTTTATACCTGATCTTCATAAAGACATGTTTTATTTAATTTAATTTAAAAATTCTATAAACCTTTGCTCACATTTTAATCAAACGCCAGAACGCATATAAAAACGAGGTTGCTGTTTGGTCTGTAATCTCGTCCAGTGATATTTTTTTTTATCTGAACAGAGCGTAACTGTTTGGATACACGTCTTTCTCTGATATCACATCTCATGCATCTTGTAAATCACTATTATGTTGGTCTTTGGTATGTATGTTAAGTCACCAACATTCATTTGGTAAGATATGTTGGTTTTAAAATTAAACAATTTCAAGGCATTGTTGGAAACATTGAATATTGTATCCGAATTTCTTGCAATCAGTAATGTCAACATTTAATTGGATACTTTATTGTAAATTATGAGATTCAAGACATATTTTTTCAATTAAATACTTATTTTTGCGTATTTATATCTGATTGGATAAGGAGTGGTATACAAAACTCATTAATTAAAAGCATTATAACTGCACCTTGTTATCCACCCTATCAGAGAATTTCAGAATATCTTTTACTAATTATACGAGGTCTTTTAAGCCGTAAATGATCACCAGCTTTTTGTAACGTGTCAGGTTGCACATAAAGTTAGCAGGATGCGCTTTTGAACTTGACTACCGCCTGTTTTTATTACCTTATATAGGACCATATAAGTATGTCTATTTATAAACTTCTACAATGATGCGTTTGGAGTTTTATGTAATCGGGTGATCATCCGGCGACATAACGTTAGATTTAGCCTAGCCACATTATGTCTTACCAACACGGAATTCTAACTCTATATTCTAGTATCAGATTAGGTTCCCTTTTACACAAACTAGTCCACGGGGCAGATATATTTCCAACTTCCTGAAAAACCTGTATTAAATTTACGTTGTGAAACTAAATCCACGCTCAATTTATAGACTTATTTTACCAATTATCTATGCCGAACACATGCCTTGTTTAGGTTTATCTAATCAGGGACGTGGTGACTGTTGATTTTGCATGAGGAACAAGATCCCTTGTGGGCACAAAAACACAATATTTATATCGCTAGGAGGGGTGTGTCTCTTAATCCGGTGCCGCGAAGATTTGGGCTGTATGGAACTTAAGGAGTCGATTGTAGCATAATCTGACACACAGAGAGATAAATGGGGTCTAACGTCCACTCGACACAAACTTGTTCATTTCGGGGCTAACATATGGTCTTTAGCGGCAGCGGGGGGAAACCGGAGGATACGGAGAAAACCCAAGAGGTTGGATAGTCGATTAAAGCTTACAGAAATTATCGTTTGTTGAGTCAACAATGACAGTAATCACTTTCCATGCATAGTCACCGACATCCTGCATTTAGACTGGTTTGGAAGTAGAGGCTGCTTGATATGTGATACCGTGGGTAGCAACAATCGCCAACCAAGTAACTACAGACGGCCAGCTATATCACATTCCTATTAAATGATAAGTAATAGGTGTTTGTTCTAGAAAAGTAGACAACCCGTCTAGGTTTAGAATAGTTCCGTTGTTAACGGTGTCTGATCATACGATGTCCTTCTGATCAAACACCGTTCCTAAAGGAAGTAGCTTTAGGTCTGCATTATTTTCACAAGTCGAAGCTATATTATCATGATAAAACAATGACTACTGGTTGAGTTCACGGCCAAAAGTGCATATATTACTTTCTATTTACAATGATAGAGAAATGGTGTCACTGCCAGCCATATTCGTAAAAAATATTTTTTCAAGACCATATTATTTAATGTTTCTGTGTAATTCAAATTCATAATGTTATTGTCTAGATACAATTTTTGGCGGCATTGTTCCCGTGATCTTAACGAGGCGGGAAATGTCATGTGTAATTTTAGTATTGATGATATTGATATTTATGTCGATAGTGATATTGATAAGTGTGAGATTGATAGGTTAACGCCGTTAGTAAAGACGTCTTGTTATTGAATATCTTTAACAGATAATATGGACATATCGATCAAAGTTACAGCACAACACAAGGCAATGTTTTTAAAAAAAGATCATGATGCACTTAAACACCCTTTAGTCACTGATCTTTATATGGTGGAATTATGATTAGTTGGCACGGTACCAAATTTAGTGTTTGTAATATCACCGTTATGTTGTAAACTTAAATCCCATCCGTGTGGTAACATAAAAATTAAAATGAAGAGATAAACCACAGCAAGATATCAATCATACTTTGTGTGTCGATGTCATCAATGCTGATCGCAAATCAGAACAGCCAATTCTGTCGAATATGATATAATAGTGGGGGGATAAGTTTCTTTGTGCCTACTTCTTTGTCATCGCAGTCTTACATTAACCGGGGTAATGGCCTCTAAAGCCAAAACGATAGGTCGCTAATATCGCGATGTGCTTACTGACATGAATAAATGCAAAAATATGACAAAGTTGAAAGTTGACATAATAAGCCTAATGCAATTCGAAAAAAAGAAGTCACGACAAAAAGCGGGGCGCTATAATAATTACACGGTGTGTTTATTTCTTAATTTCCTATTTATATTCGAGTATTTGGCTTGTGTAGCGGGCTGTCGCTCATTTTTTGTCGTAACTTCTACTTTTCGATTTTCGACTTTCGCGTTCTAAAGGGGTGAAAAGTAGAAATTACGAATAGTAGTTATAGGCTTCCATGAAATGGCGTTTAACACCCTACTTTTCTGCACCAACCGCAGTGTGCTATACGGCAAATTGTGCCCGGACAGCGGCGATACGACGGCGATACGACGGAATCTTGTTTCGATTTCCAGCTCTCATGCGCTCCGTTATGACAAGGAGAAGCCACGCCGGAAAATCCCGAAGACCTTTCCCTGCCATCACAGGGAGCAGGGAGCGAACGCGAGACCATCCGGTTCCTTACTCACTGAACCACCTTACGGTCTGCATGCTTGTTGTTCTTTCCCTTGGGAGGAAAACGGAGTACCCAGGTTGAGAAGACGCTCCAATCTCCAAGCCACATACGCTCATACCAGGGGTCGAAACCACAAACGCAAGCCAGAGGTGACCGGCCAGCTAGAGGTCGAAGCGTGACACTCTAGACCACTAGGCCATCCCAACCCCCTTGCGCGTCCTTTTGTATGCACCCGTATCCTTGTGTTTCAAGTATTTTGCTTCTTCTCTATTTTTTTTTTCAAATGCATTTTTTTTTCTTCTAGGCAAGAAATGGAAGGTGATGACCAAGGACGAGAAACGACCGTTCATTGATGAAGCTGAATGGTTACGTCTACAACACATGCAGAAATACCCCAATTATAAATACAAACCTAGACGGAAGAAAGTTCCTAAAAGAATTTGCCAGATAGCACCGTATAATAACAACTCGATAGAATCAAATCGCAAGTGGGTTTATAATGGCTACAACACTATCAACGTAATCGACTCATACCCTAAAAACCAAAAACTACCTGAAAACACCGTCTGTCCACCATTACCGCCCATCGTCAACGCCAAAAGTCATGACAGCTCAGCCACTGTTTCGAATTCTGGAACCCCATGTCATTACTCGACTACTGACACAATCGCCCCCGTCTCGGTGATTGGAAACGGACTTCGGTCATCTGACGCTTCTCATACTCAAGTGAGTGAAAGTGGATTTCAGTATGGAACTACCCAATGTTCTACCATCATTCAGGCATTTTCTACCAAAGATGCCTTCACCTACACGAACAGCAGTGACAAAACACACCTGATACACGAAAGTGTTAATTTAATTGAAAATCTCCCTAAACTTTTCTGCTACGATGCCAGTAATATGATAAGTGCTTCTTTACGACTTGCCGGTAATGCTTACATAGTCGATCAGCATGATCTGAAAACTGAGTTTAAAGAGGATCAATTACTTAATCATCATCTAAAACCGCCCTATATACCAACAACTCAAAAACTAAGCCAAACTAAGTGTATGAATACACAACTGTTTCCCAGAGAGGAATATTTAAACGATTTCGCGGCCGTAGAAAAACTAACGGATGTGGATCGAAATGAATTTGACCAATATCTTCACGATTTTCCATAACAAATTATATATTTTTATCATTATTATATAATTTATATATATTTTTTCTATATTTTTTTTTAAAAAGAAAATTATTAATTTAACTATACCAAAATATATATCTCAATTCTATTGTATTTGATATTTACCTAAATATTTAAACTTATATATGTACATGAAATAAATAAACAATTAAATATTTTTGTTTTTCAAAACATCTTTTGACATCTCAATTTGTCAAACAATTAAATATTTTTGTTTTTCAAAACATCTTTTGACATCTCAATTTGTGGAAGTAACTTCAGATGCTCAAGGTCTTAATTTATCACCGCGTTGTTTTGCCATCAAGGAATTTGATCAGGACCTGCTGCCAGATATTATTTTAAAAGGGTGTAAATATGGAAAGTGACAATATTATTTGACACGCACATGGTTGAACTAATGTCCTGGGATAATAAAGGGAGAACGGTTGTTGTTAGCAACCAGATGACCCATTATAATGACATTAATATAGCGAACTGAAATTGACAATATCCAACACATCAATGCTGATACCGGGTGCCTGTTGTTTACGTGTTGATTACATATCATCAGATGGTTCTCATTATTCCTTTCCCTCTCTGCAGAATAATTTAGAAATTTTCTGCCCACTGTACCCGGAGACCTTATAATTTATAAATTACATCATAAACCAAAATACCTATAATGTCTTAACAAGTAAGCTATCCTGTTTATGACGTACCTTAAGATTTAATCTGCCCTCGATGATTTTATTATGCAGGGAAAAAATACATCCATAATACATGTATACCACACCCTGATTGATGCGCGAAGGTAGCGGGTGTGTGTGTGTGGGGGGGGGGTACTTTAAAATAGGAGAGATATATTTTGTATTAGTGACAGTCAGTCATGTAAATGGTATTATATGGTCCAGACAGTAAAACAACTCTTTTGTCAGTGCAGTTAACCAAAAGTGCCCCCCCCCCCCTCACCGTAAAAAGTCCCATGATACTGTCCTTTATAAATATGTATCCCAGCGCTCTCAATATAACATCGGCTGTAGACCTGCAAGTCTAACTTGCTGGACAGAGTGACTGTCTAAGGACAATGTATAGTCGTTCGGATCGGACAAAAAGCCAACGTGCCATGCACACACTGGAGTGTCCGTAAAAGAAAAACCCTTGATATAATAGTTGGATTTCGATATAAGAACAGGCCGTAGCACCGCTGTCCGGGTAAAATTTCCCTCATAGCACACTGTATTGCGTATGCCTGTCTTCTTTAGCCCAATCGGAGCAGAACAGATAAGGACGTTAAACCATGGTTCATAAAATTTATCTTGTTGAGTCATCTTCACACGGCTTGGGCAATGTGATCTGTCAAGGGTGATATGGCGACGAGAAACAGACGACAAAAACCAAGTTTAATCAGCAACCATGGCATGCTGTGAATAATAAAACCTTGTAGTAATCAATGAATTAATGATCCGTACTCTAAATACACGTAAATAATACAGTTAATCATAATTTACATTGATTTATCGACGCTATCCTTTAATTTATATAACAACAGCCAAATAAATCAAAGCGCTGTAATCAAAAAAATTTACATTGCGTGGTTAGTATCAGTTTTTATTTAGCTATTAATTCCCTCTATTATAGATCGGCATGCAGGGCGTTTTAAATTCCGACTTACTCAATTCGATACAAGCAGTCAAATTTATAAGACTGTAATAAAAAAAAAGTCAGGAGTGGGGCTGATGTCCCCTATAATAAACAGATGACAGATTAATTAATTGTATATTTATCTTTTTGTAAAGCATTAACCAATCTAAATGCTTAGCCTATAGCTGTTCATTTTGTCGATGTTGTGAAACTATTTACCAAGTTCCATCCACCACTCTCGCTCAATTATTATTCGAAACGAAATTACCGAGTCCCTAAAGCATCGACCAATCAAATTGTTTATCTCTGCTTAGCCCTAAGGGATGGATCTAGGAATGTTTGCGGGAGGGGTGATGATAATTTTTATAATTAATACGATCACATTATGATTAAATTTCATCGATGCAAAGCATTAATTGTGATATCATGTCTTTTATATCATTATCCCGCCCTTTGAATGCACACGACCGTGACACTTTTCTCATAAGAAGTATTTTTACAAAAAACGTAGTCATGGTATTGATGTAATGAATACATCATGACTGACCACTCTCACCTAATTAGTAATGGTGCTCGAAGGTCTCGACCAATCAAATTGTTAATCACTCTGCTAAACCTGATCAGAAAATGTTCGTTATCGTACTCCGTCAAGATATTGATGTAATGAAAATATAGGCGAAATTTCACCACCCTTACTTATACAAAGTATAATCAAAGCTATCTGTCACGAAACATCGACCAATAAAATTGCTCATCTTTACTTGGCCTAAGCAGAAAATGTTCATTATAGAATCAGTCACGGCATTCACCCAGTAAACACCTACACCAAGTTTGGGCATTCTAGCTCAATTAGAAACTAAGCTTTGTGTCCCAAAAAGGTCACAGACAGGCATACCCATATTAATAGGCCCCTACTTTCTTCTAATATGTCCCTCTATAATACAGATTGGGGTTCCGACCCATCCAAGTCCTGGTAATAAAAGTCGAAAAAAATATTACATAACAAAAACAACCTAATATCGATTTCTCGAAGCGTATTCGGCTTAATTTCTCGGTGACTGTGGGCCCATTATCAGCAAATTGTATTCCAGGTGGATGAGAAATGTATAAAATATGCAGGGAACTACCATGCCGATCGCATTTGGCACTTTTTAAATCATATGAATGAGGAAATTAGTGCCTCGAAAGTGGACAATCTTTTTAATCATAAAACGTTATCAATCATTAATTAATTGGGTTATTAAAATGTAATACAGGAAATAGAACGGAGTGGTTCGCGACACCTTGGTTATATCTAAAATGTTTGGGAATTATTCAATCGCTTCAGACGTGCCAACCGTAGAAGAAGCGTCCGCGCATGGATTTAAGATTCGGTTATGTCAATCAGATTTTTACACCAATTGATATAAAAAGTGTAGTTCCAAGTACAGTACATGTATAGCGTGAAATAATTTTCTTTTCAGCCCACGGGTTTCAATCGATGAATAAACATCCGTAGAAGTTTTGATTAGTCAGAACCAAAAATAGTTTTTCTATGTCTGTCCTAAAGTTGACTAATGATTAAGATACAATTTTCTGCTAGTCCATAGAAAAATAAAAAAAACCCGTTAGGTTCTTTTTTCCCCCACTTCGTTTCGGGTGCAGGCGACAAAAACATGTTTTCATTTAGAGAAAAGACAGGAATACATGAGTATTACTTTTTGTGTTGTGTCATGGAAACTAAATATATAAATTCGTGTATCAGTATTTTTGTGGTTAAGTAGAAAAATCCATGTTTTTGTCATACGTGTTTCAAGCAACATACTGAACTATTCCATGGCCTTACAACCGGATGTACACACCCAGACGACAATTTTTAAAGGCAATAAAACAAGTTGTTATTTTATCGCCTGGTTTTCATTAGTAAAAACAGGAATTCATATAGTCAGTGTAATAAATCTATTCCACTTAAAACCCAGCTATGTTTAGGGAGACATTATTCTGATGCATGATGTCTATTTCGTGACGATCAAAGTTGTTCTATCTCATCCAGTGCAAAGCTTATCGACTAAGTCAAGCAAAGGCACAGAACTGAGGGAATATACAGATCGTGTTTGAAGATCAAACTGGATCGAAAATAACTGTTTATAAGTTTATTTGCTCTGATTCGACTATTGATCATTCTTTGGGTTTAGATCGTAATGAATGCGAAGTAAAACAAAAACGATTGTATCTCTTGAGCTATAAATAAGACGCTCTTTTATCGACAATTGAATTAATTCTCTTTCTTCTATAGAAATTTCAAAGAACATTCCTGAAGATTACAGGACATCAACAATTCTTGTTTTGTAAGGATAAGCTGTATTAATCATGCTAACATTCGTGCAGCATAAATATGGGTCTGGATGTAACATTGGGCTTCCGATAATTCATTACAACTAGATGTTTAATTATTGATAAGAATTACGCACGCCTGTCAGCACACTTATTTTCCCTGCAAGTTATCTCGAAAATAAACAAATATATTTGGGTAATGGATGTTCAAATACACATACAAAGTTATGCCGATAGGAAATTTGGGGCAGGATTGGCATAGAGGCCATTTTCTTTCTATTTTAAAGTCGATTCCAACAAAATTATACTGTCCGAAATTACATTGCTTGTTGATTGTTATGAAATAACTGTACATTCTTTCAGAAAGGGCGTTTAACTTCATTATACAAATAGTAAATATTGCAGTTAGATGTCCCGTCCTGCCCTTCCTCCCAATCTAAAAACCTATCCCAGCAATAATTGGTAGATATTGAATGAAATCCCCTTCAAATCACGACAAAATCGAAAATTAACGTTAACCATATCGGACCAAACTCATAAAGAGCTGATGTATCTTTAATATAAATGATTGATTTCTAATGCATTTACTGTTAAATGAGCTCAGTACAGAATTTTAAAAAGTTAATAAGCAAACATACAGCCACAGATGGCAGAAAAAGGCGTTGATTGAAAAGAATTACCATCTTAACCAAAAACATGGCAGCTTGAAGTTACAAATGGGCGACTTGGGCACATCTGGACAACTAAGTGCTCAATGTGATAGTTTGCCATTTATCGGGTAAAATACGAAGGATATTTCAGTCAAAAACACTTTCTGCTGTCTACCCTATTTTATACAAATTAAAAGCTTCGCTGGCCTTGTTGGTAGTCCTGGTCATTGGAATTCGATTCGACAATTTACATTGTATTTTCAATTAATTGAAAAACATGTTTACATGAACGACTAGATTGTGATCATTTAACCTAATGAAAATTAGTTCGATGCTAATAGAGATAATAAATTATTTTCCAGTATACTAAAACAAATGAGACCCATTATGGTCAACACATAACTATGAAAATGCTGTGAGAATGTATCAAGCAGTGGAGTGAAACGATTCCAGAAGCGGGCATTTATTGTTGACTCTTCGCAGTAATCAGACAAAGTTCTACATATTTTATCAGAAGTTTATTAGTATGGCGCCTTTCAACGGATGTTTGCCTGACCTTGCATTGATCTTTCTTTTTGTAAACAATGTGATTTCTAGGTTTCTTCATTTCTAAGGAATTCCTTCTATAGGCTTCGAACACAGATAAAATTTTCACATAATTACAATAATGGTCGCGTAAACCGACAATTTGGGGTTTGTATTATGTACGTCCAGAATAGAGACGAAACAGAACATATTCGATCGACATTGATCTTGCTAGTTTTCTAGGGACAGAAACAACGCATCTAGATATTTTCAGTAATCAGACTCCACTCAAGAACGTGTTGATTTAAGTTCGCCAAGTCATGAAAATCTATATTTTCAGAGTGGTGAGAGCACCCGGTTCACTGGTCTTCCAGCAGTAACATTAACTTCGTTTTCTACGGCTGCTTATACGGAAATAAAAAGTATTTCACTTGGAATTCACGGGGGTGGAGTTTGGGTATTAGTGGATAAAATGGTGTATATTATATATACATTGAAATTAAACTGGTGATTGTCATTAAAAATTACGAGACAACAAACTTTACATGGAGGATTAAGTCCAATAAATTAAAATTTAATTACCCTAACAACATCCTCTCATGACTAGATATTATTAATAATTCACTAGGCGTGGATATCTGATATAATCCTACCAAATCAGTTGTTATCAAAGTTGTCTGATTGTGTTCAATGAAAAAAACTGAAATAATAAGTAGGATGGTAAATGTCACCACTAACAAATATAAAGTTAATGACCTGCAAACTGCTGTGGCTATACATGACATGTTAATTATGAAACATTCTCGTGTAATCTGTGATAAAGACCAAAAAAACGAGATTAAAGAGAGTATTTATATATATTTTAATTTAATTAAATATATGTAAATTATTGTAATCTTTTATTATTATTTTATTATTATTATTATTATCGCATTTGTACTTATGTATGTATACCTTAGTATATGAAATAAATAAATTAATAAACCCGGTGGAATATCTGTAGACTAAATTAGAAAAATATCGGTATTTAACCATCTAACCACCAGACAAAGCACTTACGCTGTCTTCGATGTTGTAAATAAACAGGTGAATTAAGTAAAATGAAATGAAATGAAATGAAATGGGGTTTAACGTCCTACTGTTCTGCTCCTATACTGGGCTAATGAAGACGGCATACGCCATACAGTGTGCTATGAGGGAAAATTTGCCCGGGCAGCGGCACTATCGCCTACTCTTATATCGAATTCCAACTGCCAAGGGATCTTTTACGTGCATTCCAATGTATACACGGGACCTCGGGTTTTTCGTCTCATCCGAAGGACTAGACAGCTGTCCTTGTCACTAATGTCAGGCCCTCCGTTCTGCACCACTGACAAGGGGAAACCACGTCGGAAAATCCAGATGGAATTAAGTGAAGATAATGTTCAAGGCCTATACACAATCAATTTGAAGAAAGCATTGTGTGTTGCAATGATCTGAAACACTCTAACAAGAGAATAATATAATACTGTTCAAATGTAGCTTAATAATCAGTATAAAGTCATGGGGGTGCGTCTAAACCGTTACACGTATATTATCGTTAAACACGGCCCAGGTCTAGTTATTTCATTGAGATATCACAAGTACTCTAAAAATACATGTCAAATTTTGTAGTTTTTTAGTAAATCTATGGCAACTGAGAAAACAATAATTTGGTACTTTACCAAACAAAACAATCAGTTGACGGGTGTGTCCACCTGTCTTAATGATTAGCTTTTTGGGCATCTTTTTAAGAAGACAGGGTGGTGTTGATATTCTATGACTGGAATATATAATAATCATGGAAACATTTGGTTTACTGACAAATCTCCTGGTGAATTTAAAGGAAAGCTGCCAGCCATTTTGGAACAAAAGTGAAATCAAATGATATTGCAAATATATGTTCTTGTATCATCATTACAGGTATAGCACTGGAGAACCTTTTGCCAGGGTAGTGGCATAATTGCCTCTTTGAACATGCAAAGTGTACAGGTATAGCACTGGAGAACCTTTTGCCAGGGTAGTGGCATAATTGCCTCTTTGAACATGCAAAGTGTACAGGAGCTCTGTTTTACACTTTGCAAAAAAGGACTACCAATTGAACAATAAAGCAATTTTTGAGTGTTATGACTAACTTATGATCCTTGTATAATAATGCTTTTAATTATGGTCATTTTGAGACTAAAACTGTGATTTGCCAAAAGACATAATTTCATAACAAACTCTACATTTTTCATTGCATTGAAAGAATTGGTCCCTGGTGATTTTTTCCCCTTTAAAAGGTATTTTAAATGTTATTTTTAGCCATAAATAAGTGTAAGTAGACTGTAATTACAGTTTTAAAATTCTTACATAAATATACGAAATTTGGTGTGGTTTCCCTTTAAATGCAAAACAGGTGTATATTATTAGAAAGTAAATTATGTAAATAAATGAAAATAATAAGCAGATTTATTGCACGGAAAACTGAGTTAAAATAATTAATAAAATACAACCAACAACCAGGCAAATTTTAAGACTTTTATAACCACATATAGGTATATTATATTGCACTTTACATTATAATGTGTAAGTTTATAAAATATATAAAGAATAGATATAATCAAGAACAGGTTTCAATTCCATTTATTGTTCAAGCTGCTAAATATGACTTTATTAAATCACCAGTGCTTAAAGTTTCATTCTCACAAAAGCATTTATAGGAAAGTTATTTCCAATAACAGTATGGCAAATTTAGTATGGAAACTAGAGACGCCTCATCTTACTAGGAAAATTACTGGATTCCCTGAAAAACACCTGTGGGGAAAGCACTGGGCAAAAATATCAGGGTATCACTAACTGGCAGCCCCATGGATTATTGTCTGCCAGCTCAACTTAGGGAGCGGTTGTTATTTCTTGATCGAATGGTTAGGAGGTTTGGGAGACATTGATGGGTTTAAATGTACAACAGACTGACAATCCATGAATTTACCTAGGCTTCAATATGAATGGTAAATGGACAGTAAGTAACAACAAATACATTCTGAACATAGACCCTCTCTCAATCAAGTTACCAGAAAGCATGGCTTCTAAAAATAGATTTTTTTATAGCTTGGGGTATTTCCTCGCAAATAGGCTACAATGCTTTGAGATGGATTTGAAGCAAATTTTTGATAGATTAATTAGTTTGAATATGTTCTTAGTCCAAATATATCATTAGTCACCCAAGCTTATTCCATGCTAAAATTTACTCAGATTGATTGTTTGATAATGGATGAAGAAAACAAAATCAAAATATCAAGAATCGGTAATCTTCTTGTTTGGATTCAATCATAATATTATTATTAAAAAGATGTCCATCAAAAGACTTTAGCTTCAATAATCTAAACATATGGTCATAAACCATTCAAAACCATAATCAATAGTCAAAATGGCCATAGCATTTAGTCAAAAGGGACAAAAGAGGTCGTAAAAAAAATTCAAATGCATGGGTTTGAATTTTGAAAGTTTTCGTTTACATCTCTTTTGAATAGGATGCCGAACATTGCAACTTTTTTTAATTTATCGTATCTTTGTAAATACTGAAAAGAATTGACCAACTTTTGGAATTTTCAATCACTTTTAGAGATCAATAATGTTACAGAAAAAGATTCAAAATCGCACAAATGACGATTAGAATCCTTAATACTTACTTTTGAAATACTGATTTAAAATATATTATTTTTAAACATATATTTTTGAAAATATTAAAGCGGCATTAGGTAAGATTAGATAAAGAGCTGACAGTTCTAGCTATAATAGTTGAAAATAGATAACAAAAAGAAAATATGTTGAAAATTTCAGTCAAATTTTCTGAGCCAAGGTATCGGCGATTTAATCTTAGGCTAACCTCAATTGTCATTAATACTGCTGTTACGATAATAGACAAAATCTTGATTAACTATTTTTACGGTTATTTCATCCACCACAAAACGTATTTGAATCCATTAAATATTGCTGCACGCATCCGATGGCATGGAGAGTTGAGTATGGTCTTGTTATAATAATTTATGTAACATTCCAGGTCTAAAAAAAGGTCATGCAATAGGCTCTTACATAATGCATGTTTAATGAAATAAGCCGCCAGAAAGAATGATGTCCCCCACCTTAATACAAAAATAAATAGATGACATTTGTGTTTTTACAAAATATTAAGCAATCAGATTATTTATCACTCTGCTTAAACAGGCATTATGCAACCAGAGGCGTAGCTGTGAAATATATATTGGGGGGGTCCGCAACCCTAACCCTAACCCATTTTTAAAACCCCTAAAAAATATAAACAAACACCATGTGGCCATGCTGTCTACGAAGACACCGCGTGCAAAGCATTATTGTTACGTTGCTGGCTGAGCGGGCGATAAATATTTGGTTTAGGCGATAATGTTTTTGGATACCTACATGCGATTCACTCTGATAAGTGGCAGAAAAAAATTAACAAAATATTACTGACACTAACAGACTAACTAGACATAATTTTATGGAACACAGTTACGTTTCACTTCACACATGTTTCCAGGATGATTCTCTCTGTGTTTTATTTTAGCAATGTAAACCATATTGGGATATGTACAGGTTTTATACAGATAGAATCTTAACTAATCCTAATAATTGTTGTAAATAATAGGAGTTTGGCGCCTACTATGTAAATTTTTTGGGGGGGTCCAAGTATATTCAGCCCCCCCCCCCCCGAAAACTTTCTACATATTCCCTTTTCATTATCTATTTTTTAAGTATGACAGAGAGAACTGTCAGCTCTTTATCTAAACTTACATAATGCACCTTTAATCAGTGCAAAAATCGCTAATTATCAGGTGCGGTCAAGGCTTTGTTATGATAAAACTATACTCCAAGTTTCAACACTTAACTCAAAATTACCTTGTTCAAAAGCATTGACAAATCAATTTTCTTAGCTCATGACTGGATGCAGTCAATAAATTCCAATGAACATCTTCACTAGAGAGACAGACCCATTTTAATAGTCCCCTGCTTTCTTTGGAAGACGGCAGACACTAAATGTAAAATTGAGTGAAATGATCATTCATTTCTTACCATACAAAAGTGCAAAATTGTAAAAATAATTTTTCATTTCAAAGCAAAATAACAATTGATAAAATATTACGTATACACCTATCAAGATATTGGCTATATTTAAGTTTATCACTTTTAATTCATACATGTTTTGTATAAAGGTTCAAGTAGATTTATCAATCAACATTACTCTTCTCAATTTAATATCAACATTAAATCAGATTCTTAATAATTGAACTTTGAAGACCTTGAACTTTTCTTGATTGTCATCTCGTAAATCACCAATGACATCTTCATTCCTGTAAATAAGATAATTATAAAGTAATTCATTCATAGAGTATACACTACATTATTTTGAAGATAGGTTACAGTAACTTATTAACTCAGATTGTTTTAGTTTTGTTAATGCTAGATTTTGTATCTGAGCATCCTAATGCATATTTATACTGATTGAATGGAATATAACAAAACAATATAGTATTAGTAGAAAGAAATACTAGTAATTTAAGTTTTTTAGTGAATTACTGGTAACTGCTCTTATACTAAAATAACAGAGGGGGGGTGGATGGCCGAATGGTAACGTGCGCACTATATCATAAGGCCTGTCATTGAGTCAACTGGCATGGTTTCGAATCCCCGGTTGTAGGTGACAAGGAGTAGGGTCGCCTGACCAACCTCGTGGGTTTTCTCCGGGTCCTCCAGTTTCCTCCCACTGCTAAAGAACTCTACGCGCAAGCGAATTATTGAAATAAAAAATTAAACCATACGTTAGTCCTGAAATGAACTAGTTTGTGTTGAGTAGACATTAAACCCCATTTCTCTCTCTCTCTCTCCCTAAAATAACAGTATGTATCACAATGCAAGGAAAATATTATATCTTAATTATCAATTGATTAAACGGTGAGTGGCTGGTCACTGGTCAGATGCTTAAGCGATATGTGTAAATGTAGCTTCCCCAGTAAGGCAGGGGGGCAAAAATATGTTGCTGTCCATGTAAAAGGGTTTATTAAATCAAGACTGTAGCATATTTCATTGAATTATTGTCTGTGTTTAAAGGTTAGAAATATTATAAATTCATTCAATATTTTAATTCTTTTTTTTTTTACATATAACATGTCTTATACATAGTACATTTATACACTCACCTCATTTCCCTATTATTATCAAAAACATGCAAATTACTAGCAGCCTTCAATAACTTTACAGCTAGTGTAGCTTTCAATGTAGAAATTTTGTCATTTTCATTAATCTGTAATCTATAAAGAATGCCTCTTTTATTTTTCGTCCATAGTAATATTAAATTAAAATTTTAGATTAAAATAAACAAAATTGAAAGTGGCAGCATAATTAAAGCCACCATGATATAATGACTTTCAAATGGCTTCATGACTTTGGCCCAATAGAAAAACATTTTTTCATGAGTCTACAATTTCGGCCAAGCAGATAAAAAATATGCAGATACTTCATTATTTTATCCCAGAATTTCTGATGGACATACTGTAGCATTTGACAACAGTAGGCTAATACATTGTTTCCACCAAAATTAAAATTTAGAAATTTTGATCTCAATTAGAGACAACAATTTAAATGTATACTTACACAATAGAAGATTTATCAGGAGTAGATTCTAATTCTGACATAAGTTTATCTTCATCACTTGATTCTGTCTTCAATTCCTGGTCTATAAAACAAACAATATAGATACATTACATACAGAAGAAGAAATATTTGGATAATGAAAAACAAAGACCAAGAATATTGATCTGCACTTTTTAACCTGTATTAAAGACATAGATTTTAAATAGAAATTCTGGTCAAAGACAAAAATTACTTTTGGAATATTATTTGATGCTAACACAATATCTGAAGGTCATTTAAGTTTTTGAAGCAAGGACAATAACTCAAAATTTATTTGCACAAATGCGTTAATGTTCGTATTCATAGGCGTGCAATCTGACTTTTCGGGCAGACGGGTAAAGTGAAGACAAAAATTATAATTTTATCTAGTTGGCAAAATAAAGTGCCCGAAATCTAATGAAACACTAATTTTACTTTTCTTTTAATTGAATACTATGAATTTGTACTGAATTAACTATGGATTAAAACATTTTGTCTGGAGCCACTTTACTTTGTGCTACATTTGTCGGACATTAAATTTATTTGTGAACGCAGCTGCAACAGTCTGATTGGATGGCTGGAATTCAAATCAGCATGATTTTGGTTGCAAAACGATTGGAAACTTTGAGGTTACTGCTATTCCAGCCCTCATACCCTGCGACGATTGATTGGTTGTTTGGGATTCAGGTCAGCTACCTAAGTTAGGCTATATTGGACCACAATAAAGTTGCTGCATTCATGGGCTGGAGTAGCAGTTGTGGCAGTTAAAATTTCAAAATTTTCTCTCAAGAATCCTGTCACGTGGACTGTGAAAGATTAATTGCTTGATGGGAATCCGAGTCAGCCACCAAAGGTAGACTATATTAGACCATAGTTTGAAGTTGCTGTACTTGCGGGCTGAAATAGCAGGAAAACATCTTTGTGGCCATCAAGTTTTCCACATTTTCTTTGGTGGGGGGGGGGCTACACGGTTAGCTCTGCTCCTTAGCCTCACGCAGACCACAGGTGCCGCCGTTGTTAACCTGAAATTTTGTGGGCATTTAAGGTTCTACCCCCCCCCACCATATTCATCAAGACCGTATGCCTATGGTTCTACTGCCTTTTCCATACTTTGATATGAATAACACAAACAAATTTTATAAATATAGTTTTTCTTGCGAACTGTTCACAAGGTTTCCAGGGCAAAGGCAACAAGACTGTAAATAGTTGTAACAAGCGGTTGCCATGCAAGATACGCCCACATTTTTCAAGAGATGGACAGAGAACAATCAGGGACCATAATTCAGGAAGTTAAGGTCCGATATGCGCGAATATCGAAAGGAACCGAGAACTTTGGGTTATAAAATTACATTTCAAGTTTCAACAAAATCGGATAAAAATTGTGATCTCTATAGGGTCCACAACCTTGATATACCATATTTTTACGCTATTTGAGAACGAACGGCGGCCATTTTGTCTGTATATTTTGGGCCGATTTTCATGAAATTCGACCTCAGCTGTTTTCAGGGTGTAACGGTGATATTATAATACGTTTTTTTAAATCGGATAAAAATTATGACCTCTATTGGTTCCACAAGCTAAAAACGTGATTTTTCGTATAATCAGAGACAATAATTCAGGAAGTTACGGTCTGATATGCGCGAATATCGAAATGAACCGAGATCTTTGGGTTATAAACTTACATATCAAGTTTCAACAAAATCGGATGAAAATTGTGACCTCTATAGGGTCCACAACCTTGATATACCACATTTTTACGCTATTTGAGAACGTACGGCGGCCATTTTGTGCCGATTTTCACGAAATTCGAACTCAGTCATCCTTAGGGTGTAACGGTGACATAATAATACGTTTTTTTAAATCGGATAAAAATTATGACCTCTGTAGGGTCCACAAGCTAAAAAGGCGATTTTTCGTACAATCAGGGGCCATAATTCAGGAAGTTACGGTCCGATATGCGCGAATATCGAATTGAACCGAGATCTTTGGATTATAAACTTACATATCAAGTTTCAACAAAATCGGATAAAAATTGTGACCTCTATAGGGTCCACAACCTTGATATACCACATTTTTACGCTATTTGAGAACGTACAACGGCCATTTTGTCTGTCAATTTTGGGCCGATTTTCACGAAATTCGAACTCAGTCGTCCTTAGGGTGTAACGGTGACATAATAATACGTTTTTTTTAAATCGGATAAATATTATGACCTCTATAGGGTCCACAAGCTAAAAACGCGATTTTTCGTACAATCAGGGGCCATAATTCAGGAAGTTAAGGTCCGATATGCGCGAATATCGAAATGAACCGAGATCTTTGGGTTATAAACTTACATATCAAGTTTCAACAAAATCGGATAAAAATTGTGACCTCTATAGGCTCCACAACCTTGATATACCATATTTTTACGCTATTTGAGAACGAACGGCAGCCATTTTGTCTGTCAATTTTGGGCCGATTTTCACGAAATTCGAACTTAGTCGTCCTTAGGGTGTAACGGTGATATAATAATACGTTTTTTTAAATCGGATAAAAATTATGACCTCTATAGGGTCCACAAGCTAAAAATGCAATTTTTTGTACAATCAGGGTCCATAATTCAGGAAGTTACAGTCCGATCTGCGCGAATATCGAAGGGAACCGAGATTTTTGGGTTATAAACTTACATTTCAAGTTTCAACAAAATCGGATAAAAATTGTGATCTCTATAGGGTCCACAAGCTAAAAGCGTGATTTTTCGTACAAACAGGGGCCATAATCCATGAAGTTTCGATCCGATACATGCCAATATCGAAAGCAGCCGAGATCTTTTGGGGATAAACCTATATTTCAAGTTTCGTAAAAATCGGACAAGAATTGTGACCTGTAGAGAGTCCACAAACAAATTGTGGACGGACGGACGGACGGACAGGGGCGACGACAATATACGTCCACATGAAAATGTGGGCGTATAAAAATGTGCCAGTTTATGTGCACATCGTTGTGCAGGAATTGTGACCTGTAGAGAATCCACAAACAAATTGTGGACGGACGGACAGGGGCGACAACAATATACGTCCACATGAAAATGTGGGCGTATAAAAATGTGCCAGTTTATGTGCACATCGTTGTGCAAGTTTTGAAAAATTCATCAATACTTGGCTCTTTTATGTAGCCAGGGGCCTTATTCACAAAAGTTTATCTAAAATATTTAAAGAAAGGCCACCTTTTCATTGGCTAAAAGCTAAAACTTGCAGTAGGAATTTAACTCTCAACCAATGAAAAAGCTTCGTCCTTAAAATATTTTAGAGTAAGTTTTCATGAATTAGACCCCAGGGTAATAACTCTAAAAATAATCACTGATAAGTGCCAATTTTCTACGATATGTGCCAGTTCTTCCTTATGATCATATGACAAAGCCATGCGAGTTTTACAAAAATTGACTCATAACTTTTCTCTGCTTTATATTATAAGAAATATAAACAGGCATTAAAGTATGCAAAAGGCCATTTTGTTCAAAAAATTTGTATCCTTTCTCATATTTATGTATTTTACTATTCATACATTAAGAAACTTCTTTAAACAAAATATTTTTTAACTGAAATAAAAAGAATCAATAGTTCTAAACATTGGTCAAAAATGATTCTAAAATTCAAGTAAAACAAAATGACTAGTCATCACAATCCCACACCCTTGCACTTGTTTAGAAGGCATAAAGAAAAACAACTTCTAGGACTGGTCAGAAGATTCATACCCTGATCAGAGTAGCTCAGCAAGGCAGGGTCGCTACTCCCTGTAAGGTTTGCACAACAACCTTTGTCTACCTTAATCAGCTACTGTATGTTAAACATTAAGCTTGTACATCAGAATATAAAATACTATAATAGTTTGATGTTCAAAAAAATTTCTTGAACAGATAATGGGTATGCTCTGGAAACAAAATTGTATACCAAAAAGTCAAATTTGTTTATGGAAACACAAAAAATATAAATTCCTAAATAGTAAAAGGTACAACTACTTTAATGGGTTGATATGTGCACAAAGTTTCACAAAGACATCTTGAATGGTTTATGAGATATACTCCGGAAACAAAATTATACACCAAAAATTTGTTTCCATGGAAACAAAAAATATAAATTCCAGAAATTCCTAAATAGCAAAAGGCACAACTAATGTAATAGGTTGAAGTGTGTACAAAGTTTCAGAAAGATATCTTGAATGGTTTATGAGATATGCTCTGGAAACAAAACCGGGACAGAAGGACGGATGGATGGAAGGACGGACGGATCCCAGTTCAAAATCTCTCCCTAATTTCGTTCGACGCGGGATAAAAAATTAAACACGCATTATGCAAGAGCCAAATCTGTCTGAAATGTATTTTAGTTATCCAGACTATATTTAACTCCCGATGCCATCGCTAGCCTGTGATATTTAGCGGATTGGAATACATTTTTTGAAAAATAATTAAATCGATAAATGGATAATCGTACCGACTTAAGTAATGATGATCGAGGCTATGCTGAAAATTCAAAAACAAATATGACGGTTCAGAGTGGAGCAATTTGACTGAAATTTTCGGCATGTTCTATTTACGTTGTCTAATTTTTAACTATTATAGCGAGAACAGTCCACTCTTTATATAATCTCCCATAATGCCCTTTTAAAGAATATCATATAGGAATTGACTTCCACTACTTGTATCTCCTGGTTCATCTACAATTTGAATACGAAAATTTTCAGATTCATAACAATTATTATCAAATTAAGAATGGTATTATAGCAAGAGTAGACTAATTCATTGCTGGGGGTGACAATAACTGATCTATCCATGATCTATTCATATTAAGGTAGAGGACATATCAATACATGTACCTACCTTGTGGTAAAAAATGTAAACAATAATATAAATCATTCTGATTTCTTGTGACTGGCCAGGCAAAATCTTTTCTGTCTATTTTATTTTGAGTAGGGTGAAGTTTTAATCCATCTTCAGCATCTAAACCTTTACCATAAACATAATATAAAAACTTCTGTTTAGATTTAGCTGGTCCTTTAGTCACATAAAGTCTTTTAAAGTCATCTTCATTATTGCCATCTGAAAATATTCAAATATTACATCATTTAAAATAAAAATTCTAACAGCAGTATAATGAAAGAAGTGTTTTTCTGTAAAAGAAATTCAATAATGCTGCCCAAGCAAAATATACTTATGCATCATAATTCTAGCCTTGGGCCTCCTGATTAGTGAGCTAGCACCTTACTCTCTAAACCACTGTGGTCCCCTCTTAAAAATATGTATAATTTTATTTTTGGTTCAAATAAAAAAAGGTCAAGTTATTTTGAAATAACACTAATACTTACTAATATCTTGTGATTTTAACCTAGCATGATAAAAATAATGCTTTTTATCCACTGTTTCTGTTCCAGCATAAGGTCTTTCTATTCTCTTTCGTTTATCAACAGGTTCATCAGTATAGGGACCATATCTGTATCTTACAGAACCGTGATCAACATCAACTAATACTGGGGCATCTAAAATCATTGGCTGGCAAATAAAACATTGTTTCATTTATTATTTAATTGCCATGTCCATAGTCCATAGTGTTGATTCAATTGTAGACACAATTCATTTGAGAGAGAGAGAGAGAGATTAAGCCAACTTGACACAAACTAGGTAATTTTGGGACTAACATATGGTTCAATTTTATTTCAATAATTCGCTTGCACGTAAGAATCTTTAGCAGTGTTAAAAGCCCTTCATTTCAAATACTGCATGAAAAAAAAAGCACTCTTTTTAATGGTTTTGAGTTTCCAGTATATTGTTATATATGGATACTGTCGGTTAAGAATCTAACCTTTTATTGGGTCTTGATCATGAAATGCAGATTGCGAAGAGAAAACTACACTCGGTATCAAAAATCTATTTTTCTGATTGTTTATGTTGACAGTGTGTTTGTATATTAATCTTTCCTTTGCTGTTTGTAAGCAGTATTATTTAAAATGGGTCTTTAAGCAAGAGTATGATTCGTGGTCAGCTGGCAATGCATGAGAAATAATTGTGGCATGAAATGCTTAGAAAGTAACTGAAACTTTTAAACATAACTTCAATTGGGGTTGATTGATTTGAAAACCCTTTATTGAGTATGGTCTGAATGTGTATACATACTTCCCTTTTAGTAGTGACTATTCATGCACTTTTTCTCCCCACAATTTAATTTTGTCCCTTGAATTTGCTATTACAATATTACAAATTGTGAGTATCTGCCTGTCTGTATATTGTAGGGAACAATTATATACATTTTTAAATAGTTACATTTTCTATACATTGTATAAATCTGAAACCACAGACATGTCTTCAATCATACACATTGTGTATTACACAATCAACACACAATAAATAATAAATAACATTTTCTACACATTCAACATTGTATACAATTGTATTAAACGTTACAAATAGTTTATAAACAAAGTTGTATTTTCTGCACATTGTAAGCATACAGAAACATATATCATGGTATTTTTTAAATATTATGTAGAAATCGAATAGATCTGATTTTGCTATAATGCACAAACTGTATGTTCTACACATAGAATCATATTTACCTTTAATATCATATTTTGAACATATAGAAATGTTATCTACCTTTTTATTATTGTGCGACAAATTTTCTGAATATACTAAACGAGGGTTAGCAGGTGCCCCTTCCCTTGGATTACTGCTGACACCATTTCCCATGGTATCTAATTATTTCATAGAAAAGTATATAAATAAATAACTCGAATTCGTCAGTTTAATGACAACTTTCTATAATCATGTTTTGATATACACTTCTGGCAAGGCTGGTTAACAACCATGTTGTTTACAGTTACAGGCCCGCACTACTAGGTTGTTCACGAGCAAATTCTGCAACTTCACGTTTTACGTACATTTACAGTTTTTTGATTAGGCCTACGGATAAAATAAAAAATACTGGTTAATTTATATGTCAATACTTTTCTCTAATTGACTAAAATAGATTAATTTTATTGATTTGTTCTCAGCAGATATAAATTCATTTTGTCAGGGAAACATTCTTTGCTGGCCGATTTAATGGCACAAATGATAGAACGCCTTGCGACTGGATGAGAGAGAATAAGGTTAACGGTTAATTTAAGGTCATGGTTCATTTACAATGTTAATGGTCATGTGATGACAAAATGGCGGCTCTTATGTTTACAGTTACTCCCAGTATACAAAAAGCAGTTTCTTTGATAAACAACATCGAAAAATCAAAAATATCTTTGCTGTTAACAAGAATTCTGTCAAAGCTTTACATTGTGGAGAGTCGACCATTTACTGATGAGGAAGAAGAAAAGCTGCAAGGGGCGTTGGGAGTTTCCTCTGAGGAATTGGAACTCGTTTTGCAAACATTAGAATTTTTTGTCCAGCAAGCAGCTTATCATTCTGCGAAGCCACAAGTTTTATCGTCTCAGTTAAAAGAACTTCAAATTGATGATGATAAAGTTGAGTGTATTGCCGAAGTTTGGACAAATGGTGCTTACGGTGTGATTAATAGATTGAAGAGTAAAGGACTGGCATGTAAAAAGTTAGAAGATATTAATTGGAGATTGAATCTTCAACTAGCTCAGTCAACCAAAGTCAAACTGAAAGCACCAAATACGTTATTAGAATTGGCATTGAAAAGTGATGATGATGAATCAAAAGAAAGAATTCGCTTAGACTTTTCCCATGAGGAACTTTATCAATTTTACAAACAGTTAGAAACTATTCAACAACAGCTCGACACACTCTTTAAATAATGGGATATATATTTTCAATCACAACTCGGCTAAAGTTAAAACTGATTTATGGGACAAATTGATGTTCCTATGTTGCTAATTCTTGACGCATTATAAGAACTGAGGAAATCATGTGTGGTGGATCCTGACCAATGTTTTAATCATTAGAGTACATAAATAATGGCAAAGCCTGCATTACTTGGCAATACAATACCAAGGTTTATCAATTATTCTAGTTAACTTGACAATTAATGCATGGTTAACAAAGTAATTAAAGAATGTTTTTCAATATATTTATATCTTATTCTTAAACAATCAGATTAAATTACAGATCTATATTTCGTTTTTTTTTTTTACTTTCGATAACCTCTACTACATGAAGATCTGACCAGTTGTAGTGGGAGATTGTGTCAGGGGTCATATGAGCAGCTTTTAACCCTATGACGTCAGACATTTGATTAACCAATCATGCGTTGATATTTCTAGTAGGATACACACAGTTCCGTCATGCATGGCACGCCAAGAGCTCGCTGAACACGACCAAAAGATAAGTAAAACAAAATTTTGAACTATAAAAAACTTAACTTAATAGGGTCTGTGTTTTAATCAGATTGATTCTTAAAATGTACCATTGTCAGGCAACAAATACATATACACCAGCAGCATTTTGAAATGAAATGGTGTTTATCGGCCTACTTTTATTTTTTGCACCGACTGGGCTAATACCATGCAGTGTGCTATGAGTAAAATCTTGCCCTGACAGCAGCATTATGGCATAATTATTTTGAATTCAGACCATCTGGTTCTTTTATGCCCTGCACAACAGACAAAGAGAAACCATTCTGAAAAATCACAATCTCGACCAATTCCAGGAGCAAATTTCAGACCGCCATTTTAATCGGGGTTCAACTTTTGGGGGGACAGGCAATAACTATTATAAAATTGATAAGTGACTCTGAATTTTGCAAGAAATTCCTGTTATGACTAGCCGAACAAAAACCCTCAAAAGCTTTGGTGATGAGGCAGGAAGTGGTTTCTCCTTACGACTGAATAATTGAACAATTCCAGCAGTTAGGAAAAATATTATCAAGTCCTCTAGCCTTTGAAGTGAATGGGGCAATAGCTCTGCATTGAACTGAAGTGTGGCTCTAAAATTTGATAGGGTCCCTTCTGATTATTAACCATAAATCCCAGCAAGTTAGGAAAACAAATCTCAAAATCTATGTGTTGTAGTGTTCTCCACAGAACTAACATAATCCGAAAAATCTCAAAAACTGTTATCTTAAGAGCGTGTATGTTTTAATGACAGATGCGGTAGCTGCAAAAAATCAATTTCAATATGGTTCCTCCCGCCATAGGAATAGAACAATCCATAAGTTTGAATGAAAAATCTCAGATTCCACATTGACCTGAAGGGCATTTACAAGGTTTTGGTGATCAGTAATACTAATAGGGGCTTTTCTCTCTTTGCACTTTTGATAGGGTTTCTCCTTACCCTTTGGGACTATTTGAATAACTTCTGTAGACTATAACCTATACATGCCCTCCAAATGAGCCTGCCACTGTTTCTAACTGCAAAATAATAAATGGCAAATACTGGACATACGTAACTACATCATCTCTGCTAGACAAATGTCTTCCATAATACAGGTTTAACCAGCGGTTAGAGTATAAAAGAACACTTGATGGCAGCACTACAGCAAAGATAATCTTTAGATCTGGCCAATAGTTAAGAGAGGTCATCGATTTGTGCAAATGACAAACATGTAGATGTATAAAGATGAAATTTGTCATACTACTAAGTACAAGTGAGAGTAATTTTTTGGGGGAAACATGGTAATAAGTCTATGCCAGACAGAATAATTTGTCGTCATAAATTTAGAAATACACGTACACATTTTTTGTTCATCGATGACTGTGATAAGATTGTCTTTTAACAAGTTCCCAGCATCCCACCCGAAACCGAATCTATATTATATCATGTATTCAACATACAGTATTTTGAAGGCAAGGAAATCAACAACAGAGTGGGTCATGTGCACTCAATACTTTTATGGTTTAAAGTATTGATGGTGATAATAATGTAATTAAAATCAATTTAATTATTTTAATTTTATATTTTTAACATACTGATACATAAAAATAGAATAATTTTAAAATGTATATATATATATTTTTGAAAGTTAAATTATAAAATAATACAATGTAGTTTAAATTAGACATTATTTTGATGATGGAATATACTGTAATATCATAGTCAGATCCAAAATCAATAGAAGACAAGCCTATTGATTTTTAACAATGTATAATAGATGTACATTACAAATATTGTGCCAATTTATTAATGATTTCCAATTACATTGTCCTATGAGTATAAAAATTTATCTTTCTCTGAAATATAGTTATTTCTAATAACAGGAAATTATTAGGCTCTGAATGATTGATAAGCCCACAATAAATTAGACATTATTTTGATGATGGAATATACTGTAATATCATAGTCAGATCCAAAATCAATAGAAGACAAGCCTATTGATTTTTAACAATGTATAATAGATGTACATTACAAATATTGTGCCAATTTATTAATGATTTCCAATTACATTGTCCTATGAGTATAAAAATTTATCTTTCTCTGAAATATAGTTATTTCTAATAACAGGAAATTATTAGGCCCTGATTGATTGATAAGCCCACAATAAATTAGACATTATTTTGATGATGGAATATACTGTAATATCATAGTCAGATCCAAAATCAATAGAAGACAAGCCTATTGATTTTTAACAATGTATAATAGATGTACATTACAAATATTGTGCCAATTTATTAATGATTTCCAATTACATTGTCCTATGAGTATAAAAATTTATCTTTCTCTGAAATATAGTTATTTCTAATAACAGGAAATTATTAGGCTCTGATTGATTGATAAGCCCACAATAAATTAAACACCAACTTTGTAGCAACCTACTTTATAACAAACTACCAAAAAGTCATTTTTATACTCCCACAGGGAAATGTGGTGATATTGCTGTCACCACTGTCCGTCGTCTACAATTTCTTGCAAACACTCTACAGACCACATTTATTATCTGATCAGTTTGAAATTTATATGTATTGTTTACATTAATGAGACTAATGGCCTTTATTTCATTTGTTGAACTTTCTGAATGCTCTAACAATTGAACCGTGTTAACACTCTAACTACAAAAGTTATCATCCGATCTGTATTAAATTAAAATGCATTATTGAGATTAGTAAAATGAAGAAGCCTATTAAAATTAAGCAATTTCAGTTTATAATTTCCACAGTTATGGCCCTTGTTACACTTTGCTGATCCTTGTCAACTTTCGATCTGTATGAAATTGACATCTGTGTCTTGTAAATTACCTACACAACCCTTGACGACTGCTCGGATGATTTAGCTGATATGGACCTATGTTTCGTTGCCTGCAACCTATCTTTTAAGGATATGGACAATTCTTTTATAAATCACTGTTATGCGACCAATCAAAAATTTGAAATAAAAGAAATTACATTAAATTAATCAGTATAATAGTAAAGTAATACTCTGATTATATAATGTGACTTAAAGAGACAATTTTAAAAAAAACCCAAAAAACAACATAATAATATACAGGTCACAATAGGCTATGCAGGAAAACAATTTAACATAATAATACACTACACAGATACAATATCTTAGTAAGAAAATAAGATTCTCAGAGTGATTTATTTGGCAATAATATATTCATACATCCATACTTGACATTTGGCAAATATTGGTATAATTTTTTAAAAATATACTAAACTAAACCGATCACACAATATGCCATCCTGTCCTAAAAGTTTTTCTTAATGTTTTCTTAGCATAAAAATGATCTGTATTCTGACATTAATATTTACATACAAAATTATCTGCTTTTTCTATCAATCATCTGTTCACAAATATCACAATGGAATTTACCTCTTTGATTTAGGCCAAACTAAGTGTTGAATTGTGGTGATCTAACCTTAATTCTTTTAATTATAGTTTTTAGTTCAACTAAAAATAGGTTGTATCTCAACATTGATACAAACAATGCAAAATGTATCAACAAAACAATATCAACACTTTATTTTTCACTCAAATCAAAGAGGTATTATTTTAATTTAAATAAATTACATAAATATCACAACTGATCCATCACATATATGGAAGGATTTAATGAAGCATTTTTTTTCAAGCTAGCTAGCTAGCTATCATCTTTTTTCACTGTCTCGTAATTTATTAAACATAATGGTAAAATCTGATTTGAACTAAAAACAACATATTCCTGACTAAACATGGCTTCTCCATTATCACAAGGTTTATATAACCTGCCAGGAACCTAAAAAACAAAAAAAAAAACCAAACCATAAGTTGATTAAAACTGGACATTTATAAGTCTAATATAAACTAATGTTCATGAAATCTGACCATTATTTACAACAACGTTCACAAACAGCCTAGGGCAAAACTTATAACACCAGAACACAATGTCTGGTATTTTCTGTGAGTCTGGGATACGGGAAATAAGAGTTTACCGGTAAGCGTTTAACATGGTCATGGAAGAAATGTGCACACTACTTAACTGATTCCAAATAAACAAATCGTTAGTCCCAAGAATTTGGGACATTTATGAAATACATGTATATTATACTTACAATAATAGAATCACATCCATCACCAGGTTCCAGTCTGCTTCTATCTGGTTTAGTGACCGTTTGCACAGCACCTAATCCTACTTCTGCTAAAATCAATTTTCCTAGCTATAAAAAAATGTATCAAGCAAATTATATGTATTGTGATCGATTGGCAAGCATTGTTATAAATTTAGTAAACAATATTCACAACCTTCTTGCCCACTTATTATAAACAATAAAAAAAACCTTATTATTAGTATTGCAAGTTGACTAAAGGAAATGTAGGCATGTACATGTATATCAAACATAAGTTCCAAGGCAACAAAACATATGCCTATAGCAGCTAAGTCATGGGAGTAGTCCATAAAGGTTTCCATTAGTAATAACACTGATGAATAATTAAAAAATCCTTGAAAATCAACAGGTTTCTTTGCCACATAAACATATACAAATTTTGATGGGAGGGTAACTTTAAGGACAACAATATACGACCACGTGTAAATCCTTCTGCTGCGTTGGTTTGATTTAAACCACATCTCCACAGTTTTAAATTTATTACGAATCGAAACAATACCATTTACCTACAACAGTAAAATATTAGGAAGATGCACCCATTTTTACAGACCAAAGTCGAAAAGGCATTTTAAATTGCATCCAGGGTAATATATAGAGGGATAACTCGTGTTTTCCTTTTGCATTCGTCACTTCCTATTGTTGAAACATTGATTACTCATCTATCGTCGCAATGATCTCTGTGATAAAATAATATTTGGAGTGTGTTTAACCAGTTCTATCACATATGTGATAATGACTGGCACCAATATTGTCCTTTAACTTCCAAAGTATTTATGGCAATGAATTATGTCAGAATTCTGGTCATGTGGTGCATTCTAATCGCTTGGATGGCCTTTGGTTTGCTTACTTTTTACCACGACTTGCAGTATCTTTAGATGATTGAATATCAAATACTAATTAATTCTTAAAGCTCAAACTTTCACAGTTTGTGGTTTGGAAGGTAAGGACTGAAATGAAAATAACAAATTATGGCCAAATAGAAATGACATGCAGCTATTGACTCAAGTTCCTAGCCAACTATAGCAAATAAATCAAAGAAAATTAAAAACTTACAGCTGAGAACTGGGCTGCCTTTGATGGATATTTAGAGAAATATATTCCTTTCCCAAATTCTCCATGAGTAAAATCTGAAAAAAAAAAGAAGAAAACATTAGTAAGATCCTCTTTCATTCTCAGAATTTGACAGAACAAATGAAATTTGTTTTAAATTTATTCTTTAAAGAGAGGTGCAACATGTACAACACAGCCAAGAAAAAGAGACAATACTATAACCGGTATATGCTATCCATTGGTCAGTTACAACCAGAATATAGGGTATAATTTGGGTATCTTGATGACCGCTGTGGAGCTGTGTAACAATCTGAGGCTTTTAACTGGATTAACTAATAAATGAGAGAGAGAGAGAAATGGGGTTTAAGGTCCACTCAACAAAACTAGGTAATTTCAGGACTAACCTATGACTTAATTTGATTTAATAATTTGCTTGTGCGTAAAGGGTCTTTAGCAGTTGGCGGAAACCAGAGAACCTGGAGAAAAACCTCCAAGGTTGTCACGCACAAGTGGGAAATCGATACCACGCCAGTTGACTCAATGACAGACCTTGTGATCCAAAGCACATGGCGCACGCGTTAACCATTCGGCCACCCAACTCATAAATGAGATACATGTCACTAACTTTCAGAAGAACAGACAAGGATTGTAATATTTTTCACACCAGACATGAGAAGATGTTTTATGTTTATACATGTTGTAAAATAATTACCATCTTGTGTAAAACCAGTAAGTATGATATCTTGTAATCTTTGTGGTCGAATTAATCCACCACAATAATATAACTGTGTTACCATACTTGGATCACGTAAAGTCTGGTTATGTCTCTGATAGGAATCTTTAACATCTGAGGATAATATTGACTGATGAAGGAAAGAAAAGTTAACATTTATTAAAAACTCACTTTTAGTTTGATTTTGTGAGAGATTTTGTGGAGATTAACCTGCACTCGATACAAACTAGGTCATTTCGGGACTAACAGGGTTCAATTTTATTTCAATAAATCGCTTACGCGTACAGGTCTTTAGCAGTGGGAGGAAACAGTACGGCCAAGAGAAAATCTACGAGGTTGGACAGGCGACCCTACTCCTTGTCACGTACAACACGAGTTGACTCAATGACAGGCCTCATGGCGCAGAGCGCGGGCGCTAACCATTTGGCCATCAAACCCCCCAGTTTGATTTTGTAGAAATAGTTCAAGTTTCTATATGGTGGAAGTTTAATACTCAAACGAATAGAACAGAAGGTTAGACCAGATCCAACTTGAACACAATATTCCTCTTTAATAAAAATACTTCATTCCATCATTCATTTAAATATATAAAGGATCAACAGAATATGGGAATGATCTTATTCAATCATCATTTGGATTGCTCAAAGATGTCTCCATAAATATTGAAGGGGTATGTTTATAACTGTGAATATTTATCTTTGGATTAGCTTTTGTATCAATGACTACACCCTTAACTATCTTCTTCATACATGTTCTGACTGTGCACATTCACACATGATTATGGGAGGGGGGTCACGGTGGTTAAGTGGGTAAGACGCTGGCTCACTAGTCTGGAGGTCGGGTGTTCGATCCCTGCACTGGCCGAGAAAGTTCATCCAGATTTACGGCGAAGTTTCCCCTTGTCAGTGATGCAGGACGGAAGTCCTGCGAGGACAGCTGTCTAGTCGTTCGGATGGGATGAAAAACCAAGGTCCTGTGTACACATGGTGTGCACGTAAAAGATCCCTTGGCAGTTGGAATTCGATATAAGAGTAGGCTGTTACGTAGTGCCGCTGCCCAGGCAAAATTCCCTCATAGCACACTGTATGGCGTATGCCCGTCTTCAGTGGCCCAGTTCAGAGCATAACAGTAGGATGTTAAACCCATATTAAGAGATAATGTACTAAAATGCTTATGTATGGCCGTGGCAGTAATACAGAACATGTTTACTAATGTAATACATTTTACCTTGTTTATTGATGTGACTTCAAATTGTATTTTAATACTGGGATCGGAATGCATAGCATCTTTAAACTGTTGAGTTGTATCGTAGAAAAAAGCAGCGTCTATCATATGGTCGTATGGTTCTTGTTGACTACGCACACGCATATAAGGAAATGCAATTGAACTTCCATCACCTATTAGACAGAGAAAGTAATATTAGAAGGGAACTAACCCTTATTTTCAATGAAATACACTAGAGTATAAGAGAGAGAGAAATGGGGTTTAACATTCACGCCATATAAACCAGGTCATTTTGGGATTAACAATAATTTGCTTGTGAAGTTGTATGTAGGAGTCTTTAGCAGCAGGAGAAATCCAGATGACCAGGAGAAAACCCACAAGGTTTGACAGGCGACCCTACACCGTGTCACATACAAGCATGGAATCGAAACCATGCCACGTAAATCAATGACAGACCTTATGCTCTGAAGTGAACACAAATTATGAAGAAATAATAACTGTATATGCAAGTATATGGAGTCATGAAATTATTTATTTCCAAATCTTGCTTGGTCGAAAGATCTTCAGCTGCATTTACACATTCAAATTTCCAAAAATATAATTGAATAATTATCATCAATTGGTTTTTTACTACATATTGGTAATGATTAGTAATAAACAGTTAAAACTCTCACCAAAACGTGTTGTATTATGTGCACCATTTTCTAATAATCTGTTCTTGTGGATGTCCATTTTGTCAACTTGCTGTTGTAATTCATTAATTAAATCTTCTGTAGTGATATCATCATCTATATCTATAAAATGTACAAGTCATTCGTTCTTGTTAGAAACAAATATATAACTACACATACTAGAGATTCAAATGGCATAAGGTGAAAATATACAACTACATGTACTAAAGATCCTAATAGATTAAAGTTTTCAATGGAAATGTTCTTGTTAGAAAAAACATCACAACATGCACTAAACATACTAATGAATGCATTGTGCATTTTTATTTTAAACCAGCGGTTGCCAGGAAAGATACACCCACACTATTTAAGAGATGGAAAGAGAATAAGCTAAGCAAAAACACGATTTTTTGTACAATCTGGGACCATAATCAAATAACGGCCTGATATGCATGAATATCGAAAGGAACCAAGATCTTTTGGATATAAACATATATTTTAAGTTCCATCAAGATTGGATAAAAACTGTGACTTCTAGAAGGTCCACTACCTTGGTATTATATACTTTTACACTATTTGCGTACAAGTAGCAGCCATTTTGTTCAAGTAGTTTTGCTCCGATTTTCATGTAATTTAAACTCAACCTTCATTGAGGTGTAACAGTGATATATTGAATACAAATAGTGACTTCTTGAAGGTCCACAAGCTAAAACGTGATTTTTCAAACAATCAGGGGCCATAATCCAGGAAGTTACATTCCAATATGCATGATTATCGAGAGGAACCAAGATCTTTGTGATATAAACATACATTGCAAGTTGTTTCATAAAAATCAAATAAAAATTGTCACTTCTAGAGGGTCCACAGCTTGGTATTACATACTTTTACAATGTTTGCGTACACGAAGCGTCCATTTTATCTGGTAGTTTTGGTTGGATTTTTATGAAATTCAAACTCAACATTCATTGAGGTGTAACGGTGATATATTAAAATGGTTTTTAAAATTGAATCAAAAATGTAACTTCTAGAGGGTCCACAAGCTAAAATCTTGATTTTTCAAACAATCATGGGCCATAACCCAGGATGTTTTCTTCCAAAATACATGATTATCCAAAGGAACTGAAAACTTTGTGATATAAACATAAATTTAAAGTTTTATTAAAATTAGATCAAAATTGTGACCTCTACAGGGTCCACAACCTTGATGTGACATACTTTTACACTATTTGCGTGCGTGTAACAGTGATATCTTTAAACATTTTTTTAAATCGGATAAAAATTGTGACCTCTAGAGTCTTGAGGGACCACAAGCTAAAAAAGTGATTTTTCGTACAATCAGGGACCATAATCCAGGAAGTTACGGTCTGATATGCGCGATTATTGAAAGGAACCAAGATCTTTGGGTAATAAACATACATTTCAAGTTTAATCAAAATCAGATAAAAATTGTGACCTCTAGACAGGGGCAATGACAATATACGTCCACATTTTTCACGTGGACGTATAAAAGATATATGACAACTGACACTAAATGTCATAAAGATTTTACTAATGATTAACCTAGAACAATGACAATATACGTCCACATTTTTCACGTGGACGTATAAAAGATATATGACAACTGACACTAAATGTCATAAAGATTTTACTAATGATTAACCTAGAACAATTTCCGCAGCAAGATTAATACTTTTATTATTAGACCACAAGCAAATGATTCTACTATGTTTTACCCGGAAAAAATATTAAAACTAGTAAGAATGTAGCAGCAACATGTGAATAGAGCCCATATTGCATACAATAATTTTATGGTTGTATGTTTATGTGGCATATAAGCTGAATGCTACAAATGTTCCAACCTTAACCATAGATAAATCAAAGATGAATCATCACTGTCTAATGTTGTGTTGATTGTAGAACAATCACTGGTCAACAATTAACATCAAAGAAATGATAGATATACTATTAATATCTCAAATTGTATTATTGTAGCAATTTCACAGTACCTCCACTAGAAACAATCTGCCTATTGACTGCTTGCTGTACTTTCCATATTCTAAACGTCCGTAATTCTTTTTCTGACAAAAAAAAAAACCCACAAACTTATCAATGTATATTGTATAAAATTATAACTGCTGAGAAAAGAGCAAAGTGAAGCAAAAAAAAAAAAAAATAGTTCTTAAAATAATATTTACTTCTTAATTTCAATGAAAACAACCAATATCAATTTTAAAAAATATAGAGAATCTCCTACAAGTCTTTTTTAATGTCAAAAAATATTACTACTATATCGATGTTTGTTGATATTTTTTGATATCAAAAAAGATGAGTAGAAGATCTTATTTATCACCCAAACCTTTTTTACACGCACAAATAAATAAATTGAATTCTTTGGTATAGATTTTATTTAATGTAGAATATGAAAGTTACCACACAAGCGATATCTACTGTAGAATGTGTTATTGGGTGATAAATGCTGATTATTGTAGCCTGTAGTATACAGGCAATATAACAGGAATAATGACATATTTTTTCAATAAAATGTCTCTTTGGGATACAACCTATCTTATCTACAACTACTATGATATTTATACATACCTAGAGAAGATTTTTCTTGTTTGATTCTTTCATTGTCTAATGCCAACGTGCTAATAATTTCATCTTGTGATTTTACCTATTAAATGTACAATACCAGACAATAAAATAAATATACATTGTCAGACAATAAAATATTTGCCCAACAGCCAATAAGTTGTCCAAGCAGTCCATAAAGAATGTCACTATTTGAATGTTTTGGTAAAAATCTACTGATGAACTATGAAATTTCTGTCTCATGAAAAAATAAACTACGCAGAAAGTTTCAACAATAAATCTCAGAAACTGTGAGTGTCCCAAAATGTATAGCTTAGAAGACTTTGAAGACACTGGTGAATGATCTGCCAATAATTCTGATTACCTTTTTCTGTAATTGTAATATTTCGTGTTTCATTCTCATAATACATGACATCTGTGCTTGATAGGACTCTAAGGTTTTATCTTTCCTGAAAACAGATACAGGGTATAAGAAAGATTCCATTTCCAGGACAAAACTATGTGGTCTACTTGTGTAACATAAACTATAGTTTATTTCATCAATTCCATAAAATGCACAATCTGATTAAAATACAGATCTATATTTCATTTCGTTTTTTTATACTTTCGATGGGCTACACTACATGAAGATCTGACAAGTTATAGCGATAGGTCACATCACGGGTCAAAAGACCGACTTATGACCCTATGATGTCAGACATTTGATTAACCAATCAGCATTGATGTTACTAGAGAATTACCCACAGTTGCGTGAAAAACACGCCTAAAGCTCGCCGGAACAGACTGTTTCATTGTCTTATCCCTGACACCATTCAGAACACGAGTTAAATAACAACTCTTCCAGATCCAAGTGTAGAAAAGACAAGTAAAACGAAATTTTGAACTATAAAAACAAAACGAAATAGGATCTGTGTTTTAACCAGATTGTAAAATGCATAAATGTAATATTTTCAATTCCGGAAGTAGACCTAATTACAATTTTGTTCAGTTGAACTTAGTTAATGTTTGATATTATGAGAAACTACTAGGAAAAAATTTGGATAAAATTAATTTTCAACTGTCTATTTTACATTACTTTTTCAAAAAAAAAACCCCAATATACTTACCATTTCTTTAATTCTTGTTCCATTTCAAATGCTTCAATACCTGGTAGACTAACTGTACTTAGAAGAGAATGACCTGAAATACATACCGGTAATCAATGTAATTGCCTTATTTGTGTAATACTCTGATGTTCCCCATCTTTTCACAGCAATTGCTCATACATTTTCTTCTTTTTGGAAAATAAGCTATAATAAGATGTAAAACTGTAAGGATTCTAAATTGTGGATTTGGCGGATATGTACATAGAATTCTTGAAGGTTAACAGCATGGAACTGAGTTTTACATGACAAGATTATGCATTGTATGAGAATCAATTCTTTATAATATGTCTTGAAATGTAACCATCAATGATACAATATTTTTAATCATTGACCAATAATTTGGAATTTTGACTGACCTGTAAAACCTGGTAAATAACACATTAAAGTACAATTTGTAAACTGTTCTGCTAATTCACTGAAATATACATAGAAACATATTACATAACCTGTAAACCACAACATTTAGTTTGGGTTGTTTTCTTATTTTGCTTATTTTGATTTTAGAGAAAAATTCATATAAAACATAAACAAGCTAACAGTGAGGCTGATGTTGACCGCCGAAATCCCGAAATAAATAGATGACACATATTAATTAATCGCACATTTATTGTTTTCAAAAGTATTGAACAATCAAACTGATTATCAACTATACACTAAGTTTCATCACTCTCTATCAGGTAGAATCAAAGTTATCTTGTCCCAAAGCATCGACAAAAGAAAATGCTTAACTCTGCTTAGCTTTAGCTCGAAATGTTAATCATTGAACTCGGTCAAAACATTCACCTAATGAACATCTACATCAGGTTTAAACATTCTACCTCACTTAAAATCAGAGTATTTATGTTCCAAAGTCTTGACCAATCAAAGTGCTTATTGCTCCTTAGAGTCTAAGGAGAAAATTCTCATCATCGAACTTATACTTGGAGTTTCATCACTCTCACTTAATTAGAACTAAAGTCATCGTGTCTCAAAGCATCAACCAATCAAATTGCTTATCTCTGCTTACTGTAAGCAGAAAATGCTCTTTTTCGAACTCCATCAAGGCATTCACCTAATAAACACCTACACAAATTGTGAACATTCTAGCTCAATTAGAATATTCACACTTTATCGCTCTGCATACCCTGAGCAGAAAATGCTCATTATCGAACTTAGTCAAGGTATTGATGTAACAAAACCATACACCAAGTTTCATCACTGTTACTTAATTAGAACTAAAGTTATCATGTCCCAAAGCATCAACCAATCAAATTGCCTATCTCTGTTTACCCAAAGCAGAAAATGCTCATCATCGAACTCCATCAAGGCATTAACCTATTAAACGCCTACACCAAGTCTGAACATTGTAGTTCAATTAGAAGGAGGGTTTTTGTTTCCCCCAAAAGTTTGACGATCAGGCAGACGGACCGACGGACGGATCAGACTGACAGACCAGACAGGTAGACAGGCAGACCCATTTTAATAGTTTTAGCTATTTATTACTTTATATTACATGTACAAGTTGTATACCCAAGATTCACATACCCATATTTCATTTAAATTATATTCATTTCTCTACAACAATTTGGCATATTGTTAAATAGACCAAATTCTTCCTATAATGGCTAATTTTTTGTTGTTGAGAAATCCTGCTGTGCAGTGTATTTCCATACATTGCATGGTTATTTTTATCACAATACATTCATTAGAAGTAAAGTTATTGTGTTTCAAAGAATCAATAGCAGCAGACGAATGAAATATGTTTAAACAACTTATTTGAATGACTGTGATAACAAAGAGCTATATTAAAAGTTTGATCAAAATCTTTCACTATAAAGAAAGAGTGTTACGGAGGTACAAAAAGATAGATCACAGTTATGCACCTAGATTACACAGACTATCCATAATCTGCATACCGAATTATTCTATCAGATCTGATCTGGTGCACCCCTAAAATCCAACATTCTTACCTCCATCTACTATTTAGTACAAGATCATCAGAAAACCCAAATTTTTGGAAAAAGTCTACAGCACCATTATCAGCATGTACAACTACAGCTTCATATTGACCTGTTACAGCTGGATCTACTACTTGCTAAAATAAAAACAGTCAAAAACAGATCAAATATTTATCAGCTAATTTTCAAAATGACTTTTGCAAATAATCAAAATCAAAGTTGTAAGTCAAAGAGATGACAAGGCCGGTAAATTTTCTGCACAGATTATATAAGCACTGCTAAAATTTTGCCAGATGAATGTATGATACAGCATTCTAATGACTTGTACAATTTACTGGAAATGTACTTACTGATAAAAGAAATTTTCCAATTCCATATTTCCTATATCTTGGTCTAACTGTCAATATTGTTAAATGAATCACTCTTTCTCTGTGTCTCCTGAAACAGCATTATCAATTAAAGTACATTCACAAAAATATAACAAAACTCTAGTCATTGGTGCTTTTCATCATACACAAGTACGTTTTGTATTTATATATTATTGCAGCCTCTATTGTGCATGCCCAACAGCCAGCAATTGACAACACATTAAAAATTGATGTATAAAGATTAACTTACACATATTTCTTTTCAAATGTTAAACACCCAATAATTCTATTTTCCACACCAATGTCATTTTTGTCTATTTGTTCCTCTTTTTCATTTCTAATTTTCCGTCTCTTTGATGCTGATTTTATAAAAGAATTGATTCCATGAGAAAAATCATCTTCATCCTCACTAGAAAGAAAAAAAAAATTATAAGGCATCAAAACCACCAGTCATCTATCCAGTCAGTCAATAAATGAAATGAAATGAAATGATATGCACTCACAAATGAAGATGGGCATACGCCATACGGTGTGCTATGACGGAAATTTTACACACAGAGCGGCGCTATGGCCTACTCTTATATCAAAATCCAACTGACAAGGGCTCTTTTACGCACATGGCATTGTGTACACGGGACCTTGGTTTTCCATCCGAATGAATAAATCAATAAATGTAGAACTGTGATTTCTGTAGGAAAAAATAGCCAAAATTACAACTAGTGAAAGTTACCCAGTCAGTAAGGCATTGGCTCAATAAAAAAGGTCAATGGATCGGATCCGGCGTTGGCCGAGAAAACTCTTTGGGATTTTCCACTCGTCCATGGTACAGGAAGGAGGACGGACCCAATGTAAAAGCGACTGTTCAGGCAAATTTTCTTTCATTGAACACTGCATGATTTATGTCTGTCTTTTTAAGCCCGGTTGATGCAGAAAAGTAGGATGTTAAACTTCTAATCTCACTAATCTGAACAATGCATAGAAATCTCAAGCAGAGTGAATAACTTTTGGTATGTTCACATATCATACAATGGTAGTAAGGTCGACAATCACTCTAGAATAAAGTACCAGGTAATGGACATTTTAACCAACCAAATCAACGTGTATAACATTCAAGCAGATCAGATGATATCTTTTGTCACTAAAGCATTCACAAGGCTGATGCATGACAATGAATTTCAATAGAGTTCATCCTTAGCAAATTTGATAGTTTTAATGCCAAGAGCGGTTGTACAACAATATAGAACTACATCCAGAAGGCATATAAACAGATCTGAGATAACAATAATAATATTTATTATTTAACGCCAATTACATCAACATCAATCTCAATAGGCGGTACAATATAAAGTGAAAAACAATAAAATATCACAGAGATATGTATTTAAAGAACATTTACGTTAAAAAGTAGATCCACAATTAAAAGAAATAACTCTGAAAAAAAATTCTAAGAACAAAACAAAAATTTAAAACCGCTTAAATGACTTAAATATAATAATTAAAACTGACAGTAAGCTATGGTAAAAAGATGAGTTTTTAGTTGGCATTTAAAAGAAATAACTCTGAAAAAAAATTCTAAGAACAAAACAAAAATTTAAAACTGCTTAAATGACTTAAATATAATAATTAAAACTGACAGTAAGCTATGGTAAAAAGATGAGTTTTTAGTTGGGATTTAAAAGATTCAAGTGACAGTGCATTACAGATGTTTAAAGGTGTGGCATTTCTAAGATGAGGGGCGGCAATAGAAAACGCTTGCCTGCTATAAAATGTAATCGCATGAGTGTTTGCAAAAAATTGAGGATGGTAACAATGTTATCAATGTTATAAGTCCAGATTTTTAAGTGACTGTATTCTATTTGTAGTAGTCAGGGTATATGAATATGATAAGAAAAAAAAATTGATTTGCAATTATTGGATGTTTAAAAAAAAGTGCTGATCAATCTGAAAATTTGATTAGCAGTTCCTCTTGATTAAATAAGTAAATTTTCACAGTATTGTATTCAACGATCTCTAAACGCCATTAATTTCTGCTGATATACAACTAATGTTTATGTGTGTATAGGGGCTTCCATTCCCTTTAACAGACTTCAACTACGAATAGTTTTATGTTATGTAGCATATCATGTTCTGAATACAAAAACCAGAGGTTGCCAGGCAGGATACGCCCACATTTTGCAAGAAATGGACTGAGAACAAGATAAACAAAAATGCGAATTTTTGTACAATCTGGGACCATAATCCAGGAAGTTATGTTCGGATATACGCATATAGCGAAAGGGTCATAATTAAGGAAGTTACGATCTGATATGCGTGAATATCGACAGGAACCAAGATCTTTGGGACATAAACATATATTTTACGTTTTATCAAAATCTGATAAAAATTGTGACTTCTAGAGGGTCCGCAACCTTGATATATCATATTTTTACACTATTTGCGTACGAGGGGCGGACATTTTGTGAGACAGTTTCGGTCTGATTTCTACAAAATTCAAACTCAACCACAATTAGGGTGTATCAGTGATATATTCAAACGTTTTTTTTAAAAAAAAAAAAATTGTAAATCAAGAGAGACTACAGGCTAAAAACGTGATTTTTCGTACAATCAAGGGACATAATACAGGAAGTTAAGATCCAATATGCATGAATATGGAAAGAAACCATGATCTTTTAGTTATAAACATGCATTTCAAGTTTCATCAAAATCAGAAGAAAATTGTGACCTATAGAGTGTCCACAAGCTAAAAATGTGATTTTTCATACAATCAGGGGCCATAATCCATAAAGTCATGGTCCGATATTATGCCAATATCGAAACAAACATAGATCTTTGGGAGATACACCTATATTTTAAGTTTAGTCAAAATCAAATAAAAATTGTGACATGTACAGTATCCACAAACAAATTGTAGACGGACGGACAAGGACAACGTCAATATATGTCCACATGAAAATGTGGGCGTATAGAAATGTGATTTATCGTACAATCATGGGCCATAATCCATGAAGTTATGGTCCGATACATGCCAATATTGAAAGGAACCGAGATCTTTGGGAGATAGACCTATATTTCAAGTTTCCTCATAAACGGATAAAAATTGTGACCTGTAGAGTGTACACAAACAAATTGTGGACGACAGACAGACAGACGGGGGCGATGTCCATATACGTCCACATGAAAATGTGGGCGTATAAAAATGTTCGTACGCAGTGGAACAGTAAATCACGTTTGTTAAACATTTTTTTCACGCTTAATTTGGGACAAGAAACTTGATTCACAGATTCCCTTAAATTTGATAACTTTCTCCTAATCAAATTAATATTTGATTCGCACTTACATTTGTTTTTGTTTAGCAAACTCTGATGCGAAACCGCTTATCATATTCCCTGGTAGTAGTTTTGTAACAATCAGAATTCTAACCTGTCTTCATCTTCTTCTTCATCTTCATCATCATCAGTGTCACTAAATACAGCTTCAAATTTACTAGGCTGGGATTCTTCTTCTTCAAAAATATCTTTTTCATTTTCAGTTTCAATGGAGTCTTCAATACTTTCCTTCTTCAATTCTTTATCTTTTACTGCTGTTTCTTCATTTAATAATGTTCCATCTTTTGAGTTTTTGTGCAGCAGTCTCTTTTTCTTTCTTTCCTCAACATCATTTAGTGCATCTTTAATAATAAATTTCCATTGTTTAAAACTAACAAAGGCTTCTCTATAACACGAATTTGCAGCCCAAATCCATAAAAAGCTACTGAAGCCGTCATCATATTGCCTAACATAAAAAAAGTTACTGAAGCCGTCATTTTATTGCCTAGCATAAAAAGCTACTGAAGCTGTCATTATACCGGCACCCTCATTACACTGCCTAACAGATGAGTTCCCAAAAAATAGAACATACTTACAATCTTCGTAAAAGTCAAATTATGAAAATCGGTCAATCCCAACAAAATGTTTGCAAATAAAATTTTGATCCCTGTTACATTATAATAATAATCAGTTATTTCTGCTGGCGTTGGGAAAGATAAAGCATTATTTATAAAGAAGTATTTGATCATACAAGTTAGCTGCAGTGTACAGTATGAAGTTGGTCTGCAATTCATATGAATTTCATACTACATAAAATCAATTTAACTCTCAAGGTGATCATGTCACTCCACCCTATCTACTGTAAAATTCATTCCTTTTACTAAGTTTACTCCAAAGTCTTTTTTATAATTGTTTATCAAAAGTTAGGTCTATACAATATCAAAAAAGGGTAATAAATTACCTTTTACATCTTGAACTAAAACAATTGTACGAGCCCATCGTTCACAAACTGTTGCATACAAAACATCTAATGTCATTTCTGATAAAGCAATATCATAAAGACCAACCACAGCATGTAGAAGATCACTGTTTGATATCTGCAACAAATAATTTTTATCTGATCAATGTTGTGATGATTTGATTAAAATTTAACTAATAGATTGAATGGCCTCAAAGACTTGAGCAGTCCATATATGTTCAATTTTTTCGTCAAATAATTCAAAGAAATCGAACATGTATGGAAGACATTGGCGGCGAATTAATTGAATCAATTTAATTGAATCAATTAATTGACGGATCAACGTTCCTTTGATGTTTATTGCCGACTCGTCAATTAAATTGACCAAGTGTGATAGTGCCAGAGATGCTTTCATCTCGAAGTTTTCGATCAGAATGAAAATTGACGCTAAAACATTGATCGTGTGTGGGCAAGGTCAATTTTGTCAATTAATTGATTGACAAAAAAATTGAACGTGCTTAGGCCGCTTAAGATTAGTTGAAACATTACCATCACTTTATTCAATCATGTCAACACAATCAACCCCGGTCAAATATTACTGTTTCAAGGTTCGTGATGCCATGATCTGACGCTTATACATGTACATATGTAACTCTATTGCTTGGAACCTTAATATAGACGAAAAGTTGAAAACATACGTAGAAAAGCAGTAATATAAACTGATTTACATTCGTTTTTGTTAAAATTTTATTGTTTTGCTTTGTTCTTCAAATATTTTCATCACAAATTGAGCTCAGGGCCATAGATAATAGTGTTCTTGTTAAATGTAAGATTTATATAAAGAGATGAGTGTTCTTGCTATAATAGTTTAAAAATAGATAATGAAAAATTAATACTTGATTTTCCATTTTATCATTCCTGCTTTCATAAATGATAAAATAACCCCCATGACCTTGTAAAGGAGAGCGATTTTCAATTTTTATTTTACAAGGGAGAAAAATCTCCCCTTGGTCGACATTCAGGTACGTGACAGGCGCTCCAGAGCAATCGTTCGCCTTAAAAAACAATGACTGTAGACCAGTACTGAATTCATACCATTGTCTTTGATGTTTAATGATTTGGATAAGAGCTATACTGCTATAGGCCTACACCTTTTCGGACTGATTGAATGCAAACTTCAAGATAAACTAAAACCAAACCACTGATCACTGATAGTATTTATTGTGCATGCTCTCCAGAAAAAAAATATGGTATCACCATTTGACATGACTTGTGGAATATGTCTAGCCTCGTTCTTCGAGTCCCTAGTGTGTAAAATGTTTATTTTTGTCTTAAATATTGGATATCTTTTGCTGTTGATTTAAATTGACAAATAATTCGTGTTTTCAATCTCAAAGACTGTGGATGATATTGAGTTAGAGTAGTGGTTCTTAATCTTTTTTTGCCAACCGCATACCTTGGAACACATGAAAAAATCACGGCACACCTGGCTAAATATATATGAAAAATATTTGAATTTTTAAAAATAGAAACATGGCAAGTCAGACGGAATACAACCGTAGACAGGTCATAGACACATAGAATGACTCTTGAAAACAAAAACACAGTATGAACTTATCAGTAGACACCAGTGAATACTCAATTGGGATCAGGTGGTTTTTCACATTTTCTTAGTGTGCCGTTCAAAATTTCGCACACTGGTTGAGAATCACTAAGATAGACACTTACATGTAGCTATGCCAGCTACGGTACTTTAAGTTTAAAGGAGCTAAATCGCTAATATTTGGGACCTAGAAATTGACACAAATGGGTCGCAACGCATATAATAATGTAATATTAATGTATATTAACTGATTTACATTCAATTGTTTCTGTTTTACTGTAATTTCTAATCATTTACATTTGGCCAAATGCGCCAAATAAGTCTCAATTAAATGACAACCTTTAGCGTCTGGTTATTCCAGTCTACGCTGATGGTATTTATTGCACATGCTCTCCAGATAAGAATATAGCGTCACCATTTGACACGACTTGTGGAATATGTCTAGCCTCGTTCTTTGAGTCCCTTGTTCCAAATTGCGCTAAAACGCATATGGCATGATATGGTACACGATTCGTGTACCAATTTGGCAATGGTAAAATGTTTATTTTGTCTTGAATATTGGATATCAGAAGCCCATCTTTTCCCGGTAAGATCACAAGAACAATGTTGATTTGACTTGACAAATAATTCTTGTTTTCAATGTCGAAGATTTTTGATGATATTGACTTGAGTTAGAGACTTCTTAGCTAGGCCTACGGTAGTTTAGTTTAAAGTTTTAAGCTTATGAGCTTATTTGAATTAAGCTTTGAAATTGTCATCTATTTTCTTTTGGTGAATGTGATAACACATCTATTAGCCTCCACCGAACATACATGGTATGCTGTGTAATCATATACTTACTCCTTGAATAACATCACTGTCATGGCAGGGATTTGTTTTATTCTGAAGTTGTAATATACGACGGAAGTCTACTATAACTGGATATCCTGATACAGTATTACCGCTTCTGTCCTTGAATTCTAATTTATCTGCAAGTTGGGAACCAGGGCGAATACTTGGTAGTGATGAGGCTTCGTCCAGATGTAACAAATCTTTAGCGAGTTCGGATAAATTTGAGGATATTCCATTCTCATTTGGAACTTTAGTGTTTTTGTCGGCCATATTATCAACATTACAGTTCAGCAGAAAATCGTCAAGCAATTGAGAGGAGATAACTTATGAAAAATAATCGACAGTTATCTCCCCTTAGACCACACTTTCGATGCGAAAAATCTAAAAGGTTAATTTTCAGCGAACCACCCACATTTGCTGTGTAATTTGCAGTAACAATTCAAGCCTATGAGTCTGCTATTTATAGGCCTACCATAGAAATATATTTCAATGATTCATACGGTTTAGTGTTAAACAAAACCCCCATTTTACCCATTCAAACACTGAAACAGAAACGTGTTCCGAAAAATAAAAAAAATTAAAATGTAAAAAAATAAAGTGAGGCTATGTAGAACATTGACACTGAGTGACTGACCCCATAATTAAGGCCCGAGTGGAAGCCCCCCCCCCCCCACACACACACACAAAAGTCCCATAAAGGGTCCTTGTTTTGTTGGCTAGGGAATGCACGTGCAGTGCACTGAATTCGGTGTATGGATATTCGTTTGTGTGGTCCTTATGGGAGTTGAAGTAAGACGTTGCTCGCTAATCTACAGATCCCGTGTTCCATCCCTGTTTTGACCGAGAAAGTTCATAGGGGTTTCCCTTTGTTAGTGGTGCAGAACAGAGAGCACGGCAAGGGAGAACAAAAATCGAGTTCCAGTGTAGGCTACACATAGGCGTAGGGCCTACACGTAAAATATCCCCTGGCAGTTGGAATTCGATATAAGAGTAGGCCGTAGCGCCCAGTTAGAATTCGAAATTTGCCATAGCACCGCTGTTCCGACTCCATAGCACACGTACGTACTATGGCGTATGCCCGTCTTTATTAGCCCAGTCGAAGCTGAATAGTACAGGACGCCCCCCCCCCCCCATTTCCATATGAACATTCCATACTGTTCTCAAGATTGACTCATAATACCGGTGACTGTTGCGGGGAGATATTGCTTTTGGTCGATATTTATGAAGTTATGAACATTGCTCACTTACCCAAATCACAAGGAAACTTATGCAAAATAACTGTTACAAGTTATAATTAATTAGGGACATCTGGCATTTTGAATGTCATTTTTCGCTTGTCAACTTGGGCGATTTACCCATTTGATCAAAAATATAAAATAATTATAAACGCCGTACTGGTTTTGAATTTTGGAAACCCTTGTCAGAAAGTAATTGTTTGCTCTGATCGCAGTTTGAATTTGAAGTTTCCCATATTCTTTTTATTGCGTGAGTTTCGTCCCTGTATACCCTTTGCAACTCTGAAATTTTCAAATGCTTTAAATACAATAAAGATCATGTGTTCTTGTTTGTATCTGAACCGATTTTATGTAAAATTCTATGGTAGGGTTCTGGAACCCCAGCCACTTGGGCCTGTCCTTTAATCCGTTCTTCCCATCTGGGAAGTCGAATAACTCTCTCCCAAGCTGCTTGTCAACCCGGTGTGTTCAGAGATGTGCTGTGGCTTGCGAAGGAGGGTAGGCAGACCAAACTTAAAACACCTGGGGGGAGGGGCGGCACAAGTATTTGAGGTAACGCTTTCGAAATTCGAGGGCACTTATTCGAACGGAGGGCAGTCACACACTATAACCCGGTAGGAAATCTCACAGGATTCGAGCGTTACCAACCATTTCCGATTTCTTTTGTTTTTGCAATTATGACGGCAGTTGCCAAACCTACCTCTGGGTGTGTTATATAATACTTTGGGAGACGCTGTTCTGCAAGTTGCGTCGTGTCGCATGTCGATTTTGGTAATGACGTTAAACATACATCTGATTTCAGATATACAATAAATACCTTTATCGTCCAGCTATCGTTAACGGACAGAAGGCTTCTTTAAAACCCAAGATTAAGGACAGTGTACGCGATAATGCCCTGGCAAAGGTATACCATCCACCGTGTTGCAGACGTTTAAGTAATTAACAACCTGAGGACTTCATCAAAACGAAATATCTTAAAATTCGATTTTAAATTAACTACCTATTAAAAATGGTTATTTTGAATGCTATATCACGAATGTTACTTTCTAATCAAATTTTTGAGATTTAGTATTCATGAAAAGGACCTCAAGTATGTAATACACTATAACGTTTCAGTTTTTAAGGTCCGTCATAAGTAACTGTCCATGTCCATTTAAAGCAAAGAAAAAGATCAGCGATGATTGGTTAAAATTTATTTCCTGAAAACTAAAATGGTTTCACTAAATAAAGCAACAAGAGTAAACTAAGGGCAACCGATTTTGTCAAGACTGACATCAAAAACACCTGCTCAGACGCGAAGTCAATTTGATGACCTAACGTAATGACCGAATCATTCCTGCCACATGGGAGGGTTATATTATCATTGAGCAAATTTAGGGAAAGGACGGAACCACTACCGTTAAGTTACGGGTATTCAATGCGGAAATTGATTTATTCGTATCCCACAAAAAATGTTATTGGGGGTGGAGGGGGTCATCAAGGTCAAATTTTGCATATTTGTGAGCTTCTGTTTTCCTGAAAAGTTATTTATTCATTTGCTTACCTCAGGATTCAGGATGCTATGTCATAGTTACCTGTGTGCACCGTGAAATGTTCTTTTAACTTTCAGTTTTCCTGCCCAACCCAAATCACTATGTTTATAAATTTGACAACTTGAATGTTGTATATTGTTCCCATCATGTTTGAATCCCACACACTTAATTGTAGTAGGACACACATTTTCTAAACTTCAGGCTTCCTAGCAGATGAGACCCTAGAAAATAAAGATTCTGTTGTGCAGCCCTAGAAAAAAGAATCTGCAAAGGAAAAACTATTGGCTATCGACTTGAAAAGCCAAAGAGAATCCATAGACAAAAAATGGTCTTTGCAACAATTTGGTAAGAAGATGGCTTTGGCTGAAAATCGAAAAAGCCTATTTTGACAACTGAAAAATCGAAAATTCATTGGAGACTTTCAATTCCGAATTTCCATGCGGTGGTGTTCACACACAGCCTTTTGGTCATGGTTTAAATGCTAAAAATAAAATTGCCTAAAATAGAAAGTGCCTACAAAAGAAAACATGTACATGTATGCACACAACATGAAATTCTCCTAAAATTTGGAAGAGGTCTACTATTCTAGCGTATTTCCAAAATATACAAAGTCAGTTTACTTAACCAATTAACATTAACTAGAAGGCCTGGAAGGTAAAGAAAGTGATATGTCTTACACCTATTATTAATAACAACAACAAAAATAACTATACAAAGTACATTATGATTTAGTGAATACTGAAATATCAATAGCCTAAAGCCTATTTATTCTGAAATTCAGATAAGATTAAAACCAACAGTATACATTTTTGTTATCAAGAACAGCATTGAATTAAAGATTCTATTTATACACACATTGCATTTTAGATACTTAAAGCATTCAAATTTTCTAAAATTAAAATTAATCAAAAACCTTAGAAACAAAAAAATTAAAATATTAAAAGAATGTTGTTTTACTGTTTTGTCTGGTCATATCAGAACAAATTTACATCAGCAAAATATCTAGCCATTATTGTCACATACTGAAATGAAATATTACAAGTATCTGAGAAATCAAACTAAACAGTTTAAATTTAAATGTTTTTCAAAGCACATTTTCTTGTACACTTTTTCTTGTACACTAGGAATATAAAATTGGAGTAAATCAATTACACAATGTCAAAATATCAAATGCAATTTGATTCTAAATATACAATCATGGTTCAATGAAAGGAAAAGAACAATTTAAACAGTTAAAGAATAGTATTTACATACAATGTGATCAAAAAAATGAAACTGGATTTTCTTTTTTGTTTAAATCCATGTCCTTTCCAAATGAAAGGGTGGAAACTAGTTAATATACAATATGGAGTAACAATCTTTATATTATAATGATTTAAAAATGATAATGAATTGTAACTGTTCACTTAATTTAAGTGAAACATAAACATACAATACCGGATGTTCGGATGAATCATTGATTAAATCGTTAAACAAAATCTTTATTCATTCAACATGTTTAATAAATGCTAATGGAATAAAAGATTAGAATTCGCGTCGATGATATTTATCAGGATCATAGTATGAAGTCACAACTACTCGTTGAGAGAATTTTCTACCAGCCAGAGCTTGCTGTGCTTTTTGACAATCAATAATTGAATTAAATTCTACAAATATTTTTCCGAGGCCTGGTACATCAACTCCCATTATCGGACGTGGTATTTCTAAGCTTCGCACAACACCATATTTTCCACATTCATCTTTGACATCTTCCACAATATCTTCATATTCTTCTTCGTCATCCAATTCTTCTGGTAAAATCATATTCATCAAACATAGGACCTCCGTAGGTGGACCTGCACCCATTTGCATATCCAAGCCTGGTACTTGAAGCTGAACAGGTAAATTTTGACCATTTTTAGCACCAACACTGGCTCGCTGAACAATTAACTTTTTGTCTCCTAGCTGCATACCATTTAAACCAGCACATGCCTGATCAGTAACAGTTATATCTACATATTCGCAGAAGGCATAGCCTTTGGATAAACCTGTAGCACTATCTTTAACCAAATTAAACGCTTTCAGTGGACCGAATGAGGTCAAGAGTTCTTTAACTTGATCTTCATTAAGATAATTTGGTAGCCCACCTATAAATATCTTATGTGGCGAATCTTGAACCACAGTGGACACAACGCCAGGGACATTTATTGAAGGCTGTTCTGATAAACCAGGAAGAGGTTGATAATCCCGGGGACGACGAATCTTCAATGATTGACCCTGAAAATTGATACCATCAAATGCCATTGCTTGTGTCGTTTCATCGACTGATCGGTATTCAAGAAAGGCAAAGTTTTTATCTAAATTAATTTGAACTGCAATAACTGGATTTCCATCAGCTTGTGCTAGTCCCGTCACTTTCATTTGCCCATTGAAAAAGTCCATCATGGCTTCTTCCGTTACACCAAAGGGTATATTACCAACATATAAACGTCGAGCTTGTCGACTTATTGTACTGCCAGCAAACGGAACAGTTGTGTTAGTTACAGGAACCTGTGGTGCTTGCATAACTGGCATAGCTTGTGGAATCTGACCCGCAGCTTGCATAGCTTTATACTGGGGTACGCTCATGTGTTCAAAGCCAGCCGGTGGAACATCCCAATACTTGTATGGCTTCTTTCGTTTTGGCGGTTTAGGGGAGTGACTTTTAGACTTTTTGCGACGTGTACGATCTCTGGATCGGGAACGTTTTCGGTCTCTATCCCTGCTTCTTGATCTCTTTGCTCGTGGAGAACGCGATCGTCTCTTGTCTCGACTTTTTTCTTTATCAGCCGATTTAGATCTATTGGAATCAAAGTTCAAATTCTGTTCCCTTTCGAAGTCGGGATCCATATTTTAATACTTAAGGAATCACAATCTTGGACTGTAAATAATTCTAAATTATAATCTTCTTCAACCTTTTGTACAGATTTCAGTATTAAACCATGATGGCGGCACACTCGGAAGAAAGACACGATTGGCCTCGTTTTGAATTTACGTCCGGTTAGTACTGGATAATAAGAACTAAGAAAGCGTAGACTTGCTTATCGAGAACAAAGACGCCAACTCCCAGTCCGTGACCCACACTGATCACTCGGCAAACCTCGGCAGATTCCGTTGCTCAACATGCAGCTGGATGTACAATCTGTTTTACAGACCTAATGCGACATCCGTCTTTTATCTCTGTCCAAGATGACTGACCTTTTAGTCAGACCGCTGTATAGTTCTAAGGGTGACGTCACATCACAATGTTTATCAACAAAGCAAGATGGCATCGATAACGCCAAAAAAGATTACTTCTGTGGCTTGTTTTTGTAACAAACACGAGCAGGTCAATCATATTAGACGGTAAACAATGTACTTCTGAAAGAATTCAGAGTAAACAAACAGAAAAAAACGTCAAATTGATGGTCACACGTGCGTTGTTTACATCGAACGTAGTGATATGAACTGGTACGGGCAGAATTATATCGTTTTACCCATTTTACGCCTCCGCGTACTATTTTCTGTACCTATTTACGCTAATTATGGAATATTTTTTTATCAAGATATACTTCAAACACCTTTATTTATTTTTCTAATACTAAAAAAAAATGTTTCAGAATTTAATTTGTCGAAAGAAAAAAGTTAATATTTTGTAGTCATTAAGTCGCATCGATGTCATCCTTATCAGTGATTGTACAAGCGAATATTCACTGCGGATCAGTGTGCTGGATGTAGGGAACTGGATTCTGCTGTGGTTTGCCGAGTGCCACACTGATCAGCAATGAATCACCGCTGTCACGACACAATACCTCTGTGAAACAGATTGCCCTTGACCATGGATTCGAAATGCAAGTTATGCGCAGTAACCTTTCACGCACGTAAAAAAAATTGGCCCAAATCGTGACGATGTACGAGTATGGAAGTTACAACAAACATTTCACATTGTTATGCATAACAATATCTAACTACATATCTTACAAAATAACATAATTTTCAAGACGAGTGGTACATATTATAATCGTCATTATTTAATGTTACATATCAATTAACAAAGCTATATTTATATTCCTCTTTTCTTAAAGGCATTAAATATAAAACTTCAACATTTTCTATACACGCTTAATGATTTTTCATTATTCTTTATTCTGAATTGACTCAGTTATATGAGGTTTGATGAATGGTGGGATATTGTTGTCGCTAATTATTATAAAATGGACAATACAATAAGAAAAGTTTTTCCTCTTCTACTAATTGAAGGTTGCAGTTTTTACATAATCTCTCATTACCAGGAATAAAGGGTTTACTGTATCTTCCCGTTTCAACTTTCAGTTTATGTGCACTAAGTCTAAATTTACTGAGTGTACCCCTTTCATCTGCACATAAATAATTTTCCATGTTATATGAATTCTTAATATTATAATAAAAATCATGTTTTGAATTTGATTTCATATGTCCATTTAGATGCTGGATAGTCTTACTCTGGTCAGTGTGTTTCTAGGACTGGATATATATCATGTAATCAGGTTTTAAATAAGTGTAAAAAGAATTCGTAAATATTTCACCCATTCCTGTTTCCAGTCTTCATGATAAAAATTGTATATACTACAAAAATACGATTGCCTTTACTTTCTTTAGACTTTGCCATCTGTATGTGGTTTAATGGTATTGCTATTTTTATATTTAAACCGTATATAACTCTATGATCCATACCCATTGATACATCATCGGTCGACTTTTCTAAAATATTATTTTGGGTATTACCCGTAACTTTATTATTGTAAGTTCACTATGAAGCACAAAATACAAACATTTTCTAAATCGTTATCCTTCAGTTGTATATTTGCAACATTGTTCTTAGAAGTTTGCATTAATCATACATAATGCAAGAGCCAAATCTGCCTATTGCAGGTCTTTCTGAAGGCCCGAAATCATCCCAAACTTAGGCTGTGTGCAGTTTGGCCTGAAATTTGATGTAAACTATTAGACATTTATTCACAAAACAAGACCATAATCAACTCTCGACGGCATCGGATACTCGAGATTTTAACTAGATCAGAACAGTTCGCCATTTAAAAATTTAATTTATAAGTGGGAAAGTGAGGCTAATCTGCAGAGTTAGTTATAAAAAAATATGTCATGTCAATTACTATGTTGTGTATGTTTGGGCCATATGTACCGATATCTACGATAATGACATAGAAATCGTATTTGTGTGAGTCAGGGGCGGATTGCGCCCCCCCCCCCCCCAAAAAAAAAACAAAACAAAAAACACAAAAAAAAACCACATTGTATTCACGAGGGAATATCCCCACCATAAAAATATACTGAAAGAGGTCATGTTTATGTCACGTGACTTGGCTGACACGGTCCCTTGCATCGGGTACGAAGCCGGAGGAGAATTCATTGCATTACAAGACGATATTGCTTGTAATCGCTGTTCATTTATTATAAATATCGAAGCCTAATAAAATTCTCGGATTATCCACTGCTCAGGTCTTTTTCCGTGTTTTTTTTTATCTCAAAAACTGTTGTACGCTTAAGCTCACCTTTTAGTTTATCAATAAGCGCTCACTAACGCCAAGAAATCAGACCATCTTCGCGTACAACCTTTGACGTCACTCGAGCAGACATCCCTAATCGTCGGGTTGCATATCTATAACATACCTTTCCTTGTCGGTCACTTTTTGCAATACATTGGACGCTACTGACCAAAAAGGATCTTGTCTTGTCGGTCCTTGTCGGTGATACGTAGGACCGCTGGACTTCTGATTTAAAAATGTATTTCTACAAAAGTATTTATAGGTATTTATAGGGTAATCATTTCAAATGAAAGTATACCATATTTGGTATTTATGGAAAGTAGAGACTCAATCCTACCGGATATGTACTAGATTTGCTGAAATGAAAAAGTCCATGGGGCCCCCACACGAAAAAAAGGCAACATGTCCCTGTGTTGCGTACTCGAGTGACCGAATGGCTAGCGGTTGTGTGGACATTTCTATAAACTCAAATGCGCAGTAGACCCATTGAATAACAAGTGGTTGTCATGCAAGATACGCCCATATTTTGCAAGAGGACAGAAAACAAGCTAAAACAAGCGATTTTCGTACAATCAGGGGACATATTCCAGGAAGCTATGGTCAGATATGCGCGGTTATCAAAAGGAATCGAAATCTCTGGGATATAAACAGTTATTTAAGTTTCATCAAAATCAGATAAAACTGCTGACCGCTAGAGGGTCCACAACCTTGGTAGGCATTACACACTTTTACAATATTTGCGTACAAGGAGCGGGCATTTTGTCGGGCAGCCTCAGTCTGATTTTCACGAAATTCGAATTTAACCATCATTAGGTTGTAACACTAAAATAGTTATATGTTTTTTAAAATCGGATAAAAAGATTTGACCTCTCTAGAGGGTCCAAAAGCTAAAAACTGGATTCTTTGTACAATCAGGGGCCATAATCAAGGAAATTACAATCCGATATACGTGAATATAGTAAGGAAAAGAGATCTTTGGGATATAAACAAATTTTTTTAAGTTTCATCAAAATCGTAAAAACATTGTGACCTATAGCGGATCCACAACCCTGGTATTACATACTTTTACACTATTTGCTTTCAAGGAGCGATCATTTTGTTGGGCAGTTTGGGACGTAAACACATGTTTTAAGTTTCATCAAAATTTAATCAACATTGTGACCTCTAGAGGTATACACAGCCTTAAAATTACATACTTAACCAATTTGCGTACATAGAGCGGCCATTTTGTCCGACAGTTTCGGTCCGATTTTCACGAAATTCGAACTCAATTATCATTGTGGTGTAACAGTGATATATTTGAACGTTTTTTTAGATAAAACTTGTGACAGGGGACAACAAGCTAAAAACGCGATTTTTTGTACAATCAGTGGCCATAATCCAGGAAGTTGAGGTCCGTTGGGCGCGAATATCGAAAAGAAATAAGATCTTTGGGTTATAAACATACTTTTCAAGTTTCATCTAAATCGGAAAAAATCGTGACCTATATTTCAAGTTTCGTCAAAATCGGATTCGAATTGAGACCTGTAGAGTGCCCATAAATAAATAATGGGCGGACGACAATATACGTCCACACGAAAATGTGGACGTATAAAAAGCAGAAAAGGAAGTTTTCAGAGGCTTATTTAAAATTTACTTAGGCTTCGATATTTATTGTAAACTGACTGCGAGTAACGACAAAAGCAATTTGGAATGGATCCCCCCTCAATCAATTTACGTGACAAACAATGACTGCTTCAAATATACTGTTATGACTTGAAATTTAAGAGTGTATCCGCGAGAAGACCAGGCCAAAATCGCAAAAGGTGACTAAGATGGAGGGTCGGAAGTTTTTGATGAAACTTATGGTATGACACCCCCTAGGGGCAAGAGGTGACATGCTGAAGTGGTTACAACCGGGTGTCGCTATACAGGACTGTACTGGAAATAGTCATTTTATGGGTAAAATTTTGGTTTTCACCGGTGCATTTATCACCCCTTTCAAGCACAGGTTGCATTCTATGGTTCAATAGCAACCTTCTAATTTTGACACTGTCTGATAAAGCGGGTGGCAAATTCCACCCAGCACTAATTTGAAAATAAAAATCAGTCCATACTAATTTTTTGTGGACTTGTTTTAGGGTACCATATTCACTTTTTTGTCCCTATAGTATACAGAAAAAGATACACTGTAACTTTTTCTTTCATGGTCGCAAGTAGAATTTCATCGGGTTTTGAAGTGCTAAGCACATAGTATTTATAGGTGTAAAAAAAATGACCGGAATGCAACATAACGTAAATATGCAGCTTATTGGAAAGTGCTAAAAATAAGCTTTTGTGATACATGTTTTTGCAAATTTAATTAGAGAAATAATTTTTTTTTTACTTTTATACGTTTTTATCATATCCATAGCCATCATTTGTACCATGTGGTACTGTATATAAGTGTATATTTGTATTTATTGTATATTTGGTATTGTCGTATTGTCCCTTTAACATATTTGTTTTATTGTCTCTTTAAGGTTTCATTTTCCAATAGGTTACCGAAAATGGCTACAAACTTTTAAATTTCAGAGCATGCTTCCACTAATCATTTTAGGACACATCCACTGATTTCTACAATACAGAAAGGTGGAAGCTTAAATTTTAACGGCAACGCAGCCTTGCGTCGAAGTGGGCGACGTTGAAAAGTGTAGCATGGTATATCTACGCCGTCAGCTACACCTTCATGGCTGGATTATGATAAGAGAGGCCCTAGGCAGTCCTCCTGAACAGGGCCCGCGACATGGACCTTGGGACAAGCAACTCGGTGTGGGGGTAGGTCGGGGGCAATCGTGCGGTTGGTGGTTCGAATCTCACTTTTAGGTGAATTTTTCATTTTTGTTTGGATTATTTTATTTAAAATAATGTCTATTTGAGGGTAATGGATATGTTTTGTTAAGATCATTTCATTGAGCACGTCGATACTACAATGGAAGCTCATGGACAATTGCGGAAGCTAATTCCCATCGGCGCCAGATGAACCATGAACGATTACAGGCCTTTTTAAGTATGTTTTTCAAGACATTTTTATAAATGAAATGAAATGGGGTTTAACGTCCTACTGTTCTGCTCCTAACCTGGGCTAATGAAGACGGGCATACGCCATACAGTGTGCTATGAGGGAAATTTTGCCCGGGCAGCGGCGCTACAGCCTACTCTTATATCGAATTCCAACTGCCAAGGAATCTTTAACGTGCACGCCAATGTGTACACGGGACCTCGGTTTTTCGTCCCATCCGAACGACTAGACAACTGTCCTTGTCAGGCCCTCCATCCTGCATCACTGACAAGGGGAACCACACATTTTTATAAAACAGATACTAATGCATTGTAGGGGCTGGTAGTAACACCATATGAATGAAATGAAAAAAAAAGGTTAGGTTTTTTTTTATCTACTACAGTTAATTATCTCCAAAATAGGGAAATTACAGGTTAATTTCCTGGGTTATTGTTTCCTTTACCTAGTTTTTATCAAGTCGATTCCGGGCATTTTTACTTTTTGTATCAAATGTTGGGATGTTGCTTGTTCACACGAGCATATAATAACCCACCCCATGAAAGAAGTAGTTTCCATATAAACTGTGTTGTGTTTTTTTTTTATTTTTTTTTTTTAGCTATAGGGCGTCAAACTTCGGTTGACGGAAAATGGGGAATTTAGATAGGCTTTGATATGCAGTCCGTATACAGATACAGATCTCGGCCAGAATCGTCTGAAATTACTTTTGTGGTAACAGCACTAGGTCATCTACAAACTGTATGAGTTTGGTCTTTTTGCTACGTATAGTAAAGGTGTGGGGACTTGCCAAAGTTAGTATTTGAGAAAAGACGGATTTTGGCAATTTCACCATATGAAAAATGTATTTTCAATTTTCTCAGTCAGGAATTGAAAGATTTATCTGATATTGCACATTTATGTGTTCTGGGACTATCCCAACATACAAACCACATTTGGTCGAAATCTCTGATTGACGCCTTAGCACCTTCTGCACGGTGTTCTCGCGGACACGCTCTTAAATGTTTTGAATGGGATTTAAAGCAAAATTTTGATAGATTAATTAGTTTCAATATCACACAGTTTGTATCTTGAAAGTATGATTATTATTATTAGCTCACATATCTGGAATTCAATCTAAGAGTAGGCCGTAGTGCTGCTGTCCGGGCAAAATTTCCCTCATAGCACACTGTATGGCGTATGCCCATCTTCATTAGCCCAGGTGAGGAGCAGAACAGTAGGACGTTAAACCCCATTTCATTTCATTTCATTTCATAGCTCACATATCCTCTATACCCATATCTCTTACAGCTTTACTTAGTTTACAACCCATGTTTTTAAGAAGCAAATATTTAATAAAAGTCACCAAGTGTTCATAATATAATATAGAGAAACAAATCTGTGTAGGGGATTTTCAGTTTCATTAAATAAAAATACAAACCTAGAAGTCAAAAGTACAATGTTTGGAAATGCACCAATCCTCAGTATGTCAATTCCTTCAGCTTCCAGAAGTATTAAGTATTGGGGAGCAACCTGATTCCCGCATATTTTTAATACGTTTACGGTAATATATATCTCGAAAATGCAACATAGGAGGCTTCTGAAATTTTGCAGTCACGCAGTTTATTCATCCCTTGAAAGCTAGTTTGAATACTTTTTGATGCAAGGTGAACATACCCTTTTTCTGCGTGCACAGTTAGTCTAGTGTACGATATTTTAGTATGTTTACAGTAATAGTTTTTTTTAAAGGGGGGGGTCTATTATATATATACTTTGCACTAATATGTCTTAAACTGTTATTTTCTAATATAATGGTAACAATTTTTATCGTGGTAATATAATGGTAAAAATTCACGAATATACCAGTTCCTTGAGATATACGCAGGCAGTACAGTAGATTGAGTTGAAAGGTAATTAACACTCTTGTTAATATGAAAGCATTGCACCTACCAAATTATGTTTATAATAGCCATATATACCTCTACCTTCGTTACTTTAGTAACAAAGTCTTAGAGACCCCTAGTGCTCTCTCTTGGGGTATCTAAGACTTCATTACTAAAGTAACTGCCTCTACCTATATCTTAGGGATGGCTTAAAATTAGTTTGAATAATCTGGTGTAAAAACACATAATACATTAGTATGTATAATAGCATGTAATCTGACCAACAATGATGAACCAAAAGGGTAGGACGTTAAACCCCATTTCATTTCATGAACCAAAAGGAGAGCCCTAAATAACATGATATCCACTATACTATTTTTATCGATGGAATAATTTCAACAACAAATATTATAATATGAGATATAAAGTAAATACTTTATTAGGTGATAATACTGTCTACTTTATATAATGATGAAAGCTATTTATCATTAATACATATTACTACACATTGCGTTTCTTTTTAAAATTTGCACTCTTTAGATGATATATATATACAACTAATAATTAGTTAAACATATTAAATAGAAAAACACACATTATTATCAATGATGATTTTACTTTTACAGGTACAAAAATATTAACATGAGGCCAGAATATTACACACGTATTTTTAGATTTGTAATAGAAATTACTTCGATGCAAATATTTGGTTTGATGCATGAATATTGTTTTCCAGTACATGTATAGCCATATCCATGGTTAAATACTGAATAATCTAAAAATCAAGGACCATATCTTTACAATATGGATGTATCTATCTGAGCAGTCCATAAAGGCTGTCACATTTTTATTCTTTTGTGTGTAACTGGAGCATTTACAAGACATTAATCTGATAATACATTATGCAAGAGCTAAATCGGCCAATTGCAGGTCTTTCTTTAGGCCTGAAATGTTATCTAAATTATTAATTAGACATTAATTAAAGATACATTATGTAAGATTTAGATAAAGAACTAGCCATTCTTGCTATAATAGTTCGAAAGTAGATGATGTAAAATGAATAATTTGACAAGCCAACAGTGAGGCTGATGTCCCCCGCCGAAATTGCAAAATAAATAGATGACACATATTAATTAATCGCACATTTATTTTTTTCACTAAGTTTCATCACTCTCTATCAGATAGAATCAAGATTATCTTGTCCCAAACCATCGACAAATGAAATCGATTAGCTCTGCTTAGCTTCAGCTCGAAATGTTAATTATTGAACTCAGTCAAGACATTCACCTAATGAACATCTACATATACATCAAGTTTAAACATTCACCTAATAGACACCTATGCCAAGTTTGAACATTCTACCTCAATTAGAAGGAGAGTTATTGTGTTCCAAAGTTTCTACCAATCAAATTGCTTATCACTCTGCTTACCCTCAGCAAAAAATGTTCATTATCGAACTTAGTTAAGGTATTCATATAATAAATCTATACACCAAGTTTCATCAATCTCACTTAATTAGAACTAAAGTTATCGTGTCCCAAAGCATCAACCAATCAAATTGCTTATCTCTGCTTACCCTAAGCGGAAAATGCTCATCTTCGAACTCCATCAAGGCATTGACCTAATCAACACATACACCAAGTTTGAACATTCTAGCTCAATTAGGAAGAGAGTTATCGTGCCCCAAAGTATCAACCAATCAAATTGCTTATCTCTGCTTACCCTAAGCGGAAAATGCTCATCTTCGAACTCCATCAAGGCATTGACCTAATAAACACATACACCAAGTTTGAACATTCTAGCTCAATTAAAAGTTATCGTGTCCCAAAGCATCAACCAATCAAATTGCTTATCTCTGCTTACCCTAAGCGGAAAATGCTCATCTTCGAACTCCATCAAGGCATTGACCTAATCAACACATACAACAAGTTTGAACATTCTAGCCCAATTAGGAAGAGAGTTATCGTGTCCCAAAGCATCAACCAATCAAATTGCTTATCTCTGCTTACCCTAAGCGGAAAATGCTCATCTTCGAACTCCATCAAGGCATTGACCTAATAAACACATACACCAAGTTTGAACATTCTAGCTCAATTAGGAAGAGAGTTATTGTGTCCCATTGACCTAATAAACACATACACCAAGTTTGAACATTCTAGCTCAATTAAAAGTTATCGTGTCCCAAAGCATCAACCAATCAAATTGCTTATCTCTGCTTACCCTAAGCGGAAAATGCTCATCTTCGAACTCCATCAAGGCATTGACCTAATCAACACATACAACAAGTTTGAACATTCTAGCCCAATTAGGAAGAGAGTTATCGTGTCCCAAAGCATCAACCAATCAAATTGCTTATCTCTGCTTACCCTAAGCGGAAAATGCTCATCTTCGAACTCCATCAAGGCATTGACCTAATAAACACATACACCAAGTTTGAACATTCTAGCTCAATTAGGAAGAGAGTTATTGTGTCCCAAAAAGTGTGACGGACAGACAGACGGACGGACAGACAGACGGACAGACAGACGGACGAACCCATTTTAATAGTCCCCTGCTTTCTTCGAAAGGCGGGGGACAAAAATTTCATTCAAATTACTCTATTGCAAGCGAAGATATTAGCCTTTGAAGGTTTGACAGACGTGTGCAATAATTTCAACCATCGTACTGGTTGATCGAAGCTAAGTCTCGGTCCTCCAAATTTGATTAAATCAAAGTATCGCTGAACCATTCTAATCTATTTAATATCAGAAAAATCTGATGCCATCGAGAGTTGATTGAGGCCTGGATCAGTTAATTAATGTCTAATTAATACTTTAGAAAACATTTCAGGCCTAAAGAAAGACCTACAATAGGCAGATTTAGCTCTTGCATAATGCATGTTTAAATTATACAGACCATAATCAACTCTCAATGGCATCGCTAGCCTGCGATATTTACTGGATTAGAACCAGGTCTGCTTCTGATTAAATCAAAAAATGGATAATCGAGACTATGTATTTTATCGTACCGACTTTAGTAAAAAGCTAGGCCCAAAATACAATCACTAAATACTTGGTTCAGGGTGGATCAAATTGACTGAAATTTTCAGCAAATTCCTTTTACATTATCAAGTTTTAAACTATTATAGTGAGAACAACCAGCTCCTTATCTAATCTCCCATAATGTGCTGTTTGAGTTATCAGAAACTTTAAAATTAATAGGCTTGTTGTCTCAGAAACAGAAACACTGTGTATAAATTTCAAATCTATAATTACATTAAGTGATCAACTCTTTAACAATAATTACCAGAAATCTTTTGAAAAATCAAAAAAGATCATGTTCTCATGAAAATTAACACTGTGTATTAACTTCAAGTCAAATCAGATGATCAGTTTAGGGTCCACAAGATTGCTCTAGGTGATCAAGGGTTAGAATTTCTGACTAATTAATAGTAATGCTGAAAAATCCATAGGCATTTTACATCTCACTGTTTGAATTCCAAGTCATTTGGATGCCTAACTGAAATGGAAAGGGGTGAAGACAGAATACGTCTACATTTCAATACAACTACATTTCCATTTGGAAATAACTGAATTTTTATACATGGCTAAATCTAAACTTTGATAAACGGTTAAATCTTAATTTTTATAAATGGAAAAATCTGAATTTTATATTATGGACAAACCATTACTTGAAATTAAAAATTTTCAGTATTTGGAAATATATGAATCTTAAATGGAAAAATGTTGATTTAAAATATATGAATTTATACAGAAACATTTAGGCCTACACTGTATATTGTTCATGATCTGACTATCAAAATGAAGATATATATGAATTGCAAGACACGGATATATATTTGAATTTCAGTCAATAGTTTTAATAAATGTTTAATACTCATATTCTCCATGCCTGGTGTTCTTAGCCTGATTGCTATTATTGGGGAATTTTGCACATGTACACAATGTACACAATGGTCAATTCTGTCTAAAATGTTATTTTTAACATTACAAACTCCATCAAAAAATTATATCATCTGAATATTGAAATATAATATTAATTAAGATATACAGATGTTATTCTATTTTACCGTTGTATTTGACCCCTGTCATTAATATGTAATGGTAATTTATTAAAGTCACTCTCCATCGTTACAGATCATCAATAATATCATTTAAATCATCATCACTATCTATTGATATATCAGTATTAATATCATCACTAAGATTTAAACCATCTAGATCTAATTCATCAACTGAAATGAAAATGGGCATAATCTGTTTGTGCAATTTTAAATGAGCTCATGGATTTAGGTCAAAATAAAGCATTGAATTGGGTTAATCAGCTGATATGGTATTTTGACTAATAATGGGGCAAGATTATTAGAATTAAAGTTTTCTTTTGAAGGATTAATAGAAGTCGACTTGTTTACTAATTATAGTTACATATCTGCTTATTGTCACCAGTCGAATATAAAATTGGTTACATAATATACTATTCAAAAAAAGTAGGGGATATTTGATTTTTAAGTGTTATTAAAGTCACCTAATGAAACTGACGAAGAAACAAATGACAAAATGAAATGAAGTTCACATTCATCGATTTATTCCAAATGATCGTTAGACTAAGTAAGGCACAGACTGACCATTATAAGGGTAAAATGATACCCGGGGTCAAACAGCAAAGTTACCACAGCATCACAACCAAGTCAGTAACGGGTAAATCCTCCTCTGTTTGCCAAACAAGCATTGATCCGACGGGGCATACTCCTAATGAGACGTCTAAGGTCATTTTGGTCCAGATTGTCCCATTCCTGTTGCAACGCAGCAGCAAGTTCTTGGACATTGGCAGGACGTCGTTGACGTTGACGTAACCTCTGTCCAAGCATGTCCCAGACATGCTCGATGGGGGAGAGGTCGGGACTCAGTGCTGGCCAAGGTAATGTGGTGATGTTCTGTTGTTGGAGGTAACCTGTAACGATCCTGGCCCTGTGACATCTTGCGTTGTCATCCTGGAAGATGAAACGGCGGCCATGACGTCATGCGAACGGCACAACATGGACTGCCAAGATGTTGTCCCGGTAGTACTGGCCTGTAACACGCCCTGCAACAACATGTAAAGCCGTTCTTCCAGCAACAGTGATGCCTCCCCACACCATAACAGAACCACCCCCAAATCGATCATGTCTGATGACGTTAACGTCTTGGAAGCGCTCGTTTCGACGACGCCACACCCTCCTACGTCTGTCCAAAAAATCAACAGTGAACCTTGACTCATCTGAAAACATCACATTGCTCCAGCGTCGATTATCCCAGTGTTGACGATCCCTACACCAACGACGTCTTGCCTGAATGTGATGATCTCTCAAACAAGGGATCACGCGAGGACGTCGGGCGCGAAGGTGACCCCTATGCAGTCTATTCCGAATCGTCTGGCCACTCACTCTCACACCAGTGTCTGTTTGAAGACGAGCGCTGATCTGATTTGCTGTGATGACACGATTTCTCAAGGCCAAGGTACAGATAAATCGATCCTGGGCTTGAGTTGTCGCCCTTGGTCGACCTGAGCGTGGTCTGTCCTGTACAGATTGTGTATCACGGTATCTGGACCATAGCCTGCTTATGACAGACTGAGAAACATTCATCGTCCGCGCCACAAACGCCTGTGTTGTGCCGATCTGTAGCATGCCAAGGGCACGTAACCTTTCATTTTGGGTAAGCCGACGCATATCAAAATTTGTTTTCTGGTCACTAAAACAATTAAACTGATGTTTCCACCCTGGAATTCAATGCCACAATGACTGTAACATTCAAAGTCAGAGTCGTGCAAATCTTGGGTTGGACCCCCATGATGATCCCAAGCATCACCTGCATTCCATGCGGTAGCTATTGGTGCGTTTGGGCGTCACATGTAACTGGAAATGTTTCTTCTGTTAGGTTCTATAGTGACTTTTTTCGTAGTCATTTGCATATTTTAGTATTATGCCCCCAAAATCAAATATCCCCTACTTTTTTTGAATAGTATATGTTTAACCCTGGCTTGGTCTATAGATGTAAAATTTTCAATGATGACAGATTGTCATCCCACAACACTTATCAGCAATTAAAACCAATGAAATTAAGAACTTATTTTGTACCCAAATTAAAGAGGTTCAGTCATTTTAAGCTGTGGCTTTTTTCATGTACACAAGATTCTTCATAATTATATTCTATTTTAAAAGCATATAATACATCTTTATAATATTCTTTGGGCACAGTTATTCTGAGGAACCAAAAAGAATATGTTTTATAAACAACTTATCACCCTTGTATCTAATTATTGTCAGGAAATCTATCGGTGTTGTATTATATTCAGTATTTCATATTATTACCTGTTTTCCTTGAAATTTTTTTTCTTCTTGTTGATGTTAATTCTGGAGCACCATCTTCAACAAGGTTATCCAGATCTGAATCGAGACCATCACTGTCTTCAAATTTATCTTCAGACAAAACAAGATCGTCATCATCATCTTCATAGAATTTACTGGTTTTTTTTACTTTGACAGTAGGAGTAGTACCTTGAAAACACAACAGAATGCATGTGTATCTGAAGATACTAACAAACTATTTTATATTACGAGGTTTAACATTAAAGGCTATTCTCTTATATTCATTCTATTAACATTTAATTACATTCTGCAAAATTTGATTTTACTAACTATTTAATTTGATTCTACTGACTCAATTTGATTCTACTCAATCTCTATTCAATTTGATTCTACTGACTCTATTCAGTTTAAATCTACTCATTCTATTAAGTTTGAATCTACTCACTAGAAATATGAATCTATTAATAACTATATTTGAATTAACTCATTAATCAATTTCAACCCAGACCTAGTCATTAATGAATTACATACTAATCACTTTATTCTACTCACTATTTAATTTGATTCTATTTGAAGATCTAGAGGATGCAGAAGATGATAAACTGTGACATAATTTATCTTCAACTGTATCTAACTTTTCTTTTAATGCTGTTACATTCATCCTGCAGAGAGAAAATTGTATAGTTACATCAAGCCTTTATGTAAAATTCTGACCAAATAATTTGCCACATACTGTTGAGATACAGATTGCTTAAAATTTTATGAGATGGATAAATATTATAGAAATAAATACTAGTGAACAATACCTTAGTCTAATAATAGTTAAAAACTAGATAATGTAAAGGGAATTTACTAAAAATTCCAGTCAAATGGATCCACTCTGAACCGAGAATTTAGCGATTGAATTTTGGGCCTTGCCTTGGTCATCATTACTAAAAATCCATTTTTGGATTTAATCATGAATGAGCGTTGAGCAGCAGATTGGATTATAATCCAGCAAATATCGCAGGCTAGTGATGACATAGAGAGTTGATTATGGTCTGGATCAGTTAATTAATGTCTAATTAATAATTTAGATAACATTTCAGGCCTAAAGAAAGACCTGCAATTGGGAGACTTAGCTCTTGCATAATGTATGTTTTAGCAACACATAATAGGTGCAGATAACATGTTAGGGTACAAAAATGTGAAACAAAATTTAGTCCATATTTTACATGTAAAGTTATGTATTAGGGTTGTGTTTTGGGACAGTGTCTTTAGTAGTTGGAGTTTTGATTTAAGGAGTTTATAGTGAGTGAGAGAAATGGAGTTTAACGTCTACTCAACACAAACTAGGTCATTTCGAGACACACATAAGGTTCAAATTTATTTCAATAATTCGCTTATGTGTAGGGGTCTTTAGCAGCGGGAGGAAACTTGAGGACCCAGAGAAAACCCACGAGGTTGGACAGGCGACCCTACTCCTTGTTACATACAACCGGGGAATCGAAGCCCCGCCAGTTGACTCAATGTCAGACCTTATTATACAGCACGCATGCACTAACCATTCGGCCATCCAACCCCCCTAGTGAGTCTATAGTTTTAGTGGTGGATTTTATATTGTATGTATGCATGGTGTGTTATTTTAGTGCTTGAAATGTTTTAGTTTTTATATGGGTTTAGTTCTTAATATTGCTGGTATAGTTCAATCTGATTAAAATACAGATCTATATTTCGTTTCGTTTTTTTATACTTTCGATGGCCTACACTACATGAAGATCTGACAAGTTATAGCGATAGGTCACGTCACGGGTCAAAAGACCGACTTATGACCCTATGATGTCAGACATTTGATTAACCAATCAGCATTGATGTTACTAGTGGATTACCCACAGTTCAGTGCAAAACACGCCTAAAGCTCGCCGTGACAAACCGTTTCATTGGCTTATCCCCGACACCATTCAGAACACGAGTTAAATAACAACTCTTCCAGATCCAAGTGTAGTAAAGACAAGTAAAACGAAATTTTGAACTATAAAAACGAAACGAAATAGGATCTGTGTTTTAACCAGATTGGGTATAGTTATAATAGACTCTTCTTATTTGTATGTGCAGTTTTTAAGGATAGTCCAGTTTAAAGTATGTGTTACTTTGTTGAAAGAATATGCTTATCAAGTGAAATATCAATAATATCCCACTGGTTAAAAATCAATAATATCACATATGGCTTATAATGTCATAGTTATTAAGCATAATGTATCACGCATCATATGACTTCTTGTACCAGTAGTTATGAATTGCAATTTACATGTTGAATATGTGTACCTGGATATTATATTTTAAAACAGTAACTTTACATGGTTAATGAATTGTAATTTATCATATTTTGCTTTACTTTCATAAAACAGTGATATTAAATTGTGTTTTTAAAATTTTGTCACACATGTAACGTTACAATTTTATTGTCTAGACTGAAATGAATATCTTGAAATATAATTATTGTGTCAGTTTAATCTGTAATCAAAACAAATATTATAGATTTATGGTAATCATAAGATCCATCAGAAAGGAAAGTTCTACCAAATCGTTACGTGTGTGACACGAAACTTTCAGTTATCTACAAAAAAATTAAAAATATAATTTTCTTTTATGTACTTTTTACCTAATGAATTTTAGACAAAACTCCAAGTCTGTTAGGGATTACATTTGAGTTTGTTTGGAAAAGATAATTTGTATTGTAGACATGTTTAATAAAATATGGTAAAAACAGGTATTTTGGGTAATCCAGTTCCATCATGAACTATTTTTATGAAATTTATGAATTATCAATAACATTTTGGTATTTTAAAATGGTAATGAATATGTTCTTTTGGAAAAATAAGTGTTTTGTGTCATTTTAATATATATCTAATTAATAGTTTGTCAGGACCACTTTCTTAAAAGTCGCCTAAAATACATTTTTGTGTTTGTAGCTATGAGTAATGTCATAATAATTTGTGTTTAATGGTTTTTATGGTAAATGGTAGAGCAGATTATGGAGAGAGAGAGAGAGAGAAATGGGGTTTAACGTCCACTCGACACAAACTAGGTCATTTCGGGACTAACATATGGTTTAATTTTATTTACATAATTCGCTTGCGCGTAGGGGTCTTTAGCAGTGGGAGGAAACCGGAGGACCCGGAGAAAACCCCCAAGGTTGGACAGGCGACCCTACTCCTTGCCACATAGCAGATTATGGTGTAGATAGATTAACCAGCATCTTATTATGCATTTATTTATGTGTTTTACTACATCACTCTATATACAGGTAATAAAACTGTATCGTGTTGTTTGTGGATTATATAAGTCATCTAAAACCCCTTCTCTTGTTTTCAATCAAGAAGTCTGACTATTGCCCCCGAACTACTACTTTACCACACCATTGCAGGTGACGGAAAGGGTAGGTCTGCAACAGTTATTACATAACATCCCAGCAAACTAATCAAAAAAATGTACACATCATTGATGTTTGAATTTTGGTGAGTGGCTGTGATAGCGAATGTATGTTAGGAGTTTCATCAAAATCCATTCACTTGATGTTAAGTTATTGAGTTTCAAGCAATCAGATTTTTGAACTTATGTGAATGGTAGTGTTGGTCACCTAGAACCTCCTAGTCTTCAACATATGTAGTCTTGGTCACCTAGAACCTTGTAGTCTTCAACATACAGAGGGTCTGGGTCAGTTGTCAACATTAGCTAATAAGTTCAATTTCCCATGTGTAACCGTGAGTTTTTGGGGTTTTTTTATGTGGTTGATTATCCAGTAAGTCAAGTAAGAGCTGTGGCTGCTGTTCCCCTCCCGAAATAAATCTCATAATTCATACATTATTATAAACAAACATGAATCATGACGACGAATTCAGATTAATAAAAAAAAAAACCATAGATATTGGAGTGTTGGACATTAAACTGACAAGGCAAATGAATTTTTTAAAATTGCAATTCATAAATTAATTTAATGGGCATCAACATCTTTTTTCAGGGCTAGTTACATCCCTTAGATTTTGTTCATGATAATGTAAAATAACCGGATAATCTAGCCAATGACTTAGTTATTCTCAAATGTTGACAACCCATCCAGACTATTATTCGGTGAATATTTGTCTGAATGATAGAGACTACAAGGTATGGAGGGTCTGGGTCAGTTATCAACATTTGGCGAAATTTTACTGGACAATCAATCACATAAAAAAAAAAACAACTCCCGGTTATGCATGGGCAATGGAACTTTTTAGCTTAAGTCAAGAAAGAGTTGCACCCCTTCCAAAAATAAATCCCATAATTCATGCATTATTATAAACAAACATGAATCAGCACAATGAATTAGGATTAATAAAAACCATACATGTGGTCCTTGAAGAGAGAAATTTTACAATACAAGAATTAGAAGAGTTGGATTGAAAAGGCAATGGTAATAAATAGCAATTCTTGAATTAATTTCATGAGATTCAACATCTTGTTTTAGGGCTGTGTACCTCCCTTAGATTTTGTGCACAATAATGTAAAAGACTGGATAATCTTGCTAATGACCTAGTTTTACCAAGTAAAGTTCATTAAAAGTAAAGTTATTGTATTTCACACAATCAACCAACCTGATTACAGGTATGATTTTTAATTCATTCACTAGAAATAAAGTTACTGTATTTTAGCGTGTGTTACGGATGGATGAAAGACCCAATTTAACAGCTTTACATGTTCTAGATCTGTGATGTGAGGTATGGGGACAATCAAATTTATTTAAAAAATTGTAATCATCAGCTGTCATCTAAAGGATTTTTTTGTTGGTTTAATGCATGAATAGCTATGTCGTTAAGCTCTAATGTTCTGTGATGTGAGATATGGGAACAATCAAATTTATTTAAAAAATGTAATCATCAGCTGTAATCTAAAGGATTTTTTTGTTGGTTTAATGCATGAATAGCTATGTCGTTAAGCTCTAATTGTAACATGGATGGGAAATCTTCCTTTGTTCTTTTCGTTGAATAAGCAGATTGTTTTGCCTCTGGTAGATTGGGTGGAGCTTAACCGTGCAATAACTAGCATGTTCAATGTTATTGCACACTTTAGCTGGTTTTACACTAGTTTTAGTAGAAATCATATAGAGAAGTGGGGTGGGTTTTCTGTGCAATAACAATAAGCATGTTGAGCAGTTGTCAATGTTACAAGTCATTTATAGCAAGCTTCATTTGTTAACAGGTTTAACCCCTCGGCCTTCAGCCTCTGGTTAAACCTGTTAACTCCTGAAAGCTGTGCTATAAATATAACTTATACTAACCTAAGTTGTTCCATTTCACACCGATCTAAAGTTTTGTCTGATATAACATCAGGTAATATTTCTCTAGTTTCATGGAGTAACCGTCTATTATCAGACAAACGCTCCATTACCTAAAAAGCAAAAATTTAACACTGAAAATAATGTGAAAGCAATCAATCAAAATATTAATTATTCAACTTAAATTTATGGGGTTATTCAGAACCATCATGAACAAAAAAGCTATTTGGCGCTCCCATCTCTCCATCATGTTTAATGTAGTTTGGAATATATTGACAATGTTATTCTTTACCCTGTGCAATTTTTCTGTATTTCCGTCATTTGTTCTAGCTTTCACTTGTGATTCTAATGTACCTGAAAAATATATAACTTGTTAACGTTCAAAAACTGCATTGTTTACATGTAGAACTGTTGGTGTGTATGTCGTCTGCTAGAAAGGTGTATGCATGCGCGAGAGGAAGTGGGGACCAGTAGTTGAGAATATGGCAGGAGTGAAGAGAGTGGTTTAGGAGAAAGTAATGGCATAATAAAAGTGTTTAAAGACGATATAGTTATTGGAGGTACATAACTATTTATTTAACTGTTTTGCTATTGGGAGAGGCAGACAAACTTCAGTTATCAAGAAATGAAGGAAAAGTTTGTGACCAGAATAAAAATTTGATTCTGGCTTACCTAATCTACGTCTAAGAACATCTAAATCTGTACGTACATACTCCAGTTCATCTCGCATAACCTGACGTCTGAAATGCAATATCAATAAATATTGATTATTTGAATAAATTCAAAACAAAAGTACAATAAGATAGGTTGCCAGGAAACGAGACATATAAATTTCATACAGATTGCATCTCATTAATGTGAACAACATTTTCAAAGCAATCAGATGATATATGTAGTCTATAGAGTGTTCACAAAAAATTGTGAACGGCGGACGGACAAATGTATGGACGTGCGAACAGGGGCGACAGCAATATACGCCCACATATCCATGTAGGTGTATAAAAACTGCTACCCTATGAAATCAGTAAAAAGTTATCAGGCGGTTACTTAAGAAAAAGCACAATTACCCTGGCTTGTGAAAAATATCCATAACTTATTTTGATGTTCTCTTATGGCTTACAATGTCTGCGGTTTTTTGTCCTGTTGGTTTCTATTTAATTTGTTTAAGCTGCATAACTTAGTAACTTAATGAGGAAAACACATTGACACAATTTTACTTAATTGTTATATGTGGTGTGGTCTTCTTACACTTATTATTATAAATAGTTTAGACTTTAAATTCAGAAGACAACCTGGTATTGAACAGTAGAAATAGCTTAATACAATACCATTTGTAAAGAATATATGGAAGACTTACTGGTACATACAACTTACATATCTGATATATCTGTATTGTAGGATCTAGGGAGTAGTGTTCTGTCATGCTGTAGTTTTTCACCATCTAATCTATTTCTATAATGCTGTACTTGGTCTCGTATACTTTGAACTTCCTTAGAAATATCACTCTTTAATACTGTTATTTGGTGTTGTAAATGTTTATCTCTCTCTTTACCAGACACTTGTTTTGAAAGTTCTCGCACCTCATCTGATTTATATAATAAAATGTTAATAAATCTATACAAATTAGAATCAGCTTCCCATATAATCAAACAATCCCAACTCTACACAATCCCTAATGCTAAAAAAAATATCACTAAATGTGTACTTAATAGAAGTTACACATATATTTGCATAAATACATGTAAATAAATACCCATTTTTCGTTTCAAAATAGCAGTCAAATTAAATCCAATTTGTGAATGTTAATTGTCCATTAATTATAAATCATACTTACACCGTAATTCAGCTATCTGCTGTTTATGTTCATCTCGTTCTCTTTCCATCACTCGTACTAAATTACTTAATTGGTCTATTGTCTGTACACCCAACAAAAATGAAAACAAATTAATACTGATCTGAGTAGTACCATTGGTTAAACCCAATATAGAACTTAAAGATGTTGTAATAATATTGATGGCGAGATTTGTGCAGGGCAACACATATGTATTGTAATATTATGGCCTTGAATAATTATTGTTACAGACTTAGAGACAAGCAAAACAACGGAAATCTGTGATAATACGATACATAATTTATAATTTGATAAATACATATTTTATCTGCCTTCTCCATTGTCGAAATATTAGCTATGGTATGAGTTAATTTGAAAACACAAATTAAATTGTTTATGAAATATTGTGAGAATAACAGGTCATGGGGTCTAAGGCCAAATATAAATTCTATTGTCTGGATCACTCATGAGGGGAATATTCCTACTGTCCATTTAAGGATAGCACTCACATCATTAAGCATGAGCGAGAGCCAATCATTATAATTAATTACGTCATATTTGGCCAATTAAATAATAGATAGCCGAAACCCAAGAGTAGAAAACCATCAGAGCAGTGGGCGATTGTCAGGAATTATGTCGATTCTAAGAGGGAGAGAAGAGACTAGACTGTTTTGACTAGACTGTTTTAAGTTTATTACATGATCAGAAGGCTATAATAGAGAACTTAGAACACTTTTTAATAACCTTCCTACCTCAAGAATGCATAAAACATTATTGAAATATAAGCTGTAATTTGTTAGACTACTCTACCTTATTTTGCTGTTCAAGTTTACTACATAAAGCATATGTATCAGCTCCTTGTGATGTTCCACCATAGGTAGTTTCCCAGTTGACAGCTTTAGGTGTTGAAGAGACTGGAAAATCAGTCATTGATAAAGATGAATATTTGACAGGAGATGAATCTAAAGACGGATACATAAAAAAGTGAAATGAGTGGTGGTAGAAACTTCATCAATACTAACATCATTCACATGAGATAATTTGTCATATTTTCTAATTTATCTTCAAAGTAAATTATGAATATATTCAGGAACTAACTACAACTAAGTCAAACATTCTCTTCTCTCTATATGGTAATGAAAATTATCTTTCGAAAAACTAATATCACTTGTAAATGGACGCAAACAGGGTAAACTTTTGGTATTTAAAGATGACTGGAACCAATTTGGAATCCAATATTTCTATCCATGGATAGAGGGTCTGTTACAAGACTATCATCTACATATTTGAAAATATACTGTTACTAGTGTAACTTACAGCAGAGTAACTCATTCACAGTTTTTCATTCACATTGGGAAAGAACAATAGTGACAAACTTACATCTTGTTGAATAGAATTCATCATCAAATGTTCTGTTAGCACTTCCAACTGGATGTCTGCATCTCATTTTGGACTATTTAAATTTTAAAAACAAGATTATCTGATTAAAGTAGTTAAGTCAATATCATCTATCAACAAATATTAGCGATTGAGCTCCTTTAAATGGTTAATAAAACCCCGATAAAATTGGAATATTTGAGTCCGAAGACCGAAATTGTTATTATATTTATATTCACTCTTCATCAGAATATGTTTACATGCCTCAATGTGATTTGTCGAAGTTCTATTATGACGAATTATAGAGATATTAGACTCCTAATGAAGTCTGCATTGTCTACAGTATGAAACAAGTCAAAAGTGAGGTCGATGTTACCTATCTCAATCCCAAAATAAATACATGACACATATTAATCAATTGCACAAATAGGAAAACTTGGATGTTGACTGCATTTGATAAGGATTATGCCGTATCCTGTTCATATCAATATGAGAAATATTAAAAATTGGTTCCCTTAAAGATTGGTCTCGTTTAGTCTCATTACTCCTGACAAGCAAGGCAAAAGGCACCTGCCATTTACTTTGTTAAGACACAAATTATCATACAACATATGTAGTATTATATATTATAATATGTTATGTGATAATTTGTACTTGACAGAATCTGTGGCATGTGTCTTATGTCCAAGCTTGCAAACAAGTTAGAACCTGTTTAATCATTGTTAACAGTTTATTTGCTTAGCAACTTTCCTTCAACTGAAATTGATAGTCATATTTATTTTCAGATTTTTCCTCATTCTGTATAAGAATATAATATACAACTCTACAGAATTTTACCTTTATTCTGTTTAAATTTTCCTCGGTTTCACCTAAGATTGAGGAAAATTTATGTTCCCAATCCATCTTGCATTGAACGACGATTCTCACAAATTTTCAAAATCTGAAATAAGAATATCTATCAATACTTAAACCTTCTTGAGGGAAAATGGTTTGAAAATAAATAAAAACAGCTTGAAGTTTGAAGAAAACTGTTGCCAGGAAGAACAATATGAAAAACACTGTGGAATTCCAACAGATTAAAGTATGAAAAGAGAGAGAGAGAGATATGGGGTTTAAGTCCACTCGACACAAACTAGGTCACTTTGGGACCAACATGTGGTTTAATTTTATTTCAATAATTCGCTTGCACGTAGGGATCTTTTAGCAGTGGTAGGAAACCGGAGGACCCAGAGAAAACCCACGAGGTTGAACAGGCGAAAGTATGAAAAAGATACGGTAGTCTGACATGGATCATACCCAATTATAACCACCCATTAACTATTAATCTGCTCAAAATCAATGCAACAACCTTTATCAAGCCAAAAGGAAAGGTAAGCTATACAAATCATGTCAAAAGGTAGCCATTAAGAAAGATTATTATTATATAACTAGTCAATTATCAGATTATGCCCCATGCAGGTTCTTACCCTAAGGATTAATAACAAAACTTAGATCAACTACCCAGTACTAATAATCAAACTAATATTTTTATCCCTCTTTGTCCTTAAGAATTGGTGGCCAGACCTAACACGAGGTATTTATTATATTTAGAATATCCAAATCATATGAGGTTACTTTTTTGTTCAAGGGACATGAAAATATAAAAGAATTTCGAAGAGCCACAAAGCATTGAAAAATGCACATTTATACTCATACAGTTCAAATTCAGTTTTCAGACATTTGATCTTGACTTACAACCTTCACCCCATGACTTTGGTTTGGACCTGCCAAACATTGTATGGTCAGAAAACAGTCAAACTCAAATGTACCCTGTTTAATAGGAAATCCCAGAGACAGGGTCCATAAGAAGGTCGTGGCAACCTGCAGTTGTTACCATCCAAAGATCAAAGGAAAAGGGAACGTTGGAATGCTAATCTTGATAACAAATCTGCAGTCTCAAGGCAATTCATGTCTGAGAAAGCGCAGGTCGTCTGGGGTTAACACTTGCCAATCCCTTCAGTACCTAGCCAGCCTTGAACAGGTTACTCAGGGCTCTTAAACTAAGGAATAATCAGTATCACAGCCAGTCAGATCTAGTACACGTATACATATTAAATACAGCATACAGGTTTTGAATCTAAAAATTCCACTTGACAATAGTGTTGGGGATTATTATAAATTTGTGTCAGGTGTGCCAAGAAATTATTATTTTTGGTGAACAAAGAAAACAAGAAGGTAAGGATTGACTTAAAATAGCCTTAGAAGAGTGTTAGACTCTAGGACTAGAGAGGTGGGGGCAGAGAGAGAAAAATGGGGTTTAACGTCCACTCGACACAAACTAGGTCATTTCGGGACTAACATATGGTTTAATTTTATTTACATAATTCGCTTGCGCGTAGGGGTCTTTAGCAGTGGGAGGAAACCGGAGGACCCGGAGAAAACCCACGAGGTTTGACAGGCGACCCTACTCCTTGTCACGTACAACCGGGGATTCGAAACCACGCCAGTCGACTCAATGACAGACTTTATGATACAGCGCGCGCACGCTAACCATTCAGCCATCCAACCCCCCCCCCCCCCCAGGTGGGGGCAGAGTGGTACCAGTATTTTTATTTATTATGTATTTCAGCTTCATATAAGGACGGACAGGAATGGTCCAAGGACTTCATCGGTTATCCAAAAGCTACTATGAATGTTACCGAAAGGTACCATAACAGGTTATACCACGGCCTATGACAGGGCCTTCCAGGCCCTGGGACATCAAGTGTTTATATTATTCCACAATATACCTTTTTTCCTCAATATGCCTTCTGTTCTTCTTCACATCTATGCCTCTGTGGGCCAAAATTTTTTAAAAGATACATGGTCTTTAGTGTCATTTTGGCATTATATATGGGGTAACTGGAGGTAATTTTGCATACCATGTCTATTGTGTTCCAAGTGAGGAAAATAATATCCGTTGTCATGGTCGAAGGATAAAGAAATTGTTTTTCAAGGAGTTAGAGAAATTGTTTTTTTTTCTTATGTCATGTACCTTTTCTTCCTCACTCTGTACCTTATTTTCCTCAATATTTATTGGAACAATTGGAATCATATATACCCCTGTGAAACAAGCCAACAGTGAGGCTGATGTCTCCCGCCGAAATCCCAAAATAAATAGATGACACATATTAATTAATTGCATGTTTAACTTATTCAAAAGTATCGAGCGATACACCAAGTTTCATCACTCTCAATTAATTAGAACTAAAGTTATCGTGTCCCAAAGCTTCAACCAATTAAATGGCTTATCTCTGCCTACCCTTAGCAGAAAATTCTCATCTTCGAACTCCATCAAGGCATTCACCTAATAAACACCTACACCAAGTGCTCAATTAGAAGAAGAGTTATTTTGTGTTTCAAAATATCGACCAATCAAATTGCTTATCGCTCTGCTTACCCAGAGCAGAAAATGTTCATTATCGAACTTAGTCAAGGTATTGATGTAATGAAACTATACAACAAGTTTGATCACTCTCACTTAATCAGAACTAATGTTATTGTGTCCCAAAGCATCAACTGATGAAATTGCTTATCCCTACTTACCCTAAGAAGAAAATGCTCATCTTCAAACTCCATCAAGACATCAACCTATTTACACCAAGTTTGAACATTCTAGCTCAATTAGAAGAAGAGTTATGGTGTCCCAAAAAGTGTGACGGACAGACAGACAGACAAACTCATTTTAATAGTCCCCTACTTTTTTCGAAAGGCGGGGGACAACAAGTCTCCATGGGCTCAAAAATTCTTCAAAGATACATGGTCTCTAGCCTCATTCATCCAGTGTGACTGTAAGTCACTTTGTTAAAACACAGATACTGAGATTTTACACAATATGTACTACGTTTTAGATTTACTGATGTGATAATAATCAGATGTACGGTACATAATTTTTAAAAGAAATTTTAAGGAAGCAAACAAACAGAAAAACAAAAACCATCACCACAAGACACCAAAATATCAAAAAGAAAATGTTTTCATCACATAAACTATTCATTAAATTGCCAAAATCATTAACTAGATTAACTAGGCCCTGATTACCTGTTAGGGCACGGATAACAGTGTATTTTGTTTATTAATTTATACCAACAATCTTTTATTTAAAACATTACCCAGCATACCTCTGGGCCGCTCTTGGCTCCGGGTCCCTGGACAAGTGTCCTAGCTGTCACCACTCTCACGGGGCCTGGGTGATACTAATACCACTAGGCCTAATGTTTAATGTAATGTTAGACTATACTTGGGGCGGTTTCTTATCATTATTTCAGGAGCCATGGTGGCTAAGTGGGTAAGATGCTGGCTCGCTAGCCTGGAGGTTTCAAATTCGCTCACTGTATTGGCCGAGACAGTTCATCTGGTTTCCCCTTACCAGGGGCACAGGACGGATGACCTGACAAGACCTAAAGCTGTCTAGTCTTTCGGCTGGGACATAAAAAAACGAGTTGCAATGTACACATTATTGGCGCACGTAAAAGATCTTTTGGCAGTTGTATTCGATATAAGAGTAGGCCTTAGCGCCGTTGTTAGGGTAAAATTTCCCTCACACAGCACACTGCCCGTCTTCTTATTCACACTGGCTAAAACCTTTCCTTTCAATTCATCATTAGCCTATTATTATTATTTCAAACAAAATAGCCTATCCTTAAGCTAGTAGTATAATCTACTAAGTAGAAATTTACATTTTTGATAAATGAGTCCACTAATGGTTTAGACCCATGGACTAGACAAAATAATGAACTCATATTAAATTTTAGGTTAATTACCCCTTTTATTTATCAGGCACGATACATTTATCGGCGTCTTTGTTCAGTTCAATGGTTTCGTTGCTATTCCAAACCGATGCACCGTTTTTATTTCGCGAATTAGAGAGGTCGTAAATCAAGGGAGATAACGTTAAAGGGTTCTGGATTTAGACAGACTAGTGATTCTTCAATTTCATATCCATGACATTTCTTGTATTAGCCTACAAACTTTTTTTTTTATTTTTTTTTTTTTAAAAATTCCCGAAAACCTCATTCATTATAACCACAAAGAATCCAACATTACATAATTTCTGGACAAATTATGTTTTTAATAATGACGATATCAATAATGTTTATGCAAGTTTTTATTAGATGTTTTAGATAAAGCAATGATACAGTATATTCCAACAAAAGTAGTAACTATAAGTAAGCCATTTATGAATAAGGCCATACGTATTATATATATACAAATTCGAAAACGAAATAGAGCACACAAACGCGCCAAAAAAAACCCTCCTAATAATCCTAATCATTGGCTATTATCTAGAAAATACGAAATGAAGTAGTAACATTAATAAGGCAAGCTGAAAATAATTTTAAAGAAAAAATAGAAAAACAAATAAATAATAAATAAAACCCTGCCTCCAAATAAATGGTGGAAAATAGCAAAATGTATTACAAATTTTGATAATAAAAAGGTAGTCATTTCCCCATTATTATATGAAAACTGTGTATACACACACCCACTTGATAAGGGAAATATCCTTAACACTTATTTTGCCTCGATCTCCAAATTAAATGATGTTCCCGACCTTCCAAACTTTGCTTCTCACAGTAAAAACGAATTACAGAAATTTGTTATAAGTGAACAAGAAGTAAAAGACCAGTTACTAATTCTTAACTGCTCAAAAAAGCCTGATTTTTGGAAGACTTCACATATCATTGGAGCGTATAAAGGAAAGAGTGATCCGTACTACCTGACAACTATAGACCAATTTCATTAACATGTTCATTATGTAAAATATTAGAGAAAATCTTATTCAAAAATCTATATAATTTTATAAAAGAAAATAACCTGTTATATAAGTATCAGTCTGGTTTTCAACCAAACGATTCTACAATAAATCAAGTTTAAGAAATTTATGATGTTAGAATAAGTAATCTTGATAAAGGAAAGCAAATTTGATTTGATTAGTCGGTTTTGAGAACATTGAGGGTATCAACGTACAAAAGACTCTGTAATTAAACAGCGGAAAAAGTAGTTGACAGAAAATAATTTAAGAATTTACTTAGGTCTCAATATGTACGATAAATGGACAGTAAATAACAAAAAATACATTCTTTAAAATGGACCCTCCCTCAATGAAATGAGCTGATTGACATGGCGTGCGGTATCTCCCGACGAATACAAAGTTTTGTGAGGGATTTTAAGCAAATTTTTGATAGATTAAATAGTATGAATATGTTTTTAGACCAAATATGTCATTAAATCACACAGTTTGCACGCGGGAAAGTATATTTAAGGAGATCATGAAATCAATGAATCATTAATAAATGAAATCAATGAGGGTATGAAGTTGGTGGGACTATGAAGTTAATGAGAGTATGAACTTAATGAATGGTTTTTAATGAGGGCACGAAATAATGAATGATATCAATGGGAGCATGACCTGAATGTGTCGATACCGTAACATATAAAAGTACTTCGCTGGCCTAGCAATCCGATAAATTAGTGTAGGGCGACCTTGAAATAAACTAGTTAAAACACTTTTTTCATGTGATTGACCCTAATGAGCTTCTCCTTATCTTGTAATTACAAGATAGCCTCAAGAAAATTATCTTGTAATTACAAGATAGGCTGTCAAGATGACACCCTAAGGGGTCCCACTGCCAGACCGGACCCAATGTTATCGATTCGCGATTCTTGTCAAGCGAGCTGGTTGAGTGAGAAACGGGGGGCCCGACGGAAATATTGGACAATTAACAAGACCGCTACCTGTCAACCAGAAATAATATTTTGGGTTTCAGGTTTTGGAAACATTTCTGATATCAACTACCTAATAATTTCAAAACTCATGGAGAAAAGGCCACTATGTTTCACGATTTTGGGGAAATGGGTCTTCATTATTTTTTTCTAACAAATATAAAAAAAAAATATTTTTTTTTGTCACCAAATCGGCGGGCCCGGGCCAAGGCATTCGCCTCTGTTGCCCTCGCCATAATCCGTCACTGCTCTTTCCCCGGAAAATTTTGAAAATTGGACGGCCGCAAACGCGCTTTCAGCCTGCAGAAAATCGTTCTTTTGCAAACTCTGAACAATAAACATAGTGACAAGACCCCACGACAGTGGGCCATTGGGCAAGTCAGTACAAAATATATGGCAGATAGATGTCAGAACATAACCAATAGGCTAATATGAGTGCAAGGTGCCACGTCCACAAATCAATACTCCACATGATGATTCCTGACTGCTGTCTATTACAAACCGTGGGTATTTTTAGAACGATAGTCGGCTGGATACGGGGCTGATAACAAGATACGCTATTTTGTAATTATAAGATAATCAGAATATTTTTTTTTTTCATTTGATTGACCCTAATGGTCTTCCTTACCATAATGATAAAATTTAATGCTATATTCGGGTCCAGATATACGACACAAATCACCATTGACACCACAATTTTTCAAAATATTCTCAGAACCAGATACAATCAAAATCCTGCGTCCGTCCAGATTAGGCGTGTATGTATGTAATGGTGTCCCTATGGCTAAAAAATGTCACCAGCACCCTTGTATGAACAGTGAAAAGGGGGCAAATTCGGGTTTTGTCCGTCACACTCACAGATAGAAAATGTATTGGCACAGAACAGACTGTACAACAGTAAAAAAAAAAAAATCCTAAAATTATATGCTTTATATAAAAGTGCACAGGTAATACAAAAGTCTGTAAACGGTCCAATTTTCACTGAACTGGTCCCTATATTTATGGTACAAAATGTTTTTTAGAACTAATTTGGAGGCACTTTTAATATTGGGACCCATGGCTGCAGCAGCCCAGTTAGTTCCCTCTTTCATCCGGCCCCGCGCCCCCATATATGATTTTTCTAATTTTTTGTTTTTTCCATATTGTTCACTAAAAGTTAAACATGCATTATGCAAGAGCAAAATCTGCTTATTACAAGTCTTTCTTTAGGCCTGAAATGTTATCTAAATTATCAATTAGACATTAATTAACTTATCCAGACCATAATAAACTCTCGATGTCAAGGCTAGCCTTCGATGTTGGCTGGATTATACATTCCTATATGCCGCTAACGGCCGTTGATAATTAATTCAGAAAAAGTGGATAATCGAGACTATGCTGTTTATATTAATGATTTTTGTTATGATGACCGAGACTATGCAAAAAAGTTCACCCGCTTCTAGCTCGGATCATAGTGGATCAATTTGACTGAAATTTTCAGCAAATTACCTTTACACTATCTAGGTTTTAACTATTATAGCGAGAACTGCCATCTCTTTATCTTATCTCCCATAATGTATCTTTAATATTGTTGCATCGTTTTTTCTTTCTCAAAACATCACAAATGACTTTCAGCTCTCGTCAAACCATCACAAAGCTAGGTCAATCACGATTTATATAATCTTATATAATATGATGTTTCAAATTTAAAACTAATACTGAATCGGTACTGGGTCTGTCTGGCAGGAAAGAAAGAAATCGTTTGAAATAATATGATCTATTTGTTTTATAAAATTAGAAGAATGTCATTTTGCAAGATGCTACTTATTGGGTTGCCAGCGTAGACAAGGGGAAGCCACGTTGGCAAATCCCGGGGAACTTTCTCTGCCATACCGGGATGGAACCCCGGACCTTCTGGTTAGTGAGCCAGTGTCTTTGGAATCTTCTTATACTTATGGTTTAAAAAATATGCAAGTTAATATATGTACAGTATAATACATCATGGTTATGTGGCGATTTTAATTATTTAAAAATAAATAATATTGCATTTGGAAAAATACAACATTATGCCACTTAATTGTTAAGAAAGTTTTCCATCCTGGCATCTTCAATTTGTACTCTTTAGTCATATTATTCTATTTGGCTGTTCTGTCTAGTAAAGAATGAGACGTCGCTTGGGACCTTTTAAAGGGCGTAGACATGACTCTTTTATTTTCGTTGGAACCTCGAAATAGACGAAAATGGTTCGAAAATTAATTGTCTTAAATATTACGATCCTATATTTTCACGGCAAGATAACAACCTCAATATTGATTTAAATTGACCAATATTGAATTCTAATTTCGAATATTGTGGAAAATATTGAGTTAGAGATTTAGCTTCTTTAATTCAAGTTCTAATTCAAAGAATTGTACCGAAATGTCCTACGGCTTAGATGAAACTCATCTGCCATTCTAGAGTTTCGATCCAATGTCTATTTCACCAATCCCATAAGACTTCAAATTCGAAATAAAATGAGCAAATTTATTTTAATATTTTTTTTATTATTTCAAATGTTTTCTGTATTATTTGAGACATTGATACCTTACCCCTGCACCTTGCTTGGTATTTTTTTTTTTTTTTTTTTTTTTTTTTTTTTTTAAGTAAATGGTGCATTCAGTGATTGCGTTTCTCGATCTCCAGTGCTTCGGTTAATCTCAAATAATTATTATATGTTTCCAATTCAGTATCAACAAAATGCACAGATAAGTTGGAACAAGGTATTGCGTGCTATTTGACATATTTCCGAATAGTGAATTGTCAGCTCATTAATATGCCCATAGCCATTGTTTTAGTAGCACGGCCTTTGGTAAACAATATTGCTATATATCATACTTAGCGCAGAAAAGTAGGACTTTCAACACCTGGATAAGAAACCTCATTCTCGGCCCTGCGTGTCTCGGCTAATGCACCGTCATTATGAATTGCCGATCAAATTTTGTTATACACACCGCTTGATTAGCTTTACTGACAATATTTGTAGATAAACGAAAGTTGTGAAGAGAGAGAGAGAGAGAGAGAGAGAGAGAGTTTAACGTCCACTCAACACAAACTAGGCCATTTCGGGATTAACATAATGTTTCAATTTTATTTCAATAATTCGCTTGCCCGTAGAGGTCTTTAATTAGCAGTGGGAGGAAATCAGGGGATTGGAGAAAACCCACGAGGTTGGTCAGGCGACCCTACTCCTTGTCACGTACAACCAGAGAATCGAAGCCACGCCAGCTGACCCAATGACAGACCTTATGATACAGCGCGCACACGTTAACCATTAATTGTTATATCACGTATGTCTATTATTATCTCGCGCGTTGAATGGCATATACCCATCCCATCCCACCGCCTGATGATATAGGATAAAGCACACAACACTTTTCTCATAAAGAGTATTGTTTTACAATTTAATACAACGAACGTACAACTGTGTTAACCCCTGTTCTCAATCTTTTTTAATACATAAAATTCTGAAATGATAGAAATTTCAACTGGGACCTATGGAAAAAAAACCCCAATAACCCGTCTCTTGCCAAGATTCCTTCCAGTTTTATTAAGAAAAAGAGAGGACTATGAGGTAATAACTTCTCCGAAGACATTTTGAGAAAATTTCAAAGAATTCCAATTTTCAAGGAAAAAATACCGATATATAATTGCATTAACATTTTCATTCGTCGTTATTATTTTCAATAATTGTGTCCGCTAACAATATTTTCACACAGTACATGGTAGTACATCTTGTATTATCATATACTGTGTGAACTTTTGAATGTAAATTGCATTCACTATTTTGATAACTAAAACACCCTGATCTCCTAACATAAAGAAATATATTTCCTTATCTTGGTGTACAACATTCCATATAATCTGTATGAAAGGCTAGACATAACCCACATTTACCGGTCTATTAAATTCATGCGTATTCTTTTAAAAGCTTTTCGCGGCTTATACATCTCAATGCAAATGATTTCAGTCTAAATGTAAAGTTAATTTTATATAAAACTGCTCATTTAACATCATTCTTGTTAATATTATGTTTGAAAAGGAATCGATCAATATATTTTTTAGAGACAAATTCCCCAATAACACAAGTTCCATTAACGAATACATCCCATAATGCAACTTTCAGCGCATACGCTCATGCGCACTTTTCCATTTTGTGTCCCCAATCGTTCTCGAGAAGGAAGATAACTTTAACATTTTTATTGTAAACTCGCTCAAAATGGCATGATATCATGCAACCCACCAAAGGAAATGTAACTTAGATATTGGCATGGAGAATCCTATACACCGGGAGTGGATTCTAGATACAATAGACCAACTTCGAGGCAGAAAAGCCCGGCCGGATCTTGAGCGCATTTGCCACATGCTAGAACGAAAATACGGTTTGTCATCGTCGGTAACAGAGAGTTGTTTGGAACGCCTTGTTGACAGTGAAATTGTTATGAAAGTGGACTATAAGGGTAATACAAGCTACCGGCATGCAGCCAAATGGAGAAAAAGTCACCTAAAGGGTGTTGTCATGAATTCTACATCAGCCAGTCGTAATTTAGTTGAGGCGGTGTTGGATTGCGAGTCGAGCAATACAGACGAACTCAGTCGCGGTGCTAGCATTCGCGACATAGAACTATGGTTTCAAACTCATGAAACCGAGAGACTCAAATGTCCAATAAATGTTGCTTTGCAAAGAGAAATTGACGCAGGGAGAATTGAAAAATTAAATAATGGGAATTATTCTGTGCGTATCGGTAAAACTAGAACCCCCAAGAACACAACTAAATCTGATAAATTAGTTCCTAGTCGTAGAGGTCGCCCTCCCAAAAATAAAAAGGTGATTTTATGACTTTTTCATCTGTGTCACAGATGTATCTTTTCTCCCAAAAGTTACTTAAAGGGACAATAACACTCTTGCTGGCTTGAAAGCTCCAGAAAATAAATAATATCTCTATCTAAGTAGTAGATGTTTAACTGTCTTACCTGTTGTGTAAATTATCCATTACATCCTATTTTACTTGTCCAGAGGGTTCAAAAATATTTTTAAATCGAAGTTTCATTTGAAAAGGTTTACGTTAGACGTTTCAAACCATTATGTTGAATTTTTCAAAATTTTTAAATAAGGTGTGTTAAGATGAAATTTGTATCATCAATTAATTGAAATATTCTAAAATAGTACAATTTGTTGACCAGAATAAAGATTGGGACATATTATTCAGTTACAACAAGAGTTGTATTGAGCCTCTAATATAATTTTATGAATCCAAATATGCTACATTGATTTCTTTTGAATGTTCAATTTTGATTTGTGTACCAATATGTTGCCTAATTGATAAAAAGCTATAAAAGGCCACTGTTAAAAAATTGATTGTTGTTCGTTCACAGAAGGCCTACCATGCATATTCTTCTGGAGGGTTTTTGTTTTATATTTTTATGTTAATGTTAATGGTTCCTACATGAATACTTAACTTCAAAAATAAATTGTAATTTCACTAAAAAGTGTTACTCAGATTTGTCTGTATTTCCCTGTCCAGTTTTTATTATTTTGTGTATTATACCTAGATTAGAACAATTAATTATGTCGGTAACACAGACAACGATATTGGTCAAATAGAGAATTATTATAAAGTTCAATATTTGTTTATGGATGGAGATAAATGGGTTTAGTTAAGAGTTATATAGAAAAATATTGAGGAAACTAATTGGGCTTTTTGAGATTATCATGTAAATTCCAGAATACACAACCAATTATAATATATTCATATTAAAAAATGAATGGTTTGACATGTTGTTATCTATGCACTACATGCAAATTTGAAGAAAAAAAAATGTTTTCCTGAAATTATAAATTGTCATAGAAAAGAAAACTCATTATTATTAGAAGATGTGTACTGTATTCCTTATAAATGTAAGTTTTCAAAAGCGAAAGAACAATGGGATGTAAGCCAGATTTTTTTGTGCATACTTTGAAAATAACCTGAAAAATAGCATATCTGTTGTGTGTACATGTATATTGAAATTAAGTGTCATTTCCTATACTGGTATAATTTGAAAGTGAACAATCTCTGCCGCAGTTATTTTAAGCTTAAAATGACCCCTATCTGTATTAGGTGGTAAAAAATTTCAAAGGGGTTTCTTATCTACAATTACAAATAAATTAATGTAGAAGGTGACAATTTGAAGAATTGCTAGGAATAAAACATTCTTGCCAACCATCAGCTTGTTGTCGACATTAAAATTATTTACAATTTTACATTCGAATAGTGTAATAAATCTACTTATCAGTATACTTAATAAACTATAAAACATACTTACGGAAAAAAAGCTATCGAAAAAGACTCAGAATATATTAAAACATGCATTATGCAAGAGCCAAATCTGTCCATTATAGGTCTATCTTTACTCCTTAAATAATGTCAAAATTATTAATTAGACATTAATTAACTTACCAATACCATAATCAACTCTCGCTGCCCTCGGTGCCTGCGATATTTAGTGGATTCCAATACGTTTACTTGTGGATATGATTACCGTAAAATGGATAATCAAGACTTTGTTTATTATCGTAACAACGGTTAATTTGACTGAAAATTTCAGCATATTCTCTTATCATTATCTAGTTTTGAACAAGTATAGCAAAAACTATCAGCGCTTTATCTAATCTTACCTAATGTCGCTTTAAGTAGCTGTTTTCCATTATTATGTGCTATGGTTTATTAACCTGTCCAGTTACTAAATGTGTCAGAGAGATTATTACTTGTACATTTATAACAAGATATTGACATTATTTCACGAAAACAACCTTGTCTGTTATAAGAGTACACAGGTGCACAAAACAATTCAAAACTATTCATTAGTTGAAATAATGAAAAAAATTGTAGAAAATTGTGATTTCTAATTAGTGAGCTGTGCCAAAAGGAATAGATTAAATATATCAGAATATTGAGCTATATTAATTAATAATAAATCCTAACAGTTTCTTAGTTAACATTTTGTTATCCATAAGAGTCAAAATATTTACCAGGTTTAAAAAGTTTTGATTTTTTTTAAAAAAACAAAAAAACCCAACTTTTCCTGGATAATGGTTCAAGACATGACGAGCCGCAGTAATCCATTAATTTATTGGGGGACTAATTCTCAACAGTTATTTTTGTTGGTGTGTCTTAAGTCACGATTCTTTTATTGTCTTATCTCCAGAAGTTAAAGCGAAATTATAGCTATGAAGATGACATGGAATATGAGCCTCCCTGTTCCTCGAAGAAACAGTATGGTGAGGAAAAGTGTGATTTTTGTAGCCAAACTGCAGAGTTCAACAAACTTGGTGTTCCTGAATTTTTACTTATTTGTAAGGACTGCAATGCTAAAGGTAACTGCAGTATTGTTTTGTTTTCTTTTACATCATTTAAAAAGTTGTCTCCTTAATTTGGTTAAAAAACAAACCAAAAAACTGTTGATTCATTGGATTTTATATGTTGAAAATTTTACATTTATAGATAAAGCCAGCGTTAAGATACATTTATAACCAATATTATGATTGACTATGGACACCATAAGCCAAAACTAGAATTATAGAACAAGTCGACCAGCTAATTTAAAAAAAAAAATTAATTTATTCGGATAGAGCTTGAAATATAGAAATAACGTTTTGGTCAAATTTGCCCAATTCATTATTTTATTTTGACCTAATTCAAAGAAGAGTAACTCTTTTAAACCCTATTCAAACAAGTTGCTATTTCTGATATTTTCAATCACTTTTGAACTTTTTCTTGCTCTGACTAATTTTGTGAAAGTGTACTAATACTAGAATTATTTGAAAAATAAATTTTCAGCTCATCCATCATGTATGGAATATACAGAAGAATTATCTCGGAGAGCTTATCAATCACAATGGCAGTGTATAGACTGTAAAACATGTTGTATGTGTGATGATTCTGGAGATCCAGTGAGTATAAGTAATTTTCTTGCAACATACAGTTTACCTTGCACTCTCCAATTACATGACTAGACTTGAATAAAGGAATAAAGTGTTGGACATAAGATGAAAGGAATAAACATGCAACTGTTATAAAAACAATTAAGAGTGCTAACTGATGTGCTATTTCCCTCATTACCATGTATGATATTTGTAGGATCTGATGTTGTTTTGTGATGGATGTGATAAAGGATATCACATGAACTGTCATCAGCCACCTGTACCACATAAACCTCAAGGTTTGTACAAGTCTGGTTTTCAGCAAAAAAAAAAAATCTAGTCTACTATTTACAATCTTTAAAGAGCGTATAAAACAAACATGAAAGTGGTATGTGCATGAAACCAGTTTAATTATACTTGCGATATACACCAATTTCGCACAAATCTCATCGGAATTAGCCTGTATATGACTATTTACATATCACAGTAATATCAGAGTGGATGGTCATGTCACATCACGTGCAATACACATGATTGCATCTGATATTTGTGAACATCTGGCCTGTGTTCTATAAACATGGTGAACTTATTAGCTCTATATTCTAATTGTTATATATTCCCAACTTAACATATTTAATATGTACATTAAAAGTTAATTTAGAATGAATTAAATATGGCGTGGAAATGCAATCCACACAGATTTCATTTACAAAACTCGTTCTTTTCACTTATTACTATATGGAATAATAGTGTCTTTTGACATTGTCATTCTGCAATGTAAATGTAAAAGATGTCATGATGTTTTATATTATTTCTGGGGGAGGGAATGGTTAGTGTGTGCGTGCGTGCTGTATCATAAGCTACAAACACAAAAACATATTTTATGTTTGGTCCTGAAAATACATACAATTGTTGCCATTATTCATGTGTACATAACTAATATTTCTATTGCCTATATGTCTTACAACATTGCATTACAGTATTACAAATTCACGTACATAGATAACCATATTTCAAACGAACATGAGACCATTCTCACACTTCACTTTCAAAATTATCTAATCAAATAATTAAATGAAATATTTATAAAATAATTAGCTTACCCATTTGTGGAAAAGAGCTGATGTGTGACATGCATAAATGTAATTTAGTTTTATCCCAGCTGCACTTAAAAATAACCAAAGAATCACAAATCACCTGATAAACAACCTTCAGAAGAAACCACCTTCAGAACTGAAAGATTTCAATGAGTTATCCTTAAAATTATACCAGCAATATTAAGATCTAAACCCATATAAAAACTAAAACATTTCAGGCACTAAAATAACACACCATAATACATCTATTACAATTCCAGATCCATACAATATAAAATCCACCACCAAAACTATAAACTCACTAGGGAGGTTGAATGGCCGAATGGTTAGCATGTGCACGCTGTATCATAAGGTCTGTCATTGAGTCAACTGCTGTGGTTTCGATTCTCCGGTTGTACGTGACAATTAGTAGTGTCGTCTGTCCAACCTCGTGAGTTTTTTCCGGGTCCTCAGGTTTCCTCCCACTGCTAAAGATCCCTAAGCGCAAGTGAATTATTGAAATAAAATTTAACCATATGTTAGTCCCGAAATGACCTAGTTTGTGTCAGTGGACCGTAAACCCCATTTCTCTCTCTCTCTCTCTCTCTTTATATTATTTCTGTCTTCATTCACATTCATATTCTAGGAAAATGGATTTGTGCTGAATGTGAAATTGAAGGAGTATCTGTGGAAATATTAGAATTGCAGGAGAGAATTCTTGCCAATAAAAATAATGGTAAGGACATTTAGCATTTAAAAACTGACGCAGAATTATTTTTCATATGAAATCCATTGATTTACTTATAGGAGGTCAACTAGAAATAATACCTCTTTATTTTCCTGTAAGTTGTAGTTAGTGAGATGAACTTTATATGTCATTTCAAAATTGCATCTTCCAGGGGGTCAAGTTCTAGATCAAAACTATGTCAAAAGGTTATTGATTTTAAAAATGTTTTGGTGACTGATCTGATTATGGAAGATGATTCCTCATCCTATCAGATCAAAACAACAACTAAACTAGATCATGAAAATTGAGCCAGTAGTTCAGGAGTTATCGAAAGCATGCAAAAAACTTTAAAATTCAGTGTTTTTCTGGCACAACAACCCTATGTACCCAGTTTGATCAAAATCTGAGATAGTCAGGTTTAGGCTGTGTATTGAATTGACATGGAATGATGAGCCTTTAGTCAAACTAGCTAAAACTTGATTACAAAATTGTGTTACTGAGTTTGATGTTTTTATGTTATATAGTTGGTGAAACATCTTTACCACTGACACCATGTGAGTCACCACAATTTGATCATCAACCAACATACAGGTAAATATTCAGTAGAGTGTTTACTATGCAATACTTGTCTGCACAAGTCAAGATTGAACATGATGTGGTTGGAATGATACAGTGGAATACAGACCTTTGATTTGAGATAACAAATGACAGCTAACGACATTGCTTTTGTACTTGATAACAATAAGAGAACATTTGTTGAAATGTTGTGACCGTTGTGACCGTTGATTGTTTATTCCCTTATAAACTACAATATTGTGAAAGTTTGATCTTTAAAAGAGATATCAGTTAAAAAAATGTTCAGTTTTGTTCAGTATTTACGTAGGTATGATAAATTGAAAATTTGTCAACATACAGCTTCCTGTAGAAGATGTAAACCAAAAATGATCAATGCAGGACAGTGCCACCAACAATCTTCAATCTTCTTGAAAATCTTCGTTGGTCCTTTTTCTAATCTTACTGAATCCAAGTTGGGAGATTGTCTACCATTGATATTTTAATTTTTTTTTTCTTAATTAAATATTACATAATCTATCTGGGTACATTTTAGCTCGGATTGAGTTGTAATGGATTAGATAGGACTTAAATACCTGGTCCTTAAGGATACTTTATAGAATAATAATGTACCCGGTATTTGTATTTTATGTAATTTTCAGGGCGGTACCTCACATTCAGAAGCCCAAAATATTGTCTAAAGATCCTAAACTTGATGGTGTGTATTATCCAGATGCATCTGATTGGTCTATAGAAGATGTTGTTAGCTTTATTGCTTCTGTAGGATTCTTGGAACAGTCACAGGCATTTCGTGAACAGGTATGTTTCTGTCTGGTACATAGGTCATTTCTTTTTAACTACCTAACATCAGACTAAAGCTGTGTCTTAAAGGAGTATCCCTTTAATATGTTCTATGTTGCAAGTTTTATCAGGTTTTATTGGACTGTATTGGAACATTTTGCATATCCGGCATCTCTTTGTTCCATATATAATTATGCTCTTGTTATGTTTGTTGACGACTCTTGACTTGATTATTTGTAATTGTGGATTACTTTCTATAGGAAATTGATGGCAAATCTCTGTTATTGATGAAGAGGAGTGATGTTTTAACTGGATTATCTATCAGACTGGGGCCAGCTCTAAAAATATACAAACATGTACAGAAACTTCAAACAGCCAGCCAAGATATCAGATAGTGTTTTATTTCTTGTAATGGAGATCATGTCTTGACAAAGTGAACTTTACAAAGATGTAATGAGAAATTTCACAGTTTTTACGCAATGAGCAAATTGTGTCGAAGTGCTGCTTTCCTTTGCTAATTCTTTTGTTCTACTTGAAAGTCTTGTGGCGATAAACTGAATATACCCTGTTATTTATGCATTGAATATTTTCTGAGGCAAAGCATTGTAAACATTTTTACCCTATCCATGGTGCTATACCACATACCGGGCCTAATTGCCTTTCGCATTCTTCTTGTGAACAGTTTGTTTATCACTAGAATCAACCATTCATGACTGGAAACGGCCGTTGACTTGTTTTTCCAGAAAAGCTTTTTCAAATATGAAATAATTCCTTGATGTCAGTAAATTCATTCTATTACTTGAATAGAAAATATTAATAGAAACATATTCTGGTTATCAGATACTGAAACTAAACCGTGGGCTTAATTATCAAGTACACAACCCTGATAAATTTTATTGACATAAATAACACTTGATAATTGTAAACTGACAAATTGTTATCAGGACATTGCAACCATCAAATCAGGGTCTATTTGAAAGGTTTGTCTGTCTGTCTCTCAAACTTTTTGGTACACAATAACTCTGCTTCTAATTGAGCTAGAATGTTCAAACTAGATGTAGAGGACTGTGTTAAGCATTTTCAGCTGTGGCTGAGCAGAGTTAAGCAATTTCATTGGTTGAGACTTTGGGGCACAATAAAACAGCTTTTAATTCAAGTGAGTTTGATGCTTAGGCTAAGCAGAAATAAACTATTTAGTCTAAGACTTTAGAACACACTAACACTGCCTTTGGATGGGACAAAAAAAAAACCCGGAGGCTCTGTTAAAGAACCCTTGACAGATTGGATTGGAAATAAGAATAGAATGTAGCTCCAGTGTAAGGCAAAATTTTTCTCAAAGCACACTGCATGACATATGCCCGTCATCATTAACCTTATTTTATTTTCATTGCATTTGAAGAAAAAAGAAGAAAAAAAAGTAAAACCTGCATCAGACTTTTTTTAAATGTTTGTCTTGAGAAGAAGACATTTTTTTGTATGACCTTATATTAGATCTCTTCTTGTTTATATAGAAATCCATGTATCTATAATTAGTCAGCAGACAGTTTTACACACTAATATTAATTTGCTTTTAAGTGGTTGTAAATATTGTGATGTCTAATATTGGATTTATATATAGGTTATAAATAATAAGGTAATGTAGATAGCTTGAAGGTTGATGTTTTATAAAATAAACTCTTAATTTATACTCTGTATACTACATAGTACTGCAATGCACGAAATTAATGTCAAGAATTTAATGCAACCAGAAGGGAGTTAACAAAAATGTATATTGCATTTTTATATTTTTTTTTTTTGAAGTTTATGCAGCCATACCCTTGCCAGAAATGAGTAGATTCTTGTAATTTTAATATATAACTTGACAATTACAAGATAATAACATCATAATTGTGTTTTCAACAACACTTATTAGACTACTTGTTTTGAGTGGTGTTACGTTTGACAATACCACATATCTACAGAATAACTACTTGTGTACTGGAATTAATGTGGCTGGATGATTTTCATTAATTATGGGTGTATGACTAAAATAAACCCACCCCAATATCACAAGATGAAATATTTTAGGGACACTGGGTGTATCTGCAAGCTATATTATATTAAATGTGCATGTACTAAATGTATTTTTATGCATGTATAAATTTGTTTTTTGTATCACAGAAATTTCTTAAGGCTTGCATCACACACATATGTACATTTAAATGCTTGACTTCTATTCTGGAAGTTATGTAGCAGTTTGTTTTATATAATATAAGTATTATTTATATAAAAATGTTCATCCCAGTGTTATTATGTATATGTCATCTATGAATTGTAAATAATTGTGCCAAGTAGTGGATTTTCCTTAAAATGAAATTGTGTCTATATAATAAATGATTTAATGAATGAAATGGGGTAAAGTTACAGAATGATTATCTATATAATATCTAGAGGTAGCAAAAATAATGTGTAAAATTGATTATTTGGGTCTATATGCAAACACCATCTTAAGCACCATTGTGTATCCTGGAAGTATTCATTTTCCATCTCTGTGTGTCAAGATCCTGGGCACCTTGAATTAATCTGTCTTGAAGCACGTTGCAGTCATAATCTTGAACACCTCTGTTACATTCTACTAAATATAGGATTGTTAGCACCTGCATGCCTTGTATTAACATATTGGTTACTAGAGGGTTTTTAAAGGTATGTATTCAAAAGTAAAATATAGTCTAATATGAACAATTATTGTTGATGAAACATGCATTAATAGTGATCTAAGCTAAGTATGTTAATGAACTGGTTGTTGAATTGTATATATTTTGTTAATTTGTAAAAAAAATTGTTATATATTTGTTATGCCTAATTGTTATGTATTTAATGATATGCTTTTCAAAGTAGCATTTGAGTTTTGTAATGTTATATTTTATATGGCTTTATCATAAAATGAAGTTTGCCACTGTTTTTTTTATCTCAAAATACTTTATCATAAAGATCTTGAAATATTTATAAAGATCTTGAATGATGATTTAATGTGTTAAACTACATTTATTAAAGGGGAATCGTGTGAGATTAGATAAAGAACTGACATTTCACGCTATAATAGTTAAGATATAGATAATTAAAAGGGAATATGTTGAAAATTTCGTTCAAATTACTTCACTCTGAGGCTAGTTATAGCCGTTAAAAGTACAGTGTAGCCTTGATTGTCATTGCTACTGTAGATAATAAACTAAGTCTCGATTACCCATTTTTGAATTAAATCATTAACTGTCATTCGTATTTAAATATGTTGAAATTCTCCAGAATCTCATGGCATCAAGAGGTGATTATGGTCATGGTATGTTAATTAATGTCTAATTAATAAATTATTTAAAGGCATAAAGAAAGACCTGCCCTATGCAGATTTAGTTCTTGCATAGTGCTTGTTTAAGAGAATACAATTGTTAGATCAATGCTCAAAATTTTTGGCAATAAATGTCATCCTTGATAATGATTTATTTCATTGCCTTTATTAAATCTGAATATAATGAATATTAATTGTATTTTTTACGAAGAAATAGAATCCCACAAATCTGAAATCTCATTTACTTAAGATAAAATGTGGGGTATGCAGGTTTGTAGAATATCGTCTGTTGGCAGTCAAAGATTCGTATCTGGCATATTTAATGAAATTTACTTTTTATACGCCCACATTGAAATATGGTCGTATATAGCCGTCGCCCCCATCCGCCAATCTGATTAAAACACTGGTCCTATTTCGTTTCGTTTTTTATAGTTCAAAAATTTCTGTAAGAGTTATGGCCCTTGATCACTTGAGATATCTTGTGGACGCAATAGAGGCTAATGTTTATATAAATTTATACACAGTGTTTAAGGTCATTAGACAAACAGTCAAAACAAATTCTAATGATTTCTGATAATTATTTAATGGGTTGTTACTTGTAATCAGATTTTAGCGTGTTGTAAATGTTTTAAATACTGACAAAAGAAAATATATGCGACACCCCTTGTTGACTGCCCGGATGACTTCTACTGCTGTGGGCGTATGTTTTGTTGCCTGGGAACTTATCTTTATATGTCCACATGGAAATGTGGTTGTATGTTTCTTCAAATCTTTTCATCTAGTAATCTTCTTTGCAGTCAAAACAGTTGTGTACAAGGGTGCACAGGATTTTATAGATATTGTTTCAAGATGTAGTATGTGAGGCGTTCCAAAAAAATGTAATGCAAACATGCTGCATTTCCTTAAAATCAGCTGTGTGATTTACCAAAGCATTTTTAAAGTTGAAATTTTTAAATATCTGTTGAAATTATTGCTGTGCCTCTACTGCGTGATATCTTTGAAATAAAAAGGTGGAGGTGAATCCGTTACCAAAATGTGTCTTTACTGTATAAAACTGTAATTACTCAATTACATGTACTCTGTATATTGGGCATGGATGTTAAGCTGGATATCCTCAGACAGTTACTGTTGTTTGAATGTGTACACATATATTTGTTATAGAAATAGGTTAGAACATCTTCAGGTATACATTATGATGTGATGTTTCTATACAATATCATGATTCTAAACCTCCATGCATATTTTGGCTCTCCTGAACAATTTGCCACAACTGAGATACAACCATTTCACTCTACATCTATAATGTGCCACCTGCATATCTGCTTTTATTAAATTGTGAAGATCAATGGTTAATATTGATATATAATGGCCAAGTTATAATGTTGTCATATTGTTGTGATATTGTCTGTCCATCCATCAACCTTAGGGCGGTTAATATTCTTTGATCTATAGTTATGGTTTAACATTCCGGGAGCTACCATTATTATTAAGATGGTTCTGTCCATCTGTCACAATTTTGGAACACAATGACTCTGCTTCTAATTGAGGTAGAATGCTCACACTTGGTTTGGGTGAATGCTTTGAATAAGGATCATAAGGGGCCAGCTTCCTATACTACTGCTGCTGTTCATATAGCTTCATCAGTGCTGATATTGACAATTATAACAATGGCACAGTGTCTGCTTCTCGGATGAATTCATATTACTGTACACCAGAGAAACACGGACAGGAAGGCTTGAGTGGTGACAAAGTACTGAACGTTACAGCTGTGACTGCATATTGTGAAAATAGATCATTTGCGTTGGAGGAAGTGTACAGAGGCATTAGCTACCATCACCGAATAGAGCTGCTCATGAGGCAGAATGAACGCCCAGTACTACAGGGACAACGTATCTGCACATATTTCAGAATAACGTTTTATATAGCATGTGTTTGCATGGACTTCTTGAACCAAAACAATGTGGTAGTACTCTAATTGCTAGCCCTCTCTCCCACTCTTATCAATCGAGCATATGTGGCAGAATATTGGACGTTGTTTCTCTCATGGTCCCCATTTTACCCTTTGTGCCTACATTTCACTGTAAATTTGTTATGGCCTAAATAGGTTGTTGATTTTCTTGTGTGGGTAAATGTCTGGCACAATCATGACAAAAATCACATTTCAGCTGCATTATCAAATTTGCTTTCACTGCTTCTCGGTACCCGTATATTTTAAAATTAATAACAATATGATAAAAATAAAAAAGCAGTTTAATATTGCATACAGAAACAATAAATGAACAAGAATGAACATAGTAAAGCAGTAGATATCCAATACACTTATACTAATCCTGGTTGTTAAACCCCATCAAATTTATTTTCAAATGAATCTTAAACTGTTACCTATGTTCCCTTGTCATATAAAGGGAATTGAACTTAATTTCGACTCAAAACTAACTTATTATTCGGGGATTAACATATGGCATGTCTTTATTTTAATAATTCACTTCAAATAAACAAGTTTACACATGTCATAAATGTTTATTTCTTGAGCAACATTTTAAAGTAAAGGCTTGATAAAGACAAGACAATCCTAGTTAAAATGTTGCTCACAATTAACAGTATTTGTATTCCATGTGTAAATATCCAATTTAGTTACTAAATGCCATTGAAACAGTATAGGAATCATCATGTTAGCAAAAGCTTCATACAACTGATATTGACAATTATTACAGGATATTGACATATTGTACAAGTATTACAGGATTCAGTTTCATCATCACATTTCATAATTGTTAACATTGTTTACAAGTTACCAAAACAAATATTTACATGGTATTTAAAGATGCATTATGTAAGATTTAGATAACGAGCTGACATATGTTGAAAATGTCAGTCAAATTACTTCATTCTGAGCGGAGTTGTCGTTGGAAAAACAGTGTAGTCTTGATTGTCATTGCTATGATAATGAACAAAGTCTTGATTATCCATTTTTTAATTAGATCAAATCATCATTAACTGCCAATTATATTTACATCTGTTCAAAACCAAAACCATCCGAAGTTCTAAAGAGTTGATTATGGGCTTGACATGTAAATAAATGTCTAATGATTTACATAACATTTGACAACAAATAAAAGATATGTATTAGGCAGAATTAGTTCTTGAATAATGCATCTTTAATGAAATTATCTTAGAAACATAATTTGTTAACCTATAATGTTCATTCATTACATTTATTATATTCTTAATATTTACATCTGTTAACAATCGGTATTCTTATCACATATAACCTACATATACATAACAATACTTCTATTCAAAAAAATAAATTAATTTCTTTAAAAAATTTGATATGTTTTAAATGACCATTACTACATTTATTATCATACGTGTATATTAAAGCTCCTTATAATTAAAAAATATTCAAAACATCAAGTACAACCAAAAACAAATACAAAATATTTAACTGTGTACAATAGTTTAAAATATACCCATAACAAACCACACTGTTCAAATTTAATCAAGACATTAACTTGCACATTTGTATAAATGGTTAAATTGGAAGATTACCTTTGGCACAATTTTAGTCATTTAAATCAACAGACAACAGCAGCACATATACTAGGTAAATACTTTGATCTTATTTAGCAATATCAACTATCTATACATTTATTTCAACCAATAGTAAGTACTCTTTAGTACCGAGAGAAAAATACCGACATTTAAATTTTGATTACAGTGGTAATTTGTTATATGATAATTTGGTGAATACATCCATTCTACATTTCAAGTTGAATAATATCAGTCTTTAAAGATTCTTTTCACCATTTGATGGACTCTGAATCCCTAGTGAACTACACTATTGTAAAATCAATGAAATGGTTCAATTCCATTCAGAATTTACAAAGATATGATGAATTGAAACTAATGTCAACATTCGGCATCCTCTGCCGACAATAAAAGGGGAAATAATCAAAGCAAGCCACCAACATTTTCGTGAAAGTCTTTGATGGCCTCTTATTAATGCTACTGAATCAAAGACGTAATATTATCTTATGTTGATATCTTAATTTTCTATTCTTAATTAAATTTTAAAAAATCAATGTAAGTAGACTTTAGCATGGATCAAGCCAAAAATGGACACAACAATCAGCAACGTTAATAAAACAATTTCTAATCAAATAAATCACATATCACTCAATCATACATTCACATAACATCTTCTCTTCTAAAATTCTAAACCAGCTGTTTGTAAACCTTGTATATGTTGGTAGATTTTTAAAGCCGGTCCAAGTTTTAGAGAAAGTCCTGTTAGAACATCCACTCTCTTCATCAGCAATAAAGATTTACCATCAATTTCCTTTTAAATAAAAAAGTATGGACATTCTGTTACAAAAGAGTTGCTAGAATTTATGGAAAATTGACTCTATAAGAGAATGAAAAGAGGAATAAAAAAAAAATCCAAGCCATAATAAGTCTAAATTACTTTATTTTAATATTGACAGATGGATAATGACATAGGCAAGTAAAAAGTATTATTTAATTAAAAAAAACCTGATGACTTACTTGATCTTTAAAACATTCTACTTGATCAGAATAGCCTAGTGACTGGAAGAACTGGACTACTTGATCTATTGTCCAATCAGAAGCATCAGGATAATATTGGCCATCAAGTTTTGGATCCTTTGATAGCTCTCTTGCTAAAGATTCTTTCGATGATTGTTTCTTTTTATACAACCTGCAAAAAAAAAAATTCATAATAAAATAGTGTTAATTTGATATAGTTTCTTTGTGCTATGCAATAATTCTTGAACCGTTTTTTATAATACAGTTTTTTATCTAATGTTTTTTCCTTTATTTAAAACAAATCTCATTCTGAATATACAATTTCGTGGAACAGCATTTAATCATAATAAAAGTATATACCCAAATTAAAACTTACTTATATCTATATTTTTCATCATCACATTGAACTGGTGAATCACATGGTGTCGGTGGAAAAGACCCATCTAAAATTAAGCAAACATATTTTAATGAAAAGTTTATTGGGTTTTTTTTCATGATTTTGAAATATTACTTAGTGCTTTCGTCGAGAAATACTTACAATTATCATTACAGATACTTTCACTCCCACTACTTTCTTCTACTTCCTGAACCTTTGAAACACTTGCTCCTCCACAATCAGAACACATCCATTTCCCTGAACAACAAGAAATTTTTAAAGTAATCTAATGTATTCTTTAAGTTGCATTTAGTAACTGGGTCGATAAATAAAATATAACACATACTTATGGAAAAACGGCTACGAATGCAATGTAATGGTCTCAACTCAACACTATACAAAGCTTATTTTGAAACTAACTCTTGGTTATATGAGTTTCAGTGTATACTTGTATAATTTGACAGCAACATTAAGATCTATTTTTGCATTTTGCTGTGTGTATCTTTTTTTGGCAAAGAATAGATTCAACATAATCATAAATAATTAAGAGACCTGCATGGTTGAAAGAATGAAACAGTTGGAAGTTAATTAAGAAGGTATGGATAAATGACTTATCTCCCTTTAACTATTATTTCAGACTCTAAAGCTTTAAGTTTCACCGGACTTAAAGATACATTATGGGAGATATTTATAGAGAGTTGGCCATTCTTGCTATAACAGTTCAAAAGTAGATGATGAAAGAAGAATATATTGAAAAATTCAGTCAAATTACTTTATTCTGAACATAGTTATCATCGTTGTAATATTTGCCTAGAAATGGTAGCGAACTGTGTCTTCACCTTCGCCGAACGTTTGATTGACAGACGTTAATCCACCTACATATCTCGATTATCAAGTAAAGTTTTCAATGGCTTGCAGAAACGCTCTACAGCGGCCTCGCTAAGTACACTCTATCATTTAGCCTCGATCTAACTGACGTATTTTCATCAGGTTACCCCTTATCTGATTTAATCAATTAGTGAAATCCTATTTAAATCCGAGCTGTAGCCGAGCCATCCGTGGGTCTACAGTGTTGATTTTGGTCTTGTTGTTTAAATAAAGATCTAATTTATAATTTCTATAACATCTGAAGCCTAAATTAAGACTTGCAATAATCAGATTTAGCTCTTGCATAATGCATGTTTAAGTTGACAAGTCAACACTTTTCAGTGTGTTAACTATAATTTGTGTTGATATTAAGGGAGCTAAAGCTCTTTCGTTAAAGTTAAAATAAACTGTTGAATTTGGTGTTATTTTGGTTAGTATAAATCAGACATTAACGTCTATATTTTAATTTCGAACATTTTAAGCGGAGGCTGTTTGTTCATTTATCCTAATTTTACTTCTGTCTAAAGTTGCCAACTTTTGATCAGCTAGATCTCAACATTGGTATGTAAATATGTTTTTAAACAGACAGATTGTCATCTTACAAAGCAAAAAAATAAATCGTGTCACTCAAATTTTTCTCTGGGCTGATTTGTGACAGTAAAATAATTTTTTAAAAAATCCATCAGTTTTATGATGATGATGTTAAGTAAAAACTACCTTTAGGTTTATCTTTAAGTGTTGGTTTATGACACGTCATATGATATCCTCTATCACACCAATCACAGAATAACATAATAGTCTGAAAAATGTACATGAAACAGTTATTCAAAATATCCCAGTAACCAAACTGAAGCATCCAGATCACTAAATGGCATTTGGACATGTTGCTTGTTGAAAAGATTAGAGTTATCAGTGCTTCAAAGATTGATCAAAAGTAATTATCAATTTGAATATACAGTTACATCAAATATTGTCAAATTTGATTGTAAGGAAACTTTTGAGATAAATCTGCCAAGTCATAGCTAGGATATAGATTTTCAGTGGTTTTCAAGGAGTTTAACAGATGCTCATGAAAAACACACTACTATAAGTAGTTCAGTGCTTGGATTTTACTCAATAAGGTGAGTAAAAGAAAAGTGATAGGTCTAACTTGACATGATTATCAAATCATTAGTTACAATTAGGGTGAAAAGTTACATGACAAAACTAACAATTTGAAAATGTATATTAATCAGTGAACTGTTTATTCATTCTCTAAGGCAATCTACAACCCAATTTATATATTTTGAGGATATCATAATGTCTAAGTGTTCCATACCAGATTCCCTCAACACAATGCTCATTTGGAGACTGACATGGGCACATTTTATTTCTATTTTAATGTGTGATAAAAGGGAAATATATTTCTCCCTTACAGCAGTGATTATGCCTTATCTTCACAGAATAAATGGTTCAAGAGACCATTTATGTGCATTACCAAAAGCACTTTCATTGTCACCCCACAGGTGTTCATCCTAAAGATGTGGGACTTGGGTCTTGAAAGATCCTGATTGTTTTTCTCAGTTATGACCTAAGGTCACCACTGTACATTGTCAATCCAGCTAGTGTGAGTGGTGGACATATTCTAAAGCCTAGCCAAACAATTTTGGATTTTCTGTGTATAGTGGGAATTTGAAATATGAGCAACTCATAGCATCGCTGTCATGGAATGAAAATTTTCACCTCAATAGTACACCGTATGGCATGTCCTCGTTAGCCCGGATGGAGCAGAAAATCAGTCGTTAACCCCTTTTCATTTCTGTTAATCCATCATTGAGACTCACAACTGGTTGTTGATATTAAGGCAAGTTAATTCATTTACTTTCTGGTCGAAAGTAATGTTTGAATACTTACTGCAGCTTCTGCATCATCACAAACACAACATGTTTTACAGTCTATACACTGCCATTCTCCTTTATATGCTTTCTTAGCAAGTTTAGGTGAATACTTCATACAAGATGGATGAGCTACAAAAAAAATTTTTTCAATAAAATAAAAGGAGTGAAAGAATCTATTTGCCAATTTATTAATAGCTATCTATCAATAGCTATGTTCACTGTCTAGCCAACTTCTTTTTTATGTTGGCAAAATGAAGATAATAAATTTCAGTACTGGTAGGCCTTTGCTGGGTTGGGGGTAGTGTCCTCTTTTCCTGGACCTTTTTCCTGACCCAGGCTCTATGGCCTTGATAACAACAAAGTTCACATAGTAATTCATTGTCTACAAATTTGAACTTGGTATACTTGGTATTGTGACGAATGGATGCAATATGACAATCATTACTTCAAAAAGGCATATTCAAGGTTTACCTATAGCATTACAATCATGACAAAATAATAGTCTTTCTGGTTTTCCTTTTATATTCTTTGAAGAAGTAAGTTTACAAAAATCACAAACAGCATTCACATCGTCGTCATAAAAACCAGCATCAATATTCTTGGATTTTTTCCCAACCAGATCAAGCATCTCGAAATCGGGTCCATGAGTCTTTTTAAATTTCTACAAAAGAAATCAAAACCATTTACAATTTGTAGGCAGATGACTTATCAGTTTGTTTTGTTTTTGCGTTATGGTTGAGACCGCTCCACGTACCACACTAAAAACTATTTATGGAACAACAATTACTTGCTTATTGTACTCGCATGTTTATCAACCAGTAATTGTCATTTTATAAATAGTTTTTAGTGTGTTACTGTTCAGTTACTAAATGCCACTCAAAGAAGTTCTAACACACGTTTGACGTAGATTCATAAAAATTGCGTATGAATTTCCTAAGATAAAATAAACATTTTTGTCACTTAGTGACAATCATTTCATATTCTAAAATGCACCTAGCCTACTTAATTGGAGACCCTTGTATTAGGCCTATAACAAAAACTTGCAATGTCAAATGAGGTACCGTTGTCTAATAGCAGGCCTACTTAAAAAATTTATTATGACTTAAAGCAAAACAAATTACAAAATGTGTTGCTATCTGCATTAGATCTAGACGTTTTCAATATTTATTGTTACAATAGTTAACACACCATTCGTTTTGAAGGGGGACGGCCGCGTTTCTTCACTGTTGTTGGATTCGTATTTTCGGCCGTAGATTTCGCACTTGTTGTCGCAATCGCTCCTTTTGGTCTGGACTTTTCTTTATCTTCTGTGTTCTTCTTGGCTATGATATAGTGACCATTAAAGAAAAGTCTTTTCAATCTTTTATTTTCTACTTCCCTATTGAGGGCGTCTTCGAGATTCGCCGATTCTTTCTCCGTCTCTTCTGAACCGTTAGCCGCCAGCCATGTTTCAATATCGCGTATATTTGCCCCCCGCTCACCACTGGAGTTATTTTTGCATATTTCTGCTACAGCTTTTTGGATATCTTGAATGAATGCATTTGAGTTAAGTACTTGTCCTCCCATTGCACTCTTCTTCCATTTTGCAGCATTTCTGTAGCTTGTGTGTCCTTTGTATTCGACTTTCACAACAATACGCGCATCAACTAAATTCTCCAGACTTGCCGTCGTTTCTTGAATACTCAACCCGTACCTCCTTCGCACCATGTGGCAAATGCGATTGAGATCGGGTCGGGCTTTTCTATGCCTCAGCTGGTCAATCGAGGAAAGAATCCAATCCTTATGCTTTATCGGTGCCATCTGTATATCTTTTACATGTGTTTCTGTAGCTTTTCAGTCAATTTATCGCTAAATCAAAAGAACCCGAAGAAATTTTGTCTATAATTTCTCCGCAAAATCTCTAATGCGCAGGCGTAATAGGTCAAAGTGGTGGATTATGGGTAATATTTCGGTAACCTGTCTTTCTACAACTATGTCAGAGACGCTCTTGATTGATTTTCGGCAATGGACATGTACACTCAAAATACACACACTTTTCACAAAAGCAGAAAGTATATGAAACCAGAATTTAAATATCCACCATTAGCTTACTGACAGAAGAAAATTTAATTCATTCCCCGAAAAGTTGTTCTGTGTATGGTTGTTAAAAATAAATTAATAATATTACTGGATAATCGTGACTTAGGTCTAGGATCGTACCAGAAGTTTTTTCCTGTCAGATCCACATAAAGTCCACACTTTTAATATATATATATATTTGACTAGATATATATCCTCAAATTTCGCACAATTAAGTTTAAGTTCATAGCAACGCCCAAACTGATCCGCAGTAAATTTTCGCTGGGTCACTTTCGCATACCATTTAATTGGTGGTACCGTATTGAACACTTCGAATAATAATGCCTTACACAACTTGAGTGTGCTGAAAACGAAACTATAATACAAATCTGACTAATTACGACATCAAGCAGGGTGGTGTATCGTTATTAATTATCTATGTTGGTATAAAAGTATTTAGCCAATAGGGCCTACAGACATAACCGCAAAATAACTGAGGCGGATATATATAGGCCTACAGGATTTTTTAAAAGTCTGCGATATCACCTCGGTGGAAGCGGACGTAAAATACAACTAACTAACAACAACAATTTTTAAAAGGGGAGGGGGTGTAAAGTAGAATTTCGTCGAGCGCTGCACAATGCAAAAATTACTTTGGAACTTTTCTTAAAAAACATTCCAAGAAAAAAAAAAGTCCATCATTTTCACAGTGGTAATGCGAAAACCTTCTTTTACAAGATGTACAAGATGACTGACATGTAGGTCTACATAAAGCAGCATTTCCTTTAGTAGGCCTACGGATCCGGATCGGCTCCGGTCCGGCTCTGCAGGTCCGGGAGCAGACATGGCACACATACGGCAGGTTGTGTATCCTATGTGGTTATTCAAGAGGAAGGGCTCTCTTTTTAACATGGCACCGACATTGTCAAGGTTCGTAGAAGAAGAAAAACATTGATAATTGGCTGCAGCATACATACTCATAAAGAAAAGGAAAAACAAAAGGAAACACCGATGGTGGGTGCACCCTATTTTGGAAGGACGAAAGGAACAAGGAGCATTCAATAATCTCGTTCAGGAATTACATATAGTCTGCACAGTTTGCACCATACAGGCATCGATGGCCACGTAGGCTACAAGTTCAATCAGTTTCTCTATGTCCTTTTCTTTCGATTTTCATCTTTTCTTTTTTCTAGATTCCATGAACACGTGTCCATAAGAAAGGGCGAAAATTGGAATTTCCCTACCTATTTTTAGCTTTTTGCCGTGCGGGCTTCCCAAACTGTGTTTCCTTATGTGCGTTTACGGACACGTTCCGCATGCGTTTCCGTACCGATCGCGACATGGCCCGTTTCGAATAACCGTACCGGACGCCGCATAGAGAACCGTATCCACACCCGCACATAAGGATCACTTCTTACTAAGTTCTATGAAAGTGATTTTTTCCGTATCTGCAATCGGACCGGAGCCGGAACGGATCCGCACTAAAGGAAATGCAGCTTAAGTCTACGTGTGACGTCACATACGGCTTCGATAACACGCGCGTTGTTTTCAATCGGACGTAGTAACACAAACTGCTCAGGGAAGTATCGGTACGTGCCTTTTACTTCTTACACCAAATAGGAAATATTTTTTATCCAGACATACATTTGTACTTCCAACAAATATACCTTTTCAGAAGTATTTTAAAATAAGGTTAATACAGAGAGCTAATTATCCCCCCCCCCCCACTAAATATGCTCTGCCCTCTGTTTGCCACCCGCCCCCCCCCCCCCCACAAACCAATAATTAATAAAAAATATATATATACATGTATATATATTTGTGATATGTTTCGGTAATCAATACCCTCTACGGTGATTAAATCCCATATTCCCACTCAGTCATAAACTTGCATGTTGTAGAGTCCCAGTTGTAAATTTAACTTACTATAATCAATACTTGAACAACTTGAGAAGTGCTTTTTACGATCCTCAGTTTTGGGGTATAGGTTCAACGCGACAAGACTATTCATTCACTTTGATTCACTTTCTCTCTTTATTCGCTTGTGATTTGGCGACATACATTTCCGGCAGTCTATTTCTCAAAATAACGTGGCGAAAGTATTCATTCACTTTTATTCACTCACTCCTTTCGTTCGTTGGACACTTTGCTCTCTGGTCAGATAAACTAGTGATTTTGCCAAGCTGCATTTCCGGTAATCTATTTCTCAAAATATCGTGGCGAAAATATTCATTCACCTTGATTTACTGTCTCCGTTCGTTATCTCTGGTCGGATAAACTATTAGGCCTATAGTGATTTGTCGCCAGGCGGTAGGCCTATCTGGTAAGCTCTATATCTCGACGATCAGTGCCTTAAATACTGCCAGACTGCATTTCGCGGGCTTCGTTGAGGTTGTCAGGTTGGCAAGTCCGTTCTATGGCGGTAGGCTATATTATTAGATTCAAAATATTAACTTCTATTCATGTAGTCCCTATTCTTATTTCTATTATTAAGACGAAAAATGTCTACTTGGTTGTCGCTTTACATGTTAAGCATGAAAGTCAAACAAATTTAGAATTTTGATACTTCTACTCAGGGGCGTACATAACGATTTTGTTTGTTGGGGAGGGGTGTTTAGCCAAAATGCGACCGACTGATGCACATACCCCCAGTACGAGTGACGCAGTCAGGAACCGCGCACCACAGGTGCGAGTTTTCTAGGGGCCATGTGCAGAGCGGGTCTAGAAGCTGGGAATAGGGGTGGGGTGGGGGTGGTTCCAAATCTATGGCGCTATCCACAATTCGCCAATCGTTGTCTCGCCGGAAAGCAGTTTCATTTAAGTTGACATAAAGTTTATGTCATATATGATGATTGTGCCTACTGAGCAACCTGAGAAAATTTTGAAAAATGAGTCAATATCCTAGCATATGAGGTTATTGCTGGGAGAAAGTCTTGAGGACGAGAGGACCAAAAATGTGAGCCAATGGGACAGAATCTCGAGATCAGGTTGAATGGTTTGGGTGGGAATTCATTTTGTCATGTGACTAATCAGTGAGGTCCAGATGCTTTCGTGGATACTGGATAAAGTCCAAGGATTCTTTGCCATTTCGAACTAAAGTTGGGGGTCACGGTGGCTAAGTGGGTTACGCTGGCTCGCTAGCCTGGAGGTCGGGTGTTTGATCCCTGCATTGGCCGAGAAAGTTCATCCAGATTTTCCGGCGTGGTCCCCCTTGTCAGTGATGCACGATGGAGAGTCTGACAAGGACAGCTGTCTAGTCGTTTGGATGGGACGAAAAACCGAGGCCCCGTGTACACATTGGCGTGCACGTAAAAGATTCCTTGACAGTTGGAATTCGATATAAGAATGTGTACATGCGACCTCGGTTTTTCGTCCCATTCGAATGACTGGACACTGTTCCTTGTCAGGCCCTCTGTCCTAGCCACACTGACAAGAAAAAACATGTCGGAAAAAGCCAAGGAACATTCTAGGCCAACCCGAAAGACCTATGGTTAGCGAGCCAATGTCTTACTCACTGAGCCACCACGACCCCCTATAAAATAAAAACCTAATGGTAGATAGTAGACCTTGGCGGCTCAGAGCATTGCAGGCCCTGTTAACATTAAAAGTAGAAAAAATAACTTTACAAACAGAAGCCGCCTTATTCAACAATTTTCAGTTTTTAAACTTTATTATATTTAGTATAGTGGGGACTCCTCTGTCAGTGGGGTGGGCATCGTGGTCAATAACTCCCTTTTCCCCCAATCCGTTTCAATATAAGTCCGACCCCATGCACATTCAGACATAACCCCCCACGCTTTATTATGCAAGTCAATAATTACTGATTTTTATCTAAGCTGCGTTTCAACAATGTAATATGTTTTTATTTACGGGCTTATGTTTTTTCTAATTTCAGGAATATGACTTCAGAGGTCCCTTGCAACAAAGCTGGAGAATCGCTTCATTTAAAAGTGTTTAAAACTGGAGATTCCGTATGTGGAACTTTTTATTTGCAGCGACACCTGCAAAATAAATTGTATTGTGAAAGGGGTGTTTCAGAAAATTATTGTTTTTATACTATATCTTCGATATCAATTACCCCAAAAACGATTCGTCAATATTGGGATTATTACAAGAAGTATTTCATATATCAACGAACCAAAAATTTAAATTTCTTCTGAAAAAAATTAATAAAAAATGGCACATCCTCAATAATCTGACACTCCAAGCAGAACGAAAGAAAAAAACCCTCAAATGTTTATCTTTCTCTTATTTTGATAATATTTGTAAGATGAAAATCGATTATTTTTCTTGCGTTCATTGTGTTAGCAAACAGCAAATGGACGCTTTCTAGTGTTCAAAATCTGCTTCATTTTTGTGTTCATTACGGAACGCGTCCATCACTGTTCAGATTTGAACGTTTAGTATTACTTTTTGTGAACATGACGTGTTCTGTGTTGAACGCCAGACTTATAATTAAAAATCTTTTTTTTTTTGTGAACATTATGTGATGGAGGCTGAAAGCAAGACGTATAAACTTGCATACTTCCTGTTTCAGTTCATTTTAGCGTTTCGCGGGTTTAGCGTGTAGAGGCCGCACAATTCTTTTCTGATTTAGATGAAACTTGAAATATGTGTTAAGGATCAAAAGAACTGTGCATCAGACCTTTCGTTTCAGAGAAATGTCCCCGGCCTTGTACGCAAAATGTGAAATATTTACAAAGTATGTGAATGTTCCAGAGGCAGTCCGCGCAGTCCACATGGGAAATGGAAGCATTTACCAGACACTAAAAACTGATGAAGTAATCATCAGTTGAATCATGTCCAATGCTAACTTTTATTATACGAAAAATATACTATGATGACGAATTTATCTGTTTGGGTTATCGAAAATCATTAAAGATGAAAGGCGTCTTTGTCACATGAACATGAACACTGGTCATTTTTTCTGTCAACTCTTAAGCAATTGGTGGGAAAAAAGTCCATTCCTGTAAATTTTAATATGTACTTCCCATGCAAACATTGGCATTGAATGGGGAAACAGTGAACAGTTTATTGGAAAAGTCTACGTCCGCCCTCATTAGTCTATAGCCATGCAGGTAAGTAAAACCCATAGGAATTTAATAATTTAGTCCTAAGCAACCATGACTAATATAATATATTCATGCCAAAAGTGCTGTCCTATTAAATAACCAAACAAGTACGTGATATTTGCCTTATTGAATAATGCTGCTGTCACTTTTGACACCGATAGGTATTAATTGTTGGTCATTTACATAAATACACGATAAATTGCATGTTAGACCGAAGGTTTAAGAACTATAACATTTACAATAATTTATCATCAATACAAATATGTAATTGTGGGTCAATCAATTTGGCGCCAATTACGTTGATAATAGTGAAAATACGTACGCAGGACCCGTTCAAGAAAAAATACATGTTACTTGATCGTAAAGTAGAAGAAAACCGGTGACTTTTCAGAAAGTGGGTATCTAGTGGCGTGGATAGGATTAGAATCGGGTTCTGTATGTCATTTTTTTTGTAAAAATTTGTGAATTAAAAACTATTACAAGCCTCCCGTCCGGGCCTTTTCGGATATGAGACCACAAACTAAGTCGAATTTCAGATAAGTTCATTTACAAATCCTACTTTTGCAGATCGTAGAGAAATTGACCATATTATTAGCGGAAGATGTATGCGTAATTAATTATTAAGGGGCCGAATTAATTGTTCTGATACTCGTTGATACATCAATCAGACCCCTTCTTCATTATTCCGGTTCGTGCAGATAGTGGTGGGCTGGAGGCGCTAGCCGCCGGTGATTGGAGGGGCAAAGCTGGGGCAAAGTTCATGGTTAAGTTTGCAAAGGCGCGAACTTCAACCAGGGGTATGCCCCTGCATGCCCCCACCAAAAATATTTAAAAAAAACCAGACTAGACTCTCCGAAATGCGGTGAGACAGGATTTCAGGCACAGATCGTTGAAATAAATAGATCTAATCAGATAAACCAGCAGAGCGGAAAGTGTCAAACGAACCTCGACTTGATCAATGGGGCGCCTAAAACGACCTGATTTGTGGGGTGTCTTATCCCGGAGGAGCGCCCATAATGCAGAGATTTGTGGGCCGACCACGACGAGAGTATGGGCGCCCATAATGCCGAGTGAGATTGGTTAGGTACCCACGAATGAATTGGACGCCCAAAACGGCGTGATAATCTTCAAAATTCAAACAAGTCGCTTTCTAGCGGGATTCAGATTTTTTCGTTTTTCCCATAAATTATTATAGGTACGTTAAAGTCGTATTCCTTCCTTCAAATTTTTATAATGTTCATATCAATATATCATAATACGCCAATATCGCAAATTTAGTCTTAAAATTGAAATTTTCCGTCATTTTCAGGTGCAAACCCTATTTTCCAAAATTTTCTTGGGGGAGAGCATACCGTTCGCCGTGAACCGTCAAGTGTAGGTACATCGGCACACCCAGAAGCCCCATTGGAATAATGGCGCCCCCCGAAGCCTTTGCCCCCCCCCCCCTCTTCCTCAAACATATCACAAATAATTGTTTTAATTTTTTTTAAATTATTGAGGGGGAGGTGGCAAACAGAGGACTGACCCGAATTCGGGGGGGGGGGGGCAAATGCACCCCATTGACCGGGTTTGACCCCCCCCCCCTCCCCGGCGCCGCAGAAAATTTGAATTTTAAACCCCATTTCATTTTATCGTTTATTTAATAACAAGCTTGCATTTAAATCATTTCACAATTCGCTCTAGCTTTACTACAATAGTCTTACTAAACCTGAAGATTATTAGAAATTCATTACATTAGATGCGGACTTTAACGGGATGACTGGATATTTTAAAACTTTACTGTGCTTTTACAAATGTATCATAATTAAGTTAATGCTGTACAGTTAATCATTTTTTTCTCTTAGAAAATGAATCATGCAACAACAATGTAATTATTTATACCTTTAAAGTCAATGAAAGCTGTAGGTTTAATTCAATTTCAGGTGGGTACAATATCTAAACATGTATGACGGGTATCTGTATAAGACAGGGCCTGGGTGCTCTTATCAAATTACCGGAAACATGCTTTCTGTATTAAACTCAACCTTGAGAGGTATATGTTTGTTTAATACTGCATGTTGTTGGTTGGGGGGGGGGGGGGCAAGTTCTTCCTTTTATCCACACGTGTTAATAAATAAAAGTAAGCTAACTAAACGTAAATAAAACAAAATATTCAGTAAGAAGGATCCCTTTTCGGCGTGTCAAAGAGTAAAAAAGTATTTTCGCAGTCTAAATATTAATAATCCTAGTCTGCTTTGAAAATGGTACTAAATATCAAAAACATCGTTATCGTCATACTCACAATATTTTGGAAGTGTGGGTTCCGGTCGTTCGGTATATTTTTGGTCCAACCAACCCCTGAGTCACTGTCTTTGAAATAAATTTTCTACAACTTTCCCATGCATCGACTAAACTTAAATTTTGTAATAATCTAATAAAAGTAATTTGTTAATTGACTAAAATAGTATTTAATTTTGGTATTTAACTGATACATTAGTCACCAATAATTCTCTCTCTCTCTCTATATATATATATATAGTGGATATCTGGAAGTTGTAATTATATCTCAACACATGACTACAAGCTGTTGGAAGACAATATTGTAAGTATATATGTATTTATTAAGTTATTATTGTATCTTATAATGTGTATACCGAAAAACAGCCAAAAGACCAATATGAAAATTGAAAGTTAATATTACTGTTAGCCTGGTCAAATTTAAACGTCTAATTGACTGTCTGCCTGGTCAAATATATTTTGAACTGCCAAATAATGAATGCGATATTTCAAGAGTGATGATTGAAATCACTGTCCAAGAATGTACGCATTCTTACATATTTTACAGTACATAAAGGTGATATCTTTAATTTATAATGTGGCGTATTTATAAGGATAGTGTCCATTATAAATCTCAATAATTGTTTAGAAATATCGCCGTTAATGAAAGCTACGGCTCCGCTGTCACCAGTGTATACTTATAAAAAATTTAGGGAGATTCTTTGTTGATCAAAGCGTTTTGTTCATTTCAGACAAATATCAAGATGTTGTTTGGTGTTTTAGTTTTAACTTTTGTGATTGCTATGGTACATGGTGAAATGACCGAGGAAGCCAAAGCACAACTTTTGAAACTACATAATGAACACAGAGCAAATCTGGGCGCTTCTAATATGTTCAAGCTGGTATGTTAATATTTTCATAACTAAGGTCCACAGAAAAGAATACCGTTTGGTAGAAATCAAAGAAACCAATTTAATGAAAAATTTCAAACCTAATGGTTTACCATTTTGGGTAAATTGAAGAATTTTTGTAAACATGTCGTTGGGTTATATATCTTTAAGGTATACGACAGAAATTTCCGTTTCTTTCCAACACAGATCAAATTTGTATTTTCAACATAGCTTAAGTTGTAAGAAGTGTCTAGATATTTATATGTGTTTTTTTGGTTATATTAAGCGATGGGACGATGAATTACAAAAGGCAGCCGAAGAGTGGAATAATGGTTGTGTATATGACCATAAAGGACGGGGAGAAAATTTAGCATGGAATAAACCAGCCGAACCTTTGCCTGTGAAAGAGCTCATAGATATAGCGTTTACTGACTGGTATAATGAAAAAAATCTACATTCTTATGGATCAGGGCAGTGCTCCAGGTTTGGCAGTTGTCATTACACACAGGTAAGAACTAATAAAATATTACCATTGCCAGTCCTTAATATATGTGTATAAAAATATGTTGCCTGGTGTCACTGAATATTATTTCTGGTGGATCCGAAGACACGTGAAAGTTTATGGTCTATTGCTTTATATTTAATAAATATTGTTCCATTTTGACTTGAATGGGGTGTAATTGCAGGGTTCATCGTTTTCTCCTATATATTTTTCAGTTAGCTTGGCATGACACTACTAAACTGGGATGTTCTTACAGAACATGTTCTAATTTAGCCAATGCTGATGCTGGTGCTTGGTGGATCGTTTGTCTTTACAAGCCATGGTATGTATTCATTTATTTTTATGTCACCAAAATGGTTTCAATATAGAGTTATTTTGTGTTGTTATGACATCTATAAGGTAAAAACACATCCATTATATTTTACAGGGGAAATAATGGTGGAGAAAAAGTATTTGAAATGGGGACAGCCTGCTCGCATCGCGACTGTAAAAGTTTACCGTGTGAAAATAAATTGTGTGTTGGTGAGTAATTTATACAAAAATATGGTAATTAAATGGAATGGGGTTTACAGACCTACTTTTCAGCACCAGTCGGGATTGAACACGAAATCTGATAAGGACTTTAAATTAATAAATAAAAAAAAATGAAAACCGAGAATATTTAAAATTAATATCTGTTAAAATTTGTCACAATATTTTGGCTCCCGAACGTCATAGGATTATTCTTTTATTATCTAACGTACAATGACTTTTCAAATTTTGGGTATTTTAGGAGAAAAAAAAATAGAATGTAAGGATGGCAATGATAATTGTCCAGAATGGAAGAAAGGTGGTCAGTGTGAGAGTAATCCAGATTATATGAAAAAAAATTGTCCCATGGCATGTCAAGTCTGCGAGGGTAAGTTCAGTTTGGCTCGGTACTCATTGGCGTATAGCTAGAGTTTTTCGGCGTCCATCCACCACACGAATAAACACATACTTAAACTGTTAAACAAATAGCGGTGTTTTCGCGGGAAAATTGTGTCAGGCGTCTTGTATCCGAATACTGTTCCGACACAAGAACAACTGCCATACCAAAATATTATCGGTAAAATTTATTCAGCACAATCAAACTTCATGTCAGTATCTCGGCATAACGAATCTCCTAATCTGACATTCTACAAATCATATCCATAACTTCAAATGATTTCATAAAAAAATTACAAAATTATGGACATTTGAAATTTGGACAAAATTGGAAAAAACGATCTTAAAGATCCATTATGAAAGATTTCGATAAAGAGCTGACGGTTCTTGCTATAACAGGTCAAAAATAAATTATGAAAAATTCCATTCAGTGTTTGAAGATCTATTGTAAATTGTTTATTTCGTAGCAGGGTACTTGACAATCGAGACTAAGTCAAGATTATCCATTTTTATACGTCCACATTCATAATTGTGCATGCCCACGCCCATTTTTTTTTTTGTGTGTCGCCGACAGGCCGCAATTCTTAATCGATCGTCTTGAAAACTTCTCATACTTATTTATTATACACATATTATTTTTTGGAGCATGCCCGACCCCCTGGGACAGAGCCACGCCATTTTTTTGTGTCTGTGTGTCGCCTACATGCCGCAATTCTTAATGGGTTGTCTTGGAACTTAGCATTTATATTTCTTATAGCCTAAGGACGGCAACTATTGATTTTGGTGCATTTGCACCCATGGGCGTCACACCCATTTTTTTGTTTTTTGTTTTGTTAATAATTAGTCTGTAAATTTTGGGTTAATAATTAGTCTGTAAATTTTGGCAAAACAAACCCAACACCTAGCCCTCTTTGCCTCTTGTCATATTACAGTCGTTGCAGCCATTTCATATTTTATTCTTTTCATTTTAAAAAATACCATATCAATCAAAGCAGGAATGTGGGAGTAGGCATTTAGTTACGTTATTTGCCCCCATTAATTAAAGAGTATCTAAAAAATTTACAATAATAATCTAATTGTTTTACAGTGGAGGAAAATGAAAGTTCTTCTAAGCCCACCAACGACTGTGAAGATGAAAGTACTGAATGTAAAAACTGGGCGGAGACTGGACATTGTGCCATGAATCCAAGCTATATGTTAAAAAGCTGTAAAAAATCTTGTAACAGATGCCAATGTAAGTTCAATTTAATAACTAATACTATAACGCTACTCTGTATTTCTCATTTATTTCAATGAAATGGACAGAGGACATAATAAAGTAAACTAGGGCTTTTTGTGACCAAGGATTGGCAAGCTTTCATTCATATCCATCTTCAATAGAAGGCATGATCTTGCTACAACTCCGTACATCTTATCAAGCCCTTCATGTAATACCCTGCATATTTCGGCACTTATTTCGATTGAATACTGACGCAGCTCGCGCTTTCCAACTAAAATGTCTTAGACTCATGATAATCGAGGTGCAAAGTTCAAGGTTTGTTCAATGTCAAGGTTTTCGTGGAGGTCGCCATGTTTGATTTGAGTGTGTTTATGTCACAACCTCTTATTGGACGCTATCGTTCACGTGTCTGCGTTAAATGGACATAGCGTAGCTATAAGTTCGGGAATTGCAAACCACTCTAGCAACGTCTGTATGTTGTAAAACTCGCGGTCGTTGCTTCAGGAACATGATTCATGATTCATATCAAGCTCCATAAAAACTCCAATGTGTAGGCCTACCACTTTCAATCTCCAAAACTAAGAAGTAGCATTATCAATCTCCACCTATAAATTCGCGAAAATCTTTGATGGGTCACTTTTTAATCCCTAGACCGGGAGATTAGGTCATATCCGTTGATATTTAGATTTTTTCTTAATTGTATGTTAACAACAATCAATTTGGACACATTTTAGCGTAGAATTCGCCGTGAAAAATTAGATATTTTCCGAAAACAGTAAGTTCAGATAATCTTAGCTGAATGTGTAATCTGTCCCGAAAAAAACACTTGTATTTTTAGAATTTAAATATTATGTATAGGGACCCTTACTACTAAGTACACGGTCCATAAAGAACCATTTCGTTCTACTCACATAAGCTTTAAATAAAATTATCTCATATTGTACCGGTGAATAATCCCACCACTGTATCATGTCCGTTTTACAAGCTCTAAAACGAGCATTAAACGGGCTGAATTTAGATAACGGTTAAGATTTCCGACTAAGATTTAATTTTAATATGTTTTACTTACAGAGCTTGCAGTCATCGATTTGATATCATAATGTATGTCCTTATTGAAATCAAAATCTAAATTATTATTTTATAAACTGAGAATTATGTTTTAATTAATTTATTTTATACATACGCATGTAAATATATTTATTTGAAATTAAATTATAATCAAATAGAAGTAATTGTATTTTAATGAAATAAAATATTAAAGAAAGAAATTCAATCTGTTGAATATTTGAGAGAAAATGGGGATATTTGATTACTTAACTGGCTCTGACCAACACAGTTTCCGCATAACCCATCTTATAATTTAAAATATTGCCTACCCTGTTTTATTTGAGAATCAACAACTTTACAATTTAGTAATAAGCAGTAATTGTATTCCATAGAATTGTGACCTGCATATTCTATTTCAATAACTAAATGCCATTGAAACAATTTAATTAAGAACCCATTCTTCAAAGACGAGTCACAAATCACAAATATGTTGGTAGTCTGTAACAGTTGTTTGAATACATTATAAACAGCATTTTCGACCAAATCCTGTTTGGAGACAACAGTGCGATTTTCAGACATATTTTAAATTACTAGTATAGCCCCTGGGAAAAGAATATGGAAATGCTGTCTATATAGGCACCGTGCAACTTTCGATTAATAATATTGTTTTAAACCCACGGGTTTTATATGCAGTATATTGTCTTCGCCTCACCTGCTATTGTTCGGCATATTGTTGATAATATTCAGTATTGGGCATTTTTGCGAACTTATCCCCCACCGAATCTTTGTAAATGCACTTTAACTGTATAGTAATTCAGACAAGGAATATTCCAGTGTGCTTTCCCCTTGTCAGGGATGCGGGGCCGGGGTGGGGGCTGGAAAGATGTGTCTAGTAACTTTTTCAGATGCCACGCGAAACCGAGGTCCAGAGTATAATATGTTAGGCCTAGTGTACACGTAAATGAACCCTCGACAGCACACTGATCAGCAGTGAATATTCGCAAGGCCGCTACAATCACTGATAAGGATGACATCGATGCGACTTAATGAGTCACAAATATTAACTTTTTTCCTCCGACAAATTAAATTCTAAAACATTTTTTTATGTATTAGAAAGATAAATAAAGACGTTTGAAGTATTTGTAGGTAAAAATCATTTCCTATTTAGTGTAAGTGGGTATTAAAATGAGTAAAATGCACCGTTCTGCCCGAACCAGTACACAATGCACGCGCCATTGAGCCAATGATTGACGTCGCGTGATGTGACGTCACGCGTTGAAGGCAGTCATGTTTACAGAGATATTAGAAGACATTCGTAATTCTCTGTGAAACAGGTTGCCTTGACAGTTGTAGCCCGAAATATGAGTAGCCGGGAAAAATCCCTCCACCCCCCTCCACTTAAACGTAGCATGCTAAACTCCATGTCAATAAAACATGACTGACATCAAGCTGATTGAATTTCGGGCCTAATTTAAGAGAAACGCCGGATTTTCTGAAACAGTTTAATCTTTTTAAAATTTCTCAGGATTATGAAAATAACATCTAAGCAAGGCGTATGTAATGCTATTCAACAACACATCAGTCTGATCCTATTTCGGTTCGTTTTTTATAGTTCAAAATTTCGTTTTACTAGTCTTTACTACACTAGGATCTGGAAGAGTTGTTATATTGCCGGCGTTTTGGTTGATGTGAGGGATAAGCCAATGAAACAGTCTGTTACGGCGACTTCTTGGCGTGCCATGCACGGAACTGTGGGTAAACCACTAGAAACACCAACGCTGATTGATTAATCAATGTCTGACGTCATTGGGTCGAAGGCCACTCGTACGACCCCTAACACGGCCTTTGAGTACAACTTGTCAGATCTTCATGTAGTATAGGCCATCGAAAGTATAAAAAAAACGAAACGAAATATAGATCTGCATTTTAATCAGATTGACAACACACAACCATCTTTATATTCCATTCAATATATGGTATTGGCTTTTTTTCAGCTGGAAACGGTGGAAGCACTTCTACTTATAACTGTCGAGATGAAAACTACTCCTGTGGAATGTGGCAGAGATGGGGAGAATGTTATAGAAATCCAGGATACATGTTGATCAAATGCAAAAAATCATGTGGTAGATGTCACTGTAAGTTTCATAAATTTTGTAATTCATGAATTGATTAACAGACACATTATCGATTTTCTTTGAGTTTCTCTTCATATCCGATTACGGAAAATGTCAAGGGATTGGTTATAAGTGATTGATTGATTGATTGATTTGGTTAAGAATATTTGAAAATTAGTAGATTGACTTAAGTTGAATATCATATTTTTTAAATTAAAGATAATTATATTTTACTTGCAGAGATATCAGCCAGTTTATTTTAGAGATGGTAGTGTGATGTGCTATTACCAAATATATCCTAATTGGATTTTTAATTTACCTCAGATATATATATATACCTCAAATTAAATTTTGTCCACACATTAAGTGTATTGAGTAACATCTAAAAATTATATTTTTAACAAATTATTTTTTTCCATAATTATAATAGTGCATTATTAATTTACCTCAGATACGTAATAATATACCTCAAATTAAGTTTTGATAAATAATTATCAGGATTTAACCTGTGTTAAATTATATAATCTTTTTTAATAAATTATTTTTCCCTAATTAAAATCATGCATAATATTTATATATATATATATATGTGGATATGTAATAGTAAATATCTAGTCATTAATAAATAATAACTACATTGGAATTTAATGAAGTAAAATAATGCAGATATTCAAAGTGTTGGAATTTTGTTAAAGAAAGGTTGCCAGACAATGACACATAAGTGCACAGCTGCTAAGTTGTCTGACAGTCCACAAAGGCTGCAACATATATTTATTCTTTTGTAGGTGATATGAACATTCACAAGACAAAAACTGATCAAGAGTAATAACCTGTGAAGTAATTACTTGAAATATTAAAATTCGATTGGATCACATTAATTTACAAAATCAACTCTTGTGCACAAATTTCAAATCAATAGGGTGGTAATGTTAGCCTCTCGAGTGTCCACAAGACTTTTCATATTGATCAAGGGTGAAAACGGATACAAGTAATTATTGGAAACTGTTGAAAATCAATGGGATTCTAATTTCTTGTCTGGTGAACATAGACAATGCGTAAAATTTAAAGTCAATCGGACCATATTACTGTAGTCTCAAATTAGTCTGCAATATCTCCCTACGTACAAGCGGACGCTAAGCCATATGAACGTACAAACGCAGCCTCAAGACTGTCTACAAGGATCAACGCACAGATATGGGAAACAACCATATACGACCATGTTACAATATGGATGTATTAATCTCTTGGAGAGATTAATTCCACAATCAAGTATTTAGAATCAAATATTTGTCAACAGTATAAAAAATTGAACATAAGCTCTCCCTGAATTTGGGTGTTAGAGAGATGGTAAATCCAAGATTAACCATATTGGCTTATTTTACATTCTTAAATAAGATTGTTCAACCCCTCGTTAAATATGCATCATGTAAGATTTAGTTAATAGTTCAACCAGCGGCTGCCCAGGCACGATACGGATAGAGAACAAGCAAAACAAAAAGCGATTTTTCGTACAATCAAGGGCCATAATTATTCAGGAAGTTACAATCCGATATGCGTGAATATCGACAGGAACCAAGATCTGTGGGTTATAAAGATATATTTCAAGTTCCATCAAAATCGGATCAAAATTGTGACTTCTTGAGGGTCCACAACCTTGATATACCATATTTACACTATTTGCGTATGTGGGGTGGCCGTTTTGTTCTGCAGTTTTGGTCCGATTTTCACGAAATTTGAACTCAGCCGCCATTAGGGTGTAACGGTGAAATATTCAATCCAATAAAAATTGTGACCTCTAGAGGGACCACAAGCTAAAACCGCGATTTTTCGTACAATCAAGGGCCATAATCCAGGAAGTTATGATCCGATATGCGCGAATATTGAAAGGAACCAAGATCGTTGGATTGTAAATAATATGTAGCTATTTCAAGTTTCAGCAAAATCGGATCAAAATTGTGGCCTATAGCCTAGAGGGTCCACAATCTTGATATACCACACATTTACACTATTTGCGTACGAGGGCGGCCATTTTGTCTGGCAATTTGGGTCCGATTTTCACGAAATTCGAACTCAGCCATCATTAGGGTGTAATAATGGTGATAATTTCAAACGTATTTTTAAATCGGATACAAATTTTTACCTCTTGAGTGACCACAAGCTAACTAAAAGCGTGATTTTTCGTACAATCATGGGATATAATTCAGGACGTTACAATCCGATATGCGCGAATTTTGACAGGAACCAAGATCTTTGGGTTATAAACAAGTATTTCAAGTTTTATTAAAATCGGATCAAAATTATGATCTCTAGAGGGTCCACAACCTTGATATACTATTTGAACATTCTACCTCAATTAGAAGGAGAGTTATTGTGTTTCAAAGCATCAACCAATCAGATTGCTTATCTCTGCTTACCATAAACAGACAATGTTTATCGCCGAACTCCATCAAGGCATGCACCTAATGAACGCCTACACCAAGTTTGAACATTCTACCTCAATTAGAAAGAGAGTTATTGTGTTCCAAAATCTCGACCTGTCAAATTGCTTAATGCCCTGCTTACCCTGAGCTGAAAATACTCATTATCGAACCTAGTCAAGGTATTGATGTGATAAAACTATACACCAAGTTTCATCACTCTCACTTTGACCTAAAGTTATCGCGTCCCAAAGCATGAACCAATCAAATTGCTTATCTCTGCTTATCCTAAGCAGAAAATTCTCATCCTCGAACTCCATCAAGGCATTCCCTTAACAAACAAACACCCATACCAAGTGTGAATATTCTACCTCAATTAGAAGGAGAGTTATTTTGTTTCAAAGGCTCGACCAGTCAAATTGCTTATTGCTCTGCTTACCCCCAGCAGGATATAATCATTATCGAACTTAGTCAAGGTATTGATGTGATAAAAGTATACATCAAGTCTCATCACTCTCACTTAATTAGAACTAAAGTTATCATGTGCCAAAGCATCAACAGATAGACAGACGAACCCATTTTAATAGTCCCCTGCTTTCTTTGAAAGGCGGTAGACAAAAAGTGAATATATGGAAAATCTTATTCAAATGCCTTTATTATGAGTGAAGTTATGACTGTTTGAAGTTAAAAGCATAAATTGATTATTATCCTAGCAACTGTACTTGACAATTGAGGCTAAGTTGAGATTATCGTTAAATTATCATATCTCACCCATTCGATGGTCTAAAGAGTTGATTATAGGTTTGTCATATAAATAAATGTCTAAATAATAGTTTATATAACATTTGAAGCCAAAATAAAGACCTGCAAAGGGAAGGTTTAGCTCTTGCATAACATCATAATGTTTCTGGAAAGAAGTAGCTAGGTGATGAGCCACAAATAACAACAGTGATTTTCTTTTATTCATATTTTAATGTTTTTTTTGTTAACAAACAAATAAATCCCAAAATAAATATTTAAAAACTCATTACTAACATATATTATATAATAAAAGTCAATATATTATTGGTAATATTTCTGGGAGCATAGTTCTGTTAAGCAATGCAGATAAAACAGTTTAAACAATTATAATGTGAAAAAAAGAAGATACTGTGGTCTTTTTCTTGTACATCATAACCATCTATATCTTAATTTCAAGTTACAAGATCTGAAACCTCTTTGATTTAGGTTAAAATAAAGTGTAGAACTGGGTTATATTGATTGGTGATGGTACAAAATACCTATCTACAATGCAACAGAAATTTCAGAATATTTTAAATGTAGACAGATACCAATCTCACAAAGCAAATCAACACATTAAACTAATTCTTTATCCAAGTTAAAGAGGTCAAGTCATTTTTATGTAAGTAAGATTGAATCTGGGTTGTAATTGTATAATTTTCACCAAGGAATCTTGTATGGCAACAAAAGAACTAAATCAAGCATCAATTTTATACTTTGAAGAATTTTTAGGGACTTAGTAAACAATTTCAAGAATTTAATTTCAGGAAAATGAGCACCACATTATAAGTTAAAAGTCTATAGGAAGCAGTACATAATATGTATAAATGTGTATATTCAAGGGTCAATATATTTTATTATTTCTGAAGAACTGGCCTTAGAAAGTTACAGTAAGATATCAACTCTCTAGTTTGACTGGATCCAAGATGAAAACATGTAAAATTTATAAGATCAAGTTGTAATTGAATCAGAAATTCTGTATTCAGTTTTGATGTTGATAAAAATTTATTCCTTATTCCATGAGACATTTCTTCTTCTTTGGACAATAACAGCAGGCCCTGAACAAAAAGATAAGTATATACACCCGTAAATGTAATGCAATTCAAAAGATACATTTAATTTATTTCATTTTCTTCATCTTTAAAAGCAAAGTCCTGTGTAAATGTACTATCTACATTTATAGAAAGTTTAAAGAACTTGTAGTTGTTGTTGTTGTTAGTTAGTTGTATTTTACGTCCGCTTCCACCGAGGTGATATCGCAGACAATAAAGAACTTGTATATTAGAGCTGTCATATATATTGTGTTCTAAATGTATCATATAAAGTCAAAGATATATTAGAGCATATGTGTATATTAGAGGTGTAAAGTTGATTGTGTATTATAGTATAGAGGTGTGTGGTAAAGAGTCTATGAATATTGCAGGTGTAAACTTCATTGCCTATTTATAGCATAGAGTCTATGTATATTTGAGGTGTAAAGTTTATTGCTTATTATTATAGTATAGAGAGCAGTGTGGTATAAAGTATTTTACACAGTCTATGTTTATTAGAGGTGTAAAATATATTATATTGTAGTGGAGAGTGGAATATAGTATACTGGGGAGTCAGTGGAGTCTGTGTATATTAGATATGTAACTAAATAGTATATTAAAGAGTCTATGTATATTACAGTTCAGGGCCGGCGGAAGCAATTCTTGATTGGGGGGGCTTCTATCCTTGGTTCTCATAGGCGTGGGTCCAGGGGCCGCAATAACCTGGAGAAAAAGAGTACTTGCGGCCAAATTATTGGGGAGGCTAAAACCCCCCCTAGCCTCCCCTCCACTTCGCCGGGCCTGCAGTTGTAAAGTATATATTGGAGAGTATGTATATTACAGGTGTAAAGTATATTGTGTATTATAGAATAGAAATGTGAGAATAAAGTTTATTTTATGATCAGTAGTGGAATACCGCGTTTTATCAGTGAAATAAAAGTGTTATTCCACTGGCTAGCAGTAGTCCATGTTGTTTTTACCTAAAATGATTGTAAAATCATAAAATAAATAGAACATTTGTCGTTTTGTCGTGAATAACATATTTTATTTCATCTCTAAGCAAGAAAACGTTTATATTTTCACTCATGCTACGCATTCGTGAAAATATAAGTTTTCTTGCTTCTCGATGAAATAAAATATGTTATTCACTCTAAAACGACAAATATCCTCTATATATTAGAGAGTATATGTATATTACAGGTGTAAAGTATATTGTGTATTATAGATTAGAGATTGAGATATAAAGTATATTGGAGAGTGTATGTGTATTATAAGCGTGAAGTATCGTGCATATTATAGTATAGAGAGCTGTGTGGTATAAAGTATATTGGACAGCGTATGTATATTCCCCAGACCCCCCCACCCACCCACCCCCGCCCGAAGCCTTACTAAACGAAATAAAAACAAAACCATCGTAAGACCAGATACTCTTTTTTTTCTAGCTTTCTCTTTACAGGCGCTGGATTCTTCCTTCATAGAACCAACAACAAAGGAATGAACAACAGAAATAATGACGAAATCAACCACCATACCGGACAACAAAACCAAATGGAAGGAAGAATGGTCCAGGCCTTACACTCACCAACAAGCCCCAAGGAAGAGTTGCACCGCCCTGCCATTCAACTGGACAAATCAACCAGACCAGACTCAATGACAGACCGTATGATACAGCATGCACGAGCTAACCATACAGCCATCCAACGCCCCCTGTATAGAGATGTAAGTATATTGGAGAGTATAGGTAAATTAGAGGTGTAAAGTATATTGTGTATTATTGTATAGAGATGTGTGGCATAAAGTATATTGGACAGTTTATATGTATATCAGAGGTGTAAGGTATATTGTGTATTACTGTATAGTTGTGTGTGGTATATTAGAGAGTCTATGTATATTAGAGGTGTATTATAGTATAGAAATTTGAGGTATAAAGTTTATTGTGTATTACACTAAAGTGGTGTATATAAAGTATATTGTGTTTTTGAGAGTATGTTATCTAACAAGCTCTATTCTACTTACCATGTTGGTTTATTTTGTAATACATGAACGGATGTAGCATGACCTGAAAACAATAAATTAATTATCAGGCAACATATTAGTAATTACAAATTCAAACTTGACGCAAGCTAGGCCATTTCAGGACTAACATATGGTTCAATTTTACTTCAATAATTTGCTTGCCGGTAGGAATCTTTAGCAGTGGGAGGAAACCATAGGACCCGGAGAAAACCCATGAGGTTGAACAGACAACCCTACTCCTTGTCATGTACAACCGGGGAATCCAAACCACACCAGTTGACTCAATCACAGACCTTATGATACAACTCACACACAGGGTAACCATTCGGCCACCCCCCTCCCCAGACCTAAAGGAGGAAAATAATTTTTTATTTGCTGTGATTTCAATTTGATTGTATGCAAATTTTAATGCCTATCTATCAAGTAGACATTTTAAGATTGATTACAATTGATAAACATTATAACTTCTCGTAGTCTTTGAGGAGCTCAACAGATACCTGTAAAAGGTGTTTTGCTTTAAGATATAATAATTAGGTACTTTGAATATAATTTTGTTGAAAGTGATAATACCTCTTTAAGTCAATATAAAAGACAGGACAAATAATACTATACTATAATGTAATTAATACTGAACTTGCCCTACCTTTGTGACAAAACTTTATACAAGATTTACAGATCCCTGAAAATAAAAAACCAAATTCAGCTCGTTGCGTGCATCCAATACTATCAGTTCAAAAAAGAGAAGAAAGCAAATGAGAATTCTAACATCGCATTTGACTTTTAGGAATACCAGCGGCTGCCAGGCAGGATACGCCCACATTTTCGAGAGATGGATAGAGAACAAGCTAAAAAGAAAGTGATTTTTCCTACAATCAAGGGCCATAATTCAGGAAATTACAATTCGATATGTGCAAATATCGAAAGGAACCGAGATCTTTGTGTTATAAACTTACATTTCAAGTTTCAACAAAATCAGATAAAAATTGTGACCTCTATAGGGTCCACAACCTTGATACACCATATTTTTACGCTATTTGAGAACGAAGGGTGGCCATTTTGTCTGTTACTTTTAGGCTGATTTTCACGAAATTCAAACTCAGCCGTCCTTAGGGTGTAACGGTGATATAATAATACAGTTTTTTAAATCGGATAAAACTTATGACCACTATAGGGTCCATAAGCTAAAAACGCGATTTTTCGTACAGTCAGGGGACATAATTCAGGAAGTTACGGTCCGATATGCGCGAATATCGAAAGGAACCGAAATCTTTGGGTTATAAACTAACATTTCAAGTTTCAACAAAATCGGATAAAAATTGTGACCTCTATAGGGTCCACAAGCTAAAAACGTGATTTTTCAGGGGCCATAATCCATGAAGTTTCCATCCAATACATGCCAATATCGAAAGCATCTGAGATATTTTGGGGATAAACCTATATTTCAAGTTTCGTCAAAATCGGATAAGAATTGTGACCTGTAGCGAGTCCACAAACAATTGTGGACGGACGGACGTCCAGACATACGGACAGGGGCGACGACAATAAACGCCCACATTTTCATAAATATACATTCATATAGACAGGGATTTTGTCAGGCTCCATTATAAGCCCATTAACTGCAAAGTAGTCCATACAAGCTCTAGCTTAAATCAATATCAACATGTTTTAAAACTAAAATACAATGAACAGATGTAAATAGAAAGGAAACTCTGCAAAATGCATTTGAAATTAATGATCTGAAAAATTTGAAATTCAGTAGGCTTTGTCTAAAACAAAAACCAAATGAACAGTTCCACTAAGCTTTATAAAATTCTATCAAGAACAAATTTCACCAATTGGGACATTGTGTAATTATATCTCTTCAAAATAAAGGAGTCACAGGGGTGGGACGATGTACCCAATACTACCCAATACCACCCCAATACCACTACAATATAACCACATACTACCTAATACTCCAACATAATGATGTAAACTGTGCATATCAATTGAATTTTTTTTTAAAAATAATTAGTTATAGCGCGGGAATTGTACTTTAAATGCGATTACCGATCTCTGGCTGTTCCATTTGCCTCCCTATATCAACCAAAACAAGTAAAAACTAACCCAATACTACCAAATTTTATCAATTAACAACCTAATATTTTCAAATAGCAGCACATTAGTATAATTACTGCAGCGAATATTCTATAATTTGCAGAAAAATGAAATGTTTGCGCAGTTATCTCCCTTTACAACCGATAAATTGCTATCCAGATTAATCATCTTCTTTTGTTTTGCAGTGGGTTTCCAAGAGGACGAAGTTAAAATAAGAAAAACAAGTATTTTGTTGTGTATATTTTAATCATTATATATAGTTAACTACTGTATTATTATATAAGATGGCCGTCAGTCTATAAATAACTATTTCAACCCCTCCATGGGTATCGTCAGGCGGTACCCATGTTTGCGTGGTTCGGAACCATCTCCAAACAAGTGCGATATCTCAACTCTACTGAAAGAGATTCGCACCCTATCAGCAGCGTTGAGACTGCATTGAAGAGACAATCCCCATCGCCCGTACATTTTACTGCATTGACATTGGTTTCTTTTGTATACTGCCTCAATAATTTGTCAGCTACTTCGTCAACAGGAATTCTGTTGGTACTATTGTAGGGGATAAATCGACACGCCTCTCTTTGTGAATTAGCATCTCTCTTTCTGCGACACTTCTCAGTTTGTCAACACTGTGATTTGCGGCCTGAAAATAAAATACAAAGCCTTACTTTCACTAATCTGCTTAAACACTTACAGCTCTGTCGGTTTCTTTGATGATCAAGCACAACAAAACTTGATTAGCCAATCAACAATCTTATTTCCATAATCCTTATAAGACATATAGAGGTAGATTTCACAAATAAATTTTTTTTTTTTTTTTTTTTTTTTTTTTAAATCTTTATTTCAAATAATCAATAACAGCATAGTACATAGTTGACATATTACAATCACAGTGTGTAGCATCATACAGATAGCGTTGGTTTAATGTTGAAGGCTATACTATATTACATTGAGTAGAACAAATATATTCACAAAGAAAATAAAATCTAATAAAAAAACGAAACAAAAAAAAAAAAAAAATACAGAGATAGCTACAGGTATTAAGGGGTTGGAATACTAGGAATGGAATACCAGAGGTATGCATAATATTCATATGGTATAATCCCATTTATTTACTAAGGTTTCGTTTAATTAATTTTCTATCTGTTGTTTACCTTTTAGGTAGTTTCGATAATTAATAATTGTCGGTCTGATATTTTCTATTTTCGATTTGTAGAGGTAGTATTTTGTTAAAAATATTAAATGATTTACAAATAAGAATTCACGATATGATTTAAAAACTGTTTCTTTCAGAAAACCGAAATGAATGTTCGTATGTTGTAATTGTAATGAAATGTTATTAGTTGAGAAGATTTCATGTAAATCATTCCATATTACCTGGGCGTAATTGCAGTATATAAAAAGGTGTTCCGGGGTTTCTATATTTGAATAACAAAAATCGCACAATGAAGACTCCTTTAATTGGACTTGAAATAAACGGTCGTTTGTATATATAATTTTATGGAGGTATTTAAATTGAAAATTTTGTAATCTAGTATCAGTGCTCGTTTTATAGACCAAATTGAATATACATGAGGTTTCACGTTCTTCAAGTATAAAACTATTCTCTTCTTCCCATTTACTTATTGCTAATGGTTTACTGTATTTAGAATCTACTTGTATTGAATAAATGTCTTTTGCTTTAATCTTATCTAGTGATTTTTTATATATATTTATACAGTTGTTATTAATAATATCAAACACGCTTTGTTTTCTTACTATAGGCGTAGGTTCGTAGTCGATTGTATCCAAAAACTCTTTAACTGCTAAGCAAACGCTTTTCATTCTTAATATTTTATTATTATTCATTATCCTATTGATTAAAAATTCTTCTCTACAGTCAATCAAAAATAAAATATTATCATTCATCAATTCTTTATCTATTAAAGGTTTTTTCTTAATCTTTATATGCTTATTGTTCCAGATGATTTGATTTTGAGGGCTTATTAACATATCGATTTTTGAGGTATAGATATGGAACCAATTATTGAAAAGTTCGTGATAGAAGGGAGATAATTTTAAAAAAGATGTTGCATAATTACATGCCGGTAATATTTGTCCGTCATACTCGTTCAATATATAAGAGTACGGAATTTTCCATGATTGAACATCGTGTGATAGTATCTTTTTTATCCAGAATACGCTACGGCATATCATCATTTCTTTTAAGTCAATCATATTTAGCCCCCCTTTATTTATATCTTGATTTATAACTGTTCTCTTTAGTTTATCAGGCCCGTTCCATATGTAGTTATAAAATAATTTATTAATGCCTTTAATTACATTTTCAGGTATAGTTTTAACTGATGCAGGGTATAATATTTTAGATACGCAGAATGTTTTTATTATATGGATTTTCCCTATTAAACTTAAGTTTCGTCTTTTCCAGGTATTCAAAGTATCTTCAATTTGGTCTATACAATTTTCAAAATTCATTTTTTCCGAAGTTTTTTCGTCTAGTGAATAGGTAATGCCTAATATTTTTATATAGTTCTCACGGTAAATAAGGCCTAAACCTTTAATATTATCAGGTAGTTGTGCGTTGCTTGATAACGATATCTGTATGTGTATCGAAACGTAGCATGTTAATAAATTCAGAAGTAGTATATCCATATAAGTGTTTTTAATTTTAATCTTATTTCCGTTGATTAAGTGATAAGTCAGGTGGAATGTATTTACGAGTAGAGCATTACACATTTGTAATAAACATGTGCAATTTCGTTAATGTTTAATTTATAAATAACCATCATCCATTACGTAAATATGCAATAACGTAATAGTTGACATGAAAAAATAAATATAAACATATGCGAATCAAAATAATAACAAGCGCTTACCCTTCACACGACACAAACTAGGTCATTTCGGGACTGACCTGGTGGTTCAATTTTATTTCAATAATTCGCTGGCGCGTAGGGGTCTTTAGCAGTGGGAGGAACCGGAGCACTCGGAGAAAATCCACGATTTTGGACAAAATAAATATAAATATTTTATGCAATTTTTTAAATTGAATAAGATACATGACAAAAACCAAACAAACCTTTCCCAGTCGTGTTATTCCCAGGAGATAATCAAACTTGTCACCAGAACTTCTGCATATTTCACAAATATGTTTCTGGGCTGGCAGAAAGGGCTTTTACTTCTACATCAGTAAGGCCTTCACAATCTATGTGGTACCATTTCAAACACGTGTCACAAAATATAATTCCATTTTTACACTTCACAGCGCATTTACCACAATGCCGTTGGACATGTTTTTGTTGTTGACCACGGGCCATAGTGATATCGACTAATATTCGATAAAATTATGACTACGCTTACACAGAGTGTGAGGTTAGACAAGAGTGAAGAAATGTGCTTTTGGAACTTCTATTGGATGCCAGAGATGTGTGAATATATACTGACTTTGAGTTAAATCGTATATCCGGAAACATGCCGATTATAGAGTTGACACTAGATGATTAATACAATCAAAGCTGTATTTAGTAAGTAAGCCAACTTTTACAAAATGACAATTAACTGGTGGACGTTATCTATATGTTTAACATTGATAACACTGCATATAGACGGATTGATAATCATAGCCGGCGTATTTGTAATAAACAACAACAACAATATACATGAAGGGTCTATATACAACAGAAAGAGGCTAAAACCAATATTGACAAAAGAATATCTTCAAGTGTATTATTTGGTAGCAGTTTCATCGAGAGATAATATAAATAAACCAGAACGTGATTACCCAATCAACAATCTTAACCCGTTGATTAATTGTTAAGTCAGGTGGAATGTATATACGAGTAGAGCATTACACATTTGCAATAAACATGTGCAATTTCGTTCATTTTAAAATGAAAGTAATTATGCAATGACTTAATAGTTGACATGAAAAAATATAAACATATGCATTTTTTTTTATTAAAGGACGTGCCTCCTGACGATACCCATGGAGGGGTTGAAATTGTTATTTATAGACCGCTGGCCATCTTATATAATAATACAGTATATAATTATATATAATAGATTAAAATATACACAATATAATACTTGGTTTTCTTATTTTAGTTTCGTCGACTTGGAAACCAACTGCAACGCAAAAGAAGATGATTAATCTGAATAATCTAAAATCTCTTTATCGGTTGTAAAGGGAGATAACTGCGCAAACATTTAATTTTTCTGCAAATTATAGAATATTCGTTGCAGTAATTATACTAATATGCTGCTATTTGACAATATTAGGTTGTTAATTGATAATATTGGGTAGTATGTGGTAGTATTGGGTTAGTTTTTGCTTGTTTTGGTTGATATAGGGAGGCAAATGGAACAGCCAGAGATCGGTAATCGCATTTAAAGTACAATTCCCGAGCTATAACTAATTATTTTTGAATAAATTCAATTGATATGCACATTTTACATCATTATGTTGTAATATTGGGTAGTATGTGGTGATATTGAGGTTGTATTAGGGTGGTATTGGGTAGTATTGGGTAGTATTGGGTAAATCGTCCCGCCGGAGTCACAGTGACTCTGAATTAGGTGTTGGCTCACTAATCAAGTAGTCCTGTCTTCAATCCAGAATTAGAAAGTTCCTCAGGATTTGTCAGTGTTGCAGGTTGGAGGGCCTGGCAAGGAACAATTCCCAATAGAAACCAATGTAAAACTTAAGTTAGAATTAATCCATTTGATTAATTTATGGACCAAAATGCTTTTATAATAAGTTTATAGTCTTAAACCCTATATATATATATTTTTATTCTGGCATGTTGAGGCTTTAATATTGGCAATTTATCATGGACAGGAACTCTATTAATGTTGCAAAAGTTAACAAATTTGATAGTTTTTGTGCAATAAAATAATGTAAAATTCTTACAATTAAATCCACAATCTTGACATTTATAATAATCAACTGTATTAGATGAACCAGGTTGATGTTTGTGAATATAGCAAACAGGATAATCACTGTCTAGTTTCATACAATTATATAATACTATCTCTGAACCTGGTTTCTGTAACAAAATGTTTGAATAATTAGAAAAAAACAATTCTAAATTCGTCAAGCTGGTAAAAGCATTTCAGTTATTATTATTCAAAAGACTGTGAGATAAATTAATAATTCATGTACTCCTAAATATATGAATGCTTGAATAAAACAAGATAGATAACTGACTGGGGACATAAATATATTTTCATTAAATACATTAGAGTTACTCAAATTTATAACTCACACTATAGGCCTTAAATACAATAAATAGAACACACAGGCAAAAATGGTGCTGAGGTCATGAAAGTTTTTCTCAAATTTACAACTACCTAAATAAATGGAATAAGTTTTGGGGAACTGGGTTGATGAACATGGTGTGTGCTTACCCGATATCACTTTCTTAAGATGTTCACACAGCTAACAAATGTTTATCATACTTATGTTTAAAAGCACAAATCAAGAAACTGATTTTTAACATAAATATTTGGATTTGTTACTTCTAGCATTTTACTTCTAACTATAGAACATTCATTAATTTTGTAATGATAATATAATGTTGTGGTGTATTTGGTATTTAACTGACCATTTGACATGTTAATACAGGTCTATCTGTCCAACTTGTTATAGATACACCTGTTATTTCTTTACCACATTTCATCTCTTCTATAATTTTCTTATACTCAACACTTCCTAACGATCTTTTAGCTAGAGGACTGTAAATAAAAAATTTAAAAGAATATTAATAGTTTGTTAAATTTAATCTAGCTAATTCAATTTGCTAGTTTAAATTCATTTATGCAAATATATCAATTTTAAAAAGATCGGTTGATATATGTAGTCTGTAAAGGTCATTTTTATTTTTCAAAATAGAACATGTGAAAAGTGATTTAAAAAGAGAACAAGTGAATGTAAAACATCTGTCAACTAACCTGAATATATAAACAGGTTCATCTGTCCATTCGGTAATCTCATCATGGTGACGTTCTAATAAGATTTTCTTAATTACACCTTGAACCTCATTTAATCTAAAATTCCAATAAACTAAATAAACAACCTCTCATATCGAAATATTAGATCCTCAGATTCCATGTTTATTCTAATATCATCTGGTAATAAATTTCTAACGAATTTTAATAAATTAAACTCCTTAAATTATTTCACAAATATATTTTTGGGGGTGTGTTTATGTAGGGGTGGTGATTACATAAAGTACTATTCTTACCTTGAATCAGGTTTTAATATAACATCAGGTAAGCGTAAATCTTTATCTATTATATATATAGATACAGATATAGGTAATATATGTAGATTAGGAATATGTTCTGTTAAATACCTGTAATGAATAATATAATATATATGTACTTTCACTTCAGTATGTCATCTTGGTAACAAAATGGCCTGTAAAATTGACTAATCTTGGGAAGGGATCAAAACAAATTTTAACTTATGTTGCTCAAATTGATACAAATGTCACCTACCTATCATATGCTTCTGCAACTAATTTTTGACAGTTTTCAAATTCTTTTTGTAACTCCACAACATTTTTCTCCAACTTGGCAATTATTTCCTTCAAGTCTACAACACAGAAATGAAATGGGGTTTAATGTCCTACTGTTCTACTCCGACTGAGCTAAGAAAGATGGGCATACACCATACTGTGTGTTATGAAGGAAATTTTACTTTGACAGCAGTACTATGGCCTACTCTTATATATCAAATTGCAACTGTCAAGGTTTCTTTAATGTGCCCACCAATGTGTACACAGGACCTCTGTTTTAAATCCCATCTGAATGACTATATGTTGTCCCTTGCCAGGGCCTTCGTCCTGCATCATTGATAAAATGGAACCATTCTGGAAATCCTGATAAATTTTCTCGGCCAACAAAGGGGTCGAACATGGGACCTCTGAGTAAGTGAGCCAACATTTTACTCACTAAGCAACTGTAGCTCCCTACAACATAGAGATCAAGTGATAACAAAACCATCAACCTAAACAAGTGCGATTTAATTATAATCTAAGCACATAGACATCAAATGATTAAAAGAATCAACTAAAACAAGTGTAATTTAATTATAATTCAAACATATACAAATGAAATGAAATATAACTGTCAAGGGTATTTTTACGTGCACACGATTGGTGGACTCATGGTTTTGTCCCATCCGAACAACTATACCCCTTTCCAGACCAGACCATCAGACCTGGGATCAAACCCAGGACCTCCAGGTTAGTGAACCATCATATTACTCACTGAACCACTGTATGTTAATTAATTACAGCTGATCTAAGAACTGAAACATTTCACCTCACCTGATTGACAAGCATGTTTAGACATTAATTCGTCTTTGGATGTTCTAATTTTTGCTTCATACGATTTCTTCTTCAAATCAAACTCTGTTTTTAAAGACTGACAATAAATACCGAAATACAGTTAAATGTCACAGCTATATGCAATCTGATTAAAATACAGATCTATATTACGTTTCGTTTTTTTTTTATACTTTCAATGGCCTACACTACATGAAGATCTGACCGTTTGTAGCGATAGGTCGCGTCAGAGGTCATACGAGTGACTTTTGACCCTATGATGTCAGACATTTGAATAACCAATCAGCATTGATGTTACTAGTGGATTACCCACAGTTCCATGCAAAACATGCCAAATCTTGCCTTAACAGACCGTTTCATTGACTAATAGCTCACATCATTCAGAACAGGTCAATGATAACAACTTTTCCAGATCTAGTGAAGTAAAGACAAGTAAAACTAAATTTTGAACTATAAAAACGAAACGAAATAATAGGATCTGTGTTTTAATCAGATTGAGCTATATACAGCATTTATACGACAAATACAAGTTTTAGAAAGTATGCGTTTAGTGTCTATGATAGAGTTCAGAAGGTATATTAAATAATACAAGATGGTTTAAAAGTTTAGATATAAATATCACCAGTTACAAAATATTATGTGAAATATTACCACAGAATTATAAAGACCCCCCATTTAACAATAAGACCAAAACATCCAAGGAACAAATGGAAATGTAGTAAAGTTATCCTACTACCTAAATAATGTGAAATTCTTTAACATACAACCAAATCTTACCTGAAAATAGCTACCATGTTCTATTAAACTCTTTTGTAAATGTTCTGTACAATTTAAAAAAAAAAAACATTCAAAAAATTAAAATTCTGGTTTATTTACGATAACTTCATCTTAATAAATATTAATTGTAACAATATGATGGTTTATGAATGGCTACTCACTAAGGTAAACAAGTTGCTGATATGTGAGATTAAAATAGTATAGATTTATGATAATCATTATAGGTGGTTGAGTGGTCTAATGCATGTGTTTTAGATCATAAGATTTCTAATTAAGTTAAGTGGCATGGTTTTTATCCCAAGCTTGTTAATGATAAAGAGTATGGTGACCTGCCCAACCTCGTGGATTTCTTCTGGTGCTCTGGTTTCCTCTGCCGGCTAGACACCTACGCACAAGCGAATTATTGAGATAAAATTAGTCCCTGAATGACCTAGTTTGTTTTGAGTGGACGTCAAACCCCATTTCTCTCTCACTCTAATATGTATGTATGTATAACTAAACAAAAGATGATTGTAATGTCGTTGACTTACTTTTTAAAACATTTTCAATACATGAACTATCTGTAATTGGATTACTTCCATCACATGCCTCATTATTACCTAAAATAATCAAAGGAATGTATAGGGATAAATTAAAAATAACTAGAAAAATCACCTATTCCCTTCATTTGCAGTATTAAATAAAGTAATACCTGGTTGTTATATATATATGCCCTTTGTTTGTTCCTCAATGTTAGATTTGGATCAAAAATAAAACTGTCAATCTTACTAGATTTTATCTGTTAATGTTCTGCTTACCTTGAAACAAAAGTTTAATATTACACAGTTTGCCCATCACTAATTCAAAAGTATCGAGCAATCAAACTGATTATCTATGCTTACTCTAAGCCATCAAAATCAGTCAGGTTTTGAAGTACCTGGTTGTGAAATTATACACTAAATTTCATCACACTCCATCAGTCAGAATTAAAGTTATCTTGTCCCAAAGCATCGACCAATGACATTGTTTAGCTCTGCTTAGCTTTAGCGAGAAATGCTCAATATCAAACTTAGTCAAGTTATTGATGAGATGAAACTATACACCAAGTTTCATCACTTAATTAGAACCAAAGTTATCGTGACTCAAAGCACCAAGCAATCAAATTGCTTATCTGTGCTTAACCTAAGCAGAAAATGCTCATCTTCAAACTCCATCAAGGTATTCACCTAATGAACACCTACACCAAGTTTGAACATTCTAGCTCAATTAGAAGGAAGTTATTATGTCCCAAAATGTGTGACGGACAGACAGACAGACCCATTTTAACACATCAGATGAACCCAATTCATTACTTTAAGCCAGAATCTAATCATACTTAATAAACAAGTCAACTCCTGCTTAATCTTTTGATACAAAAGTGTAATCATACAGAACTTCTCTCATCACTTATTGAAATATCATATCAGATCAGCCCAATGCCGCTCCAATGTATTTTGAACTACCGCTACATCAAACAAGTTTAGCACCTTTAAATTTCACTTACTTGCTGAAGAACAAACCTTCTGAAAATATGCTTCCTGTAGTCTTGCTTTTTCTTTTACAATACACTCTACAAAATATATATATATATATATATTCATATAACAAGAAAGATCATGGTACAATATTACAAATTTTTCAGAAAATCAAAACTTCAATTTCCAATCATATTTGAAGTTTAGCTATCTAGTTCTTCCTAGGACTAAAATTTATTATACAAAATATGTACCCATAATAAGACAATAACTTAAACTATTTGAGTTATTGAAATTTGCTGAAAATCAGTAGAATTTGTCTAATAGTACCAGAAGTGAACATGAAAACCATGTATAAATTTCAAGTCAATTGGATGATTACTTTAGCCCGTAGTACGTCCATCAGATTCTTTTCGATGGGCGGACAGGGATGTCAACAATTAAAATGAATATTTTGGAAGCGGAAATCAATAGGGCTTTTACGTTGTTCGTACACATAAAAACTATGTATAAGTTTCAAGTCAATCAAATGATAACTTTATTTCATCCTCGTGAGCGTCCACAAGCAAATGTGAACAACGGATGGACAGATAAACGGGAATATGGTCGTATAGTAATGGACATTTTGGAGGTGTTTGTGATATCCTCACTTTAATATATAAATCCTACCAATAAGACTGTCATACTGTCGATCACTGTACAGATGTTTGCTGTTTAGTGTTGAATTACAACATGGACACTTGGAATTCCTGTCTACCCATTCTTTAATGCATTTTTCACAAAACCTATGACAGCATGAGGTGGTTATAGTTTTTGTCATAACATTTAAACATATTGTACAGTTTATATAATCTTCTAATACCTCAACCTAAAATAATAATAATAATAATTACTCAAGGATACATTTTTAATTTTTATTACCAGTACAGCAGTAGCCATATCTAGACCGTACATAAAAACTTGATAAATCAAATAAGTCTAAATCATAATCTGATCTAAAATCCCCCACTAGTATTATGACAATTTTACATCTATAGATAAGGCAATATTGAAATACAACAGGTTTTCACTGTAGGACACATTGAACCAAAAAATTAATATTTTGTAAATGTAATCGACTAAGTGGATCGCTTGTCATATATGAAATAACTTTTTATCGCGCATCCCATTTCATACTTTATCAATATAAATCCCTTTACATGTATAATCTTTTAAAAAGATAGAGAACCTTACAGAGACAATAAGAAAATAAACTTTAATGTATATCTATCTTTATTTTATGATCAGTAGTGGAATACCGTGTTTTATCAGTGAAATAAAAGTGTTATTCCACTGGCTAGCAGTAGTCCATGTTGTTTTTACCTAAAATGATTGTAAAATCATAAAATAAATAGAACATTTGTCGTTTTGTCGTGAATAACATATTTTATTTCATCTCTAAGCAAGAAAACGTTTATATTTTCACTCATGCTACGCATTCGTGAAAATATAAGTTTTCTTGCTTCTCGATGAAATAAAATATGTTATTCACTCTAAAATGACAAATATCCTCTATACTCTATATATTACTCGTAGCCTATTTATTATTTATTTTCTTGTTGATATAGGCAATAGCCTATAGCCTTATGAAATGATATTTTTTTATCATTTCCTCGTTTTTCTTTCTACCCAGTCTCTGAAACAATGTAGGTTTCCTTTAGATGGTATTACCATGTTGCTATAATTTACCTGTAAAACATTAGATGCCATATTTACCGGTCAACACATAAACAATCGAAAACTTTTAATAACAAAATAATTTTTGTTCTGAAAATAAATGTTTATTAGTACTTCTAAAAATAGAAACATGTCATAATCAGAGAGTTAATTCCCTTTTTAGCTGTGAATGTCCAGGAAGGAGGTGCGTAAACAACAAAACAAACTTTTGCATAGGATTAGGACTGATCTTCTGATACTAGCAAGCACCACAGACTTCAAGAATTGGATTAACAGACCAATAATGCTCATCAAAGCCTTCATACCGGGCTTTAGAAAAGTGAAGGAATCAGATCATGCATTCACCGTAAGTATATTTTGTAAGAACATTCAAAATGTCTCATCATATATATCATGAAATGAATGAAGGGCAAGACGATTTGTAAATTCATAAAATTGTATCAAACCATGCACTCTATTATATTACCGGGGGTATATTAATTATAAGACTAAAGTCCATGCCAAAACTAAAACGTCCATTATACAGTACAAATAAGGAAGCCTATTCATCGTTTTCCGATAATTACTACCAGAGGTATGGCCCTTGATCACTTCAAAAAATCTTGTGAACGCTCTAGAGGCCAAAGTTAATATCCGATTGACTTTAAATTTATATACAGTGTTTAATTTCATGAGACGAAGAAGTTTATTCATTTTCAGCGATTTACGATAATTACTGCCAGAGTTATGGCCCTTGATCACTTTGAAAAATTTTGTGGACACTCTAGAGGCTAAAGTTAATATCTGATTGACTTTAAATTTATACACAGTGTTTAAGGGCATGAGACAAAGAAGTCTATATTATTTTCAACGATTTTTGATAATTACTGCTAGAGTTATTTCCCTTGATCACCTCAAAAAATCTTGTGGATGCTCTAGAGGCTAAAGTTAATATCCGATTTATACACAGTGTTTGAGGTCATTAGACGAAGGTCGAAGAATCCTATTGAATTTCAACGATTTCCGATAATTACTGACGTTCTAGAGGCTAAAGTTCCGATTGACTTCAGTTTAAGATCTTGAGACGAACAAGTATATTGATTTTCAATGAATTTTTATAAAAGACTAAATCCATGATATTAAAAGTTTTGTATACTAAACGTTAGCATGGGGCAGAACTTTATAAAAACCAAACAAATTCTAATGGTTTTCTGATAATTACTTCATGAGTTGTTACTCTTAATCAGATTTTAGTGTATTATAAATGTTTCATTACCGAAAAAAGTAAAAATATATGCGACAACACTTGTTGACTGCCCGGACAATTAAGCTGCTGTGGGCGTATGTTTCGTTGCCTGGACCTATCTTTGCAACTTTGAGTGAAGATAGTTGAATTAATTTTAATCAGATTGGTGTGAATATGCTGTAAAGTGGATATATAGTAACCATTGGCTACACATACCGAAAAGTTTTCTCGTCCATCTTATGTACCTTTTAAGGGGCATGACTATTTGTATTATAAGCAATAAATCACCAAATCCCACTTACGTGTGAGAGAGGATATATAGTGGATATATAGTAACCATTGGCTATACATACCGAAAAGTTTTCTCGTACATCTTATGTACCTTTTAAGGGGCATGACTATTTGTATTATAAGCAATAAATCACCAAATCCCACTTACGTGTGAGAGAGAGAGAGAAATGGGGTTTAACATCCACTCGACACAAGCTAGGTCATTTTGGGAGTAACATGGTTCAATTTTATTTCAATAATTCGTGTGCGCGTAGGCGTCTTTAGCAGTGGGAGGATACCTGAGGACCCGGAGAAAACCCACGAGGTTGGACAGGCGGCAATTTGCCCAAATATATAATGTATAATCAGTGCCTAGTTATTGTGATATCACGCTGAATATTACTGTGAAAGATGGGATTTAGCACATTGGCCACAGTTTGGATTTCAGAAATATTCTAAGGCAATTATATATTCAGGTTGCTACTGAATGATGAGTGTATGGTCAAATCTTTTGCTATTATGTTTTTTTTTGTGTTTGTTTGTTTAATGTTTTGATGCATTGAATTTGAAAACAGAACACTTTTCCTTCTATTTTCAGGTGTTTACAGTAGAAGTTTGGAATTCTGGGCAAAAAAATATACTAGAGAAAAGATATTCAGAATTTGAAGAACTTCATAAGCAGGTAAATTAGTTATAGAACCTTGATTCTGTTCATGTGCTATTACTAAACTCCAATGAAACATCTGAAAGTAAAAGTGGGTGTAATTTGTTACTTTTACAAAGTCTTAGTTGGATGTTTAACCAAGTATCTCTCTCTTCAAGATTAATTAAAAATTATTAATTGGGTAAGTGCAAGAGGACCGTATAATACACAAAACAAAAGCGGTAAGACAAACCTGCAGACAAGACAAACTACACAGAAATTGCAAGAAATAAACAACAAATATCAAATCAAGTGAATGGATCTTAGGGCCAGTTGTAAGCGTCCACTGTGTTGTACAGTCCCCACTTTGAATATAAGACTTGATCTCGCTTTACAAGAAAGGAGTAATAGAAACAAAGCGACCGGTCTTGACTGTAAGAAGACATAATTATTTATTGCTTACTCTTTAAAGAACCCTTGTTACGTTTCTCATTTGTATACACAGGTGATAATTCTATGGAATACAATAACTATTCCTCATTCATAAACCCATTGTAAATCTGCACGACTAAAGTTTTTTATATGCCCACATTTTCAATACTGATGATTGAGTTTCGTAAAAATCGGACGGAAACTGTCCAACTACCAAGGTTGTGGACCCTCTAGAGGTCACATTTTTTCCCGATTTTGATGAAACTTAAAATATAGGTTTATATCCCAAAGATCTTGATTCTTAATCTATTTATATTGACACTTCTTGGACATCCTAGATTATGGCCCCTGATTATACGAAAAATCGTTGTTTTAGCTTGTTCTCTGGGTGCATTTTGCATGAAAACCAGTTGTTATATTTTGTACTGGCACTGGCAGTATCTGTAATATAAAAAGTGCATAATTTTGGTGGTATTTTTTTATTTTGTTTTATTCTAGCTGAAAAAAATTGTAGTTACCCCAGATTTTCCACCAAAGAAAGTTATGAAATGGAATGCTAAGGTTTTGGAACAGAGGAGATTAGCATTGCAAACTTATTTACAGGTAATATAAGTACGGTATATTGTATAAATGTAGATTGATTTCTGTGTTTTGTAATGTAGGGGGTTTGTTATAGTACCTGATTATATATATAAAGGAACTTTTAGATTTGAAATTGAACAATAACCATATTTATATTTATTTTTCAGTCTTTTCTTGATAGAGATTCAATACCTAAGTCACTATTAAGATTTTTAGAAGTAAATATCTACACAGGTAGTATGGAGTAAGTATGTAAAAATTACCTATTGAAAACATTCTCACTAAAGTTCTTATTTGGCCCACTACTCAAAATTCTAATATATCATATCCTTGAGTAATTGTCAGATTAAACCTTTAGTAGAACTATAATTAAGCTTCTAACTGTCAGACTAAACATTTAGTAGAACAATAACTAAGGATCTAAAATTATACCAGCCTTTCGCAACTACACAGTTATCAACAGTTATGACCCTTGATCAATTTGAATAATCTCTGGACAATCTAGACTCTAGAGGCTAAATGTATACACAGTGTTTGTGTGTGTAAGACAAGAAAGAAGCCTAATGATTTTCAGCATTTCCAATAATTGCTAAAGACTGAAGTCATCATCTGATTGTAATGTTTATGTTCATGAAAAGAAAAGTCTTTTGATTTTCAACAATTTCCAATAACTGCTTATTGGGTTGTTACTCTTGACCAGTTTTGAGTGTTTTCTTTTAATGCCCCCCATTACCTACAAAAGTATAAATCGTTTGCAACCATTCCGGACTATTCAGACAACTTAGAAGCTGTGGGTAATGCCAAATCTATAGAAACATTTGATTTTTCTACTTTATAACTATGCTTCAACATACTGACCTTAAATATAAAAACTGTGTTGGTTGATTGATAAAGCCTTCAGTAGAAAAGACAGAAACCTATGTGTCTTTCCATACATTTTAATATTTATATTCTTTGAGATTATGAAATTTTAACAATTTGTCAAACATAGGCGTAAAATTTGTATATGTTTTATTCATTTCAGATCTTTAGATAGATTAATTGATAATAATACTGAAACTCATCAACCTTTAATTTCCTTCTCATTTGATGCTTTCCTAAATGAAAATTCTAAAAGTAAGTAAAACTGTATGCTGTTTACAATGTTAGTTTACTGTAAAGCAATGTGTTACATGTAATATGTCATTAAATTCAATAAACATTTCTATTCTGTAACATTACAAAATTTGTATGGGTAGTTCCATATAATTTATAAGTATGTAACAATATCAAAAACATAAAGAGTTATTCCTCTTTGTGCTGAAAACATTGTTTACATGATAGATGATCTCTATTTATCGTCAAATTTGATGTGAAGCATTGGGATCAGAGCGGATGAACCCTGTTGGTTTTCAGCACCAGAGATATATTATTTGTCTGAAAAAGCTTGTGAAAACAATGGAGATCATATATTGTGAAAGGTATAAAGGATTCATATCAAATTTGGTCAGCATCCAAGTTTTCTTTCGGATAACCTGCTGTCTATGCCTATCTTTTTGAAGAAAAAATTGTATGTAAAGACAAACATGAGTCAGCACAGTCATCAATTTCTTATTTAGCATGAGCACCCAGGGTCCGTGTTCAAAGATTTTCTTAAAGTTAAGTTAAAATACTTAATTTTTCCACTTAACTAAGTGTGTTACCTTAAATCGGTATTCAAAGGCTGTATTTTACATGCCTTGGCTATGTGAAAAACTTAATTGAACACTTAAATTATGGAATACCCACAATGGCCAAAAAGCATGAATTTCTAACTTGTAAAATACCCTCCACTGCTAAAAATCATGAATTTCTAACTTCACGTACAAGTTATGTCCCCTTAAGAGCACCACTATACCCATACTAAACTTAAACTGTCTACAGTTAGCTCCACTTGAGAACAGACACTAAGCTAGTTGACTGACATTTCAATTGCAAAATCAACGATTTTAGTCAAACACTTTTAAGTATACCAGTACTTTGATAATTTTGAGAAATATTTATTCCTCTTCAATTTATTATCATTGAAAAGCATTTAGTCTTTGTGTGTATGGCAGATATGAAACGGAATAGAACCACATTACAAAACAGTATACTAATTTTTGGATATGGTGTCCATTTAGGACAAAGATAGTTGTCTGTGTGCAGAATGCACTATACTCTATTAAAATCTTAGTTGTCATTACTAGGAAAATGTTTGTCAAAATACTATATTGTACCCTAATAAACACAACATAAATTAAAATGCAATAGCTAACACAAGAAATACATTGTAAATCATTGGTTCCACGCAGCGGTCAGCAATCATCATCATATATACCGTTCTGTATTTTTAAATTTAAGTACAAACCAAGACAAGAACATTTTGCAATTAGTACTACTGCCAATCAAAAGCAAACTTCAAATAAATAGGAATGATTTTTAAAAAATCAATCATGCCTTGCTTCTCACAGTAGTATAAATGCTTGTCAAAATTTACAATGGAATGTCATCACAATGTCAAATTTTACAAATGAATTTAACGCATCAAACATTGCTAGATGACAGTCATGGAAAACATGAATAAGCAATACGAGCATGATAAAAATGATTGGGGAAAAATATATCCTGGAGGCCTGCTGCGCCCGGCGTCATTGTCTTTGTTTCAATTTCAACCCCTGTGTAACCTTTAAATTGCCATTACGGGACTACTATTACATGTGCATTTTGTACTTCGGTTAAAAGAAGTCATTGTAATCTCACTTAACTTTAAAGTTACAATTTCATATTTTCTAAGAAAGTCAAAACATGATTATTTCTATGTCTTTTGCTCAATAGATTGTCAACTCACTATTATATGATCATAGGTGTCATTCTCACACTTAAAACTCATTTACACCGGAAATAATAACACAATTACCTCCCTTGTTTTCTATTCTCCACCATGAAGTAGTTTTCTTTAAATGTTGGAATTTGAAGATGAAAATGATATTTTTGCCAATTGCTCAACTGGCAATAGTGAATTATAGAATTAATAGGATTATTCTTTAACAAGGTAGATAACATCTATTTTAAGGCTTTATTTTAATAAATTTTAAAAATATAACTTAAAAATATGAAATTGCAACTTTAAGGTACCTGCAATAGGTCACTTAAAGTTAAGCAGATTTTTCTCACTTACACAGGCCTTTGAATACCACTGGAAGACGAAACATGTATAGTTAAGGTTACTTAACTTTAAACGGAAGTTTGATGCTTAACATTACCTTTGAAAACCACTTACCCTTAACCCACAGGAAGTTACGCATATTTAAGTGAAATCTAGTAGTTAAGGGACTAACTTAAAGTAGCTAAGTCTCTAACTCAATATCATCCAAAATCTTTGACATTGAAAACACGAATTATTTGTCAATTTAAATCAACATTGATGTTGTGATCTTACCGGGAAAAGATGGGCTTCTGATATCCAATATTTAAGACAAAATAAACATTTTACGATTGGTACATGAATCGTGTACCATAATGCGTTTCAGGCCCATTCTAACAAGGGACTCGAAGAACGAGGCTAGACATTCAACAAGTCATGTCAAACGGTGACGGCATATTCATATCGGGAGAGTATGTGCAATAAATACTATGTAGACTAGAATAACCAGACGCTAGTAATTTTCATTCAATTGAGACTTTAGACATATTTCGCTGAACGTAACTGATTTGAAATTAGAGTAAAAATGGAAACGATTGAATGTAAACCAGTTTATATATATATTCCTATTACATTATTATATGCGTTACGACCCATTTGTATCAATTTTTAGGTCCAAAATGTTAGCGATTTAGCTCCTTTAAAACTTAAAATTTCCTTTGAATACGGACCCAGATCTTACCAATTCACTGCAAACATTCACTGGTCACCATAAAACTAACTTGCCACCTAATAGCTATATCATCAATTTTTGTATTTTCAGGTACATTACCAGATATAGTTGTAGAAGGTGTTACAATGGGTCTTTATGCACCTTTAGAAAACTTCTTACCTGGATGATATTGGATGTGACCAATTGATTTATTTGTAAACTTTATGTGACGATTGGTTGTTGATATGATATATTTATCATCTACCTCTCTGTCATAAACATAGACTATTTTAAATATACCAATGATGTAAATGGTCCAATATACATAACTGTTTATAGTCATTTAATCAAATATAACGGACCTGTATCTGATTATTGTTATGTCTATTTAATTATGTTGTTTACAGAGTATTTGTGCAATAAAAAGAGTGAATATGATTAGTCAGAGCCTTTAAGTTATTATATATACATGGGGCTGACACTAACAGGGGCAGGTCGTGCTCCCAAAACACGCACACCAGCAAAGTCGTCAGTGCTAGCTCTACAATGTCAAGAAAATGCTGTTGAGCATCAAGTTTCATTAAGATGCTATACTATAAGCCACATTTTGTACAATAGACATCAAATTTTAGACAGTCTTTGCCTTAAATTTAAACTATGGTAAATGCCAACATTGTTTTTATAAAGAGGTATCAGGTTCAAAATGTGATCTATGGTAAAAGTAGAATATCAAAATGGAAAATTATTATCTATAATTTATCTTGCCTTGTTTTCTTTAGACCGTCTGTTATTCTAAAATATTGTAATCTAATTTTTTTCCGTAATATGCCAGCTGGTAGAAGAAATTCAATTGGAGAATCTGTGGAAGAAAATTGTGAGTAGAAAGTCGGAAGAAGAAAATCGGTCAATGAAAGTTGTATTTGGACGATTTTAAGTTGATCAGGTGGATTTTTTTTTCATCTTAATTGCATACAGTTATAGATTTCCTCCACGAAAATATCGCTATTAGATAAAAATTTGCTATTTTACTTTTCTTCTTTTTACTACAGATTGCATTTTGAACCTGACACCTCTCTATAGACTGTTTGCTGTATTGTATAGCAGCAACCGATATGTAAATGTTATGTCAGTAACTGATCAATTTTGGGGTATGGGGTGACTTAATTAAAGGGGCATTAGGTAAGATTAGATAAAGAGCTGACAGTTCTCGCTATAATTTTTAAAAAATAGATATTGAAAACAGAAATGCCGGAAATTTCATTCAAATTGCTTCACTCTGAACCGAGATATTAGCGATCCAAATTTAAGCTAGCCTCGATCTTCATTTATAGTTTGTATGATAAAAAACAAAGTCTCGATTATCCATTTTTATACGCCCACATTGAAATGTTGTCGTCGCCCCGTTCGTCCGTCTATCTGTCTGTCCATCCGTCCGAAAAGTGAATACCTGATTGACTTTAAATTTATACACAGTATTAAAGGTCAAGAGACGAAGAAGCCTATTGATTTTCACCAATTTCCGATAATTACTGCCAGAGTTATGGCCCTTGATCACTTTGAAAGTTAATATCTGATTGATTTAAGGTCATGAGACGAAGAAGCCTATTGATTTTCAACGATTTCTGATAATTACTGCCAGAGTTATGTCCCTTGATCACTTTGAAAAATCTTGTGGATGTTTTAGAGACCATAGTTATCTTCTGATTGATTTTATATTTATTCACTGTGTTTAAGCCTATATATAATCATTTCGATTGACTTTAGATTGATACACAGAGTTTTCAATGATTTTTGATAACTTGAACAGCTAAATCCATGATATTAAATATTTTGTAAACTAAACTTTAGCATGGGCCAAACAAATTCTAATGATTTTCTTTCTGATAATTACTTAATGAGTTGTTACTCTTAATCAGAATTTAGTGTATTATAAATGTTTCATTACCGACAAAAGTAAAAGTATGGGACTGCCCAGACGATTTATCTGCTGCGGACGTACGTTTCATTCCCTGGCAACCTATCTTTATCTTAATTATCCATCACAAACTGTATTCAGATCCACTAAATATTGCAGGCTAATGATGGCATCCAGAGATGATTATGGTCTGGATAAGTTAATTAATGTCTAATTAATAATTTAGATAACATTTCAGGCCTAAAGAAACGCCTGCAAATAGGCAGATTCAATTCTTGCATAATGTACATTTTAGGTGCTGTACCACTGATAACACCTCTGTCCTATGTAATCTGTGTGTACCATGACTGATTCTTCCAATGACCTAATACTAATAAGAATACTGCACACACGAAAAATATCTATCACATATCCTATATCAATTCCAAAATGAACTTACCATTTATACCTTTTCTTCAGTCTACCATTGAGCCTTGCTGACCACCTTAATTTTATCTTATCTGGCTGGCACTGATAGGTTTGTGCATGTCTGAACTGAAGATGTCATAAATTTTTTTTACTCAAAGTGTTTGGTCTACTAAATATTGAACTTTATTTTGTCATTTTTCCAGAATTGATTGAAGTGTGATTTGAATTGGTTTAGGGTTTTAGCATTGACAACATAGAATGGTAATGAGTTCCAGTCGTTGAAGACTCTGACTGAGAAATTGTTTTTTCCTAGTCCAATCTAGAATAAGGTTTTTCTAGTTTAAAGTTGTGTCCTCTTGTTCTTTACTCTTTTGTGACTTTCAGCATTTCTGTGTTTACAACAACATTTCTTCCTTGAAGAATGGGGGGTTGGATGGCCGAATGGTTAGCATGTGCACGCTGTATCATCAGGCCTGTCATTGAGTCAACTGGCATGGTTTCTAATCCTCGGTTGTATGTGACAAGAAGTAGGCTTGCCTGTCCAAACTCGTGGGTTTTCTCCAGGTCCTCCGGTTTCCTCCCACTGCAAAAGACCCCTATGCACAAGCGAATTATTGAAATAAAAAATTAATGTTAGTCCAGAAATGACCTAGTTTGTGTCGAGTGGACGTTAAACCCCATTTTTCTTTCTCCTTGAAGAATCCTATAAATTGGATAACATCATATCGCTTTCTTCTGTATTCCAAAGAGGGTAAACGAGACTTAACATGTGTTGTTGGAAACAGGTTTTCTAGTCCCTTTACTAGTTTGGTCGCTCTGCGTTGGACGTTTTCAACTGCTCTAATGTCGTTCTTAAAGGAGCTAAATCGATAATATTTGGGACCTAGAAATAGACACAAATAATAATAATTTAATATTAACATATATAAACTGATTTACATTCAATCATTTCTGTTTTTACTCTAATTTTAAATACGCCAGAAGTCTCAATCGAATGGCAATCTCTAATGTCTGGTTATTTCAGTCCACACCTATAGCATTTATTGTGGGATATGTCTAGTCCCTTGTTACAAATGGCGCTGGAACACATTATGGAACACTTTTCGTGTACCAATGGTAAATTATTTATTTTGTCTTAAATATTGAATATTAGAAGCCCATATTTTCCTGGTAACATCACATCAGTGTTGATTTAAATTGACAAATAATTTGTGTTTTCAATTGTGACCTCTAGAGGGTCCACAACCTTGTTATACCATATTTTTGCACTATTTGCGTATGAAGGGCGGGCCATTTTGTCTGGCAGTTTTAGTTCGATTTTCACAAAACTCAATCTACATAATGGTGTAACAGTGATATATTCGAAGGTTTTTTTTAAATCGGATAAAAAGTGTGACCTCTAGAGGGACCACAATCTAAAAACGTGATTTTTCGTACAATCAAGGGCCATAATTCAGGAAGTTACAATCCGATATGCGTGAATATCGAAAGGACCCAAGATCTTTGGGTTATAATCCTGCATTTCAAGTTTCATCAAAATCGGATGAAAATTGTGAACTCTAAAGTGTCTACACAAGCTAAAAATGTGATTTTTCAAACAATCAGGGGCCATAATTCATCAAGTTATGGTCCGATATATGGTTTCGTCAAAATCGGATAAATATTATGACTTGTAGAGTGTCTACAAACAAATTGTGGACAGATTTTTTTTTATATAATAAGGGGCCATAATCCATGAAGTTACTATCTGATACATGCCAATATTGAAAGGAACCGAGATCTTTGGGAGATCAACCTATATTTCAAGTTTCATCAAAATCAGATAAAAATTGTGGTCGGACGAACGGACAGGGGAGACGACAATATACGTCCACATAAAAATGTGGGCGTATAAAATCTCTTACGAGGTCCAAAACATGTAAATATCTGAACAGACTATATACCCTTACATGTACCTCATATGTTACAACAGAGATACAAACTGCAACTATTAAAGGAAGGAAAGTTTATTAAATCAACATTACAATACATGCTATAAAGTGATAAAAATAATATATACACATGTAGATAAAGTAATTTACATCACATTGTGTAAGGAGTATAGTAAAATCATCACCCTGACTATCCTCATTGTGTGCTAATATAATACACATAGTTCATCAAAACAATTTATAGTATAGAGATATAGTTATTAATATATCATTAAAAACAAGGAAATCAACAACAGCTATATACTAAACTAATGAATATATATTAATATACAGTAATTAATTCTAAACTGATGAAATAATATGATAACTTCATATTAAATGGAAACACTAGTTTCTTGCGATAGAATTGGGTTTTAACATCTTGCCGACACATAACTTGGTCATTTTCATGCGAACCTACAGTATTGTACTTTTTACTTATTTCTATTTGCCTGGGGAGCAGCGTTTCCCCTACTCCATAAAGCATACGTATTTTCCATGTCAGTCTCTTGGACACCCCCCCCCCCCCCCCGACAAGTGAGAACCAGGCATGACAATCCTGAAAGTTCTTCTCGACCCACATTGGCATTCAAACCTGGGACATTTTTGGTAGTTAGCCCTTCTTTGGATAGAATCCATCTAAAATTTTGCATACAACCCAAAAGAAATAGTGAAAGTGAAAAGCTTCCTTAAATATCATTACACAGATGTGAAACTACAAATATATACAAATGTAGAATTTACATATTTATATTCATTAAGATTATCATTATTAGTTCCAAGTACATTTTCTTGAATTAAAAAAAAAAAGAAGACAAAATCAACACACATCTACTTAAAACTGTTTAGGCTAAAATGATAAACAATATAACAAGGTTTCTTGCAAACATCTGTTTCTCTACTTCACAGTCTAATAATAACACTCAAATTTCTAATACGCATGGATCATTTATTGATTTTATGTTTTTTATCAATTTTGTATCAGGAACTCATTTTGTAGTTGTACTATAAAGTTTATCTTGATTGATCAGTATACAATTGTATAATAAATAATTAAAGGATTGGAATGTGAAAACAAATATATTTATATATATAGATGAATAGACCTTGCAATTTACAAACATCCATCTTTAAATGACTAGACCTCTGTGATTTAGGTCAAAAATAAAATTGTTGATTTACTGGTAATTAGATTTTAGACGAATTTCGTTTTTGGTGGGATGACAATCATTGTTCAGCTATATTTTTTTTACAGTTATTAATAACAGATAAAGAAAGTTGTTGAGATATAACCAACTTTGAGTTTTAGTATTGACAAGACTTGTTTCATACTTTTAAACAGGTATATAACCATCTTGCTCCATCACTAATCATACCACCACATCAGATCAATCCAATTCAATGCTTTATTTTGACCTAAATCAAGGCGGGCTAAATCTTAATCTATGGTTCTTATGAAAAGTTTCATCAATTGCAAATATATTTGTTTTTGCAAACACTACATTATTGTTGTGGAAAGTCAAAGTAAACTTTGAAAATTCCAAGTACACTGAAAGCCACATGGGGGAAGAAAGAGTTAAATGTAAGTTACATCATTTCTATTTATGAACAATAATTCATTAAAACAAAGTAAATTTATAAAAATGTAAAATTCTCTCTCATTCACATACATTGAAACATGTACATCACCATGATATATGCACACTAAAGTTTTTCTTAATTTGACTCTATGTTTTCTTGTATCTATTTATTATTACATGTAACTTAACATTCCACTGTCACACACACACTAATATTACCTACACACTAGAAGATTCACACAAAATTAACAGAACCATGATAGACTCTTACATTGTATTTAACACAAGCATTGACATGACTTTATTACATCCATTTTCAAAGTATCAATCTTGATATTAATATACATATATGCTAGTGTGAAAAATTGAAAAATAAAGAAGGTTGAGTAGTTTTCAAAATGAGTGCTAAAATATATTTTAAAATTACTATCTTTATCATTGTGTTAAGGGACTAACTATCTAAATAAAAGGTTGGCATCCACACAGAAACAATCCAATTTTCAAAATTTCACATTAAAATATATAAAGTTTCTATTTAGACTTGAGTGACAAACGAGTTTCCCAGCAATTACTTTTTTTATGTCATAAAATAAATCTTCATTTAGTGAATTCTTTCAACCAAAATTATATTAACTTGTACAAAGCATTATCATCTATGGTCGAAAAGAGTATCAATATTCCAACTAAATGATCTGTGACATTTAATATAATATAATCTTAATCATTTAATCCATTTTCTAAGCTCTAACATTTCTCTGTCTTACTTCATTTGCCTCATTAGCATTGGCGCTTCCACTGAAAATAAAACATGTTCATTAATACTTTATTTATATCAACATATTGATTGGTATTGTTAATAGTCATCAAGATGGTAACAGATAAAGGAGATTACAATGAGTACCCGTAAATAGGTTTTAATATTGTACCTAGAGATTCACAATTATATAACCATACAATGTACATGTACTCTTAACTGTCAGATTGGCGATTAACAATCACAGTGTAAAAATCTTTTCAGAATGTTCAGATAACTTCGCTGCCATGGGTGAATATTTTGTTGCCAGGTTCAACCTGTTTATTAATACAAGTTATATCTGGTTATTTTAAATAGCTTTTGCATCAGTTAATATATTATAATAACTGATTCTATGATTCAGAAAATCTATATTTTTTTTTAGGTTTTAAAACATATGATTTTACTTTAGATTATCAAAAATTAATTTATTCATTTAGCATGACCCTAACTATGTCATTATTGACATAATAGACTGCCTAAAACTATTAAATGGTTGGAAAGATATTCATATATCTTGGGTGGTTTGAGAGAGTCTAATTTTCTTCAAGGAACTTGGGTAGCTGTTATTCACATATACCAAGTGCTAAGGGTTAACTGCATAAGAGATCACTCTTTCTCCTTTATAAAAACTAGAAATGAACAGTCACAGAATTTATATGTCAGCATAGAGTACCTGGCATTGCTCAAAACAATGTTTTACTTGACACTACACAACTCATACTTTCACTGTATACCTTAAATGTAATGTACTTTGGTGACACCAGGGTACGGAAATCTGTTACAACAAAATTTGTATACCAGGTACCTAATATGTCTTTCAAACAAAACTCAGGGCTGCCTGCCCTTTCTTTTTGAAAAAATCTGTATAACTTTTTTGTAATGAATTTTTATCTAAAATCAAATTTAAATTTCATTCAATAGTTCTTTACCAGAAGTTTACTTTTTCAGGTTCCCCTAGGGTACAGAGAGAGAGAGAGATGGAGTTTAATGTCCACTTGACAACACAAACTAGGTCGTTTCCGGACTAACATAAGGTTTAATTTTATTTCATTAATTCATTTGCGAGTAGGAGTCTTTAGCAGTGGGAGGAAACCAGAGGATCCAGAGAAAACCCATGTGGTTGGAAAGGCGACCCTACTCATTGTGACGTACAACCAGAAATCTTGAAGAGAGACCAGAGAGAGAAATGTTTGGATAGGGTTCCTCTTTATTGAGAATCTCTTTGTGTATTGCATTCTCAAGCTCTACCACTCAAAATCAATACTTTCAAGAACTCTGTACTGTATTGAGTTCACTTATACAAATGTATGATATCTTTCAAATCAATAAAAATTACCTTTTCACATCAGTCTCATCATTATCAGCTGGATCTTCTTTACTGCGTTTCTTTTCATAAATAAAGATAATGATACATAAAATGACAACCTCGGCTACAATACCAAGGAATGGCCATAGAGCAGCTAGCTTATCTGAAAAAGATCAATATAGTTAATTAGATGTAAGTATTCATTTTATAAAACATAGACTGGGGCTGTCAAGCTTACTAAAACACCTACCACAAGTAAAGTCAACCTAGTTAGTTTTAAAATCTATTTTAACAGGTTTTTCAGGATTTATCAGCATGGTTTCACCTTGTCGATGATACAGGACAGAGGGCCTGACAAAGAACACAGTCTGGTTATTTGGATGGGATAACAAACTAAAGTCCTGTGTACACATTGGCATGCACGTAAAAGGACCCTTGACAGTTTGAATTCGAAATACTTTAAGAACAGGCCTTGGTGTATGCCAGTCTTCATTAGCCCAATGGAAAGCCCATTTCATTTCTATTTCAAATTACTGTGTGTTAAGATGTCTTAAATTATTTTAAAGAGATTTATAAAGTTGGGTAGCGTTCCTCTTATTCCCCATACTGAAAACACACAGCACTCCACCCACTTTTTCTGTTGTAGAGGGGTGTCTCATTACATGATGATTATCCGGTCCTTATTCTTAATGGGGCCTAACCTTTCTTATTTTCTTGGTTAACTCCCTTCCTCCCGAGTCTAATTCTAATTAACTGTAAACTACCATAATAAATTTAGATACGTCTCACTGTCGGAAAGGAGTGAAAACTTAAGTTAGAATAAGACACCATGTATAATTAATAAATAAAAGACACCCCCCCCCCACACACACACACACCAAAGAATTAAGCTATATGATTGACTATTTAACTGCACGAGGTAATTTGACAGACTAATCAAAAAATCAATATGATGGCTTACAATTGCAGTGTAGAGTGGGATAAAAAAAAAATAGAAAGCAAAGTAAGGGGTATGCATATTAAATGAAATCACTTATCATTGCCAGGTCATTACGCAAAATTTTCATAAAATATTACCTTTAACTCTAACAAGGATAGTACTGTTTGCTGTAGTATTATATCTCACGCTACTAGCTAGACACATGTAAGTTCCTTTATCTTCAAACTCTACATGCTCTATTGATAAAATACCATTATCTAGACCACTACCAGGGTTGAACTTAATTCTCTCATTAGCAACAAGTACTACACCATCTTTACTCCAGGTAATGTTTCCCAATGGATGACCATAGACTCCACACTTCAATTCAAGAGGATCTCTTTGGATCAAATTTTTTGATTTCTCAAATCTTCTTATCAAAGGTGAGGCTGATAAAATAAAACATAATTGATAAATTTCTGAAGTGGATATTATGGTAAGAGCAATTGTTGATTTATATTTAATTTTTATTTCCAATCTTGATACGGACAGATTACTTACCAAACAATTATCTGTAACTGATTACTTGCCAAACAAATTAGCTATAACAGATTACTTGCTAAACAAATTAGCTGTAACAGATTACTTACCAAACAAATTAGCTGTAACAGATACTTTCTGACTAACTTTAGATCCATTTGCATGACTGCTGAAGTCAAAAACACATTGATAGGCACCAGCATCTGCTCTCTCTGCAAAAACATACAAAATATATAATATATTGTGAGGCTGTTTTCCCTGAATCAATCCCAAAATAAATGGATGACGCCCGTTAATTACTTGCACATTTATCTTTTATATTATATCCAGCAATCAAATTACTAATCATTTTTTTTTAAACCCATGTCGAAAATGTTCATTATCTAACTTATATTTTTAGTCATGGTAGTGATGTAATAAAACTTTACACCAAGTTTCATCATTCCCCTTCAATTAGAAGCAGGGTTATTGTGTTTTACACTCTTGGCAAATGAAAAATGCTTATCTATGCTTAGTTGAAGCAGGAATATTTATCAGTGAAGACATTTACACAACGAACATCTACATTAAGTCTGAACATTCTACCGCAATTAGAAGCAGGAGGGTTTGAGTGGTCGAACATGGGTGCTTTCGACCATGTCTGTCATAAAAGGAGTATGGTTACCTGTCCAACCTCTTTGTTCACTACATAATGCTTCTTTACATTTTAACCATATTGACTGGGCTTTTTTTCCTTGACAGTTTGAGTGAGATTGTATCAGTAACTTCTTGTTTTGTAATGAATGTAAGCAAACTGAAATATGATACCATACCTGCGTTTTTGATTTCTAAGGTATGATTGGGCATGGTATTATTGACAGTATATTTCTCTTCATAATCTTCTATAGTAGTTATAGGTTGATGTTCTCTTTCCCAGGTAACTGTGTAATTTGTTGGAAAACCAGTACCTTCAGTTTCACATCCTAATTTTACAGATCCCATGTTTCTCTTAAACTCAACATCATTTGAATTTACTAAAAATAGAGGATATACAAAAAGTGTATTATATACAATGACCGTACGACACATTTCCATAACTAAATTTTGACAGTACATTACGGGAAGCTTGAGACTGTCTAATTAAAATTAAACATTATTTTGTTCTTCCAAGTATGCATTTTATGACATCAGTTTAATGAGGAAATATCAGCAGATTATTCAATACAGATGACAGTGGAGTGCTTTTGAGAGAATTGCAAGGAAGGATTCGGCCTATTTCCCAGAAAGAGACTTACTAGATTTACCTTGTTTGAAAGCTTCATATCAAACTATTTAGCTGTTAAAAATGACTTTCAAAATTAATAAACAGGTAACATAGCTCAGATAAACAATTTTAGTTTATTGTTTAATGAGTGACCTGATAAAAAGAATTTAATGAATAGTTATAGTCATCTGGACACTACTGTTGTTGTCAGTTTGGAAACTTATTACCAAACATAATTAGATATTTGTATTCTACTGAAAAAAATTTAACAGAGCTTCAGATAATTAAACATAACATAATTAACTGCATTCTTTACAGCTCCTTAGCTCCATTACAAAAGAAAGTATTTATTAATTCAACATTCAATTCAAGTGCATAAATATTTACCTTTTGCAACTACAACAGTGATGGAAAACTTAGTGCCAGAAGGTGATTCCACACAATCATATTGCCCAGCATCAGCAGCACTACTGCTTGGCTTCACAATATTCAAAACAGTTTTCTTTTTATCACCAGATATTGTTGAATGTTTTGTTTCTTCTGTAATCTTAACACCATCTTTTTTCCATTCAATGTCGCTACCACTATTGCTCTCTGTTATATGATTGCAACTTAAGTTAAAAGCGGAGGGAGCAATAACATACAGGATATCATAAGGAGGAGAAACAGTGATTGATTGACCTGTAACAATAAATATACAAGTGTGTTAAATTTGATAAATACAAATAACCAAAAACACATGGTATGGTATTTAATACATCATGAAATTGTTAAGTTTGTCGATGCCAACATGGTATGCAGACACAGCTCTCTAAACTCAACAAATAACCCTACAAAAAAATAGAAAATAAAAGTGAAGAGTAATTCAATGATGATATAATTTTGGAAAACTAATGTTAAGCTACACAAAAATCTGAATATTAATTTTGGAATATTAGCCTATCAGGATGACTTCAACAGTGGTTGATATATATTTTCAAAATAAAAAAGTCCTTAAATTTAAAAATAAAATCTGGATATGGAGACTGGTGTACCAAGATGTTTTATAAGGGGGGGATCACGTGGCTAAGTGGGTAAGACGCTGGCTCGCTAGCCTGGAGGTCGGGTGTTCGATCCCTGCATTGGCCGAGAAAGTTCATTCAGATTTTCCGGCGTGGTTCCCCCTTGTCAGTGACAAGGACAGCTGTCTAGTCCTTTGGATGATACGAAAAACCGAGGTCCTGTGTATACATTGGAATGCATGTAAAAGATCCCTTGGCAGTTGGAATTCGATATAAGAGTAGGCGATAGTGCCGCTGCCCAGGCAAAATTACCCTCATAGCACACTGTATGGCGTATGCCCGTCTTCATTAGCCCAGCATAGGAGCAGAACAGTAGGATGTTAAACCCCATTTCATTTCATTTTATAGGGTGTCTGGATAAAACCAGACTTCCTTTTTTATAACGTGTAGGTATCAAGTACAGCACTGTATAGACCTCTAAAGGAACGGCAATAGATTATCAGGTCATCCAACGAAAAAATTGACCCGAAATCTTAAATGGGTTACGTGTCCGGATAAGGTTTTGACATTCATATCCAAACGACACAATATTTTGAGCTGAAATTTTGAGACAAGCTAAATACACCATTCCTCAATAATATGGCACTTAAATTTCATACGAACACAGACTTTTAATTCTGAGACTCTGTTAAAAACGGGGTGGTCCCTATAAAGTCTCTGAACGTAATTTGGGGGAATCTTATTGTCAATCTGTTGCAAAGTAAACATTTCATTGTGAAAGTTGTATCTCAATACACAATGGTCAATTTTTAAAAAAAATATATCTGGATTCTTAACAACCATTTAACTTTTTTTTTATGGTCGTTTACTAAAGTATATTCACTTTGTCCACCCTGCATGCCCCCACCCAATCTGGCCCTGGTCTATGACTGTATGATAATATTAAACATACATTATGCAAGAGCTAAATCTGTCTATTGCAGGTCTTTCTTTAGGCCTGTAATGTTATCTAAATTATTAATTAAACATTAATTAACCTATCCAGACCATAATCAACTCTAGATGGCATCGTTAGCCTGCGATCTTTACTGCATAACTTTCCTTCACGATTTATCGATTAAATGGATAATCAAGACTATGCTTTTTATCGTACTGACTTTAGTAATGATGATCAAGGCTAGGCGGAAATTCAATCACTTTGTTCTCGGTTCATAGTGGATCAATTTGAATGAAATTTTCAGCAAATTGCCTTTACATATCTAGTTTTTAACTATTATAGTAGAACTGTCAACTCGTTATCAAATCTCCCATAATGTATCTTTAGTAATATTGAATGAGTAGATCTACAATAATAATAATCATCATTTTCTAGAGCGCTGAACATTTAATCAGTTTGACTGCTCTGTAGCCTACTGTAACTGCGGCACTTTACAAAGAAAATAACATAGACAACAGGCACAATAGTATACACAAACTTGACACGTTTTATACACAAACTATAACATACATTTAATTTTGATAATCAATTCTGTTTTTATCGTTTCTTAAAGTCGATATATTGACTCGAGGCTTTTATTCTGTAGTGTTTTGTACTTTATTCCACTCTTTTGGACCAGCGTAAGCTATAATAATGCCCTTTCTCCAAATGATAGGTCCTATGAATACTATGATGAGTAGCCTAGTATTCAATCACCACCCTACTATAACTTAACATGAGCTTTTCGATCAGCTGATCATCTCGACCTACATTTGTACTTGCCGACTGCGAATAATCAAGAAATACCACTATCGCTATTAATAATGCTAACGGTAAACTGGGCTAAGCCAGATATCTACTGCTTTAGAGTAATTGTCACTTTGGAAATACAGGCACTTTACTCGCTTCTTTCTCATACTTACATTCACTACCTACAAACATAGCCAATGCTATACTTAAAATCTGTAAACCCCGTCCCATCGTCAAATTATTCAGATATCGTTCTAAGTTTTATATTTAGTAAACCGCACAGCAAAAGCCAGTTTTCTCTTCTACTAGACCACAATCCTTCGATAAATCAACATGGAGGAAAAATCTCAACATACGCATGCGCAAGGTATGACATAGATCACCAAGAAAGGGTCATAGACCCCGTAATACATTATGGATATTATGAGGCTACAATAAGGTTATTGCGTTATTTCGTTTATAAATGACTTAACATCGTAAAAAAAAAAACCCAAAACAACTCAAAGACAAGTCATTAATTTTACACCATTTAATTTAGCCTCCACCAACATTTTATAAATTTATAGTTTGTGGTTTCGATTTGAAATCAGAATTAACCTATTTTAATTGAACATAACCTTTTAAAAAGTTAAAAAAATGTTACCGCTTTAGTTCCCCAAATATTTTATACTACGTCGCAATAAGTAAAACTGCAGAACCTTCTTCATTCCATGTATTTAACTGGCGTCCAAAGTATTGGGAAACGTGACCGACAAGGAAAGATTTTATAGATATGCTTACATTCTACACTTCATATCCAAAATTGAAATGATTTCATAAAAATTGAAAAAAATATGAATAATTGAAATATTGACAAAAACGATCTTGCTAATTGCGAACAAGAGCGTTCTTTTGTCAGTGGCACCAAAAGTATTGCCAACAGTGGCCGACAAGGAAAGATAGGTAGGCTATGTTATAGATATGGATATTTTACATATCAATTTAAAAGATTTCGTCAAAAATTAAAACAATTATGGATAATTAAAATTTAACAAAACGGTCTTGCTAATCACCGAAAAGAATCGACAAGAACTTTTTTTTTTAATTTCACTTATCCATAATTTTCTTAATTGTTTATGAAATCTTTTAAAATTTGGATATGATGTGTATACGATAGTTCCTTGTTGGTCACTTTTTGCAATACTCTTAGCCCACTGACTTAGGGGGGTTGGATGGCCGAAAGGTTAGCACGTGCGCGCTGTATCATAAGGCCTGTCATTGAGTCAACTGGCGTGGTTTCGAATCCCCGGTTGTACGTGACAAGGATTAGGGTCGCCTGTCCAACCTCGTGGGTTTTCTCCGGGTCGTCCGGTTTCCTCCCACTGCTAAAGACCCCTACGCTCAAGCGAATATTGAAATAAAATTAAACCATATGTTAGTCCCGAAATGACCTAGTTTGTGTCGAATGGACGTTAAACCCATCTCTCTCTCTCTCTCTCTCTCTCTTGACTTAAAAAACCACTCTTGTCGGTCCTTTGCCTTAATTCTCCAATTAACCCTTTCCCCACCTCATTACAACCAGCGTAGATGATGGGTTTTGTTGAAACTAATGGTATTAATAATATACCAATATATATATATCTTCTTTAAGTTCTGGATATTTGTGTCATATCATCAATATCGTGAATAGTACAGACAGTCTAAAATTTCAAAGGCGTGAGACATATTAACCCTCCGCAATGTGGTGTTTATAATTATAGACGTTTTCAGGATAAGGTGGTGTAAACATTTGGAGATGTTTGTGGTTGGGGAGGGCGGTGGGGGGTGGTCATGAAAAAGAGACATGGTACTTCGAGCTTTTAGTTCTTTCATTTATGAGGGGGTTGGTATGCGAAATGGTTAACGGGAGATTTTGCTCTTGACCAAAATCCAACTGCCAATGGCTCTTTTACGTTAACGTCAATGAGTAAACGGGACCTGGATTTTCGTCCCATCTGAAAATCTAGACACTGTTCCTTGCCGAGCCGGAATAAATCTAGAAATGAAAAATAAAGAAAAAAGAGAGATATTACAAACTATACTACAGCTGTTGTTAATAGTATACAATTTAGCCTTCATTGCGATAATCAAGGCGAGTAGAAAATAAGCTTCTTTATTTTCATATTAAATGGCTATTTTACACGACGTCAAACGAAGATTTTAAAATTGATTAAGGCAATAATTTCTTGCGTAATTTCTGTTACTTCATATTGCTCATCAGAAATGTACAGTTATAGGCATCGGAAATGTCGACTGGAAACAGGATCTGAATGATTCCGATCAATACGTCAGTTGCTAAGCAACGACAGGTCCATTTTTAATGAGCAATATGCGTCATTCACACCAAATTCCCTATATTATTATAATATATAATTTGGTGTCCACCATATTTTTCATAACAGTTCTTTGTTTTGTTTAGATTAATATAGATGATATATAGTGTCAAGAATCAGTATTGGTGACGGCTCTAAAGCTTGTTTGTTACAGCTGATTTGTTATCAGATAATATCTGATCTAAGACCTAAACATCAGGTATTAACAGACAAGAACGGAAACACAACATGGTGATTGTTCGGTATTTTACAATTGCTTCCGCTCTCTTGGTCAGCTGTTTTTCTTTCCCAACAGATCTGAATATAAGAAATATATTGGACAAACTTTACACGTTTCCGGACACACCAGAGGTAGGATAATTACTATCAGAAGATCACCTTAGAGGTGTTTAATCATGTCATGTTTTTGTTTTATTTCTCAAACGACATATTGTATGTTTTGTTAAATTCCATTTTTTATAAGTTATAACAGGTTCCGTGTCATATAATTCTCTATTCTATAATTAACATTATCAAAATTATATATATAATTTTTTTTGAAATATTAAACGCACTGCCCAAATGGGATGATATCTACTAAATTGCACAACCAGCCTTTCATCTTGTAGGGAAGCCACAGGTGTTCATATCGTAGGCTAAAGTTCTATTGACAACATATGGTCCTATGTCGAAACATTAAGCCACTAATCAGGCAATGTTACTAATATTTGTTTGCATTTTATTATAACGCCTAAAACGCCTAATTACTGAAAAAATGCTGAATAATTGTCAATATTTTAATATGTTCCAGGACAATATATGTACATAGGGGTGTATATATATATATAAATACTCCCAAAGAAACTAGATCACAAATCAGACCATTAAAATAGATATAATTTTGTATGCGCATGATCTATCGTTTCATTGAACTTACTGTCACGGACCTTTTTATAATTTTGTCAAAATATTACCTCATGAGATTATGTATAATGTATCCGTAACTAAGAAAAATGTCACTTGTATCATGTTAATTTGAATATGGTTGGTTTTCACTTTTCAGATTTTATCCGAGGATCCTAACTGGCCAGACAACAATGTCAATATAGGTCAAATTGGCGGGTTGGCAATTGCTCCTAATAATGATTTAGTTGTCTTTCACAGAGGTAGTCGAAAATGGGAATTTGGGTAAGTAACACTTAATGAGTTACATGTTATAATTAATTATGCGTCGTTCATTCACATTTTGCTTGAAATTTCCAGAGCCCCATATATAACCATGAAATGGGATGTTGTTAAACCACGGAGGTGTATGTACATGGGGTTTTAATGTCTTACTTTTCCACACCAACTGTTCGAATGCAGTGTACTATGCGTGAAAAGTGAAAATATCCTGCCTACTCTACTTCCTCTTCTTCCTCAATGGAGAGGGAGAATCAGAGAAAGATTGAGAGGGATAGAGAGAGAGAGAGAGATCGAGGAAGAGAGAGAGGGGGGGGGGCGAACCCAATGAAACCATTTCAAAAAGTTCAACACGTCAGGAATAACGAATGGACGACGACAAACATTTTCAGTGGTGCCCCCCCCCCCCACACACACACACACATACCCAACGGAAAATATAATTGATGTAGATCAGCTCAGAATCGACCCCAATGAAACCCATTATAAAATGTTACATTTTTATTGGTGAGTTACCGAAGCGAAACCATTAAAACCGACTGCAAAATGTTGGCCACAACCCAAAATAGTATGAATGGACAATGCCAGACATTTTCGGCTGTGGAGTACCCCCCACCTCTTCCAGACACCCAAGACAGAATTTAGACCCCATCCACCACCCCCTACAGCGCCTGCTGCAAGATGTTGCAACTTATTTGGGATGGTATTATTTCGTTTGGATTCCATGAAGAAATTTATTGAATTGACTTACAAAGATGCCCGTCAGTAGATCTATTTATATGTTATATTGTTTATAGCATCATTATATTATGACCTATTTTCAATGCAATGATCCTCGACCTATTGTCGTAGGTCAATCATCCGTAATTTGACAATTGAATGAATAATATTGTTCTTAGTGTTGGGAATATTTTTTTGGGCTGGCAATTTACGTTATAATCTAAAGGCAATGGCATGTTAAGGACATATAGGACCAGGTCTAGATTCGAACTCATTGCATAATTATTTTCGGGATGTGGAAGCAGGTGGCTTTTGGCCATATGTCCCATTTTTCTGCACTGTGCTAAACTTAAAATAATGAAGACGGGCGTATGTCATACAGTGTACTATGGGGAAATTTTCACCAAAATGTACACTAACCTCGGATTTTCGTCCCATATGAATGATTAAACGCCAACGTGTACACGGGGCCAAGGTATTTCATCCAAACTAAACGACTAAACGATGTTCCTTGCCAAAGCCGTCGCCCGGCACTCCTGACATGGCGAAACCATGCTGAAAAATCCCGGGGAATTTTCCCAGCCAACACCGGGATCGAACCCAGCTAACATCACCACTTTTACATAATCGAGGAAATTGAGGTTTAAAATATGTATATGATAATCGTGTTGCAATATACATACCACTGCTGGCTGGAAAGTTCTAAGCCTATCTGTAAAAGACCCGTACAAAGTCGATGGTTTTCATTCATTTTTCTCCACAATCAGGAAGATTTTTTTTTAGCCACCTAAAAACCACCTAAAAATGTCGTTCACAGCTGACATGACGTCACCATTACTAGTTCCTTTTTCATTTTTGGAAACAGGTCTCATCCTTGGTTACAAATCTGGCCAAAAAATTATCAGGATCTGCTTCAAATCGGCGCTGATTATCACGGGACGTCTGGAATCTCAAACGTTTCTGATCAGCCGTCGAAAGCCTTGACAAACATCTGGCTGAAACTTTTGTCATTACTAATGTGCCCAACCCTCTCATGCGAGATGCCCACAGCACTGGCAATATGTCGAGTGGTCAATCATCGATCAGCCATCACCATGTCATGCACCCTGGTAATGTTTTCTTAAATGATTGCTGTTGATGACCTTCTAGGACGCGGATCATCGTCACGGATCTCTCTGTCACGCTTAATTCCGCAGCCCACTTCTTTACTGTGGAAAAGGCGGGGGATCATCCCCTAAAGTGGAGACCATGTTGGCATGTATCTGTGTTGGGGTTAGTTCTTTCAGTTGCAGGTGCTTATTTCTGGTGATTTCAGTGGGTAGGTTCACAAAATGGTCTGGTCCGAAGACAATAATAATCAGTTGCAGTTCTTATGTCTATAGTTCATTCAGTGATTGTACTTGTTGGTGGCAAAAGTTTGTTTCAACCCAATTGATCTATCCTTTTCATGCTTAGAACTTTTCAGCCAGCCCTCGTAGGCTACATACTGTCACAAAATGTCACGGCAAGCATCTCATTTATTTTGAATTTTATAATAATTTAAGGATATTTCATTAATTGCTGCAGGCTTTATGTTTCCAATCTTGTATTACAGTAATGGAGGACATCTATTTCCCCCCCCCCCTCCATCTCACCACCTTACCACCTTACCACCTCACCAAACCACACCCCTTCCATCTAATTCAATCATATTTTTTATATATATAAAATGAAACACTTTTATATCCAGGGCCCCGTACACATTAAACAATATCTCCATTCTTCTGTCTGGTATAATTTGACAGTACATGTTTTTGTTTTGTCCTGGACGTATGTCAAAACAAAACTTTTTTGGTACATCAACATCAAGAAGCGCAAAATTCTTTTACAATGCATATTATGTGTCACGTTTTATGAATATTGTTTGCTTCAGGTGGTAGGGCGAGGACAGGTAAATAAACAGAAGTTATACAAGTTTTGTTAATTTTTCTTTTTTTTTCTCTGTAGGCCATTTCTCTGTGTGATAAATGCAATGTCTGGATACTGTTGATATTTGTACGTGGGAAAATGTCGAACTTTTTAGAAATATATTTCCACTTATACAACATCAAAAATACCACGCGGTATTTAACAAAAACTCTTTTACCTTCATTAACAAATTTAAAAAATACTAAACCACTGTAAAAACTCTTAATTCAAAATGTCATCACAACCTTGATAATTATTTATGTGTATAATTTTTGTCATCTTCTGTAACTTGTGTGGCCGAGAAAGTTCATCTGGATTTTCCGACGTGGTTTCCCCTTGTCAGTGGTGCAGAACGGAGGGCCTGACAAGGACAGCTGTCTAGTCCTTCGGATGATACGAAAAACCGAGGTCCCGTGTATACATTGGAATGCACGTAAAAGATCCCTTGGCAGTTGGAATTCGATATAAGAGTAGGCGATAGTGCCGCTGCCCGGGCAAAAATTTTCCGTCATAGCACACTGTATGGCGTATGCCCGTCTTCATTAGACCAGTATAGGAGCAGAACAGTAGGACGTTAAACCCCATTTAATTTCATTTCATTTCGTAACTTGTGTGACTATTACGGAAGACCAAACGCGTCAAATTTGATCATTTTAACTGCATCAACCTCCATTCACGAATTGTGGTTGTGGTTTTATTCCCCCCGATATAAACATATATATTTTACAACCATGGCTATCACTTTTTTGTCACAGTAATTTTAAACGGAGTTAAACAGACTATTATGGTCATCTACAAACTTACTGGATTTTACAAACCTTTCTCCATATTTCTCAAATACTTGAAAATTCTAATTTTTAAATTGACTGGCTGCCAAACGCGTGTTTATGCAGCACGCGACGTTAAATATAGAAAGATAAACAACGGGCATTATTCAAAAATATAATTATATTTCTTGGTTTTGCGGGATGTCATGTAAGTGCTTATTTACCACCCGGGTTTAGATTTTGTGGCCATAAATACTGTATTGTGATAAGAAAAGAGCGGATAACCATATATATGTTTATACATGTATATATAAATGTTATAATAAATGGCTGAAGAGCAACTTCGGTGTGAAAACATTAGCACAAATGATGTAGTTTCATTTCGCCAACATAAATTTTACTTTATATATATGTAGACGTTGTTAGAAGATTCCATTAGAAGTAGATAATATACGTAAAATAAAGTAAATGCGTCCATTCTAGATAATATTTTGTTGCTGACATGTTTCATACAATATATAGGCTTAGAACGTACCTAGCATTAATCTCCATATTAAGATTATGAGCTTAGATTATTATATGAGGTGATCATGATTTACAGGTTGTTATGCAAGCACAAGCGTTATATATATACTAAACTAGAATACCAAATATTCTTGCATCACAAATATCTAGTCTATTTATTATGATGTTGTTTGTCATGTGAATTTACAGCTGTAAACTTGTATATAGGTCACACCACATACATGTAGGCTACTTATAAATCTTGACATGACAATGTGTACTATTTCTGCGATATCACGTTATTGTGAACGCGGACATTAATTAAAGCACCAAGCGCCCATTAAATGCACCTCTTTACACGCACTATGTGGATTTGCACAAATAGTCAATTCGGCGCTGTAATAGTTAGGGTTTGGATTATGTGAAAATTTCCCGTCATATAGTTACATGCCCACGTATTCTTTATATTTGAATATACATGTACACTCTTCAAAACCAGCGGCTGCCAGGCAGGATACGCCCACATTTTCGAGAGATGGATAGAGAACAAGCTAACAAGAAAGTGATTTTTCCTACTATCAAGGGCCATAATTCAGGAAATTACAATTCAATATGCGCGAATATCGACAGGAACTGAGATCTTTGTGTTATAAACTTACATTTCAATTTTCAACAAAATCGGATAAAAATTGTGACCTCTATAGGGTCCACAACCTTGATATACCATATTTTTACGCTATTTGAGTACGAACGGCGGCCATTTTGTTTGTCAATTTTGGGCCGATTTTCACGAAATTCGAACTCAACCTTCTTTAGGGTGTAACGGTGATATAATAATACGGTTTTTTAAATCGGATAAAAATTATGACCTCTATAGGGTCCACAAGCTAAAAACGCGATTTTTCGTACAATCAGGGGCCATAATTCAGGAAGTTACGGTCCAATATGCGCGCGAGATCTTTGGGTTATAAACTTACATTTCAAGTTTCAAAAAAAAATCGGATAAAAATTGTGACCTCTATAGGGTCCACAAGCTAAAAAGGGGCCATAATTCAGGAAGTTACGGTCCAATATGCGCGCGAGATCTTTGGGTTATAAACAAAAAAAAAATCGGATAAAAATTGTGACCTCTATAGGGTCCACAAGCTAAAAACGTGATTTTTCGTACAATCAGGGGCCATAATCCATGAAGTTTCGATCCGATACATGCCAATATCGAAAGCAGCCGAGATCTTTTGGGGATAAACCTATATTTCAAGTTTCGTTAAAATCGGATAAGAATTGTGACCTGTAGAGAGTCCACAAACAATTGTGGACGGACGGACGGACGGACGTCCGGACGGACAGGGGCGACGGCATAATACGTCCACATGAAAATGTGGGCGTATAAAAAGTAGGGGATATCCAGAAACAACACAAAACTGCGGAAATGCACTGCTGTTTTTATTAGAGGTAACCAGTGTATGTTAATAACAGGTCAATTGCCTACACATAAACATAAATAGTTCATACGGGCGGCTTATCAGACGGTCCCATTTCACTCGCAAAGAGACACACTGTCAAAAGTGAAAATGGACGTTTTTGATTTTTGTCTTAATAATGAGTAATTGCTCCACCAATCCTCAGACATTCAACAATTCATCGCGGCATGCTTCTAATGAACCGTCCAATCACGATTTGTGGCAATCTGACCCACTCCTCTTGCAGTGCCACGGCCAATTCATGCAGTGTTGTCGGTTGAAGTTCACGTCGACGAAAACGTTTCCTGATCAAATTAAACGTAACACTCTAAAGCAAAATTACGCTAAACAGTAAATCTTATGCAAGAACCGATAGGAAAGCAAACATGGGTAGGATAAACCAGCACGTGGCAGTTTTCATCAATCCTTCCTTGAAGTATCAAATTTGACAATGAACCCCTCCCACGTGTATGGCGCTATTGCGTGTCGCACATGCAGCTCAGTGGTTCTGTTGGGGCGATAAGTTCTTCATCTGTGAACATACTCTCAAAGCATGTCAAGTGTCCATGACTATTTATCATATCACAAGCTGTATAGGTATTTGCATTTCAATATCCCCTACTTTTTTGGAAGAGTATATATAAATACTTTAAATTACAGATATAGAAACACAAAAGTACAAACTTTGTACTGCCAGGAAACAAACGTCATAACTGGCACGTGACGATGACTTTGATGCATGACTATACATAAGGTTTACTGTTTAAAAATTATTATCCTATATAATATACTGTAAATTTCATATCTCTGTTTTTAGCAACTCATGGCAAGGTTATAGTACATTATGTAACCCCAAATTCAAATGTAGAGTTAAAAAAATGAAGTTAGAATGTGTAGGCCCTATAGTACTGGGGCTGGCTAAAGTACATTCTGTACCCCAGAGTATAATCTACTTTAGCCGACCTTATTGTAAGCAGTTGCAAACTCCCCTTAAAATAGGGGTGGGGAGGGGAGGGGAGGGGAGGGGTGGGGTGGTTGGCCGAATGGTTAGAGCGTGCGCGCTGTATCATAAGGTCTGTCATTGAGTTAACTGGCGTAGTTTCGATTCCCCGGTTGTACGTGACAAGGTCCAGCCTCGTGGGTTTTCTCCGGGTCCTCCGATTTCCTCCCGCTGCTAAAGAACCTTTTATGCGCAAGCGAATTATTGAAATAAAATTTAACCATATTTTATTCCCGAAATGACCAAGTTTGTGTCGAGTGGACGTTAAACCCCATTTCTCTCACTCTCCCTTAAAATAGATATATTCATGTTCATATCAGCAAACGGATTACCCCAAGCAAGAAGTCATATTAACCCAATTTGTACAATGTATGTAGCATTAACAGAATTAAAGCTTGCATCTTTGTATTTTTAACAAATAATAAATAAAAACATTTGGAAGACCATTTATCTTATCATAAATTATGAGATTTATACCTCCTCGAAGATAGTTTATTCGGGTTATTAATTTAAATGTGCGCATTACTTTATGTTATATGAATTATCTTATAATGTCATACTGTTGCCCAACATTGCTTCTATTCGTCACTGTCGAATTTTATGTAATAATGCCTCGTTGTAATGTTAATAAATCACGAATGTTAGAACGAGTTGTGTCCCCTGTACAATTCAAAAGCGAGACTACATCTTTTAATACATCTTTTATTACACATTCAAGTTCTGACTGGTTTGATATTTCGTAAGCCATCATCCGCCCATAACCAGTTTGTTATTATGAACTTAACAGATTTCAGAAGAAATTAATTTATGATAAATAAAATAAGTTGCTCGGATTAGAAAATCATTTTTATAGAAATTAAAAAATTTCCGCCCTTTTAATTGCAGATCCTTCAACAGGGACAATACCTATGCACAGAAAGACCAGGGTCCTATTGCAGCAGAAACAATTGTCCAGTTTGATGTAAAGAATGGGAAGAAAATAAACGGCGAGGGTGCCAATAAGTAAGAAATTCATTAAAAGTTGTAAAAAATAACGTCAAATCGAAGAATAGTGAACTAATCTAGTACATTACACAACACACTCAATAAATGAAATCCAAGCCTAAGTTTATCTTCATGAAAAGTATACAAAAATGGCCTTTATAAAACACCGTCCATCGATCAATCTTTTACTTACTTTAAAAAAAACTCTCATAGCTGAACTTACAAAAGTACAAACTTAAATCGAAAAATCAATATTGATTATAACTCTGATTAAAGCTTTGTATTATTCTGTCCTTTAAAACTACGAAGCCGAGTATAAAATCTGTCATTTTTTTTGCATTGTATAATTGTAGACATTTTACAATGATGTACTGTATTATTAAGCTAATAAAAAAAGCAACAAAAAAAGAATAAATGCCCCATATTGGATCCCAATGTCTATGAATTTACTACTTTCTGTTGGATTCTGAAAACTGACCTTCAAAATATGCTGATATGAAGCTTGATCCCGGTTGAAATGTGATTAGGTCTGGATTGGTAGGCCTACTATCTTTAGATCGATGAAAGGTTGCGTTTTATATACAAAGGCGATACAGAAAAAAGCTCACATTGAAGATTATTAAAGCTTCGTGAGCATACGAAGGACCCTATTGGAATTCAGAATAATTAGATGGAATATTTCCTAGTTACCCCCCCCCCCACCACCACCACCACACACACACGCACATACACACCCACCCACCCGCACACACACACACACACACACTTCCGTCAGCTTAAAAAAAAATGTGAAATTTTCGACGAAGTGATTTGAAAGCTTGATAGAGTTGGCCATGGTGTCAAAGAGAAGACCCTCGTTAGGATATAATATTTCCAAATTGTACCACAGAGTGGCCCTTGCCGACTTTGATTGCAGATGAACTTCCAAATTAAAATTAAATTGACCACCATTGTATTATTCAGGTATTACATGCCCCATGGTTTAACTATTGATGGTGCCGGTAACAAATGGGTTACGGACGTGGCTTTACATCAAGTTTTCAGAATTCCTTCTGGTCAGTCAGAACCTGACCTAGAACTTGGCACAGCTTTTGTTCCAGGAAAAACAAATAACACTTTCTGTAAACCAACTGATGTTGCTGTTGCGTCCAATGGCGATTTCTTTGTCGCTGATGGGTAAGTATTCTTCTAATCTTTCAAGTGTTTTATTGGAGATGATTGACCTGAACAGAAGACGATGTTATTTGTTTGTTTGTGATATGCTTGCATTTTATTACTTATGTTACCCAGTTATCATCTGCATCTCACCCTATTTAGAATTCAAGACGGAAGGTCAACATTTAGCAATAGTATAGAAAAATGTATAGGAGACTATCCAATCACGGAAATTTATGAAGAGTTGGCACAGTAATATTATATTCTAGATGGCTGTTCCAATGGAAATTTAGATCCAGCTTGCAGCCCGGCACTAAGTTGCTGTAGAATAACCCAGATAATAACCCAGAATAACCCAGATAATAGTGTAAGGATGTATTTATCAGTATTAACCACTTTTGATTTTGTAGATATTGTAACGGTCGTGTCATGAAGTTCTCAAAAGATGGATCTCTGATCACTGAATGGGGTCACAAGTCTAATGGTACGTGAACATTTACTTAATAACATTTTTAATAAGTTAGTTGTAGTTTAAATGGCATTTGGCAGTGTAAACCTTACATCCTCATTTACACTAATAATATCACTCAAACTCAAAATCTATTTCAGGATTAACTTCAGAAACTTGTCAGTCCAAAGTTTGAAATCCTCCCCTTACCCACATCATCTTAATTCGGTACATAATCTTCAATATTTCAGGTCCTACCACAGAGTACACTCTTAACGTGCCACATAGTTTGTCTCTGGTAGAAGAGTTAGATCTTTTGTGTGTAGCTGATCGTGAAGACAGCAGGTAGGTTAAAATCGAAAAATGGTTCGATGATATGAGTAAATTATACACAAACCCAAAGAAATGTCAGCTTTAAGAGACTTTCCTTTAGTGCTCATCTTAGCGTCGAAACTAGTAAGAAACTTTGAAGAATCATCTCCGTGGTTCCAAAATGTACCCGTTTAGAAATGAAAGGATAGTGATGGAATGTTATTACAACAAATGTTGTAATGTTCTTTATCAGAGATACAGGGGCATATAAGGTATAGATGTAGCACCTGGTCTGTATTAGTTCTGATCTCCGATGGTTGTTTTTCACAGTTATTACTTATCGGATGTTTATTTATATCTGGGTTTTGATCCCATTAAAAACTCTTAGCCAATGTAAGACAATGGCGCATTCAGAATTAAAACTGATTTTATTCACCCCCGTCCCCCATATATTTCGCAACAGTTTTATCTTAATTTTGTTTAATATCACTACTTACAAATTGTTATACTATTACTAGTTACTATAGTCGTCTTTATTTACAGAATAATGTGTTATCGTGCTGGCATCAAGGATCCTAGTAAAACCGGAGTTTTTGACGAAACCTTGGTAAAGTTTGACCAGATCGGCCGTGTCTTCGCAATCGAGTATAGCCCAGTCAGTAAGTATCTCATCTCCAATAACTAACATAGATGAAAGATAAATCTGTCACAGATTGATTGACAGCAGAATTAATATTTTCGTTCTGTAATTTCGATTATGAAATTCTGGTCCTACCGATGGTTCCAGCATGGCTGGCGTCGTTCAGGATTATTGTTACTGTTTTTAGAACACACGTTTCAAAAGTTCACGTAGCTAAGGAATTCTTGTTGTGTTATTTTATGCGCAACGGGATTTGTTCAACTGTTATGGAAGTATTAACCATTGATCTTGATGGCTGAATAGTTTGATTGTTAGGTTGTCTCCCATGTACCCACATTAGCAAGACTTCATAACGATTGGCTGGAGTTTATAATTTTTGTCATATTGACGATATTCTAGAACCCAACATTTTTTTTCAATTATGTCTCGTGGTTTCAGATAAAGTTATGTATGCTGTAGTTAGTCCCGAAGAGAACGAATTAGAAGCTCGGGGCTTTACTGTTGAGATGAATGGAAGAATAGTCGACTCATGGGGAGTAGTTAACATGGGAGTAAGTATAGATATAGTTTGTATACCTGTTATTTTATCTTCCTCGTCGATATTCAGCTGTGATATCCAGCATGTGGTTGTAAGAGAAATTCGTTTACATTGGTTTCTATTGATTTCATCTACCATCTTTGTGTGTCTTAGATAGTAATGTAGTAAATAACCCGGGTTTCAAATGATATTTTAATGGAAATTGATAATCGAAAATATACATTTGTAAGTTTATTAGATTTAACTGCTGCTTTCTTCATTTTAAATTCGGTAGTTGTGGCTCTGCATTAAATCTTTTAAAAAGCTACCTTGTGGGTAGAAAATAGTGAATTTTAGTTAGTTGTAAATCGTGGTCTGAATCTGTTTTGTGATCCGGGGTTCCTCAAGATTCGGTTCTTGGCCCGATTGAAACTGTATTAAAAAATGGATGTCAAAGAACTTTCTAAAATTGAATGATGATAAAACCGAATATTTGTTATTAGGCTCACGGTATCAATTAAGTAAATTTGCACATGAAATGTAATTGGTAATTGTTTGTATATTTTCATTTGATTTGATTGGTTGATTGGTCGATGCTTTGGAACACATTCTAATTTTTGTATAATTTCGTCACATCAATATCCCAGGTTAAGCAGAGCAATAAGCAGTATTATTACAAATAGATAAATGTGCAAATAATTAGAATGTGTTATCTATTTATTTTGAGATTAAGGCAGGGAAAATAATCCTCACTGTTGACTTGTTTGTACCTGGTTTTGCATAATAACTTTTGCCATATATGTAGAATATCTGGTTTGTTTGTTTAATATTTATAGTAAACTAAACTCATTCAAGCCAGGATTTACAAAAACTACATTTAAAACAAAACATTTATCAAAAGGAAGTAGTTGTGTACAGACGTGAAAGCTTAATATGGAACTTGCGTCATACATAATATTTTTAACAGGGAACTAAATGTTTATATCCTGTTATTGACTTTTTTAAAATGTCATTGTCTCACTTTTTCAGTCTCATTCACAGCCACATGATGTTACTGTCTCTAAAAACGGAAATGACGTGTTTGTTGGTGACATTGGAGACGTAAGACCAGTCACTCGATTCAGGAAAAGGAAACAGATATATGTTGGATAAACTTTCATGTGTATAACTTTAACTGTTTGGGTTGTTTTTTTTCTTTCAATTTGATTTGATACATTTGGTTAAAAACATAAAAAGATCACATATTAAAGATGCATTATTCAAGAGCTAAATCTGCCTATTGTAGGTCTTTCTTTAGGCCTTAAATATTATATTAATTAGACATTTTTTAATTTGCCACGACCTCGATACCATCAGATGCTCTAGATTTTCAACAGATATAAATTCGATTGTTAATTAATGATTTAATTTAAAAACAAGTAATCGAGACTATATTAATTATCGTTACAGCGGCAGCAATAACAATCGTGATTAGATTGTTCTGCAATCGACGATAACTCCGTTCATAAATGAAGTAATTTGACTGAATTTTCAACATATTCCCTTTTCATTATCTATTTTTTTAACTATTAAAGCAGGAACAGTTAGCTCCTTGTCTAAATCTTACATAATGCATCTTTAATTGTTGCAAAACCAGTGTCACGAGCTGTAGGTCACGCAATTTCGTAACTCTGTAAGGTCTAAACCTTACGTAACTCTGTAAGGTCTAAACCTTACGTGCAGAAACAAAAGGGAGACAAATTCTCAGGTAAACCATTCTCTTTTCGTCTCTGACCAGAAACACTCTGAAGGATATATTCAAATATAATCTTGGACATGCCCATGACGTACGGCAACTCTCCTTTGTCCAAACTCGGCGCAGTGACTTAGACCTATAAACCAGAAATAAGTATTTTAAATGACGCCTCACGATGGGAATGGATCTCAAATATATTATATAATTTATGTGCTATCTACGCTCATTTCTACATAAATTCTTTACAGGAAACTAAGTTCCCCGCCTAATTGTTGTGCTATTTATGTGGTATCCTATATTGCACATATACATTTATCATGAAATTAATGTGTTTTGCACATCGAACTAGGTGATCTTTAATTGTGTTGTCACTGGTCGTGTAAATTCCTTCTCCCGGCACGCCCCGGGCCCGCTCCCATCCGGCTCCCGCCCTATTCCTGCCCCGCTCCCACCACGCCCTCGCCTCGCCTCGCCTCGCTCCCACCAGTCCATCAAAATGTTTTTCTGTAGTATGGTCTGAACATAACGTTTTAAGACTTAAAAATATGCAAATAACACTGCTAGTGTACACCAATTGAGACTGTTTTCACAGTTTATAATATCATTTCGTATTTATTTATATTGATTTACTCATACCTATTCATAAATTAACGACATAAAGGATCTGTCCACCGCTGAAATTACATGCAGTACACTCAACAGCGATGAAGGGTTAGAGTTATGACTGATTCTTTCATCACCTCCCCCCCCCCCCCACCAAATAGTATCTGTTTCAGACTGTAAAGATATTGTTCTTCTTAAACACTTGGTATTTAAGTTTTCCCTGTTCCCTGATACTGTACTTAAAGTTATATTGTTACTTATTATTACATGTATTATATATTTAAGGAAAGTGCAATAAAGATATATTTAAATGTTTTTCCTTTTTAATTTGATTTTTTGGAACAGAAAATGGGTCCCATTCGCTATATATACGCACCTTGTTGTTCTTGGGGACAACGCTCTTCGAAATAACCTAAGGCTCCGCCAATTCAAGTACGATCGAAATGAAACTTGGTACCTAGCCCCAATGCTTATCCTAACCTACAATCTCGCCACCAATCACGTGCCCTAACCTTATTTACATCTCTGCGACCTTGACAAAAATTGGGCTGGCCTTAACAAATAGATTTAGCCCTGTTCCTGGTCAATAGTATACGTTGGTTCTTGTTTTATTGGACTCTAATTAATGATTCACGTTTAAATGGGGGTAAACAGAGCAAAACGAAAAATATCGTTAAATAATGATTAAAAATACAACGTTCGTTTATGAAGCATGTAACTTTGTTGATAAAAATCTTTAAGTGTCATTAGTTACTGGATAGAGTAATGTAGCAACATTGAGAAGTGACTGAAATAATACACCATTACTTTCTGACAAGGGAGAACCACGCCGGAAAATCTGGATGAACTTTCTCGAACAATTCAGGGATCGAACACCCGACCTCAGCGCAAACCAGACTTTTGCTAGGGTTTGTCTAAAAGAACCATTCCACTATATGCCTAAATACGGTGTTTTTGCGTTATTTATTTCTAGTATTCTTATGCACGGTCCATCCATAGCTATTAAATGGATATCCACCGACCGCCATTATAGTACATGTATTTTTTAAAGGATTTATAGACGGGAAAGTCGGAGGTAATGGAACTAGAACAGAAATTAATTACTTTATAAAAGCAGACGAGAAGCTAGACGGGGGATTTATTCAGAATCATTTAGGTCTCGTAATGTTATCAAGTTCTGACATTGAAAGGCCACAAAAAGATATCCGCGGATCAATTTAGTTTAATTTAATGGAGTAAGTTTTCTAAAGGTTGCTGTAATGGGACATATTGGTTTATGTAATGATGATATTGGCTATTTTGAGCACCGATCATTACGCTATATATAGAAGTCAAGTTGAACTGACTGACTTCTCTAAGTAATATTTGCTATTAATGATCGAGCTATTGTAGGTATATTTACAGAATGAAGTGTGTACAGAAGTATATCGATACACCGAGGACAAAAGATCTTTGTTTTTCTTCATTGTTCCACAAAACGTGGCTCGTTTATTTCTGTTATTGAATCCTTCTATTCAACAGAAATTGACAAAATAAAATTATCACGTTATGAATTTCATACTCGTTTTTGTTTTTTATCAATAAATTCTTTGATATTTGTGCAGCAGATAAATATTTATGTGAGTAAAAGGAATTCGGCGATAAGACAATTTTATCGGTCTTTATCCCAGGCTTGTACGTGACACGGAGTAGGGTTGTCTGCTTAATCTCGTAGACCCCCCACCCACACGCACACACCCTAAACTGATAAAGACCCCTATAAATACTTGAAATAATGGTGTTCCATTTTAATCACAAAGTGACCTGGCTTTTGTGGAGTTGACGTTATATTTACGACATGTCTATTTTTCTTTGTTTGTCATTTCAAGATTAAGTCTTTCGGATGGGACGAAAACCCTAGCTCATAAAAGAACCCATTTACGGTTGAAATTCGATAAAGAGTAGGCGGAAACGCCGCTGTCCGGGCTACATTTCGCTCATGACACACTTTATGGCGTAAGCACACCCTCATTAGTCCGGTTGGTGCGCAGAAATATAGTACGTTAAAACCCATTTCATTTCATTTCATTTACATATTCCGAATCCATATCCATAGTCATCGGAAAGATATAGGGCATAGCCTTTTTTACAAATTGTGGTTGCCCAATACGCCAGTTCTTGAATTTTAGATGATGCTATAAGTGAGTCTATGGTTATTCGGGATATGACATCCTTAAAAATCAATATTATCAATAACAAGGGGTTGCAATGCAAGATACGCCCACATTTTGCAAGAGATGGACAGAGAACAAGCTAAGAAAAAGGCGATTTTTCATACGATCAGGGTCGCTAGCCTGGAGGTCGAGTGTTCGATCCCTGCATTGGCCGAGAAAGTTCATCCAGATTTTCCGGCGTGGTTCTCCCTTGTCAGTGATGCAGGGCGGAGGGGCTGACAAGGAAAGCTGTCTAGTCGTTCGGATGGGACGAAAAACCGAGGTCCCGTGTACACATTGGCTTGCACGTAAAAGATCCCTTGGCAGTTGGAATTCGATATAAGAGTAGGCCGTAGTGCCGCTGTCCGGGCAAAATTTCCCTCATAGCACACTGTATGGCGTATGCCCGTCTTCATTAGCCCAGGTTAGGAGCAGAACAGTAGGACGTTAAACTCCATTTCATTTCATTTCATTTCATTTCATACAATCAGGGGCCATAATTCTGAAAGTTACGATCTGATATGCGTGAATATCGAAAAAAAAACGAGATCTTTGGGATATAAGCACATATTTTAAGTTTAATCAAATTCGGATAAAAATTGTGACCTCTAGAGCGTCCATAATCAGATACAAATTGTGACCCCTACATACTTTAACACTGTTTTCGTACATAGAGCTGCCATTTTGTCGGGCAGTTTTAGTTCGATTTTCACTAAATTCGAACTCAAACATCATGGTGTAACGGTATTATATTTGAACGTTTTTTTTAAAATCGGATAAAAAAAGCTTCGCCCAAATCGAATAAAATTTGTGAACTGTAGAGTGTCCACAAACAAATTGTGGACTGCCACTCGGGCGGACAGGGGCGACGACAATCTACGTCCACCTGAAAATGTGAGCATATAAAATTATATTAAAAACAGTGATAATATCGAACTTGCATAGATTCCGTGGCGATGCCCTTCGCCGGTTGTAGGAGGGGCAAAAGCTGGGACAAAGTCCAAGGTGGAGAGGGCAAAGGCGCGAAATTCAACTAGGGGTATGGGGGCCTCCACCAGAAATTTTTGAAAAATAGAAATGCAGTCTGGTAGTATTTCAGGCACTGATAAATAGATAAATAATAGACCTTACCAGATACCGCTAACGAAAATGCAGCCTGGCAGTATTTCAGACACTGGTCGTCGAGATAAATAAAGCTAACCAGATACTGTTTGTCGCTAAATCTAAGTGTGCCGCGAAATTTTGAACGGCACACTCAGAAAATGCGAAATATCACGTGATCCCAATTGAGTATTCACTGGTGTCTACTGGTAAGTTCATAGCATGTTTTTCTTTATTTAGGTTGAGTCATCTTTTGTGTCTATAATATAGGGGTGCCGTTGGCAAAAAAGGCTGAGAATCACTGGTTTATCCGAACAGAGAGGGATGTGTCAAACGAACGAAGTTAGTGAATCAAAGTAAACGAATAATCTTGCCGCGTTGAACCTATACCCCAGAACTTTGAGGATCGTAAAAAGCACTTCTCAAGTGGACCACGTGTTCTTGTTTATAGGAGGTTTACAGCAGGATGATAGGTTCGATGAGAATATAAAAAAATCGAAAAAGTCTTGATGCAATATAGAATATGGTTCAAATGCAACTAAGAGACAGTGAGATGTCTGAATACATGATGATCTCAATAAGATGTTATAGAATACTGACGCCCCTTCACTATGCGACTTTCTAATTATGGCGGGAGTTTTATACGAAGTAATAAAGGAAATAAAGCAACGTTGATTAAATGCGAGTCAAGTGAAAGGCAATATTAAGAGATTCAAGTGTCACTGGAAGTTCAATAAAGGAAAAGTTGTGGACTGTCATTTGTTTTATCGATCTGTAGTTTGTTTAGAGACGGAAATATGACAGGTGTAAGCTATTGATATACAGTTCTCCAAAATAATGTGATTGATTGTAATGTATCAATATCAGAAAATCGATCTTAACTTGATAATTATGGGGTTGATTAGTGGTTTTCTCTTTATGTATGATTTCTCTTGCATAACGCCAATACACACATCGATAGGCTTCAGGCTATTATGTATATCAAATAATTTCGTCTTTGAATCATTAAGTGCGGAATAATGGATTGACTTTCTAATAACTATGGACTGCATTCCTCCAGGAAAATTTCTATGGTGCCACTGAAAACCACGTCGAATGAAAGACACGATACAGATATTGTGTGTATGTGAAATGTATATGTCTTTTGGAGTATCTGACGCGAACATATGATATTGAGGTCAATTTTCCAGGGTCGGCAAACAGGTTTGTGGTTAGACTGTTACATAATTTACATACAAATTTGAAGATGCTGATATAATATAGAAATATTATGAAGCGCCAACACACCTCTGTCCAATAATATCCTTTGGTTGCAGGTGTATTTACGAATGATGAAGGGATTATATCATTTGGGAGTTGACATTGTTTGTCGAGATGTAATTGGTAAATATTTATCAAATCCTGGCTATACAGCACGTGCGCTTTAGATCATAAGGTCTTTAATGGCATTGAGTAAATTGGCGTGGTTTCGATCCCAAGCTTGTACGTGAAGAGGAGTAGTGTCGCCTGTCCAACCTTGTGGGTTTTCTCCGGGTCCTCCGGTTTATTCCCTCCGTTAAAGACCACAATCTGATTAAAACACAGATCCTATTTCATTTCGATTTTTATAGTTCAAAATTTCGTTTTACTTGTCTTTACTACACTAGGATCTGGAAGAGTTGTTATATTACCAGCGTTTTGGTTGAAGTGAGGGATAAGCCAATAAAATAAAACCAAGTACGAACAATCCAAACCATTAGACAAAATACGAAGTCCTAAAAAAACGGTATAGGGCAAAATAGTGTAATCAGCAAATGGACTGTTCGCCATGTACAAAATACACGACAAACAGTGGTAACAGGTGTCCGGAAGAGTAGGCTTACCCTGCCTGGCGTCACACCCGCCATAGCTTCATCCAAACCATTAGACGAATTCTCGACAGTCTGTTACGGCGACCTCTAGTCTTGTCGTACTATGCACTGAACTGTGGGTAAACCACTAGAAACGCCAACGCTGATTGATTAACCCATTCCTGACGTCATAGGGCTAAATACTGCTCGTACGACCCCTATCACGGCCTTTCGAGTACAACTTGTCAGATCTTCATGTAGTGTAGGCCATCGAAAGTATAAAAACACGAAACGAAATATAGATCTGTATTTTAATCAGATTGTTAAAGACCCCTACGCGCAAGCAAATTTTTGTTGAAATAAAAATTGTGCACTTTGTTAGTCCCAAAATGACCTAGTTTGTGTTGAGTGGACGTTACCCCCTCCCCCGTTTTATCCATACAGATAGAACCAGTATGGTACAGTGTGAAGAATTAAGAAGATGGGTATAAGTAAGCCTAAAGCAAAGGCAAGAAAAGGCCAATTTTAATACCATCTCATACAAAATTAAAATTTACATCGTATACAGAGTCTAAATCTAATATGTATATAGCAGTCTTGATGAAGGGGAAATACAAACATTACAAGATTATAATATATCATGGTTTTTGCTTGCAAATTACACTCATGCATAATATATTATTTCAAATGCACCGAGACTGATTATTAAGTGTGTTACTCGTACAGTTATTTACATACAAATTTAATAAAACCAGTTTCTAAATCTAGAAAATAAAGGATGAATAATTTCGGTATAAAAGTATTTACCAAACTGTACAACATTTAAATAATCCGATCTTAAGAGTCATGGTTATTCAAACTCAACGCTGGTAAACGATCCACGAAAAGCCTAGTCAAGATTGGTCATGCACCATTACTAGGCATTAGAGTTGTGTCATCTGGACCGACCTTCAAACGTTTTGTCCGGTTTATGGGACAGGAGATCAAGCTTATTGTTCGGTTGGCTTATCTGGACTAGTCATCAAGCTAGAAATCCTACTCCGTCATTTACATATTCTTTTGTCGAGCTATGGATGTCAGCCAGGTCATGTTAGATAATTTTGATGGATATAATAGTGTTGTCTAATTATTTAGATTTATGCAGTTAACGCCAATAAAACATGCCTATATAGCCGAACAATGAATAAACGATTAATAAATAGGATAGTATACAATATTTCAAAAAATATATTTAAATGTATATAACTATGCCCAATAAATACTTGAAGCGAACGAATCTTCACTATAAAATAACGATATAGCAAACGGGCATCAAGTATGCATTAACGATATAAAGAACAAATATTAAATATGAAATAACGATATAGCGATTGAATCTGGAATGAATATGAAATAACGATACAGCGGATGAAATTTAAGTAGGAAATAACAATATAGCGAACGAATCTTAAAAATGAAGTACGATATAAAATAACGAACGAATCTTAACATTAAATAAATATATAGCGAAAGGATGTTAAAAATGAAATACTATATGAAATAGCGAATGAATCTTAACGTTAAACAAAGATATGTTATAACGATGTAGCGAATAATCTTAAATATGAAATAGCGATTGATGTACACGTAAATGATGAAAATTTCTACATTTTTAGCATATTCGTATACTTGCAATACTTTATACAGAAACATACAAAAAAGGCTGTTTTTTTTTAAATTTTGATGGAGGGGCTTATACAACATCGCATATATGTAGACTTGTATTGCAGCCACAGTTGGTAAAGAGAAATATCTAAGCAAATAACCAATATACAGCTTAAAATGTATAACATTCCCAATCCTACCACGTTTACCTAGTTCTCCTTAAAGAACTGGATCCATTGTCTTGTAGAGATGGATGTCCATGTATCAATATAATTCAACTTGATAAATAGTTTGTCTGAGGTGGCCATGTAATAATTTTCCCGACGAGAACATTCAATCAATCAACACATTCAAGGGATATTGCGTAATTTCTAGCCCGCAGTCAAAACTCGTATTTACACAAATAATCGCCTGAACCGCGTCGTACGAATCGCAGATTTACATGTCCGTTTGTTCCACAAATCGTAATTAATATGTCCGATTTACGGTGTCTTACAGATAAAAATCACATTTAAAACGAACACGACCCCCCCCCCCCCAAAAAAAAAAAACAACAAAAAAAAACAAACAAAAAACAAAACAAACCCAAAACAAAAAAGAAAGAGCGCCCCCGCCCCCCCCCCCCCCAAAAAAAAAATAATAATAAATAAAATAAAAAACCGCACGGTTCTCCACGAGTTCTAATGCTTCACTGAACCCCGATAATACAGTTGTGAACTGGCTATATAACATTTTGTATTAGTAATCTGGATTAGCTGTCCACAAAAGATAATAGTAACATTATCACTTCAAAATATACACAAAACAGCAGCATTTGATACTCCTCACCTCAGAAACTTCTGGATATTAATGGCACGTTTTAACCTCACATTTCATTTTGTTCTAGTTGGATTTTTTCTTGTAGTTATACCGACAAATTCATCCGTCTTTAGATTTATTGTTGGATGGTGCTCGTCAGTTTTGCATTGCCTTAGTACTTCATCAATCACTATACATTAACAGAGATATCCCACAAATGAAGCCAGTATCGCATGCAAGTCTTATTAATGTTGTCTATCCACAGGAGTAGTCGGCTGCTGAATAAAATAAAATGAAAAAAAAAAATTCTTTTAAAAATGATAAATCATGAAGCCCTCGATATAATATTCATACTGACGCATGGCTTTATTCCAAAAGTCTATGCAGCCTTCAATAAGAGAAACAAGAAGACCCCAAAACAGCTAATCAAAGTCGAGAAATCTGACATCATAACACTTGCACCACGGTTCACTTCGAAACCTAATATGTCCACTACGAATGATCTGGTTACTCGGCCCATCATATTTTCAAATGAGCAAGAATATTCGCCCATGTCAGATTTAGAAAGGTTTTTAATAGGATGAGTTAATGTAAACGGGGCTTTCATCATTTCACCAATATTTTGTTCTTTGATGATTTCTCCGTTCTTGAGCCAGACGACATCAGGTGTTGGGTATCCAGTAACTGTACACATCAAGTTCAAGGTCTCGTTCTTCATAACCTTCAAACCATTTACCGAGGACTTTTCTTCCAATATTTTAGGCTTGCCTTAAAAGATCAAACACACACATCTACCGTTCATTAAATTGTAAAATTCATAAAAAAAGGATGATGGGGTTACATGATAAAATAGATATAAGCTAGCGGTACGGCATAATTCCCACATTGATCGTACTGCAGAGCTTTATCAGTTCCATGATTGAAAAAAACTGATCCGCAGTAGTTCTTAGCCTTTCGCTAATATCACTGGAAGGCATAGCAATAGAAAGCTTATGTAAATAGTATGGGGTATGCATATGCATATTCGTTATTTAGCTGCATGCTAGTTATACACATATGTATCAGTAATTAAGACAAAGACGCAAATTCGTATGTGTTACACTGTCATAAGTTGATCTAGAGGTGCTGCATCAGATCATTACTAGATTTCTGCACTCAAAAGGGTGTCTATGCTATAATTCAGAAACTGCGTCAGTTCTGGCGGCAAACTGGGATACTTAACTCATCTATACACTAAATGTGGTAAAGCTCTAGAAAACGGATACTACACCAGCATATTATGTTAGATATGGTAGATCTAACAACACGGATGCTTCATCTGGCTTACAGAGTGCAAGTATACACTTACATGTAATTTGTTTCCATACAGCTTTTGTACCAAACTGCTCGCCTCACAGTATTTCGTTTGTTTGTTTTGTCCCACAGGCATTCTGTTAAAACGGAACAAACCTTTTCTTGACTTTCGATAGTATTTTGCAATTGGTGTACCAAGAACACTATACATTAAAGTCTGTATACAAACATTGTTGCAAAGAACTTTGTTCGTTCATACCGTCAGTTGCGTTTGCCCTTTTTTTTTCGCAAGAATAATTTGATTATGAATTTTATTTTTAAATCATCTTATTTTGATCAATTTTACATACCAAACATTTTTGCTTTCTTTTCGAATTTCTGTTCTATGGTTGTATCTTCGTAAAATATAATAGAACATTTGTATTCGCCAGCATCGGCTGCAGCTGCAATAAAAAAAAAGAGAGAAGAAATCAATTTAACTGTATTGCATCTAGAGAATAGCGTTTTATTGAAAACCACTCGTGATTAATAACATATAACATCCTGATCTTTTACCAATATCCATCCAATTTCAGTAAACGTGGGGCGGTTACATGTTAAAACTGTACACATCGCCATAGCAATTTCTTACTTTTCGTTTTTTTTAATGTCAAGGAATTGCCATTACATTGCACAATTTTGCCATACTTTTTCAGTTACCTTTTTTTTAATGTTTGAAAACACTGTTTGAAAGTATTTAATTTTCCAAACTTTCCACCTGATGTAAAGATTAATACAATCACTGACATTCTTATAATAATATTTATTCGTGTGAAAATCATCGTAAAGTTGAGTAAAATAAAACGTAACGAGGCTTTAAAATCGTTTGTGTAAAGCGGAAGTGTTAATAACGACGAATCTTTCGTATAAAGAGTAAACAAAGAAATCAGATTACTTTAAACTTTAATTGGTGCACGCCAAACAAATGTGTGTTATTTTTTTTATTGATTAAGAGTATACTTCATAGATTTGAACCAGGGCATCTTTCTTTTTTCTACAGTGGGTGGGTACACAAACAGCGATATGGACAATTTCCCTTGAACCAAAATGACCCTGCGTCTATGGAAGGGTATCGCTGCCAATATTAAATGCTCTGCGACAATGTCGTTTCCTTTGATTATATGTAAAAAGTACAATGTACAAAGTCATAATACCGATATTGATCAAGTCAAAATACCTCTAAGGCAAGAGTTAAATGTAAAACGTCAAATGTTAAGTGTTAAATGACAAATGTTTTGTGGGAAAATGATTTTTTTGACGTGTCTACATTTTACATTTCTCTCATTACATTTTACATTTGCGCTCTGCCACATCCCATTTGTCCTTCACGCTTTCTACATAGCAACTTTCGCACAGCATCAACTTGCATATGCAAATATAGGATATCACGTGACTTATTAACATATATGAAAACCCGACACAAGCACACTATAAGGATCAACTAACACACTATTTATGGATAACAATTACTATGGTTTATTTCACTGCGACGTTTCACGCTATAAGGATATTCACCGCACGACAAAAGAAATCAAGCTGACACACCATAAGAAACTATCTAGACGATCGTGCGTAATTTTGAATGTGCCAGGAAATAATTGTTAGATTCAAGCAGCCAAAAAAACATACTTTCCAGTAATTTATAACGCAATAACTGGAATTTCGTATTAAAACCCGTATTTTTATATTTCAAACACCCTCACTCTTTCCGGTCTCTCTATAAACAGAGTTGAATAGCCTACTTTGATCCATTAAAAAAACAACAATATATAAGCATTGTGCCCAACAAATAAATAATGGATTTAAAGAGAGGAATGACTATACATCTTTTAGTATGGACATAGAGAATTTTTGATTAAGCCCTGTATCTTTATTTTAGTTTAGTTTAGCCCCCCTCCCCCTTTCCTTCACTTCAACTTTAATCGTATTTTGTAAAGTTAAGCAAATATGAATGTGCCAGAAAATTATTTGCATATTTGAAAAGAGCAATCAGTGATACTTAACATGGTATCTGGAATTTCGTATTAAGACCAGTATTTTTACTTGAATACCCCTTTAATAGTGTGATATTTATTGGATTTAAATTATGAAAATACGATTGTACCAGAAAACTATTTACATATTTACAAACAGAAATGAATGTGATTTTCACTAACATGCATGTAACATGATACCTGAAATTTCGTATTTGGACATTGCACAGCCCCCGCCCGCTAATCATCATAAAGTGCCATCCAAAGTGTCAAGGTGAGTAAATTTTTATTGTGTGCTAGGCTGATTTCCTGTTATAGCGTCGTGAATATCCTTGTTCTGGCTTATAGTGTGCCAGGTTTCCGTATATGTTAATAATTCACGTGATATCCTACATTTGCATATGCAAGTTGATTCTGTGCGAAACATGCTATGTAGAATGCGTGAAGGACAAATGGGATGTGGCAGAGAGCAAATGTAAAATGTAATGAGAGAAATGTAATACGTAGACACGTCAAAAAAAATATTTTCCCACAAAATATTTGTCATTTAACACTTAACATTTGACGTTTTACATTTAACTCTTGCATTAGAGGTATTTTGACTTTATCATTACCGGTATTATGACTTTGTACATTGTACTTTTTACATATAATCAATAGAAAAGACATTGTAGCAGAGCATTTAATATTGGCAGCGATACCCTTCCATATGCGTCTGCAGATTTTGATTTTGATATCTCTAGACATATCATTAACAGATTAAAATTTATATGGTTTGGGGCGGGATATATTCGATTTGGCAATATAGTATGCTATTAATTTATTCTAAGAAAAAGGTTAGGTAGGAAAAACGAATTTGCAAGGATAAATAAATTAAAAAAAACAGATGGAACTAAAAGCAAACTATTCCAATAGAGCAACGTTTAGCAAGTTCTCGCAGCCGCCACAGTGGTACCATGTTCTGATAATTTATCAAATTATATACACTCAAAGAACGTCATAACGATGGTAAGATCTCGACAGAACTTAAGAGTTATTCACACTATTCTCGATTCTATATTTCTGTATAAAAATTGGGTTTCAAGAGAAGAGTCAATAAAATGACCAAACTTAGGATGAATATGATACATTTAAATAACGACCACAATTCATAAAAATAATCAATCACTTCAGATGCGAGCAAGATAAGAACAAAAAATCTCCGGGAATCAATGAATAACAATGAAGATAGCATCGACTGTCAAATGATAATGCATTAACATCAATCTAACTTCTATAATATGAACGAACAAGTAATAAACGAGTTGGGTACAGAACCATCCCCAAAATAATGTTATAGATATTCTTATGGGCACCACGGTGGCTACGGTGGTTCAGTGAGCAAGACACTGGCTCACTATTCAGGGAGGTCCCGTTTTTGTCCAACATAGTACACTGCATAGCACACTGCATGGCGTATGTCCGTCTTCATTATACCCGAGAATAAAACAAAATGATAAAAACAAAAACGATTTAATATTAGTTATATGTATTTAGGTATAGTCATGTATTTGTGTGTTGCAGTAGGTGTGTGGTAATAGAGGATGAAGCTGGTTTCAGAAAAATCGAAGGGAAAGAGAATGGACTGGTAATCTAGCAGACGGCTGAAAATCCAGGGATTCATCGACACCGTACTATATTAAAATGAATAAAGGCTGCATCTGTAACCTAAATCTAAAGCAAACAGATGAACCGACTTGGTTTAAGAATCCCCTCATTGCCAATAACATTTCATAAAAAGTCAATAATTAACGATAAATTCCGAATACCGTTCATTTTCACCACGCAACATTGTGTAAGTTTTATGAATCTAGATTAAGCCTTTCTGCACAGTGCCAATAAATAAAGTAATATGCCAACAAGTAAAGCAAAACGTATCATATGAATAATTTCAAGAAAGTGTTTATTACCTTGTCAAACAAGCTAGGGGAAATTATGTGCGTGATGGGAGAGATTTGTTGTCATATTATTTTCTTAAGGAAACAAAAAAACCTTTCTTCGTTTGATCACCAACTGAAAACATGGCGTCTAGCCTCAATAATCATTAATAAAAGATTAACTTTGACCTTTAAGATAACTTGTAGCGTTCGATAAGTATGATCCGCCATCCTCACGTCCAGGTTCTCCATGGAATATTTTGATTAAAAACATCTGACTGCCATAATCGCTATCTCGCTTCTCATTAAATATTAGCAATCGAATTGCTTGAACCCATAACAACAATACCGGGATACACGCCACCGAGGAAAAAACAACATAACCTGTCAGCTAAAATGTTGTTTTGTCTCTGCAGTGTTAGTTTTGTCTACAAATGCCTATTACATTCTATTAATAAAACTGACAATGATTTTTATTTACCGGGTTACCAACTCTACAATTCCGGCGTACAGCGCGAAAGCACCCTATGGATACATTAAAATAGTTTCAACAAACGCTGGGTTTAGACAAAGTGAAACTGTGAAACTTTGCATCCATTCTGTAAACCGTAAAACAGATCAAAATGACCCCCACCCCCACCCCCGTAAAAAACCTACAATAAACGTCAATATAACCAGAAAAGCAACACCTAAAGTCCTAAACCAACACTAACAGTTTGGGATGTGGTGTAACTTCTGGTACGGCTTAGTGGAATGATCCAAGTTTAAACAAGCGGTTGGCGATTGCCATGCAAGATGCGCCCACATTTTGCAAGAGATGGGCAAAAAACAGGCTAAAAAAGTGTTGGGTTTTTTTTTCGTGCATTCAGGGGCCATAATTTGAATGCCCCACCATAAATAAATATCTCCAAATATCTTGACAATTACACAACAATATTTATATATATACAAAGCCTTAAACCAGTTTCGCACATTTATAGTCACTAAATAAACGGCCATGTTGTACTTAATAAGCTATGACTATTTAACCATCCATATATAATAGACTGAAATATGGTTACGAGTATCGGCCATAACACCCGGGCACTTTTGAGTAAACAATAGGTTACGTGCTCTTGTTTTGAAATTAGTCTCACTTAACCAGTCTACCGACCATTCTCCGTCTGATACAAAGGTCGGGATAATCAAGAATACTTATTTACGAAACATAAAAAGCTGGAACAAGAAATTGAATTTAGAAACACGCACGTTAGGCAACTCAACAATTGTTTTAAGAGCCTTGTAAAAGTAAAATGAAACTACTGCTAGTATCATGTGCTTGCCTAACCCGATACGAGTGTTTCAGAGATATTATTTGTACTAAACCAAAAGATGCCGTCTCCTAAAGGTATAGTTAATGATGAAGCAATTTAAAAAAAATAAAACGAACGTAATTTCTAAAGCTGCTGTAATAACCAAAAAGTTAAATATTACTGCTATTCAGAATCGTCAATAATAGATTTTTTACGGCTGTAG